CATCCGAATGGGTGGCCATGCAAACGCTACCAACCTGGCCGTTTTGACGGCCGAGAAGTGCGCAACGACCCTCAAGGAGGCCATCAGCAAGTATCTTCTCCAACGACTCAAGACCGACGTTGCGTCAGACCTTCCAGAGAAGACGGAGCAGGTGCTGTTCTGCAAGCTGACTCCAGAGCAAAACGAAGAGTACGTTAGGTTCATTCATTCGGATGCCGTCTCCCAGATTATGGCCAAGAAACGACAAGCATTATACGGCATCGATATCCTACGGAAGATTTGCAATCACCCAGACCTTGTCAATGTTAGAAAGAAGGGCCAGCCGGGTTACGATTGGGGAAGCCCCAGAAGATCTAGCAAGTTGCAGACAGTGGGCGAGCTCCTTCCGCTGTGGAAACGATTTGGCCACAAGACGCTCCTGTTCTCCCAGACCAAGATCATGCTTGATATACTGCAAGAGTTTATTGGTAAAATGGAGGGGATGAACTACCTTCGAATGGATGGCGAAGTGGCTGTGGAGAAGAGACAGGCCTTAATTGATCGATTCAATCACGATCCATCGATCCACGTCTTTCTTCTCACCACGAAGACGGGTGGTTTAGGTGTTAACCTGACTGGCGCAACCAGAATTGTCATCTACGACCCCGACTGGAACCCATCTACAGACTTGCAAGCCCGAGAGAGAGCTTGGCGACTGGGTCAGACGAAACCGGTCGCAATTTATCGGCTGATGACATCGGGCACCATCGAGGAGAAAATCTACCACCGTCAGATCTTCAAGCAGTTCATGACGAACAAGGTCCTAAAGGACCCGAAGCAGCGGGCCAACTTCGACCTGTCCGATTTATACGACCTCTTCAGCTTCGGCGATAATAGTCATAGCATGGCGAGCGCTAACAGAAGCAAAGTGTTTGAGGGGGCTGAGGTGAAATACAACAAGCCGGATGCTAATGGCCAGCCGGAGAAGCCCTCCAAGAACGTGGTACCCATATCCTCTATTAAGGCCGAAGACGAAATCGACGCAGTTCGCAAGCTCGCCGGCGTCGCTGCGGTGGAAGAGTTCACGGAGGACAAGACGCTTGAAGACGAGAAACGCATCACCGAGAGTCTCTTTTCCCGGACGATCGAGAGCGCGTATGAGCATGACCAAATCATGAATGGTAAACAACGGGTGCAGGCGGATCCGGCGATGAACCAGAGAGAAGCGCGCAGGTTTGCTGCCCAGGCAGAAGCTGCTCTACGGCGGGCTGGCGAGGTGGCACGCCGCACGCCCATCGGCACTGTCACTTGGACCGGCGAGGTTGGCGAAGCCGGTCGTCCCGTTGCGCAGCATCGGCGTGGTGGTGTGAATTCCTCGAGCGTCATGTCTGCATTGGCCAATCGTCAGGGACTTAGTGCGCCGACCAGTGGCACAAGTTCACGATCGGGCACCCCGAGTGTCGAGAAGAATCTCATGGAGAAGGACTTTGTTCCTCTCATCCAGACCTTCATCAGACGACATGGGGGCAAGGCGCCTTCCAAGATGGTGGTGGATCACTTCAACCCCTACTGCCAGAAACCGAAGCAAATCTTAGAGTTTAAGAGTGCCCTGGCTACTGTGGCCGTACTGAGTAAGCCAGGCGGCACAGGCAGGGGCATATGGACTTTGAGGCCTGCATATAAGTAGCAGGCGCATCACGATGTATAATATACCATAACATTCGGAGGCGTAGTGCAAGCCTCAAAACCTAAGCGACTGGCGTTCAGGAGAGCAGGCATGGACAGCGGGGATCGCTCTAGATTTGGAGAAGTCGCATCGTAAGATGTAGATGAAGGGGAGGGCTAGCATAGCGCAGAAACAACTTGGATACTAGGCACGGATAATTAAGGACGGTAGCATGCACTGCATTTCAATCTCACATGAACGCAGCGCCAGTGTGCACAATTTGTCGGAGGGGTTCAGGAGCTACTCTTCAGTTCAGGCCATATATGGCGAGTTTCTATTCTATCTACGGTAGATACTGTCGCCCACAGCAGAAGAAGGCATGTCACAGTGCGTAGATTGGGGACCAGGCTCAGTAGCCGTTCCCCGCGTTTTTCGCAATGCCACCCAGAAACCAAACAACGAGCACTCCTGCCCCGAGACCACCCAGGCCAACAACCATTTGATGATATGCTGGATAATACCGGGCGCTTAGAGACGGCGACCACGGCGACCACCCTTTCTGCGGGTAGAGTCGGAGGGGGTGGGGGTAACGTCCTCAATGCGACCGATCTTCATGCCGGAACGGGCCAGGGCACGGAGAGCAGACTGAGCACCAGGGCCAGGAGTCTTGGTGCCGTTACCTGCAGGTTGCTTGATCAGAAATGTTATCCAGACAGGAGGCAACTATGTCTCGACTTACCACCAGTGGCACGGATCTTGATGTGGAGAGCAGTGATGCCGAGCTCCTTGCAGCGGGTAGCGACGTCCTGAGCAGCCAACATGGCGGCGTAGGGGGAGGACTCGTCACGGTCGGCCTTGACCTTCATACCACCAGTGACACGGCAGATGGTCTCACGGCCGCTGGAATCACCCAGTTAGCCATCTATGTCCATCAAGCATCATGTAGCGTACGTTGATCGCAGGCGGGGCACTCGACTGCGAACACGAGCGGGAGGTGAGACCTACGAGAGATCGGTAACGTGGACGAAGGTGTCGTTGAAGGAAGCGAAGATACGAGCAACGCCGAAGACGAGCTCGCCTGCGGGACGCGGGGATCAAGTTAGCAAAAGTTGTTCATTTTTTGCCCTCAACATTCCGTCGCCCACAACGCTCGCTAGGTCGGCGACGTCACGGGTTAAAGACTTGGACATCTGCAAAACTCACCCTCGCGAACCTGGGGACCCAAGGAGGTGTTCTCCTGGGCGGGACGGACGGTCTTGGACTTGGGGGCCATCGTGACTGCTGGGTTTGGCGAATTGATTCCGGGTGGTGGTTAGACGGAGGTGGTTGCGAATGAAGCTCTGTCTCTCGACTCTCGCGATCCCAAAACGAAATTTCTCAAAAAAAAAAGTAGGGCCCTTCCTGGCGTGGTGCGAAAAGTGGGCGTGAGTGCCCTGACGGGGATAAGGCGGTTAATCGTGGCAGAACCACCCGGGAAGGTTTAGCGCCAGAGGAAACCCTACCTAAGCGAGCTTTTTTGCTCTTTCATGGTCCGTGCATGGCCTCCCGGGGAGGAGTGGAAGATGAAAATTATTTGCCTAAAAGTTGCGATCCCGCCCTTTAGCTCTCTTTTTTTTCCCTCTCTTCTTCTCCAGCGACCACTTTTCGACGACAACCGCCGACGACCACCAAACCCGCCTTTCACAATGGCCGCCACGTACGTTCATCACCAATGCTCCTGATGCAGCAGCATATTTTTGTCCGCATGTTCGCGATGTCTTGCAGATTGTCGTGGTCCTCTCGCTGGAGACCTAGCATCACATACTCGTGAATGCTTGGCTCTCAGCTCGAATCCCTCCTGGGCATCTCCCTCCTTCTTTGCATGACCTGGAACCATGGCTTGCGGACCGAGAGACGGTGTCTGGGGTGTTGGGGATGAACGGTCACCCGTTCTCCCTGAAAATCATTGCCGCATGGTGGCGACCTCGGCAGCGCTGAAAAGCCTGCCGTCTTAGCAATACTACCTGCGTGCACTATCTCTTGTTACACATTGAAGTGTGCAAGGTGTTGTCGGATGAGCAGAAGACTCGGGGCAATGTCCTCCTCAATGAGCGTTGAGACATCCTTGCACAGTCGCTCACCGATCAAAGTCATTACTTCGAGTTAGCCATGGCGAGAATGTCGCGCTTCAGCTACAATTCTCGCACCGGCGCTCTATCCATGCTGCTTGCAGTATGTCGGACTGCGTACTAATCTGATTCGCGTTTACAGTTCCGTCCCCACCTCCAACCAGATTCTGGTTCCCGAGACCCTTCTCAAGAAGCGCAAGTCTCAGGAGAAGGCCCGCGCCGAGCGCAACGCCGCCACCGAGAAGCGCAAGGCTGTATGTTGCCTCCGATTTTATTCTTCACCCCCCTTCCCTAGCCTTCATGATGCATAACATACCTTCACGACTAGACTATGGTCGATGCTGTTGGAAATTAACCTTCTTTCGGGTCTGACACTTGCCGGATCATCCATTTTTTTCACTGAATAGTACGATATGTGGCATTTCGCTAACATTATTATTTCAAGGCCAACAAGGAGAAGCGTCAGGTCATCTTCAAGCGCGCCGAGAAGTACATCGCGGAGTACCGTGATGCCGAGCGCGAGAAGATTCGCCTCTCCCGTGTCGCCAGGGAGAACGACTCCGCCTACGTTCCCGCCGAGGCCAAGCTGATCTTCCTTATCCGCATCAAGGGTATCAACAAGATCGCCCCCAAGCCCCGCAAGATCCTCCAGCTCCTCCGTCTCCTCCAGATCAACAACGGAGTCTTCATCAAGGTCACCAAGGCCACCACCGAGATGATCAAGATCATCGAGCCGTGGGTCGCCTACGGTTACCCCAACCTGAAGTCCGTCAAGGAGCTTATCTACAAGCGCGGTTACGGAAAGGTCAACAAGCAGCGTGTTGCCCTCACTGACAACGCCATCATCGAGGAGAACCTCGGCAAGTACGGCATTGTCTGCATGGAGGACCTGATTCACGAGATCTACACTGTCGGCCCCAACTTCAAGCAGGCCTCCAACTTCCTCTGGCCCTTCAAGCTTTCCAACCCCACTGGTGGCTTCCGTCCCCGCAAGTTCAAGCACTTCATTGAGGGCGGTGACCTTGGCAACCGCGAGGAGAAGATCAACGCTCTTATCCGCCAGATGAACTAAGTTCTGTCGGGCGTTTAAGTAGCTCTTTGATCCATAAAAAATGGGGGTTTGGCAGGTTTAGTTACTCGGGCTTCGGCAGGTTTGAGAATACCAAGGGATTATTACATGATTGGCACGGTTGCACGGCGTTGATAACCACAAAACGGAATTTGTGAATTGATCATTATGACGACCATCCAGGTTTCTCATCCCCAATGTTCTATGAGTAGCAATGCAAGCCTCGTCTGAGAGTTGTATGTGTATGTGTACATCGTGAAATGTATCCGTGAAGACCCAGTACCCTAAAGTGCCAAGTAACTCTGCTCTTGTGCTGAACACCCCCTGATTGAGAAGGGACGTTCCTCGGCGCAGTTACTCATTCCATGTACATCAGCACTCGAGCGCTGATCCATTCTCAAACCTTAATATCGAAGCTGGTCCCGCATCCACAGCTGCTCGAAGCATACGGATTATCCGTGATCTTGAACTGGGAACCAATGAGTTCCATCGTAAAATCCACTTTGCTGCCCTTCAACAGCTCCAACGACGGCTCGTCAATCACCACCTTTGGGCCTTCAAATGAGATACTGGAGGCGGAGGCGTTGTCGGGCAAATACTGGAAGATGGTGTCGTCTTCCCCCACTACCTTGGACCATTCCTCTCCGGCCTCGCCGCCTTCGGGCAGCGTCACCAAGCTCATAAGGTACTGGAAGCCGTGGCAGCCGCCACTCTCGACTTGTATCCTCAGCGCCAGGTTGGGGTTGTTGTCCTTCTTCATGATTTCTGACAGACGCTGTGTTGACGCGGTTAGTCCCATGAATGGCCGTTTCGTGTGCGTCTGCATGAATGACAAATACCTTTCCTGCCCTATCTGTGATCTCGAGCTTCATCTCCTGCCCATCCTCATCTTTCTTCGGGTTCCATGCGCACCTCGTTTGCCTCCGTGCCGCGGAAGCCGTGAAAGCGCGCGTCTGTTGTTGCAAGGTCCTCCGGTCATATTTCTGCGGCAAATTTCTCCGGGCAAAAGTCTCGGAACAGCATTTGCGGCCGGTGCTGAAGCCTCGGGTGGCGGTGGTCATGGACCTCCACCTCGGAACGAGTACCGAGAGAATCGGAGCCGGGAGGTTCGACGTCGGGTTCGTGCGACGCGCGAGCAGGACAAATATGTTTGCGCTCGAAGGCGCGTGTGAGCAGCGGAGGGCCGCGGCCATTTCGGGTGGATGCTGGCGACGTGATGGTGAGTGGGTTCCAGGCTCGGGGGCGGCTGTAGGGAAAATTGTACATGCTGTTGATCGGTAATAGCTGATGATGTAAAAGGTGGTGGGCGGTAGGTGGCGGCAGTTAGCTCAAGTGGATTATTAGTCAGCCATTATATTGAAGGTCATCGTCCAATGGTCGTGTACGGATTGGCATTCGTCATGACTTTAAACTGCAACTTAACCATCTTGTGTCTGCTAGTCGAAAGAGGTACATATAAATGCTTTCACCATTGAAATCGACCAAATTTTCCATGCGGAACTTGAAATTGTAAGTGTGTCGGTCGGGATGAGTTGCGTCGATGATCAGCTCCGTAGCCCGGGTCATCGGCACCGGGCCGGAGTGGTGGAGACTGTCGGCGCCTGTCACCGCCATCGCCAAGATCATAACAAGCTCCTAGTTCAGAGCGGGAGGTCGTTGATCGAATCTTACCTGTCTCTCAGCAATGAAGTAAAGACCCTTAAACCGCGTGCTTCAATTTGGACTGTATAAGTTCCGCCTTAATGCGTTAATTGATAAAGACTTCTTGTGATTGCCAACTAATCATAGTTTTATTTATTACGATAGTCGCAACTTTGTAACAAAATAATCCTTACTACCTATTGCTATCACAATGGAGCAATAAAAACTACACAAGTAATGGTAGATGTACGATCCGAACATCACCTTGCGAAATCAGCTTTCATTATGTATTCATGTTCACAAGCTATGTGCTTGGAACATAGCTGTCAATTAAACAGTGTCCTCATTCTTCCACTCATGAGCAGTGCAGAGTGGCCTTTAATCCATGCCTTGAACATGGAAAGTTCTGGTGTTGGTTCTCATATTAAATGGGTCAGAAAATTTCCAAGTTCCTGATTCTTGGGCAATTGTGAACCATGTCAGTGGCTTCTGTGAATTGGATAAAAGTTGACAGATGTACGTTGTGCTGTCGGGCCTGACTCTAGAGCAAGAAGGTGCTTCTGGTGACCTTCGTCCTCTCCATCACCTGAATTTCCGAGATAAAACTGGTAAGAGCAGCAGGTCCGGGAGCCGGCTGGGATCCAGAGAGAAAGTGCAGCCTGTGAAAAGGCTCCAGGTTAACCCTTCTACTAGTTTCATTCTCTTTGCCGGCCAACCCTTGAAATACAACAACACCTAGAAGTTTTCCTCACCTAATATCACCTACAAGACACTATCGCATACCTATTTGCTCTCTACTGTCTAATGGCGTCTGCTACTCGCGCACTTCGTCTTGCGAACGATTTCCAGCCCATACCCATACACCACCGGGCAGCAAGGCCGTATTTCGGCCGCGGTGGACACAAGGTTTTCCAGCCCACCAGTACAGCAGATATCTCGAGTTTTATCAAACAGGCAAGAGAATTCGCCGCCAGCGAGGGCCATCATCATGACTACAGATTCACATCTGAGCCGTTGCCGGTACCATTCGAAACGACACCTCTAGAAATCTTTGCTCTTGCTCTCGCAGTCTTCGCTGTTGTCTGCGTTCTTGGCTGCATGGTCATGGTCGCTATCAAAATGAAGCGCTCTCGGGCACAACATGAGTTGTACAGCTTCTCGGATTCAGACGACACGATGAATGTCGCCTTCCAAGAGGTACCCAGAGCTTTCATTGACAGTGTCAAGCGGCCGAGTAACCCCGTGCCGGAAACGGAAATGAACCGGCTGAAGGAGTTGGAAGAAGACAGAACTTCTTTGGCCCCGAAACATATTTTCAGACCGTGGAGAGAAGCCTCCATCGACCGCAAGAGTGGAGATAGGGAGTTGGGTGATGGTCCGTCGACAGGACTTCGGTCCGAACATGCCACGAGTGAGACGGCCCCGTCGACCGGCAATCAAAAGGATTCGGCCTATACATCCAGCAAGGATCCCGTCCGATTTAGCCGCAGAGCTTCGCGACCATTTTGCAATAGTGATGCGGATGCAACCTCACAAAACCCGTACAGCCGTATATAGCTTCATCACGCGAAAACGCAACAGGGTAAAATTGTAGACAAATAAAAAAGATTCTATTCCCTCGCTCGTCTCCCGTCCTAATCTAGGGTTACCGGCTCCTCAAGGTGGTCGCATGAGGGGACCGCCGGCTTTGACTCCCTAGCAAGCCTCACGTGTGTGTGATGTAGTATATTTGTACAGCGGTGTTCCGATCCGGGTCGTGTTATCTATCGGCTCGACATTTGAGCATTTCATGCCTGCTTCCTGATCTCTCTGGCGGCCTGCTTCAGGTTGGAGTTGCACTCCTCATATGCGCGTCCAGCTCCGAAACCGACACCAACGAAGGCGGGCCACGCTCTGCGCTTGAAAAGAAGGACTGAGAAGACAACACCGAAGCCGAGGCCGAGGGTGGACTTGACGAGGAGGTTGGAGAGGCAGTGGTCCCACTAGCATGTTGTTAGAGATCTCGAATCAGGTGAACTTGGGCGACTGGGGAGAGCTACCTTCTCGTTGAGAAGTGCCTCACTGACAGGGCGCGCGACTGCGCTCGGGGGAGGGGGAACAGAGGTGTCTGACATGATCGTCGATACCCTGGGGAGCTGCTCGTCAGCATCAATGAACGGTACAAAACACAGACAGGTACTACTTACACAATTGACTCGATGCGCAATGGTGTTGTCGAGGTCGGAGCTTCAGCTGTTGGGATTGAACCAAGTGATGTTTTCGGAGAGTCCCGGTAAATTGATGATGAGCACCCGAGGGCGGTCAGTACCGGTGTGGCTTTCGGTGACTGCATTAGAATGGGTGGGGCGGCAGAATCCCGAAATTTTGGGAAAGCTCAAGCCAAAAATCGCGGGGAGTCGCTGCAACCTATACATGAGCGCATCTGAGGATCTGCACATCTGTTGAAGCAACTTGAGGCCGGTTGCCCACCATGGATGTGGAGATGATAGAGGCAAACCCGAGCCGACCATCTGAGACCATTGTGAGATTGGCACCCATGACGACCACCTCGTCTCCTGCTAACACCATCGAAGATTTCGGACAGAGACTTGGTCAGGACCGTACGATCTCTCGATCAAACCGGTCCAGGAGCCAATGGCGAAAATCTTGAACGAGTATGGAAGCAGCTCACATCTGCTAGTCAGAGCCCGTTCTCTGCGGCGGAAGAGAGCGTTCTCAGATGGCTCCTCAAGGTTATGAAAGCGAACAATGACGAAGCCGAGACGATCCGACGATTCCCCCTGACATGGCGCATACTCGGCTGCGCTTTCCAGAGAATACCCCTATTCTCTCTTGCTAAATCACTTGCCGACCGAAAGTTTATGGCGGTTCTGCAGCAAACTCTTAAGGGTGTTGCAAAACCCAGCACCGAAGCCGAGACGTCAGCTTCAAAGTCGAAGAAGAGAAAGAGGACAAGTACCGCGACGTTTGAGTTGCAGACACTCAAATCATTCGAAGGCTGCTTGGGAACTGGCGAGGCTATATTTGGCGTGTTGAAAATCCTCCTGGCACGTCTCGACCCTGCGGCTCAGTGGTCTGCCCACGACAGAATGGGAGCGGAACACATCAAGGCTCTCTTTGCACAGCCAGCCACTGAAGCGGTACAATATCTTTCGCCTCTGCTTTTGCTCTGCGACTATTCCCTTGCGGCAGCAGACACCGAACTGTTCGATTCGCAGGAGTCCTGGGTGAAGGTGTTCGCTTCTTCTTGGGAGCTGCATCTTCAGGGGAGCGTCGACGCATTGGAAGTTGCGACACATTTTTCGCGCACGTGTATTTCCATACTCGGAAAGATAAGGCAGCGGCCGGACTTTGACGACCAAGTGGCCAGGCTCTGGACCCGAGACCTGGATAGGTTTCTGCAGCGCAACCTAGTTCTGCCGGCTAGGTCGGCGTACCTAAACAGAAACGATCTCGAGGTCGTCTTCCGTGCTTTAGAAATGGCCAAGAGCAATGCCTCCGTTTCTGTGCCGATTCTTTACAGTCTGGTGTCATCTGCACCAAAAGTTGTTGGCGGACTTACTACAACCAAAGCTGAGGAGGCCTGGATGCAAGAAGTCTTCAAAATGTCTGAGCATATAATTAAACGATTGCCCAGAGACGAAAAGTCGCAGGCGATGGCCGTCATTCTCGAGGAGGCGATTACGAACAAGTCTCGCATTGCCATGGACGATCTTCGTTTGGTCTCCAGCTACGCAATTGCTGAGAGCCACAGTGAAACTGATTGGCGCCTCCTTTCTCTGATTGCCAAGTGCGACGCAGATGTCTTCCTGCAGTCGGAAGAGAGTGCACAGCTATTCGACCAAGTGTGCGACAGAATCACTGACGTTGGGGTGAAGGCCGACGAGGCAACTATGCATGAGCTTATCGAGTCGTTAATCGCCGGCTTTGAAAACGCTCGCGACTTGTCGACCTTCTTGAAGAAGTGGTTCTCTCAGCTGTCAAAATTCGAGGACAAGGCGCTGCGCTCTGGGGACCGGCCTGTCTGGTTCACCCAGGTGCATCGCCATGCGACGCTTGTAGGCGGTATCGAGAAGTCGTTGACAACCAAACAAATCGTTGGCTTACTGCAGTGGGTCGATGGCCAGGAGATCCTCCGGCCAGCGGCAGTCTTCATCTTCCTCGATACCATCGCATCTGCGATCACTAGAGACGATTTCGCCGACGCTGTCGGTAACCAACTGTCGGACCTGATACTGAAAGTCTGGTCTTCTAGCAAGACTCCGTCTGACATTCGTTCTTTACGGTGGAGAATCATTTCCAAGACGGTATCGTGGCTAGACTACGAACGAGCCACCGCTCTATGGGACAAGGTTCAAACTGACCTGACTAAAGCACTGCAAAAAGCCAAGTTTGATGATGAAGATACTTGTGAGGCTCTGGATTGCGCATACCACTTCTGGTTATCGATGTATCCAGATGGCCACGATCAAGCCGAGCTTGCTTCACTACTAACGTCTTTTATTGAGAGACTGTTGAAGAAAGTCAAGCTGGAAGACCTTCAGGGGTTATTTACTTCTCAAGACTTTTCGAGTGCAAGCACATTCGATATTCCCAAATTCTGCTCAGAGTTCCCCCTGGCCGCGTCAAGGCTCGTGCCTTTGCTCGCCAAGTCTTCCGGCACTCTGCCTGACTATCTACAGCGCATCTTCAGTGCAACGAAGGATAGCGAGACGCAACAAGGAAACGCCCTTCATGCTGTTTTGTCAAATGAGAACAACCTCAGCAACAGACAGCTCGTCGGTAGTGTCGTTGATTATACCATTGAGACTATTTCGCAAGTCCCGAGCGAGTCTTTTCCTTGGGCCGAGAAGAGGAGCCGGGTTGCGATGGTCGAGCTTTCAGGAGTACCTGATGAATCAATTACTAGGCAGCAGAGGGAGCGAATCATGGAAACCATGATTCCCAAGCTACAAGCGGCAGGCAGGGTTGATCTTCAAGACTGGCATCTGGTTCTGGGACTGCTGGTGAAGCTCATGCGAAGACCTACCTTTTACCAGAACATGTCATTCTCCGATCTACAGAACATTGCGCACTCGTTGGCGCCGCTCTGTGACGAAAGCGACTCTCGGACGGCTCTCGGTTTATCCCAGCTTCTATACCAGCTGGCAACAGCGACTGTACGTCAAATGAACGATCATCAGGAGTGGCGCACGCAGTACTTCGTAAAGGTTTCGACTCTTCTGAAAGACCTTGCCGGCGATGCCTCTTCTGTACAGATGACTCTGCTCAAGGCACTACTTGCCGTTGTGCTCCCTGACGTTAGCTCCAAGGAAAAGGCCGCCGTGTTCGACGTTGAGGCGACGGCGTCGGCCTTGGGAAGCACTGTCCAAGATACCTTGAGCAACTTCGCTAAGGCGTGGCGTAAACAAAAGATCACCAATACCTTGGTCAACCGAGTGCTAATAGCACTGGACGCAGCTGAGGCTCTGCCAGAAGCTGTTGTTGAACAGCTAAAAGTCAAGGTTACCCAGCTCGAGGAAGCGAGTCAACAGGCCATTTCCAATGGATCCTTCAGTGGCTGGAAGTTGCAATCGTTCCTTATCAAGCGATTTTCGTCCAAGGTAGCCAACACCCGGCCGACTTCGTTTGGACAGCTTTTCAGCACTACCTTGCCTGCGCCGATGCTCAGCGGTCCAGTTCCTGACCCGCTGTCTGATTTCAATCGGCAAACTGTGCTTGAGGATACCGTTGATGCGGCTACCGCTGGTCTCGACTACAATGGCAAGGTTCAGTACGTTCAAAACCTCCTTGCCGGTATTCAAGCAGAGGTAGCCCCTCAGGCCGGCGGTTCTTCCGAGGGCCAGCTTCTGGCTATCCGCCGCGTAGTCAGCCACTTGAAAGGTAAGTCCTCATTTCCTTCTACTCAAGATGCACAGCCTCTGACAAGTATTTTAGAAGCTTCCGCAGGACTCGAGAAGACCAACACCTTTGACCTGTCCACGGCCCATGGCATGCTGGTCAGACATCTGACCCAAACTAAGACTGTGCGCGAGTTCGTCAGGACCGCCGAGGTCCTCCAGGAGCTCCTAGATGTGAAAGCCAACGCCATGACCCAGTGGAACATTGAGACGACCCTAAGCACAGTCGCTGTGATCGTCGCTGACGATCCTGGCCATCTCCTGAAGGCGTCCCCAAGTGTGTACCAGTGGCTCTGCAAGCTAGTGGAGGTGGTCATCAAGAAGCACCGCCTCCGCCTCGAAGGCCACTACCACATCCTCGTCACCACCCTCGAGGCCCTTCTCAACGCCCTTGCTCGCCCCTCGCCGCAGCACGGGACTCCCACGCCCGCTCGCGCGAAGCACGCCGCGCATTTCACGCGCCTCGTCACGCTCATCTGCGAGCCTGCCGCGGCAGCCGTCTCGCGCGTGCAACATCTGAGTGCTCTCGACTCAGCAACCGATGCGGCGAAGCGCTCTGCGGGCCGGCACATGTATCTCGTGCTCATGGCGTATGTCAAGATGCAGCTTGATGTTGACATCCCACGTGACGTGCGTGAAGCGTTGGAGCCGGGCATGAACTCTGTCTTCGACATCACGCCGCTTGAGGTGAGGAAGATTTTAAATGACAGTATGGACGTTAGTGGAAGGGCGATTTTGAGGGAGATGTACAAGAGATACACCAAGTTTGGCAAGTGGAGCGGTGTATAGGAGATCGATTTATGGGGGCTGTATGAAAGATACCCTAAAATAGAATACAGCAATTTTGGTAACATATACACCATTGAGCCCAACCGCTGTGGGCTGGAGAAAGCGGAAAGGGAGGGGCAAGTCGCCCGCAATACTCGATCTGGGCAATGAACAGTTTTTCCAAGGGTCCTTGGCTGATACCAGAAAACCTACCGGCGCGCTTAAAACCCTGTTCTTCTCTTTTTCTTGCAGATTGGCGATACCCACAGGTCCTGATATCAACCCGGGCTGGTTCCGCTTAGTCGAGGAGACAACATTATAGCATATGGAACTGGATGCTTGATATGTATGAGCCATCATCATTTGGTCACTGTTCTCGCTATATGAAGGGATATGAGACAGTTGGTCTATGAATATATCCTAATGGAGGACTACACAGCTTGTAGCGTCAATTGCAGGAGGAAGTTCATTAGCATCGGTCGACAAACCGGATTTCGTTCGATATTCACTCTTGCCCATAAAGATATCAGCATGGGTCCAAATCAATCACAGTCAGTGATTCAGAACGACTTTTAGTTTATTCGCAACATGAAATATGATTTTGAAAACAGAAAATCTTACCCGTTTTCCTTAGACATCACCTCGTAGTCTCAAAACATCTTCAACAGGTGAACTTCCGTTATTTTAGGCGATTACTGTCAACTCGCAAAAATAACGGCGCCAGCAAGGAGTGTCATGAGCCAAGGGGGCCTAGTAAGAGTGGTTGTCTGGAAGGGTAGGAACATCATACCTCGAAGATGCATATCGATGAACACAGCCCCCCCCCCCCCCCCCCCCCAGTTTTCATCATATCCGCCTACTCCAGTTGCTCGACTCGTATGATGAGTTTCTCTTTCTCCGTCAAACTTTCGGCTGTACAAGTTATATCACGAGATGGTTTTTATGGCACCTTGGGACTGGGAACAGCGTTGGGAAACATTAGTAATCTTCTTCATATTAATGTGACGGGTATCTTCTGTCGCCTATTTCCTTTCTTGTGTTTTCGCGGGTCATTTTGCCTCATGCGCTGGGCTTTGGCTTTCCATAAGTAGCCGGGTGACCATGCTTCTTGCCGAAGTTCTTGCACTGTCTCAGCATGTCAGGTAGCATAAACACCCACACCCAAGATGTGACCCAGATCATGAACGTGTCGACTACCCAGTTGTTCCGTATAGAGCCGCCGAGGCCGCTCCACTTCATCAGACTGCCCAGGAACGCAACGGTGACGAAGTATTCGCCCCTCTCCAAGCCCTTGATCGATAGCCTGGCAACCTCCTCGGGCGACTGAACGGGGTCAAGCTCCTCGAGCTGGTGGGTGATCTGAGGCTTGGTCTCGTTCTCCCTCTCCAGGCCGGGGCTGGTGATAGTTCCGGGGAACACGACGTGGATCTTGACGTTCTGGGGATACAACAAAACTTCCTGGGAGAGCGTGTCGGCCAGCCCGCGGATGGCCCACTTGGAGCCGGCGTACGGCGCGTACCCCGCAATGGTGAAGAAGGCAACAACACTCGTTGTCATGATCAGGTGCTTGGGCTCATCCTCGATGGGGGCGTCGGGAGCGAGCCACTCGCGCAGGATGGCGTGGGCCATCTCGGCGGTGCCGTAGAAGTTGACGTCCATGTTCCTGCGGGTCTCGGAGAAGGGAACGTCGGTGAAGAAGCCGGTGGTGGCCATGCCGGCGATGCACCAAACAATGTCGGGGCTGCGACCGCCGTTCCAGGCGGTGGCCTCAGCGATGATGGGGGCCGCGTAGTCCTCGGCCGTCACGTCGGCGGTGACGTACTTGAAGCGCTGGGTCTCGGGGTGCTTGGCGGCGGCCTTGAGCTCGGTGACGAGCTCCTCGAGGCGGGCGGCGTTGCGGGCGATGAGGAAGAGGTTCGCGCCCTTTGCCGCGAGCTGGAGGGCAACGTTGCGGCCCATGCCTTCCGAGGCGCCGGTCAGGAGGATGGTCTGACAGAGGAGATTGGGTCAATAGCCGGTTGAGTGGAACGAGTTGGGAGGCCAGCGCATTTACCTTGCCATCTACGGGCATGTGATTCTTTCTGTTGAAGAGACCCATGGCGGAAGCGAGGAGGGCGGCGGCAAGGGCGGGGAGGGCGATCCAGAGAGCTTGAGAAGTGTAGTCCATGGCTTGTCACCCGTCAAGGATAAAGGCTACGCCTGCTCAAGACTGAATGTGGTTTAGACGAAAATGCGGCCGGAGAGCGGTGCAATTAGGGGTGTGCCGTTTTTAGTGGAGTCTCCTCGGTGTTGCTCTAAGCCTATGGTGCACGAATCCGCACGGTTGCCATGATAATCGCAGGCAGGCTGGAGTAACTGTAAAGTAGGTCTGTCCCCCGATTCGCCAGTGAAAAAGGTGAAATGGTTGCTTATCCAAATTCTTGCAAAGTACGAACAGATGCTGTCTCTATTTCTTGTATTCCACCAGGCGCTCTATACATGGATGGCGTACAGGGCTGAGCATACTCAAAAGGGAATGAATGTATTGCAGTTCTGCAGTTCAGGTGAACGAAAAGCCATAAGTCCCTATCGAGCCTTGTCATTTGTTTGGAAACACCGCATTCTCTGCTATATGCCTACTGTTTACTGCGAGCCCTTGGATATGACGAATAGCTGCCCGGCTCTATGTAGACCGAACATTGAAGTACGAGGTGCGGGAGGGATGAGATGCGGGAGGGATGAGATGCGGGAGGGCTACCCCCACCACTTTGGGGGGGGGGGGGGGGGTGGGCAGCCTACCTTCCAGGTAACCAATGAAACCAATGCCATCACTTAGTCCCCACTAAAAAGTTCTGCGCTCACTGAACGCAAGAACATTTTTCGTTGTCGCTCACACGCGGCGAGAATCCACCCTCGTCTCACGCCCACCTCCCACCAGCGAAATCGACTTGCCGCCTCTTGCCTCCCCGACCGGAAAATCAACAACAGTCAAAATGGCCAAGAAGCGCAAAGCACCCGCGCAGAATGCGCACACCGGTCCTAAGGAGCTCGACCGCGCTGACGCCCGCCTTGGTCCCATCACCACCTACGAAGATGTCGCCGATTCCGAGGACGAGTACTTCCTGAACCGGGACAAGATCATGTTTGACGAAGGCCCAAAGTCCAAGAGGAGGAAGAGAGTCGAGGAGGAGGAAAAGTTCCTGGATAACTCAGAAGAGGAGATCCTAGACCTCGACGACGGCGACGATTCCGACGACGAAGACACTAGAAAAGCTCCCCGCAAATCCAAAAAGGCAAAGGCTGGAGCCGATTCGGAGGAAGAGGGAGAAGGAGAAGGGGACGAGGCTGATCCAAGCTGGTGGGGTTCTTCCAAGAAGGAGTATTACGATGCCGACCAGATCGAGACCGAGGCTGATGCCCTCGAGGAAGAGGCCGAGGCCAAGCGCCTGCAGCAGAAGAAGCTGGCCAAGATGTCCGAGGAAGATTTCCTGTTCGACGAAGGCGAATGGCTGGCCACGAAGCCCGACGACGCGGAAGACCAGGAGGTTGTCACCGAGGTCCTCAAGGATATTGAAGTCACAGACGACATGGGCCCTGAAGAACGAACCAAGATCCTTCAAAGCAGATACCCCGAGTTTGAGCATCTTGTCAACGAGTTCCAGGCCCTGCAACCGCAACTAGCTGTTCTACAAAAGGAAGCCCACGGCAAATCTAGTCAATCGTTGGAGGCCGTCAAGTACTGGATCCTCGGCTGCTACGTCGCTGCTCTCGCTAGCTACTTTGCAATTCTCACATCACCGGCGCGGGACGACGCAACAACTCGCAAAACTCTGGATCCCGCGGAGCTGCGCGATCACGATGTCATGGAGACACTTCTGCAGTGCCGTGAGGCATGGCAACAAGTCAAGAGCGCAACACCGGTTCAACCCGACGATTCCATGGACGTCTCTTCTGCCGGGGAGGAGCCCACTGCCGTGGACGACGTCGATGAGGCTGCTTTTGCTGCGGCAAAGGAGGAGCTCAAGAGGCAGAGAAAGCTGGACAAGGCCGCCAAGGCGAAGAACAAGCAGGCTCAGAAGCAGGCCCAGGCCATCGAGGAATCGCTCGCAGATCTCGACGACCTGCTCAAGCAATCCAAGAAGAGCAGCAAGAAGGAGAAAGCCGCCGCCAAGGCCGCTGAAGACGGAGACAACTCCGATTTTGGCGAAGAGGAGGTTCTTGACGCCCGGACAGCCGCTGACAAGGCTGCCCGCAAGAAGAGTCTGCGCTTCTATACCTCGCAGATTGTCCAGAAGGCCAACAAGCGCGCCGATGCAGGCCGCGACGCCGGCGGAGACTTGGATATCCCGTACCGCGAGCGTCTCAGGGACCGCCAGGCGCGCCTCAACCGCGAGGCCGAGCGACGTGGTCAGAAGTTCGGTGCCGACCTCGGCGACGACGATGGCAGCGACGGCGATGACTCCCGGACGGCGGCTGGCGTGCGCGAAGATGGGGACGACGAATATTACGATATGGTCGCCGCATCCTCCAAGAAGAAGAAGGCAGAGAAGGCGGCGCTGTACGACGCCCTCGCTGCGGCCAGCAAGGCCGACCGTGTCGTGGAGCAGGAGGTTGTCGGCGAGGACGGCAAACGCAAGATCACGTACGCCATCGAGAAGAACAAGGGCCTGACGCCAAAGCGTAAGAAGGAGGTGCGCAACCCGCGTGTCAAGAAGAGGATGAAGTACGAGGAGAAGCAGAAGAAGTTGAGGAGCATGATGCCCACCTGGAAAGGAGGTGAGCCCAAGGGCGGATATGGTGGTGAGCTGTCTGGTATCACGACGGGAATTGTTAGAGCGAGAAAATTGTAGAGATGGGCCGCTGCAAGGTTCCCTAAATAATGCAATTGGAACACAAAAGTATTTTGAATCAATCCATTTCTTTATTCGTTCCCCCCCCCCCCCCCCCCCCCCTCCTGGTGAGCCCAGATGTTTTGTGGCTTAGTGAGCTGTGTGTTGTGGCATGCGAGGAGAAAAAGGCACATGGCTGCAGGTACATTGAGGTACAAGCTACCGAAGCTCGAGACAGTTGGCCCCACCAGCTCCCATCTGGCCAGAACAGCTTCAAGTCCAACAACTATTGACAACCTCCATTTGCGAACCTCACCGACAGGGCAAGCGCGACACCAGCGCAAGTCGTCATACGGAACAGTCGGGCCTCTTCAAGTGATCTCCAATTTTAAAGAATCTCAATGATTCCAGTAAACCACCGATAACCCTCAAGCTGACGAATCGCCGAACTCGTACCTCTCACAATGGCGACGCCTGACCTCTCGACCCTTACCTCCTCCGCCCAGGTTTTCTCCTCTAACTATACTCTCCCACAAATCCGCACGATACACAGATCCCTCCAAGTCGAAATCGATGAGAAAGCGAGCCGCCTACGCACGCAGGTCGGCAATTCGTACCGTGACCTCCTTGGCACCGCCGACACCATTGTCCAGATGCGCAAGGACAATGATGCTGTCCAGGGCGTCCTCGGGCGCATGGGTGGCCGCTGTGGACGCAGCGTCGTTGCGTCCAAGGTTTCCGGACTGAGCGGATTCGAGAGCGGCGTCAGGGAGCACATCGGTGGAGACGTGGGCATTGTCGCGAGGACCAGGCTGCTCGAGGTTTGTGGGCTTGTCGTCGGGCGGGTGCTCAAGGGCTCCGGGACCGGGGGGCAGGAACTGAGCAGAGGGGACAGAGTCGTCCTCGCTAGCAAGGTTCTGGAGTTGAGCCGACTGCTGGTGAAGAGCTTGGGACAGGAGAAGGGTTTGGACGGGGACGTTGGACTCGCGATTGAAGCTGCGAAGAAGAACAGGGCTGGACTGAAAAGGAAGCTATTGCGGTACATTATGAGCCTGCTAGAGCGCACAGGAGATGCTGTCAAGCAGGAGGACGTGCTCAAGGCGTTATGCGCCTACAGTTTGGCCACCAGCTCCGGCGCGCGCGACGTTGTCGAGCGCTTCCTACGCGTCAGAGTTGCCGCCATGGCATTGGCTTTCGACGACGAAGACAACGGGCGGCAGAGAAGCACGGAAGACGTGCTCAAGAGCCTGGCGCTGTACACGAAGACCCTGCTGGATGTGCAAGCCCTCGTGCCTTACAAATTGTCGGATGCCCTGTCGAACCTCAAGAAGAGCCCCTTGCTGGCGGACACGACACTCAAGAAGCTCGAAGGCCTACGCCTTGACGTCTATGAGCGATGGTGCGGGGAGGAGATCCAGTTCTTCACGCCCTTCCTTCGGCACGACGACCTCGACGGCCCGCAGGCGAGGGACATGCTCTTCAGCTGGGCGAAGGAGGCCGGCGAGGTACTCGTCGACGGCCTCAAGAAGACGATGGAGCGCATGACGGAGTTCAAGGCCATTATAGAGCTGCGCACTAGGGTCCTGCAACTGTGGATCCGTGAGGGCGGCAAGGCCCGCGGTTTTGACCCCTCCGAAATGCTCGACGAGCTGCGCGGCGCCATAAACGAGCACATGCTCAACGTCGTTGAGACCAAGGTCAACAAGTTGCACCTCATCGGGTCAGAGGTATCGGCGACGCTGGAATCGTGGCAAGACGGCGTGACGGATAAGCCCGTCAATCTCTGGGACATACACAGCTTCGACATTGACCTCATCAACGGGGCGGACCACTTCCTGCAGGAGCTTGTAGGTCGGTTACACGGCCGAAACGATTCGGTCTCCAAGGCAGTAAACAGTTTCCAGTCATGGCGACACATCATCGATGAGGTGGGTGACGTGGTAGAGCAGCTGAAGAAGCAGCGCTGGGACAACGACATTGAGGAGATTGAGGACGAGGAGACAATCGAAGAGAGGCAGCAGCTGCTCAGCAAAGACGATCCCAGAGCACTGCATGAAAAGCTTGACTCGACACTGATCAAGGCTTTCAAGGACCTGGACGAGAAGCTTACGAGCTTATGGAATTCCAAGTCGGATGGACGGAATAGCGGCAACGTGGCCATGTACTTTCTGCGCATCTTACGAGACGTGCGCCAGGGCCTGCCAAAGCTCGACAGCGTCAGAGGATTCGGGTTGGAGGTGGTACCATCGCTGCACGAGCGGCTCGCCATAGCCGTCTCTGCGCAGCCGCTGGAGACCTTCGTGAGCAAGGGGCTTTCGCAAAAGGTCGTCGTCGGGCGCCTGTTGTGGGAGGGCTCTCCTGAGATGCCAACGCAGCCTTCACCTAGGGTGTTCCGGTTCTTGCGGGATGTGTCGACGGCTATGAGCGATGCCGGAATGGATCTGTGGAGCGCGGTGGCTGTGGACGTTATCAAGCAGCATCTCAGACAGCAACTGGCTGAGAAGTGGCTCAAGGCCTTGGATGAGTATCTCGAAGAGAAGACGGACGGCGATCCCCCTAAAGATAAGCCGACTACACCTGCGGAGGATGTGCCCAAGGACGAGGATAAGGAGACGGAGTCTTCCGACAAGGAGAAGAAAGATGACGAGAACTCAGAAGAGAAATCGGAGGAGGCAGAATCGCCCGAACTACCCGCAAAGGCGGACCACAGCCATGCCCAAGAGCGCCGCGACCTCCCAACCCAATGGCTGTTCGACATCTCCTTGCTTCGATTCTACCTAGATGCCCCACCGGACAGCAAAACCAACGAGCTCGAGAAGCTCGAGGACAAGGTCTACGACAGCACGGACCTGGACAGCGACGTGACGCGGCAGCGCATCGTCAAGTCGGCGCAGGACTACCACAGGAAGACGAGCCTGCTCTTCGGCCTGCTGTGATGATTTGTATATAGATACCCGAGTGATGGCCCGGCCAGGTGCGGAAAACATTTGCGCATGGAAAGGGAAAGCAGTAGAGGCGAGAAGGAACAATAAGTCCAAATCTATTTTACAGGGCATTCTGGGTTCATGCGAATTGTGGTGTTTCGTCGTCACAGTCCGACTCAATCCTGGACAATTTTCGTGTGCGTTTCTCTCACAATTTGTGCCTCTTCTCGCCGCTGGCCAACTTGCGGAACTCCTCTTGCGGGACGCCCTTCAGGAATCTCTCTAGCCCGGCAAACACCTCGAGCGAGTTCTGCCTGTCCATGACGTCCATCTCGGGCCTCCGGATGAGGGCCTTGATCCCTGTGAGGCTCTCCCCGATGAGGTGGTCCCCGAGCCGTTCGTCGACCTCGCGGAGGACCAGCTCGCGGAACCGTGCGTCCTCGCCGCGGCCCGTGTCGAAGACCTTGTTCACGAAGCCGACGTGCAGCAGCTCCTCGGCCGTGATGCGCTTGCTCATGATGAGCGCCTCGTTGGCCTTGCCGACGCCGAGGCGCTGGACCAGGGCGCGCGAGGCGCCGCCCTCGGCCACGAGGCCTATGGAGGAGAAGGGTGTGAGGAGGAAGGTGGCGGGTGTGGCGTAGACAAAGTCGGCGAAGGCGACGAGGGCGGCCGAGAGGCCGACGACGGGGCCGTTGAGACCGACGACGAGCACCTTGGGGTGCGAGTAGAAGGCCTGCGTGATGTTGAGGTTGAAGGCCACGAAGGACTGGAGCCAGTGCTTGTGGGCGTCCGGGCCGTCTGGGGCGGTGCGGGCGATGGTCACGTCAGCGCCGCTGTAGTGTCCTCGTCAGAAGTGTCTCCTTTTCATCCAAATTGAGACGACTTTCCGCACTTGAGTGTCCCGTGTCTCGCAAGAAAGGGTAGGGGTTTCAAGCAGGCGGTTGGTGCGGCTCAATCTCCTCTGCCACGAGGCGCACGAGCTTGCAAGCTCATGGGCTTTACAATACGTCGAGGTGTGTGCAGAAAGTGAGAACTGCGTGAGCCGAGGTACGAGACCTCAGTAAGCACGGGGGGGGAGGAGGGGGGCAACTCACGCGGAAAAGTAGCGCCCCTTGGCCGTCAGAACAGTGATGAAGACCTCGTCGTGTGTGGCGATCTCGCGCAGCTTCTGGGCGAGGTCGTAGTACTGCATCTGCGCGAGGGCGTTGAGCTTACGGTCGTTGTCGATGGTGAGCAGCGCGACGCGGCCGCGGTACTCGAGGGAGATGACTGAGTCTTCCGGGCTGGCCATGCTGTTCGTCTCTTGTCTGTTGTGTGTATGTGCGTTTCTTTTTCTGATATCCTTCACTCACGCCTCATTACAATGTTCTTATGGTCCTGCTGCCCGTGTTCTCTCTGGGGGGAAATGCCGAGTTAAACGTTAACTTAATTGACGAGAATCAGTTTAGTTGACCCGAGGTAAGCTTAAGTGCCAAGCAAGCCGTTTTATTCGTGGTAAACTGTCCCGGAGGCTCTGGGGGGTTTACCCCGGACCCCACAACGAAGATACCTCGGCAGGAGGGCTGGCATTGCGGGGATACTGGCGCTCAGTCCCAGTCGCCAATAGGTAGGGGAAGATGCAATTAACTGAGGGGACTAGGTACACACCGACACCCGTTAGGCTTCTTCATCAAACTTTGATTTTATTTCAAGAAAGAATTTTCAACTCCGTATCCGATGTGGCATGGCGTATATGAATATACGCTCTTCTGCTATATGAGCAGTGCGTAGGTATCATCGTCAACATGAACCGCTGACCCGCATCGTCTCCAAGATGCGCCAACAGTGCTTCTACTGCGCAAACTTTGAATACCGGCGAGATGCATTTTCTGATCCGCCTCCCACCTCGCAAACTGTGCCGACTCGCAAGGCCCCTGTAAACGGGACGGCATATGCCAGATACCTCAGGTCAAGTTGAACCTGATTGTCTCTCTTAACCCCCTGTCCGACACCTTCATCAGCTCTTCGTCATCCGTGCCGCTACGCCCACTCTAACGGCGCTTCGGCGCGACTGATCTGAGCTTGGGGAAGTTGAGAGGCAGCGCGAGCTTGGCGACGTGCGCGGCCTTGCCCGTCTCCTTGGTGGCGACCTGCTTGACCTTCGCGCCGATCTCGTAAAAGTAGTTGTTCATTTCCTTCTGGTCGAGGCGCATGTCCTGCCGCAGCTTTGAGGTGTCAACCTCGAAGTTGTCGATGATGCACGCGAGCGCGCAGCAATGCGTAATGAGCAGGTCCGTGTGGAACTTGCGCATCTCGCCGCCGTCCGAGAACTTGCGCCGGATGTGCTCAATGACAACCTGAGGCGCCGGCGACAGCCGCTCCTTGAGCTTGTCGCGCGGCGGGATGCGCTTCGTGCCGCGCTGCTTGCCCGGCGTCGCCATCGTGTAGAAAGTGAAGAGGAAGTAGAAGTAGCGCAGCAGCCGCATCTTGGCGACGCTGCCTGAGTCGGCCACCTTCTTAACCCGCGCCGCCACGTGCCGCGAGTAGCACAGGACCTCCTGACCACTCTTGGCCGGCTCAACCCAGTCCTTGATGGGCACGGCCGCAAGGACCTCGCGGCCAATGAACTCGTCGGGATCGTAAACGTCCTGGATGGCTTCGGCTTCGAGGTTGGGCTTGGGCACGGGCTTGGCCTCGTCGACGGCCGCCTGCAACTGCTCGCGCGAGGCCATGTTCGCTGTGACACCGCCGATCTCCTGCATGATGGCCTTGGAGGCGGCGTCGAGCTTCTTCGGCGCGCTGTCCCTGCTCTTGTTGGGGTCGATGGCATTGAGGGCGACGGACTCGATGGCCTTCTTGGCCTTCTTGGTACCGAACGTCTGACCGAGGTCCTTCTTTTGGTCGTAGTAGCTCTGCTCAAAGTCAGTGGGTGTCAGCAGTACATCAGTAAAGCGATCGGGCGTACTTGGTTATCTGTAGGTGCTCTCATGGCCTCCTCCGAGGCATGCTTAGCCCTAGCCACTCCGCGAACAACCATCTTCTTCGCTTCTACCACCTGGAGCGCACCCGTGTTGGGGTCGAAAATGCCGACGTAGTGCTTCAGAGCCTGTTGACTGTCGCTGATGCCGTCTTCTCTCGCCGTGTAGTCCATGGTCTGGTGACTGGTAGAGTGCAGGACGAGATCCTGTGACACTGCGGGGACTTTCTGCCGCCGTTTGCTGGAGGAAACATCTTGTTTGACGTACGGGCTGAAGGGGACGCTTCTAGGTAACCGAACTCCAGGAGCAGACGCTAATAATTGTCAGCATAGCTGCCTCTCACCTCAAGAACTCGGCGAGGAGCATCAGCCGCAGAGCCGTCGTACCTAGGACAGGTGGGCAGAGTTGGGGCCTCAGGACCGAGGAGACGGATACTGTGGAGGGTTCGGTGGCCAGCTTCTTCTTGGACTTGGATGAGCCGTCCAGATCCCGCTTTCTCTTCCGTCCGTTTGCGTCCGACATCGTTGCAGAGTTTGGTTGTCGGCAACCGCTACAAGTAGTGGTACTTGGTCGGCTTGGTGGGATGGATGGCTTGGGACTCTGGAAATATTTTCTGTAGGGGTCTGTCAGTCGGCCAAAGAAAAAAAAAAAAAAAAAAAAGTCGGCACACCAGCGTTTACCCGCACGTTATCACCGAGATAGGTAGGCGGTCTGGCAACAGAAAGAACGACAGGAGGTACCCACTAAAACGGTCGACTAGGTACCTACCCAAGACCCCACCCCAGAGCTGGCGGGACACACACGTCACAGGTCACAGCTAAAATTCGTAAAATTGGCCAAATTGAGGCTTAGTTGATCGAGGCAAAGCTGCAACTAACAACTGCTGAAGGGACGTGGTAGGAGACTGCACTCGGTAGCATATCGTCTCCGTCAATTGCGCATAGCACACGCACACACACACACACGTTGACGAAACGATTTTTGGTTCACTTTTTGATTTTTGAGGAAGCAATTATCTGCCTTTCAATTGTCATGCACGTCTTGATCCCAGTTCCTAATCCGCGTAGCGTCAAGACATCATGCTTCCTGCGGCTGGGTCCATAAACACCGCGTTCCTCATCGTAGCGTCATCTCGACCGATCGCGTGTTGTCAGGTCCATCTTCGTTGAATCCTCATCAAGGCCTGCGGCAGGGTTGCGCGCCTAGTCATTCCGTCGTGACCCCAAGTCCCATTGTTCCAATCCGTAGTGTGAATGTAGACGTCTCGGGCGTGCCGAGACAGACTGAGTCGCTGGTGACGAACGCTGGCTGTCGCATCTCCCGAATGCGAGTCGCATGATGGGTTGTTTATGCCTTCATCTCAAAAGATGGTCATGGTCGAGGGGAGGGATGGCGAGTTGTTTATTTGCTGCGCAATTGGTTAGTTAAGCCGACAGACCAATTGGCATCCCATCGAACAACTTACGAGCGAGCCCTCATCTTTCTTCTCTTGCGCTTGAGACGGCGAACGCGCTTCTTTCTCCACTTGGCTCTCATCGTGAACGACGAATCTGCACGGCTTGGTTAGTCCATCTTGTTTTCGCTCACGCAAATGCGACCTTGGCGATGGCCGGTAATGAGATTCCAATCTTTGGCAGGATCAAGGTTCTCAACGCGGCGACGGCCGTGGCCGGGTATGGGGCACTGCACTTACTTGTCCTTTGAGATGAGAGGTGTTGGTGATGAACTTGTCCTGCAACACCCAGCCGACCGCTGAAGTTTTAGTGGTTGAGCTCCGTAGGGCAGAAAACCCTTCTGCGTCACGTGGGCCGATTTTCGCGGGGACTGTCGCAGCTTCTAGTTCATTTGTGTGACCTCACTCCTCCACTCCACCTCAGTGCCCCTCGCTTCAGCGAAAGCCCACTACAGTCAGGGCAGCTCTCGAAGCTCAGGCACACTCCTGGCCCCTGCACTGCACGTTCTCTGCGTACAGGAGGAGGCGCAGTACGTACCTTCCCTTGCCGTCCCGGAGCACTTGTCTCGGGCAGTCTCGCTCCACTCAGGGCCGAAAGTGGACCTGTATCCGGAAGATTATACACTAGGTAGATGTCTTGGTACCGTGATGTTTGCCAGTTCGCAATTATCAATCTTTTGACTGGAAACTTGTCTCGCCCATACTCGAATATCAGTTTGAACTTGCTTGCTCGCTTACTTGATAGGTGAAGCCGCCCATTGATGGGTTCCCAGGTCCGACCGTCACGTCCAAGAATGTTCTATTCCACTTATCTGTCTCCTCCGAGCAGCGGTTCATGTGTTGCGGTCCACCATTTACTTCTCTGTACTATGGCTCACCCTATCCTCATTCAGCGATGCGTTTCATCATGTCAGAGCAGTAGGGATAGCGTAGTTGGAACCCGCAAGGTGATCATTGATACATCTTGAGGGGTCTTAAAGACGTTTCAAAATCCTCGATTGCGATGACGAGGGAGTACGATTGAAGCGAATGAAAACACCGTTCAAGCCGCCTGGTCATCTCACGTTCATTATATCAGACGCGTCATCCTTCATCTTTTTAACCCAATATTATTCTTGCAATTTCTCCTTCTTTTCTACTTGTATTATCTATCAAAGGCTTCGAGACCTACCATCAGAGTAATCTAGAATTTTCAAGAAACTAATCCAAACTGTTCTCCCGGTTTTCATAATTTGCCCAGCGTAAGCAAAGCTTCTCTCGGACCATCGGGCGGAAAAACTAGCGGTCGGAGGTCTGGATACGTATGGTTATCGTCTCTCAAGAGAGGTTCGAGCAACCCCGTGATCTGCGCAGCCAGGCTTGCGTCGCGTGCCGCTAATTTCTCTAGGTCCCTCAGGGCGACGCCTCTTTCCTCTTCAGTCAGGGGCCGATCTCGCTCCCTCCTCACTGCTTCAGCAACCTTGCCTTGCAACTTGCCATCCTCGGCTTTCTCATCTGCGAATGCAACCATGTTACCTCTCCTTACGATGAGGACCCGGGCGACGTAGTCCACTTCGTCGATCCACTCTGCCACACTCATTAGCCCCTCGTAAGAATCATCATGGACCTTGACAGGCGTAAGCCGGATAGGCAAACACCCACTCCCCGCCTCCGGCAACCTCTCGTAATAGCGATGCAGGATGCCCAGCCTGCTCAGCGCCGCAGGAACGGCCATCACAACGACCTCGACGCAGTATCCAGCCTCACCAAACAGACGCGCTAGCTCGCGGAAGTCATCCGGGTGGCGGCACGCGCTCTCGAGGAGGACGTCGAGCTTGCGGGCGACGGCCTCGGCGGCGGCCATGGCGAGCCACTTGCGCGCGTCGGGGCCCGTGGCGGGCGACGCGTAAGCGGGGGTTGCGGAGTCAAGAAGAGAGAGGTAGGACGGATGGTAGGCCTTGTAGACGTCGGCGATGAGGTGCACCGGTGGATGGATGCGGGTCATGGCATCGAGGACGGTGGGCGCGGTCCGGGTTTTGCCGGCGCCTGTCTGGCCGACTATGAGTACGGCGAGAGGCCGGGACCGGGTGGGGTGCGGGGTAAGGGATTCTGTGAGATCGATGGGGAGGATCTTTGTGGCGAAGATCTCTCTGGACTCGGAGTCCGAGAGGATGTAATGGGATAGATCTGGTGGGGGAGGCATTTCGAAAGCACGTAACAGCAAGCGAGCAAATCCAGACCCGGAGATTAATTGTGATGATATTGTGTCCGGATAAAATAGATATCACTCAAGTTCCCGTCATACTAAGAGTGGTAGATGGTGATGATGAGATGAACCCCAGTTCCCTAGCTCCCCCACCCTCTCCCAACTCCACCATATGACCTCATCAGCCCAATCACATTGCCAGCGCCCAACAATCAATCCAAATTTCTGACTTGGTCTTCCATGGAAAGTTGTTCATCTGACTGAGTATCATAAGATGCAAGATACAGGTACGGTAGATTTTTACATGTATTGACATTTTCCCCGATTTTGTGTGACGCGGATACAATTAGCTGATGCAGCCTTGAGTTCCGATCGTCGGTGGCCGGACCCGAAAGTGTGGTCGACCCTGGATATGCCAGTCTCGGCGCTGGATGTTCCAAATCCCGACCCAACCTCCTGCACCGGGGGGGGGGGGGGGGGGGAGGGGGGGGAGAGGGGGGGTTCCGAGGCTTATTCCACGTTTGCAGTGGCCTTTTCGAACCCCATCGATTGCATAGGCTTATGAATGAACATTCGAAAATTTTCCCATTGAATCCCAGCAAGCAGACCTTGAAACAAATTTGTCTGATCTTTCTTTTCAGGTCTACCCATTGTCCTTTCTAGCGAGCAGGGTCTAACGCCAGTCTGCTTATTCCCTTGACATTGGAAGTGACGTCGTCCGGAGTCACGGTCTCTGGGGGATTCTTTCTCTACTGGGCCGGCTTTTCTGACAAGCAGACAGTGCTTTCTCGAATGCTCCAGCTTGGCGGAGCATACGGCAGGAATCACATCCGGAAATGTAGTTGTTACCCCTGCTGTCCTTACTTAATCATTTGTCTGATGTGCCGGCGGTTCTGTTTCTCTTTGTTATGAACACCACAATGATTTTTTCTTTCATTATGCTTCTCCACAGGCCTGACCGCCAAAGTTCTGTTCAGATACATTATCGAAGCCAAGCACCTTGTTATCAAACTTGGTCTTGATGTTGGCAGCGAGACAGATTTGCTTACGATAAGAACTTGTTATCGGCCAAGGTTTATATTTAGTAGAACGAAGCAACCTCCACTCACAACAAACTTTTAACAACGCCTTCATTGAGAAACTCTACCTTAACGCCAAGACTCGGACAGCTTCCTCAAGATATTTAAATGCAGCTTGAGGTATCAAAATGTGTATTTGGATCCAATTCGTCTGCCCATCTTGCCGCAACCTGCTATCAAAAAATGATGTCAACGACAAGTGCGAGGCATGCCCACTTTCCTACCTCAAACCCAAACCAGCCAAAGCTGAAGAGATTCAAGAGAGACACACCCCTCTGATTACCATGAGAGAGTTCCACTGTCACCGAAGAACGCCGCAGAAGCTGGGTAAGTTTGCGAGCACCCCGGCTGCGCATTCAATCCGGAGACGGAGTTCTCGGACGGGCACCACCCAGTGTTCGGGCCCATTGTGAAGTGCCCTGGCTGCGACAGTGTATTCCCAGTGGCGACATTTCCATTTACGGATGAATTCCTCGGAGGGTTACAGGGTTTTCTAGTTCAACAAGCAGACAAGAGAGTACCGACCCTGGCCCCTTCGCTTTGGGAAACTTACACATGCCCCCAACGTACTACTGACTGCTTATGGCGAACAAAAATCACGACAGCTACTGAGAACCGCCTTAATGCCATTCGCAAGTATTTGAACCAAACTGCAAACCACGTGTGCATCGATGCAGGGGACTCACCAACGCAGGCTGTCAATGCACCTGCTGAGCAACAGGTCAGAGAGAAGGGCGAGAAGTGTTGTAACGATACCCATGGTGAACAAGATGGCGACTACAGCTCATGCCACATATGGAAAATAGAAAATAGAAGAAGTTCTGCCTAAATAGACCTCAGAGTTTCAAGGCTCCTCAAAAGGCATCGCAAAGGATTGAGGTTTAGATATCGCAAGCGCAGCAGAAAACACTCTCAGTTGCTCCAAGCTAGCTATTCATCTTGAGTTAAGCCAGTGAAAAGGCCGTAATCGTAAACATAGCGGCATGGGTTTCGAAGCCAACTGCAATTGTGACAACTAGAACTTGAGGCACCGGTACACATTCTCTTGTGCGAGCCTGATATACGACATCTGGTACATCTCGGGTCTTGTTGTCTAATTCCCTACCTATCCTAAAACAAGTATAAGCAAGAGATCAAACATACAAGACAAACAAAACAACCCGCCCTCCTCCATCTTTTACCAAGCTGTCGACACAGTCTACTTGAACAAAAGTTATTGGTTTTATGTGAGCCCCCCCCCCCCCCCCCCCCCCTCTTTCAACCTTGTCTTTTCTACCAATTGCCTGTCTCGTGTATGATGACCCGAACTCGATAGTGCGTCCGCGGTAACGTCGTGTCTTTTATCTGCTCCTACAGCAATGGCTACAAGGGCCAGGCCGACGCCCAGGATACACGCGTGGGCTTACGTGAAGGAGACGTGCGAACCAAGTGAAATGGGCTATGCTCAGTTGTCCAATGGACTTAGGAACTGGACTACAGGCTATGCACCGAAGAATGATCACTTCTGCACCAAAGATTTCAAGGTTGGCTCTTAGGGGGATTGGTATCTGGACAGTTGCAACATCTGATGATGTCCAAGGCAGTTTCACTGTCATTTTCTCTGTTGATTTAGTCGACGACTTCATGGGCAAGTGTTTAGATAAAATAATGAGGATTTGCAAGTGATACACTGACATTATCGTCGAAACAAGCTTTACCGCATGCCATCACTTATTTGTAGTATTACAGAATAATGAGGCAACATAGATTACATACAATTTTGTCGCAATACCAACGCTCATAACATAACCATGTCGCACTCATTGGTAGTCGCTGTGGCCTGTCGGTCTCATGCCATCCACTTCTCCTGACTCTTTTCCAGACTTGCCCTCAGGCTTGCTGTCAGATTTTCCCGAATCCCCCGAGGTGACATTTCTCTTCGGCTTTGAAGAACCTCCGTTATCATCGAATTTCACAACCTCGATGTTCGTCTCCACGTTGCCCTTGGTCGCGCGGCTGTATGGGCATACCTCCTTGGCCTTATCGACGACCTTCTGCACCTCCTCGTTGCTCAATCCCTTGACGCGGACCTTCATTTCGACACGAAGGCCCATATCGAGCCCCTTCATGTCGCCGACGAGATGGACCGTCGTCTCGACGACAGAGTCCTCGGGTTTCTTGGGCATCTGGATCTTCATGCTCGTCGCTGAAGCGTTCATGGCGCTTTGGAAGCACGCGCCGTAGCCGGCCGCGAAGAGCTCCTCCGGGTTTGTCTTACCCTTGTCGCCGGGCCCGCCGAGGGCCTTGGCCATGGTGAGGTCCACAACGAGGTCGTCGCCCTCGACGTGCCCCGTCCGCGCGCCGACGACCCTTGCGGAAGCGCTGTAGAGGACTGGGGCGGATTTAACGTTGAGAAGGCGCCTCTGGGTGTTTTCTACGCGTGATTGCATAGGGATACGGGCTGATGTTGGCGCAGCTCTCGAGATCACCCGAGGGAGGCGCTGCGCGAGTCTGAGAGAGCAAATGGAGGACGCCATGGCGATGCTGATTTTGGTGTACTTGGATGTAACACTTCGGGGTTTCCAGGCAAAGCTGATTTGGTGATGTGATTTGAAGTGTGAGCAACCTCATAGATTCCTAGGCTTGCCCTTGGGCCTTATAAATACAGCTCGGAGCTAACTATGGATCGCTTTTGAGTGTACCGGTCACAGTGACGTAAAGCATCTCAGCCACCCCCGGACCACCGTCCTATATTAGCTGAGTCATCAAGAAAGCCGAGCCATGATTTTAAATTCTCTTAGGAATCAGTAGACACTTGTTTTGTTCTGGAATGTTTGCTTTTATTACACGGATGCCTACCTTTTAGTGAGAGTGATTCCGCTGCTTGTGCTGCCTCGCTTGGGGAACGCTGGTGCATGTATGTAAGCGACATTCCCTGCGTGCAATACTATTGGCGCCAACCACATTGATGGTTATTAAACTTACCAGGAAAATGAAAATTGATTCACTATCCAACTACGAACGGCCGTGTCCACTTTTAATATATTCAATTCTTGACCATTTCTGTGGTTTTAGTTCCTTATAAGGGACTTGGACAAGATGCGGACTGAGTCATGATAGCTCGGATGAAGAAAACGGTGGAACAAACCGTGCTAAGCTTATCGCCTTTGACGTAAAAGGGGGATGGGGGATATATGAATGCAGTAATTAAGTCATGCAAAAATTATATTGTATACTATTGAGCAGTAACTACTACGAAGTGTAATTACACACAAAAGTAAACTATAGAGGCCTTTACACCTTACAGTCAATATACAAGCAGATCCTGATGTCTTTTTGAAAGTTGCAGGGTAAACAATCAATACACTAGTCAAAATGTCATCTAGTCAATTCTGAGTAGCGACAGGTAAGTCACCGCAACAGGTTTCGGTCAACATAATTGTGCTCGAGCTTAACATAGACAATACCAAATAATACCTACGGAGCAATTGATGAAACACTTGACACTTTGCTTCAGCATTTAAGATATTTTCAGCGATGTACAGGAGAGGTCCACCGTCTTCCATGTTGTGCAATGATGCAAGTGATTGTGTATAGCAACTGAGGTCTTGTCCAGTCCAAGTACGGAAGCCATGCCCTACTCAAAAGCAGAAAACTAGATACAATAACAAGCCAGGGCCAGAACATGAGGTCTCTTAGCTTGAGCTATCCCAATCCCACTTTGGCTATCCTAGATAGCCTAATATGAGCAAGGGAATCAGCGCCTAGAGTTGACTTAGGCATTGCTGCCGCCGTCGACATTGCTGCAGACGCAAGGGTTGTCCCTAATCAGATAGCAAAGGTTAGAAGGTATTATGCCTGGACAAGAGAGGCTGTACATACCCGGTAGTGCAGAAGCCGTTGACCTGGCCCTGCTTCTGGCACTGAGCGCGGCAGGCAGACTGCGACTCGCAGTCAATCACACAAAGAGATGCATTGTTGCTATAATTGGGATGGGTTGTTAGCATTGGCTCGTGTTTTGAATATGAAGGCAAAGTGCTTACAGCACGAGGCAACGCTGAACGCCGTCACTGCTCTGAGGGCAGGCAGTGCGGAAAACGGCGGGACACAAGTCGTTAGAAACCGGGTTCTTAGGGGTGGTTGGAGGAGCGGTGCTTTGAGCAGCGGTGCTTTGAGAAGCGGTGCTTTGAGCGGTGGCCAGCACCGGGAGGAGAGCAAAGAGGATGTTGGTGAACTGCATTGTGGCGGTAGATTGGGTATTGGAGTTGAAAAAGGAAGCGTTGGATTTAAAATGTAAATAAGAGTGAAGAGAATTGGAATGATTGGTGATGTTGTTGAGAGTGATGAGGAAAAGAGATGCAATCACAAAGAGGAGAGAGACGGTATTTATAATCTTTGATTCTTTGCTCAAGAGCAACTTCAGGTCGTGTTTTCATGCATGTATCTATTCCTGACGGGTGTGACGCCGATCTCCACGAGGCTTCTGTTACGGCTTGTTGCAAGGAACTTTAGAGTTCGTGAGATCTACTCAGTTAGGAGCGGCGTGTCCGACTGTCTTGTGATGTGTTGAGGGTTAAGATCAGCAACATATTATTGCCCAAGACCATACTGTTCGTGGATCAAGGGTGCATGAAAAGAAGGGCTAAGAAAAGAAGGGGCAAGAAAAGAAGGGGCAAGGTGAAACCATGTTGCGAATTGCAACCAAACTCTCGATAATATGTTTCACTCCCTCCTCCTGATTTGGTTGAAACACAATACTGATATAGCAAGGCGTGCTCGTCAGAATCTCAGTAGAAGGCTGCACGCCGGTAGGGCAGACTTAGAGATGAATATGAATACGCCCGCTTGGTGGATGCACTCACTAACTACACCGTGATCATAACATACATATAGTAGCGTTAGATAGTATTTACTTGGCCATTGTCCTTTGGCATAACAAGTTCCTGTAAGACAGCAAAGCTGGGAACGGTTTGTGTCATGTACAGTGGGGTGCCAGAAATCATGGTACATGTACACAGTATACACCTATTTTACTACTTTACAACAAGTAATATTAAGCTAATTAGATACTTTAGAATTAGAAAAAAACACTAAGTAAATAGCTTAAGTAAATCTTTATATATCCTCTAGATAGGATTTTATTTTACTAGTGTAATTAAGTAGTAAAGTTAAGAGAGATATATAGTATCCCTTATATTTTAGAAATAGTAGACTTATAAGGTAAAATACAGTATAAACACTGTATTTTTCCTAAGAAAAAAGTTAAGCACTTAGACTTACTAGTATATAGATTTTATAGCTTTACTAATATAGAAGTAAAAATAAAACTAAAAGTAGGATAGTATAGCTAATAGACTAAAGTACTTATATATTATTTTTATTATTAAGTTTTATACCTAATACCTTGAGATATAGTGTATTTTTATAGTGTAGTTAAGGTGACGCACTGTGAGGTGTACCATGACTTATTGCACCCTACTGTACCTACCGCCTACAATTCAGTAAGGATTGCAGGCCTGGGTTCAACCCATCGGCGTTTCGCGGAGAGTTCGTCGGAGAATCGACTTGCCTTGACCTAGGCTCTGGAGTCCCTTTCTGGTAAGTGTTGCCGCTAGCTATCGCTGATTAGATCCACCACCAGTCACGGTAGGTATCCACCAAGGCTTTTCAACAAGATCGTCCGATGGCGTTACTTCGTCCTTACGCATGATCGAGCACCCCTGCAACACAGGTGAACACCTTGATGATACTCAGTGGTATAGTTACTTTGATCGAATATAGTTGTTCTAGAAGGTCCAGTCCAGTTCACCCGGTACATGAAAATCACAATACGTTATAACGTAATACGCAGCATCTCTGGCCACATCTCAATCTCTCAATACGGTACAAAATACCCGATAAAGTAGAGCAACTGCCGGATCATACTCCGAATCAACCATGGCGCGAACGAACTAGACTGAAAGTTGAAGTCGTGCAACGGAAGGGCTGTTAGCTGGTGAATTAGCAAGCCGAAGTAAAAACAGTCGCCGGCAGGTGCTCTAAGAACGCGATATGGGGCTATAAGCCTGTACTATTGTTATACATGCTCCTTCTGAGTCAGGTGCGCCCCAAAAGATGAGACAGGATATCTATTCTGTTTTACCATTTGGTTGCAACGGTGTCTTCATACCTCTCGTTCTCGGTTTCGGCCCGGTGCCAACAAGAAAAGACCGCCTAAGGACTACGGTGAGAGCGCTATTGACTAATTAGCCGTCAACATATGAATAGAGCTATTCTATGTCCTGGCATCAAGTTCTAAATTGTACAAATTTCACACCTCCGTTTGCGCCCGCGCCTTGATTGATCGCTCGTCCCGCTTCCGTTCATCCGGTCGTTCCTGCAAGTTGTCCGCCTATTACATACCGTAGTGTTATGACTTCTGCAAGGAAATACCCTAGTTCCATCGAGACAGCCCCTTATTTCGGTTCCCGATAAAGTCCGTTCGTCTCTGACAAGCCAGGAGGCCCACGCACAGTTTCACTTTGTTAGCACTTCAAACTTGACCAGTCCTTCTAGTTGGAATACGAGTTGCAGATTGATAAGTATAGGTATTTCGACGTAGGCGGATTGGTATTGTGACATAGCACTGACAGATACCTCGCACTTCCCTCAGCTATCTCTCTCTAACCTTTAACCCTTAATAGCACATCTCTTACTCTAACACCAGTCCTCACTCTAACCATAACTTTCAAACCTACGCATCTTTCTCTTTTTTTCCTGTCTCTTAATTGCTCTCTTTCTTCTTAAGTTATCCTCATTTCTAGAGAGTGCGCTTAATGATGTGAGCGAGTCTAGATGTGGCAGTTGTCAGTGCACTTTTTATGGGGAAAGGCTTGGACCTTCATTGAGTAGCTGCACTTGCTAAAAGCAGTTAGATAAGTCAGTACTCCGTACACCAATTCGCCTACGTCAAAATATACCCGTACTCCAGATTAATATCTAACTGAAGAATACCCCAGTTTTCTTTTTTAAGTGTAATGCCGAGTGGCGGGGCCTGCCAAGAAAGAGTCTGGATACACGGCCTCGGCTGAGATTCAATATACCTACCCACTGGTCTCATCGACGGCTACTCGACTCATTGCAAGGTAGGCATATCATATTATTGATAAGGAGACCTTGCAACCCGCGGCCATACTCCAGGTATACCCCGCATGGTAACGAGGCTAAAATAACCAAAGATTCCCTACACATTCACAACAGGCATTATGCCGTTACTCGTATTGTGCTTCAACAAATAGGAGACTGACTTGTGATTGCTAGCAGGGGCATATCGAAGCATGAAAGTATGACCGCCAGCCAAGCCGCTGCCATGGCTTCCGAAATTAGATCATATGAGCCAAGAAAAGAAGGCAATTAACTATCAGATTGCCAGACAAGACAACGCAGCTGCATGGAAGAGCAAGCATCGAACGTGGAAGGCAGGGGTGCGTGTGCCAGCTGCTTGGTAGCGACGCCACGCGGTTGAGGGCACACGTGTACAGCCATAAGAAAGGTACTGAATTATGTGGAATCCCAGCCAGATACAATGACACGTGCAACTGACTCCACTCCCAGCAATGCGGTATTGCAATGAGCGAATATTTAGATAACATCAATAATATCAAAATGGGTATAATGGGCACTATCAGCCCCGTTGTAATTACTCGTGATAGTCGCTGCGCCACATAGCACGCACCCAGTCAGCTATTCCTCATCTGCGGCCACCACCATTGACCGGGTCATTGCAGTCAGACTCTATCTCACGACTCTCGCACAAGTCTCTATCAATGAGGCTCGATGTGAAGAAGCGGGAGGTATCTAAGAATACGAGGTGGCGGCTGTTGGAAAAGCTTTCGGAAAGTTCCGATGTAGTCAGTGTTTTGCTTTTTTGGCATTGTGTTCGAGTGAAAATGGAGAGTACAAGCCGGCTGGATGTTTGAGTGGGTTTTAACAGTTCAAAAGAAGAAGAAAAGAAGAAGGGGGAAAAAGCGTTACTTAGATGGAGGCACGGAAATCATCAAAAAGGTACGATAAATAAGGCCCAGCATGCGAGTTGTCCAGAGTAAAGGAAGCACTTGTAGCTAGGAGCCTAGGGAAGCGGTTAGAGAAAGAGCATCTGACGGATTGAAAGAGATGATGATCTAGAAACTGGCAGAAACTTTTGTGTACAGGCGGCTGGGTGCTTAAACCATCTTAGCTTTTGCTATCTACACACACCTTGTTTGGTCAACTGGTTATTGTTTCATTCTTCTTTTCACCCCATTTTCCTTTTTCTTTCTTTTGCCTATCACGGCTTGTCTTTTACTACTGCAGGCAACAGGTGAAGCTAGTACACATTGTGACAAGACATAACGAGATGCAGTCGCGTCCGATATACTCTTTGGATTCTCTATCGCTTAGAAACCGGAGCTTTCGCGAGACACAGAGGAGAAAAGTCTCGAGAAACTTGAAAACAGCTAGCATCAACAACAGGGTTACCAACTCTTATTACCGAATTTTACAGCTTATTTTCACTAGTCCGTCCTTTTAGTTTGTGTAAACATCCACTTCCCTCTTCTATCTTGACGACAGCGTCGGGTGGAGAGCTTCCGTTCATGCCCCTAGCCTCCTCGTGGTTATCCTCCTCGTCCTTCCTAGTTAGAAACCGCCTCCAAAGCCCATCACCACCTTCCCCGCTCTCGACTACCCTCGGCAGGCACCAGCCCCTGATATCCTTCGCTCTGAAGCAGCCTCCAAACACCGCCCTCCTCCCCTCCTCCTCGCTCTCCCGCATGGCCTTCTCGGCGATCGCACGCGCCCCAACCTCGCCCACAGCCTTCTCGACCACCCGCTGCACGGGAACCCAGTCCCCTGCCTCGTCCCCCGTGACAATACGCCTCGCCGTCCCCGGCCGCCGGACCATGCAAACCAACCCGAGCCGCCGGCACCGCCCGCACGGCGTCGACGGCGTGGTTCTGGTGAAGGTGCACGGTGAGGCCGTGAGTGCGCAGTGAATGCACCGGCCGCGCGTGTAGTCGCGGAAGTAAACCGGGGGCTGTCTCGCCAGGGTGGCGGCAAGAGCGGCGGCGGTCTCGGTATCGGTCCTGGGAAGGACGGGGAGGCCGTCAGCATATTGCATCTCCGACGGCGGCCGAACCGACGACCTGGGTATGGGGCACGGTTGGAGACGAGGAGTGCGCCTTGGACGGCAGGCGGTCTTGGGAGGAGGCTTCAGGAGGAGAATCGGGATGCCTTCAATGTATCGCAATTTAGTAGAGGGCAGAGGACGTAGCTCACCCACGGGGTAGAATCTTGAACGGTTCTGTTCTGGCTCAGACCAAGGCTGGTATTTCTTCACAGTGGTTTGTGAGCTTGCATGGGCAAATGCCTCAAGGAAGGGAGACCTCGCACTCTCCTGTCGAGTTGTCTGCCTCACATTGGGCCTGGGACTAGTCGAAAGCAACATGATCTGGATTGCGTGCTGTACTTAATCGATATGTTTCGAAACCTGGTAATGTTGAGACAACGAAGACAGAGTATTGAAGATGCACTGAAGAGCACTATATAGTTAGACACGGAATACTGAGACGTGCCGGAGTCAGAAGGTGTCCCTGAACAACCGCGAATCCCATTCCATCACCTACTATATATAGAGTTGCGGAACAAGCTTGATTGCTGCAAACCACGCGTTTTCACACGCACAATTCCTTTTTCAAGAGCGTAAATATCCCACAAAGACCTCACGCCGCAGAAGATAACAATCGTACAGGGCCATTGTCCAGGCCGACTTCGATACTTAGGCATCATATCATTGTCATGTCGATGAATGACGCGGGGCTTAGTAAATCAACCTAACCTTATTTTTTAACACGTTTCATGGGTATGAATTCCTGTCTAATTCCATAGGAATAAAGAAACCAAGCGTTGGATTGCGGGCTCTGTGTCGGGTGTATCAAAAGGGGACGAACGTGTCCTGGTCCACCTTGGCAATTGGATGCGATGATTATGACTAAAAGCGTAATACTGTCCTGTACGTACTTTGGTGTCAGCCGACTTCAGGTCGCCATGCAAGTCGAAATGGTGTGTTATGTACGTCGAAAAGTAGGAGCTATCGAGCCCCAAGATCCGCCGGATGGGAATGTTGACATACACTAAACAATGGTAATAGGAGGAAATGGATCAGTACCCGCATGCAAAGGAATTTCTGTGCACAACCTCATTTGGGACATGGGAAGAGCACGTTGCGGTACATGTCGATGGCGGGAACATTTCCTCAGTATTGTTTCAATTAAAGCAGAGCGAAGAACACGCATATCCGCCAGCAATACCTCAAAGGGTGTTTATTCAACACTCCCGCAATAATGTCCAAGCCACACCCATGATCCCCTTTGCCATCCGCCTGTAGTCGTCCTGGTGTAAAAAATAAATAAAAAAGAACACAATGAAAGCCAAGCTGCCATGCCGGTTCAAGGTCCTGTAATACCCCTTCTGCGCACTCGTGCGGACCCCCGAAAAGATAGAAAATGTCGATGTTATCCAGCCACGCTGCTGATAACTTCGGAGCCGCAAGTTCCCAACGCCGATGAGATGGAGGTAAGAATGAAAAGACAGTCATGTAAAACCCTAAGTATGCCAGTTTCCCTTTCCCCAACGCCAATATATGAAAAGTATTGATCAGTATCCTTGGCTCAGATCGCTAAGGAGACAAGCCGTCGACTGGCCAGGGCACTCGACGTCTGAAACAAAAGCAGTTATTCGTAGCCGTGAGGCATTGTGTCGATTTTCCTTTTAGTGAATTGATTTTCAATCTCCCTTTTGAGCAAGGTTTTGCCCCAGGCTTATGAGGCGTGCGATGGCACGCTACGCGGCGTCACGTCACCACTGCGATTGCGCCCTGGAAGCTGAGCCGCCTGCTGCGATCTCGATGCCTCTGCAATCATGGCCATTTTTTTGCGGACGGTCGACAGACGAGCAGTTATCATTTGAATCACTAGACAAAGGTTAACACCGACGGTTAATTCCTGGGAATTGCGTACAAGACTTACTTCGGTTGACAACCTGCTGATCATCGCTGTCCAGGTCGCTGGAGATCTCCTCACGTGGAAGATCCTTGCCCGAGCTCGAGTAGCGCCGCTTAATCGTGTCCTCGTCGTTGTCCAAGACAGCTTCAAGCATACGAATGGCTGTGACGTAGTAGGTGACGCAACCTTCAAGGTTCTCGTTCGTAATTTCGTCAATGGCAGCGGTTCGGCTCATTTCCAAGGCTCGATCGTACATCAGCTTCTCGGCGCTAATGCCCGGGGTGAGATAGACATCCTTGGTGCCTGATGTAGCTGAGCAAGCCGACTCTCCACCATGGTTACTTGGGTGGCTGGGGTGGTCCTCTGGGAGCTTCTGCTGAACAGCAATGAGCTTCAGGCGGACGACCTCCGTCTTCTCCAATACTTCGTTAAAGCGACTTCGCACCCACTGTACGGTCGAGTTCATTCGTTGAGCAAGGCCTTCCTTGGAAACCTCAACCACAGATGCTGCTGAGTCACCGCGCGTTTTCCGTGTCCACCACAGACTTGCAACGTCCATAGCCCTAGCCAAGAGAGTCAGAGCCTTGACGTAAAGAACCAACGCCTCTTCCGATAAGAGGACCTCGGCGTCAATTGTAAGTCCATCCTCGTCTCCAGTGATCTGGTCCGCAGGCGTACCGCCGAGTCCATGCTCCATCGATGGTGCGAGAGGGAACAACTGCTTGTACTTGACCTCGGCAAAGCCGTAGACGCAGTCACTTCGATGCGCAAAATCTTGGATAAGCTTGACGGCTCGCGCATCTTCATCTATGGGGGCGCTTTGCCTGCCGTCACCGATGAGACCGACAGGGGCCGATGGCGTCGGGTAAGCAGGGAAAGGGCTGTAAAGAGGCGGAGACGCCCCTTTACCACCCAGCACATGCTGAGGAACTTTGAATCCAAACAGACGGACGCTGGCATCAGATATGGCCTTTGCGATAAATCCCTGGGTTGTTGGGCTAGCCGAAAAACTCTTGCCATCATATGAATCGTTACGTTCATGACCGGAGCGTCCCTTGCCCTGTGCAATTTGAACAGCGTTGGAGGGCTGCACGCGTCCAGCTCCGGTCGTCGAATGAGGGGGGCCCTGTTGGGTTGCTCGACGGACCATCTGTCCTGACTTGGGTGACAACGAGGTTAGACGCGGGTTGGCTGCCATTTCGTCGGCAAATGCATTCACCTCCACGTGTTTCTTCTCGACGACGACGTAATCTCGCTCGAATGCGACATCTTGAGCAGCCTTTTCTTGCTCTGTAACGCTTCGCTCCGTAACAGGACGAAGCTTATTTTTCGACAAGTTGTCATTGAGATAAGAAGTCGGCGGTGACGCAGAAGCCCGCGCTGAAGGACGGTTGAGAGACGCATTAGAGAGCCTGTGTGGCCGACTGGGCGCAGATGTCGAGGGCTGAGGCAAAGGCGGACGGCGAATTCCTAGTCCCTCTCCAGTCTCTTTCACTGGCGACTGTCCTGTACGTGTTGTGGCCGTATCGGCTGTAGCTAGTTGAGCTCGACCTTCAATCGGGTTGGGCGATTGCGGTGATCTCAAAGGCCTGTCACGAGGCGACCTGGCCACGTCTGCTTGCTCACGAACAGGTTCGGTCTCAGGTTGTCGACGAAGAGACAAGCGGCGCGACAAGGACGATGTCGAGTCAGATCGTCCTAGAGATCGCAAATCCCGGGATGCTTTTGGCTCCGGCTTAGGAGGAGCATCATCCTCAACCGTACCTGGGATGGGGTCGGTCAGGATTGGGTCGTTGAAGAAGTCTTCGAATCTCATGCGCTCAACAGGGTTGCGAGTGAGGAGTTTGCCGATGAGCTTGACCAGCTCTTTACTGACCACAAGTTCCTTCGGGTACTTAACCCTATCCTCGGCGGCTTCGATCTTACGCAAAAGCTCAACGTGGTTTCGGGCGCGGAAAGGAGGACGACCAGTAATCATCTCGTACAAGACCGTCCCGACGGACCAGAGGTCAGCCTTGGCGTCGTACCGCTCATAACGGAGAATCTCCGGTGCCATGTACAAGGGCGATCCGCAGAGAGTGTCGGCGAGCGAGGTTGATGGAAGGACGCGAGCGAAGCCGAAGTCAGCTAATTTCAACATCGGAAGGGATGCGAGACCAGAATTGGGGATCAGCGAGTCCTGGCTGGCAGTTAAAATTGGGCGGGAATGCGCTTCCCTGAACCTTGGCGATGGCAGAAGGAGAAGGTTTTGGGGTTTAACATCTCTGTGCACGTAATTCTTCTCGCGCAGGAACTTCAAGGCACTGCCAAGCTGCTGGAGAAAATGGCGGGTGACAACTTCGTGAAGACCCGAGTTAGGGGTGACGGGGTACTTTCTCGCCATCTCATGGGTTGCAGGATTGGTGCCGAGTTTGTCCCTCTTCTTAATGAACAAAGACAGATCACCGAGCTCGCAGTATTCCATCACGAGGTTTATGTGTGTGGCCGATTCGACGCAGTCGTGCAGAGCGACGATATGAGGGTGACGAAGAGTTTTGAGAATCTGAATCTCGCCATAGAGGTTCTCTCTGAGCTTATTGTTGAGCCGGCCCATTTCCACCGACTTAATCGCTACCGTTGCTTTAGAGCTCTATCATAGCGGGTCAGCACATATGAAGGATGAACGTGTACTCAGGCATAGCAGGGGACTAAGAATACATGGCCGTTCAGGAAACAAGAAGCAAGGACTCAAGGACATCACAGCCTTGCTGGGGAAAGCAGCCCACGAGAGGCAACTGGGGCAGGGAGCCTACGAACCTTATGGTAGCCACTGTAAACTTGGGCAAAGCTGCCCTTGCCGATTTCACCTCCAATCACAAAATCCCCGATGGAAGCATCGCCTTCGCGTCGCCTCCGCGAGGAGGACGAGGTTGGGAGCCGTTCTGCCATGTTTGTCGCCTGTGAGATTGTCTAGGACAGGTGCGAGGTTGAGGAGCAGTCGAGTCCAGGCCGCGGGCCTATTCTATTCGAAAGACGTCGGCGGCGCGCGGTATCGTCATGTACACGTCCGATGTGTGAGAAGAGATGATCGAGATGGGTCTGGTTGATGAAAGGAACAAGAGGGAAGAGTTGCGCGAAGAAGAAGCAGAGACGGGCAGGTAGGCGCAGCTTCGGGCAGCAGCCTGTATATTGGAGTTATTGGTTCGGCAGGCAGGGACTGTAGAGCAGACAGCAGGCAGCTATCCGATAGGTCGAAGGCGCACAAGCGACAGGTCGCTGTTGAATGAAAGGGCCGTCGTGACGTCCGTGTGTGGGTGCAGGATGGCCTCGAGGACGTAGCCGGTATAGAAACGAAAGTCGACAGAAGTCAAAGGCGGACAAGGATGGATTTATTGGGGTATTGAGATGAGCAAGCGATGATGGGAGGCGAGGTGGGAGACACCGAATGGTCGAGATGGATGTGACTAATACGGGCGGGCGAGGAGCGTTAGAAAACAAGCTAAGCAGTCGAGGTATCAGCCGTTTGAGGCTCTCGCAGTGTATGGGAGAGTTTTCGGGGGAGGTTTGCAGCCAAGGTCCAAGGTCAAGCTAATGACTCGGAGCTGAGAAGGCTACTGGCGTTTGTACTCGGCAGGCACCCTGATGGAAAGGAGGTTGTGGACAAGGCAAACGGCGGTACAACGGTGTGGTGTGGGATGTGATGTATGCTACCTTGGGTAGGTCTGCACAAAGGTCGGAGAAGGGAACCGGGGGCAGAGAAGTCGAGAGTTGTCGTGGGTGGTGGGAAAGCAAGTAGGCGAGAGAAAACCGAGCGGCAATAGGAGAGAGGGAGAGAAGTCGAGGTTGGCGGAAGAGGAAGAAAAGCGGTCGAGATGGGGATGGATGGGCAGGCGACGTAGAAGAAGGTCAAGGGACGCGCCGAAGGAGGGAGTTGAGTGACAGAGACAAGACGGGAGTGACGAGGACGGATGGGGCCCGAAGTGGATAAGGCCGATAAGATAGGGCAAGGTTGTGTGGTGTGCGTGCGGTTGATGCGATAAAGGGTACCTAGCAGTTGGAGCGGCGCAGCGATAGCGCCAGATGGGTGACGGGGTGGATGGATTGGATGGACTGTAACAGGGTGTACTATAGGCACCGTATGTGATGCGCTGCGTTGGTGGCTCTTGCTTTTGGGGTTTCTAGAGATGGGAGACGGGGGTGATCTGGAGTCCGGGCAGAATGATCAACAAGCTGATGCCTTGTGGTTTCGGGGCGCTTGGTCTTAGTCAACCAACCTCCTGATCGGGATGTTGAAGAAGCGCTGATGTGGGCGGCGGCCTGTTGGTGGATGCGCCGTGATGCTACGGGTAGAACAACAGGACGGAGAAGATGTAGCTAGAGTTGTGCACACACACACTCTCTCTCTCTTTCTCTCTCTCTCTCTGTCTCTCTCTCACACACACACACACACACGCACACACCCGGCGAAGTGGCCACAGTCTACGCAGTCAGGCCGAAATGAGTTTTGAACGGGGAAAAAAGAGTTGATGGTTGGGTGGATGGATATTGAGCGTAGGGGACAAGAGAGGTCGGAGGAGGTACGTTAAGAAAAGCAGCAGCGCATGTGTCTGTCTGCTGGGGGAAAGTAAAGGGGATGGATGGATATCGAGGGCAACCAACAAAGTTTGAGTCCTTGTCGAACAATAATACACTAGGAGCCTCTCTTTCTCTCTCTTTCTCCCACGACACATATTCCCTGGGCCACAGGACGGTGATAGATCGGGCGGGTGACCTGAGGACGTGCAGCTGGGGGCTCGTGATGCGGTGCGCTGCCCTGTCCGGTGGAGCTCTTTCCCCAAGGTGTGCGAGTGTGCACCTTGCACCTGCTTGCTGCGGTACGTGAAAACAAGTACGTACACTATCGGCTTATTTTCAAGCCGCTCTGGAACAGCCAATGCAGGTGCATCGCGACTGATGGCCCCGCTCGTATCCCCGTGGTCACTGGTCAGGGGTCTTTCTGATGGTGGGACGGGGATGCAGCTGGAGAGGGATACCTTGCCTGTACTAGTCCAGTCTCGGTCGCGCAGGAAGGGGAAGGGGGTAGACAAGCGAAAATGTGGGGAGCAGACTCACAAGATGGCGAATGGGGGACTGGGCCGAGTAAGGGTATTGGCTGTAGTCGCACTCAAATGCCATCATGGCGCGATAAGGCTCATGTATCGCGATAAGACTAGCAACAAGCACACACGGAAGGCAGGAGGGACTTGCTTGCCTTCACCGCCCCCTCCCACCATCACCACCACCATTACATTACCGCCAAACCCTTCCTCGCGTTGCCACAAACGCTCTTCCCCTTCTTTGCTGCACTCCTGCCTATCTACCGTTGATTACAGCACCGGCGACACGCCGGATGGCAGAAAAAAGGGTATGCCGTGTCGGTATTTGCATCTTGTCTCCTTCCGTACCCACTCGCCGAGCTCGCCTAACTTCCGCGTTTGGGAAGGCGGCAGACGTCGAAACAGTTTACAGGCCCTTGCCGTCCTTCCACCAGTAGGTATGCAGAGGCAGTCCTAGGCAGATAGAGGCAGAAAAGGCAAACAGAGAGCACGGGCGCGACCTGGACAACACTCGGGTGCTGTATGTAATAGATAGTACTATGTACTTTTTCCACATGCACATGCCTGCCTACCAAGGTAGCTACCGAGGGAGGTACCTGCTGTACCTATCTATTTACCTACTTGGGTAGGTACATGGATGAGTATCTCAAACCTGGGCCTGAGGCACTATACATGGTTGAACGCTGGCAGTCACCGACTGCCATGATTCCTCGACTCGGCCAACCCGCTTGCTTTCCTGCCGCGGGACACAAACAGTTTGCCAGTGTCTCATCTCAACGTACCTACTGCGTCGTTGCTATGGCGTGCCTCCTCCTCCTCCTCTCGGCCCCCCTGCGTCGAGAAGCCTATATTCATCAACGTCAAACCCCCCATATGTTACGAACTCCAAAAAGGTACGTACACGATGCCGTCTGGCTCGCAGCGCGCTACCAGGTACGTACCCATACGGCTTGGCTACCTACCTAGGTACCTTCGGAACACCTGTCGCCTGGTCGCTCGTCCCTTGTGGCCATTTCATCGTTTACTTGTAATTAGGCACGTCGTAGCTGTGGCAGAAATCTCCATTGGAACCCCCTCCCAGCTTTTTCTCTCTCCCTTGTGGCCTCTATTAGCGTTCAACCGTGTCTCTGCAAAAATCAGTCCAGTGCAAACAGGCGTCTCCTTACCTCTTAGACCTGCACATGGCACCACTCTCCCCTGTAACAGCTTGCCCCCAATGGAACCTTATCCACTCACTTTACAGCAACCCTAACGCAGCTAGCTATCTATGCCTGCAGCCCACCTTTCCAGTATTCCACCCGCCCTTCCAGATGCACGCCAGAGAACCCGGCCGGACGCATGAAGCTGCTGTCTTCTGGGTTGTTGCCGAATCGCAGAGTCTACGTTGTTTCGACACGTTAGTTCAGCACAGTTCTCGGCCAGGACAGGATACTGATTGCAGAGTATCTCTCATACCTCGAATGCGCGGTCCAGCCTGCACGTCAAAACGCTATCATCGCTCACGGCAGCGTCACTCGTAAACTACTTGGCACTCACCGATGTGGATTTACAGGGACGGGCGGATGCATGTTAAGGCTTGTACACCCGCCGCCTAGCCGTCTTTGCCTCCTACTAACAACTCAGCAAACACATGCCATGCCTACTTATCTCATGTGAAAACGAACAGACGACGGCTTGGCTAGCCAGCTGTCAACCGCCGTTCTTGCGAACCATGGCACAGATTTCACCAACCTAGATCCCTCGTCTCAAGCGTCCCAGCCGCTTGACCGCCCAAGTCCAAGTTCACGACCCCGAGTCCCCTCAACCCAGCGAGCCATGGCGCAATCTTATGTCCCACACACTTCCCACCGATGCTGAAATGTCCCAGGTACATGACCCTGATGTTTAGGCCGCCAAAGTCAAAAAGTCTTTGGCCACTCCCCCGTACGGCTCTGCCTCTGCACAGCGCTGTCGTCGACTTGCCGGTTGTCGCCTTGAAACTTAGGCTTCTGGTCCAAACAGCGGCCCTGCCTGATCTGTATCTGATCTCATCTTGACTAACAGAAAACGTAAGCCCCATACTTTGGAACGAACTTTGCCTACCCAAGAACACATCGCCTGCAGCCCAGCACTTTCACGTCTCCCGGGATGAGTGCTGTCCCTGGTTCTCCTTGTCTTGCCTCAATTGCACAATAAGCCTTATTGTCCAGGCTGCTCGTCGTTCTGCCTGGCGTCAGCTCCCCCGGCCAGCCAACCGGATCACCAGACGATGTCTCCGTAGCGGCGCTGTCTCGAGAGTCAAGAATTTGTCCACTTTGTGTTTCTTCATTGTTAGCGCTGACCGTGGCTGCCCCAGTTCTCCCCCTGCCTGATGGGTGAGATACGGTAAGGCATACAAACAACGTCGACACGCCGTCCAAACCAACCACACAGCGACGGCCAGCACACTCTCGGCTACTGTGCTATCGTGATCGGGGGTTTCGGGTATCGTTGGAACTTGCACCAGAACCGCGACTGCAACTGCAACTGCAGTGCGTCCCTCAAACAACTCAGGGAGCCAACAAGGATCTCGCTCTCCACCCCTCACCCCGTCTCCGCCAATACTGCACTACCTTGCAGCAAAGTACCGTGCCGCATCGGTGACAGCCAGGGATGTTCAAGTGGCCCCAGGCCAACGACACCTTTTTGTCGTCTTCGAGCACGGCCCGCTCTCTTATCGCCCTCTCATCCTTATGCACCAGAGGCCATCGTTATTCTCCCCTCCCCCCAAAAAGAAAAAGACAGAGAAAAGAAGAAGGAAAAAGCCCTGTTTCGGGTCACATCATCTCGTGAAACTTATTGACATCACCGACTCTGGTCTCGAATCGCTCACACCCCACATGAAGATTTCGCATGAGGTGGGAGGCGAAGCTCAAAAGGCAAAGGCAGAGAGGTGCTCGCTGTGCCTGGCGACTAACATAGATGGCGCAACCCCCTTCACCAGAACCCTCCAAGACATCTTGTCTTACCAGCTAGCCAGCCACACGCATGCAAGTGCCCGTCTGGTGCCCCAAAGCGGCAATCCGAACTGGGTCCCGCGTCTTCGGAGCCGTCATCCATTCTCCGCCGATCAGCTTCTTCTTCTTCTTCTTCGTCAGAGAGAGAGAGAGAGAGAGAGAGAGTCTCGGCTTCCACCCTCGACTACACAATCCATTGTACTGTCTACCGATGCGGATTGGTTACAAGTGCCTGATCTTCTATAGGTTCACCATGCTCCTGCCGGGGGGGCTCCAAGCCTGGAGCAAACACCCCGAAGGGATAGTCAGCAAATAGTTATCTGCATCCCGGCTAATCTTCACGCTTTGGTTCTCCCTTGCATGCAACACTAAGGCCCCATTTCCCCTCCAGACTTGCTTCGACAAGCTCTTAGCTCCAGCCGCCAGCATCTTGGGGAGTGGATGCCCGCAGCACCCGAGGTCTTAGCGCGTTGAAATGCAGCCTCGCCGCCAGCGATCGACGGTCCCTCAATTGTCGCTCGGCCAATCATCCACGCCAATCAGTTGATGCTACCGATTTCGAATTCAGATCAGGGAGCGATGGGGGTGCTGGTACACGCAGGCAGGACGCTGGCTCCAGACTCTGGCGATGAGGCAAGCCCGGGGAAGCACGGGTTGTAGCCCTCGACCTGTGTGGCCCAGGATTGCTATTTTCTCGTGTCCTTTTCCCACGGGGTCTGGACATCTAGACCGAGTAGCTAGCGGTTTCATGGACGACGGTTTTGTGTTGCCACTGAAAAGTGCTCGTCATTGAAGTCCATTTGGGCAGCACGCTTTCTTTTTCCTACATCGCTGGATGCGTGGCAGAGTTCACTGACTGCACTTGTCGTCTCGTCACCGAGCAGCTTGCCTCGAAACCCCCCCCTAGCGCGCCCTGCATCTTCGACATGCCATGCCATGTCTAATCGAGGCTTTGGGTGATGCCTAGCCTCTGATGCTGCCCACGTCATGCCCGGGCCCTCTGCATGCCGTAGTACCGCACAGGCGGCCCCGGACGAAGGTTTTTCGGGAAGTCATACCATGGCACAACCTCCGCATTCCGCGCACCGGTGTTCCCTGTAAGATGCTCGTTGCCGGACTTGCACGCCTCCTTGGACATGCTCGTTGGTCCAATGAAGTGCTTGATGTGCGCCTGACACCGATGAGGCTGGAACTCAGCATGCAGCTAGCTGACTAGGGAAAGCCTCATTTGCGTGGCGGTTGGGCGACACATGGTAGGCAGACTCACTAGGCCGTCATTTGTAGTTGTTCTCATGGCGGTATGTTGCACAAATGCGTGTCGCAGTCGACAAGTCGCGGAGAGTATTTGCGACCAACCAAACAAGGTCGCCGTCTTTGATGCAACAACCCCCATCGCCACCTCGGCATTGCACCGGGTGCTGGAGGAGCCGTTGGATATGCTTCTGGGGCCGCGAGCGCCCGGTTGTACTTGTCTGACTTGATATATATCAACACGCTCTCCCGCATGAACTATCGCTCGATTCATTTGTTGAGCGGTTCCGGCAAACTGTATTCTTGAATCTAGCCACACGACTTCACAGTTCCCGCAAGTACTCGACTTACCCTCTGTTATAGTTCCGCTGTGTGATCCTGTTGCAAAGGCACTTCGCTGGTGGCTATCGCGCAAACACATCTCAAAGGTTAAAGGTTTCCACCATCACTCTACTGTCACCCGTGTTTCTCTCAGTCCGTTCTCCCCAGTCCCTCATTCCTGGCCCCCTTTGTCTTCTTCTTAAGCCTCTGCGATCACAGCGAGAAGAAGAGTGCGCACGAGGAATAAGGCATCGTGTACGTTCGAATTGTCTTGTCAGCCGTACGTATATGAATTCCGATCGGTTTTCAAAGCTATTGCAACCCTGTGTCACAAAATCGGGGAACAACAAACGTCAAGTAGCGACACACCCTATGCCTCCCTTACAGCATCTTTCCTGTACATCGAATACGTTCTTTGCATCTACAAGGAGCCTGGGTGAAAAGTCGGGCCTAAACGGGCCCGCGACGATGGCTTCTTCGAAGCCACAGGGAATTGCCCAAAACCAAAGGATATCGCCCACCATTTGTTATACAAGTGAACCATCGGTTGACTAGGAAAAATACACATTTCTCCCTTGAGAACTGGTTGGAAGACGGCGCCGAACAGCCTATAGCAGCCCTTGACTTTGGGTATCGGGAAGTACACAATAATGCAGTTGTTCAATGGCTTCCGTTAACCAGGATAGGCAAGCCTTGCCGAACATGCCTCTCTCTCTCTCTCTCTCTCTCTCTCTCTCTCTCTCTCTCTCTCTCTCTTCATATATCCGAACATGCTGCCCCCCCTCCCCTTCGTCAATCCTGCCTGTGCCTCCAAGCCCGTCCGCGTCTGACTGACCTCGCCGGGCGCAAAACGGCCTCACTGTGAGGACTCCATCATGTCCAGTCTGCGTGATGTGACAAGCCAACAGATGGCACACTGTAGGTCAGCCAGCCATCCATCCTGTCAAGTGTTATGAGCCGAAGTGAAAAAACAACGTCGCCCAACATAAACACAAGGCAAATCCAAGAGCATATAAGCGTCGCCACCACCTCACCTTGTTTCCGCAATCCATATGATTTTGACCCTCGGAGCCTGTACCGGGTTGCACATGAGGAAGAAGCGCACCTTATCAGGATGCATCGTACATGGGGACGTCAGCAGTTAGTGGGAATGCTTCGCTGCAGCTCGACGTGTTCACCCCTTGCCGCTACGTGTGCATGGTTGTCTCTCTGGCTGGCTGGCTACCTGCCGGCACCATATGCAATGCAACACAACTCGCCGGATCCGTATATTCTCAACAGCTGTCAATACATCAGGCACATGCACAAACCCTTACATACACACGGCGGTGCGACGTGACTGGCATTCTGTGTGTCGTGGCAAATCGTTCTCTGATGTTTTCTTTCAGTGCTCTTGCGGTGTATCCGGATTCCACTCTATCGCGATCCGTTGAAGCGCTACATACATATATGCACAACTAATAGGTAGCATGAATGGGAGAATGAGTCCCTACCCTCTGCTTCCCACCCGCCGCATGGACTATGCTCCGAACTACGGGATACTGAATAGATCCCAATGCTGCCTGGAAAAGGTGGGTGAGTGTGACCCAGCCATAATAAGTCCCCCTTGTAACACAAACATCGGCCCTGGCCTTCAAGGGTATAGAAAACAACAAAGTGCCCAGGACGTGTGATGCTCCTAACGCCCAAAGGGTTACCCAGTCGCAACAGCATGCATTTAAACCAATACCACTATTCCTCCGGGTCCAAATTCAGATTTGAAGAAACACCCGAAGAAACACCCGCATCCCCTCCCTTGTGGTATGAGGACACCGGCATCTCCATGATCGCCGCATGTTCTGTGTGTCCACTATAGGGATTGTATCCTGCTGACACCCAAACCGTCACCGCACCGAGCGTTTAGTGATGTGGCGCCTTTTCGACGGTAGGCAGCTCCTTAAGGGCCTCGCCGATGATGTTGAGGGCTTTGCGGAGGTCGGTCTCGGAGATAACTAGAGGGGGTGCGAAGCGAATGATGTTACCGTGCGTGGGCTTGGCCTATTGAAAACAATGCTGTTAGTATTCTCAAGATTCTCTGTCGGAGTATCGTGTAACTTACCAAAACACCCTTCTCCTTCAGTAACAGGCAAAGATCCCAGGCTGTTCTACCTGCAGCAGCGGACTCGTTGATGACAACGGCGTTCAGAAGACCCTTACCACGCACCAGCTCGATGATGGGCGAGTTCAAGGCCCTAATGCCCTCGCGGAAGACGTTGCCCAACTTCTCTGCCTTAGCCGTGAGGTCTTCCTCCTCCATGATCTCCAACGCGCGGATCGACACGGCGCATCCAAGCGGGTTGCCGCCGTAAGTAGACCCGTGCGTGCCGGGCTCAACCACAAGCATAATCTCCTTGCTTGACAGCACACAGCTTACGGGGTACAGGCCACCAGAGATGGCCTTGCCAAGTGTCACCATGTCGGGCTTGATGCCGGCCCACTGGGAGCACAGCATCCGTCCCGTGCGACCGATGCCAGTCTGGATCTCGTCACAGATGAAGAGAACGTTGTGCTTCTTGCAGAGATCTTGCACTCTCTTTAGGTAGTCATCGTCCGGCACCACAACGCCGGCCTCGCCCTGAATGGGCTCGATGATGATGGCAGCAGTGTCCTTGCCGTGCGCCTCGAACACCGCCTCGATATCACCAACATTGTTGTAACGAATGGGCTGACCTGTTGAAGGATTGAGGGCGCCAATGTTGGGAACATAGGGACCGTAGTTGTCTCTCGACTCGGGGTCAACAGACAGGGAAATCGCCGTCATCTGGCGGGGACGTCAGCGTCAGCGATCGAGGAATCAGTAGCCGACAGATGACCTAGGATTACTTACCGTGCGGCCGTGGAAGTTGTCATTCACTGAGAAGACCAGAGCCTTGCCCTGTTCAACACCCTTGACCTTGTACGCCCACTTCCGCGCAATCTTGATGGCCGTCTCGACAGCCTCGGCGCCCGTGTTCATGGGTAGAACCATATCATAGCCGAAGACCTGCTGGATCTTCTCGGCCCACTTGGGAAAGACATCGTTGTAGAAGGCTCTTGAACTGAGGGTCAGTCTGCCAGCCTGCTCGGTCAATGCCTTGACCAGCTCGGGGTGACAATGGCCTTGGTTGACGGCGCTGTAGGCGGAGAGGAAGTCAAGGTACTGCTTGCCCTCGGGATCCCAGACGTGGACACCACTTGCGCGGGCGAAAACAACAGGGAGCGGGTGATAATTGTGGGCGGCGTGCTCATTCTCGGATCTGATTGCGGCATCGGTCGAAGAGGCATGGTATCTCGAGTCGACCCCGCCATCGGACTGAGGGGCATCGCCGTTCGCGTGGGGAGCCATTGTGCCTGGTTGACTGAAAATATGTGGATGTGAGATCAGTTGGAGTGGCAATTGATTTGTCAAAGTGAGTGTGTGTAACTTTGGGACAGGTGGCCGTTGGAGAGAAGTTGTGGAAACTAAGGAATCATCAAGAGAAGAGGACAGGAGCGAGGGGCAAATCGCGGGGTACTAGGTAATTATACCTTGGCGGGCGGCGAGCGTCCCCAACCCTTGACTAAAGGACTCAGGTGCGATACGGAAGCAGAAACCTGGCCAACATGCGGCGGTGGCGGCGGCGGCGGCGGCAAGGGTCTAGCAAAGCCCGGAGGCGAGCAAAAAAGAACAATGTCTGGCTGGCCGCAGGCAAAGAGTAACGAGGAAAATCTGAAGGCGAGCCCGGACCATGGCCTGGAACCAAAGTCGTGGTGTCGGAGTCAGAGAAATGGCACTATGCCTCTAAGTGCAGGTATGTTCCCCTAAGCGCAGGTATAAGCGGCTCAAGTGGGTGAGTGGGAAGGATGACGGCCGAGGGAACCATGTAGGGGAAACCATCCCGGTGCCATATCTAGTCACATGGGTGGTCAAGGAGAGGGGTGTGTGGCCGAAGGAAAGCGGCGCACTCAGGTGGTTTCTCGTTACTGGAGTAAGAATATCGTAATGAACAAGAGAAGGCGCGGTCACCCGGTGTTGCTGTGGGAGGACTAAATCATGCAAAACGTCAGGCATTGTTGGGGAGGATAGTGTGCATGGTAAGAGGCGGGAGGGAGTAGAATGTTGAAAGGGTGATAGGAAACAACATGGCCAGGAGACAAGACATATCCGGCCCAACCAACAATAACCTTTTTGCCCATAGGAGCGGGACTGGAGGAATGGAACGACAAGACGAACAAGACAGCGAACAAGGCAGTGCCGATAGCCGTGCATCTATCTATCTGTGCACGATGACGACGTTGGTAAGGCCAGCATAGAAACGAATTGCATTCGCCTATCTACATGCCTGCCTAGGCCAGCACCTCTTCTCATTTCGGATACCCATATGCTGCAGGTTGACCAGGCTTCACACACACATACACATATAAACACACATTGAAGATATCAATTCAGTGCGTAGGGATCCACAGCATGGAAGATCGAACAGAACGGAAAGAGGCTATCAGGCTATTTGACACAGGCAGGAGCAAGACGAGCGAGGAAGGTCCTGGTCTCACCCAATGATGACGTCCCTATTTGCATTCCCGCCGCTCGGAGCCAATAGGAACCTCTTATTATTGTGGGTATATGACGAGGAGCCAATGGGTGCCATTTCAGGTCCAGCCAAGTGGAAACCGCGACTTTACAAGTACCCTACCATCGTAACAAGGCTCAAGCCTGAATATCAAGGTTGTATGTACTATGTATGTAGGCTAGGTGCTCCCAGCGTCTCCCCCATCAGGCTTTCGGCGACAGTGACTCTCGGTGCTTTAGTGACCAATTGGTCGAAGGCAAAGGCCTGTCGATAAAACTTTAGCGCTCTGCATCCCGTCTCGACATTCCATTAGCGATCAGCAAGGCCGGCATCACAACTTCTTCTGTCATTCATTCTTCCTAAACCTACTGCCTTCTCGGTTCCGGCTGCCAGCACACAAAACGGCCAAGAAAGTAAGAAATAGGAAAAGGGCGAAGGGGGGGAAGACGGAAAAGAGGGGCCTAACAGGAGGCATGCCCAACACCATCAGAATTGATACACACACAAACACAATCACACACACACGCAACACGCAACACGCACACACCAACCACGTCCACGTAACGCCTTCTGACTCGCCAACACCGTTTCCCTCCTACGAGGAAAGGACTAACTATCAGCGCATTCCCGGCTTCCGACCGATGATTACGCAATAGCTTCCCTCCTCCGTGTCCTCCGCCCCCCCTCTTCTGCCACGCTGCCCCCTTTGCCGCTACCGCCGCCGGCCACCAAGGAGAAAGGGTGTCCACGCTTTCTCCACAATGGCTTCCGTCGGCTCTCCGGCCGCCCGCCCCGAACTCCTAATGGCAGTTCGTAACGAGCGCAACAAGCCCGCCGTCTTCCGGTCTCTCCTCGTCATCCGTCTCCTCAACGCCTGGTGGGTCCTCACCTTTTTCCAGCCAGACGAGTACTTTCAGGCCCTTGAGCCCGCCTGGCGCATGGCCTTTGGCGAGGGCAGCGGCGCATGGATTACTTGGGTGAGTTATTGGCGTTGACCCCTCCTCGCGTTTCGCAGCTGGGGGCGTCAATTGGCTCATAGGTTTTTAATGCCTTGTCGTGGGTTGTTGCTGACTTGCATAGGAATGGAGAAACCAGCTCCGCTCCTCCCTGCATCCTGCCCTCTTCGCCGCCGTCTACTACCTGGCAGACCTAATCGCCCGCCCGCTCCCCTTCGCCAGGCCATGGCTTCTACTCGCCGCCCCAAAGGCCGCTCAGGCCGTCTTTGCCGCGGCCGGTGACTGGTACACCTGGCAGCTGGCCGTCGAGATATACGGCGCCGATAGCTCCGTCTCATGGTTTGCTGTAAGTCGAGTCCCGCGTTTTCGAGCCCGGTTGACGGCGCGCGCAAGGGCGGGCGCATAAGAGAAAAATGTCTGCTGAAACACTCTGATAGCTGTTTATGAGCATGTTCAGCCCGTTCCAATGGTACTGCTCGACAAGAACATTTTCCAACTCGCTCGAGACTACCCTCACCATCATGGCCCTCAACTACTGGCCATGGGAGCTCCTCGGCGATGCCAAAACCGAGAAGGAGAACCCCAGGCCTGCGAAATCCATTCTGCACACACCAGGAACCCTAATGAGGTGCGTTTCTCACATTAGAGCAGTCACCTAGGAATTCTCACTCACTCTCACAGCCTCCGTTTCTCCCTCATCCTGGCTGCAGTCGCAGTCCTCCTTCGTCCAACCAACATCCTCATCTGGGCAACAGTAGCAACCGCGACGTTGATCCGGCCCCTCATCACCCGGCACTCCGTCCTCACGGCGCAGGCCGTGCTCATCCTCATCCGTGAGGCCCTCCTCTGCGGCGCCCTGGTGCTCTCCGTCTCCCTCGCCTCGGACCGTCTCTACTTCGGCGAGTGGACCTTCCCGCCCTATAGATTCCTCTACTTCAACCTGTCCCAGGCCCTCGCCGTCTTCTACGGTCGCAACGACTGGCACTACTACCTCTCGCAAGGCCTGCCTCTCCTGTCTATCGCCTATCTCCCCTTCGTTCTCATCGCTCTCTACCGCCCGCCGTCGACACCCTCCAAAATTCGCACACAGACTCTCAAGACTCTATCATGGACGGTCTACGTCGTGATTGCGACGCTTTCCCTAGTCTCACACAAGGAAGTCCGCTTCATCTACCCCCTCCTCCCGGTTCTCCACATTCTAGCCGCCGCGCCCCTGACGGGCTTCTTCACCTCCCCTGCCCCGAGACCGACCTCTAAGTCCCCGCTTCCGAAACCACGACTCCGGCACAAGCGCCTTCTGACCTCCGCCCTGGCCCTCCACGCCCTCCTGTCCTTCTTCCTGACTCTGCTCCACCAACCAGCCCCCCTGATGGTTCTTACCTTCCTCCGCAACTCCTACTCCCGTCTCCATCCCGTCACCTCCGCTTTGTCCGTACCCGCCAATTCCTCGTCGGAAGAATTGTTTGCCTTCTTCCTCACCCCGTGCCACTCGACGCCCTGGCGCTCCCATCTCATCCATCCGACCCTCCGCGCCCGTGCCCTGACCTGCGAGCCGCCCATCCACACGGCCCCCAACACCCCAGAACGCATCGGTTACCGCGACGAAGCGGACCGTTTCTACGACGACCCTCAGCTGTTCCTGTCCACGGAGCTGTGGCCCACAGGTGACACGGAGACGGACAGCCCCGTCGTGGACGAGAACGCGTCCTCCGCACCACCGGCGGCTGCCGAGGACATGCCCCGCTACATTGTCGGCTTCGAGGGCATCGAGCCCTGGCTCCTCGACTTCTTCGACGGGCCCCACGGCCAGCGGTTCGGCGTTCGCCCGAAGCGAGTCTGGCAGGGCTGGAACGGCTTCTTCAACGAGGACCCCCGGCGGCGAGGGAAGCTTGTCGTCTGGGATACGGGGCTGCATGCCACCGTGTCCTAGCTGCGTACCAACAGCACACCTGAAAAGAAACACGGAACCTGGCAATAGAATGGGCTGGAACGCGTGATCCGGGCCAAACGACACCCAAATGGTCCTCCTCCGGAACAGGGTATGTAAATCATGTATTATATACAATGTGTAATCAACCTTCACATGAAGCTGAAGAAACCCAAAGATGCCGTAAGTCATATTTGTCATGTAGAACTAGCACACCCTCCAAGTGGGATACGTGGACCCCACATTTACCCAAGAGTTGACAAGATCACGCATATATGACAGAATAACGATGCGGAATGATGGCCCGTTCGTAGTGGATCAAAACGTAAAAATGTCGTTTCTTTTCCATTCAACACAAATAACCCAAATCCCTTGGCACGTCAGGAGGGTACCAAAGACCTGTACTCAACAACGCCTACTTTACTAGAACCCCTTCATAGCGAGCGAGCCCGTGGGCAATGCATCGCCTTACACCAAGCCAAACGGGAGAATCGAACAACGCCGTACATTATGATTCGCACAAGCACACACATGGCTCCTTTTGTATAGAAAGTATCTCAGCGGGGATCTTGGAACAGAAACAACCTCCTCCTGTTGAGGCCCTCCCCCTCTTCATGTAAATTGTAAACCCTAAAAGCGCTTCATCATCATGTCTAAGCAACGAATCCATGTCGTTTTCCAGAAACAGAAAAGAAATCACAACTCCCTGTCCAAAACGCCGCGGGTATCCAATCTTGGAGACAAGGCCGCCATGTTTACCGCGTTTCTTCGGCCTGCGGCTGTTGTTGCGGGGGTGCTAGTTCGTGTTGAGATGCGGCTGCTAGTTCAGATGCTGCTGGTGGAGATGATGCTGATTGAGGCACTTCCTGTTGGGCTGATGCTGGCTGGGCTGGTGCCGAAGTCGGCGCTTGTTGAGACGGCACCGGTGGCACCGGCGTTGGGTGGTCGTTTGCCGCCTTCTCTTCGGGTTCCCTCCGCAGGTCCAAGCTCTTGCCCCTACCTGACATGATACTGGACCCACCGAGAGAGGACTGCCGGTCTGCGGGAGGCGACTTATTCCTTCTTTGCTCCGCGCTCTCCTTGGCCTCTCGGTATTTGTTCCTTATCCAGCCGATAGGACCCTTTGATTCGTCTTTGCAGTCCTTGTCGCGGGACTCGTGACTGCTCTGTGCCTCGGCAGCCTGGAATCCAGTTTCGGAGCTTTCACCGGTGAAGCTCTTGCGTGGCCTGTATCCGCTGCTTCCGATCGAGGTCACGCTTATATCGGCGTTGTCGTTGGAGCCGAAGGCTTGACGCGGCGATGTAACCGACGGCTGGTGCTCATGGCCCCGTTGCCGCGACAGCCTCCACCGTTTCTTCCTGTCTTTCTCCGGTTCATTCGCGTCCGCCGATGTCGTCATGATAGACTCTTCATTCTGATCGATGTCAGAACCTTCATTAAATGATGAGTGAAGAGATGTCGGAGGTGACTTCTTGCTCTTGAGTGTCTGCTCAGGGTGCAAAGTGTTGCTTGAAGGGGCCTGTGATGCACGTGGGGTGGGCTCTGACGGTGTATCGACTGCATTGGGTTGCTGGCCAACTGCAAGGGATTCGTGCTCGGGGATCGAACCGCCAACCAGGTCCATAGGATTCGGGGCTTCAACGTTAGGGGACACAGCGGCTGAGTGCGTACCAGACAAAGATGCAACCGAGCTTTGCGCGCTTGGGTTTAAACTTCCAGGGATCCGCTTCTTCTTCAACTTGTTTGGCTGTCTCTTCTCTCCCTCGCCCGTGGGAGATCGTTGGAATATGCTCGGGAGGTTTCTCTCCTTGATGGGAGTTGTTGCCTCGCTTGGGTCGAGCAGCCTCTCCAAACTTCGGCCTGCCGTACCGGTAGCGGATGGTGCCAGACTGGATGTGCCGATCGCAGCCGGGGCAGGTGAAATGGTTGAAGCAGCAGAAGAGTGATCGAGTGCTTCGACAAGCTCCTCCGTTGTCGCGGGAATCATGGGCTCTCGAGAGGACGAACCGGTAATAGGAGAGGCATCGGGTCTAAATCTTCCCGTCTGGAGAGCGGGAGACTTCTTGGAAGGTACTGTATTGCTTCTGCCGAGTCCACTATTCGGTGTCGGAGCAAGAGCCGGGCTGTTAGGGGTTGTAGATCCCTCCTGGTGAGAGTGTCGAGAAGAAGTCGATCGGTTTCTCCTAACCATCCCTTCTCTTCTCACACTCTCGGCACCAGCACTTGCATTGGACGCAGAACGGCCCAGCCCTGGCTTCCTGTTGGGGTTAGGAGTCACTGGCCCACTTCCAGCAGGGGGTGTGCCCTTTTCGATCAGCTGCTTGGTCTTCTCATCTGTGGCCGTACCCTGCATGCCAATCAAGAAGTGGTCCTGGTTTTCAATAAGGAAAATGAGAACGCATTGGTTCAGGCGGTACTCCTCTGGGGCCATTGCATGTTGCGGATGCGAGAGCATACCGGGCTGAAAGATGGCTGCAAGGTTCTGGGAGTTCATTCGGTTCTCCTCCGATTTGGCGGCGAAAACGGCCAAAAGGTCCAGGATGTAGAGGAGCAGCTGCCGGTTCAGCGGCGGAAGCTCGGTGATGAGTTTCTGGTACTTGACGATGGCGGCTTGCTCGTCGAAGTTGTCTACGAACTGGGGTCCGTCGGCATCGCCCACCGCCTGTCTGGTGGCACCTCGCAATGGTTCCCGGAATTTCTCGTACAGGTCTAACGGCACAACCGGTTCGGGAAGGTCATTCAGGTATCGACGGAGGACGTTGGCCGCATCGTGAACGGTGTAGTTATCCCACACGAGGCCCTTTCCGTAGCGGTCGGGGGAGTCAAAGACCTGCTTGAGTTCCTTGATGCGCTTCTCGGAGCCGCTAAGACGGAAGATACCCTCTACTGTTGTGGCTGAGATGGAGGATGAGCAGGCGAAAACCTACGCAAGGGTTGTGGCACTTACCCTTCTCCTTCAGAAATACGCCGCACTTGGCAACGACAATCGGTACGTAACCATAAATGTAGCTTTTCCCATTCTCGTCGACGAGAGAGATGGCGACGTTGGCATAGGTGATGCTCTGGCGAAGAGGAACACCGAAAATGCCGTGCGGTCGGTTGTCTGCTGCGACTTGTTTAGCACTTGAGGTAGAAGCGGATGTCACAGCTGCGCGGATCCGCTTGGCGCACTGGCGCACAGGCGTAGCGATGGACAGGGACGGCCTGTTGAGCACACAAGCCAGGCGGATGGTGGTGAACGCTGCCGCATCACTCGAAGCGCAGACTTTGGGTTGGAGAAAGTCGTTGGGCGCGAAGACATGGGTGTCTTGCAGCGAGAGAACTTGGCTCAGAGGCATGGTCGATGTATCCATTGCCTCGTCGACATCTTCACCGAAGAGGGGTTGTTTTGAGGGCCAAGGCTGCGATGCGAAAGTAGAAGGGGCGCTACCATTATGATCCTGATGCTTCGAGGGAAGCTTGAAGCCTTTCCACCACGATTTCAAGTCTCTTTTATTTGGAGTCGAAGGCCCGGCGGGCGCGGTCGAGGTGTTCGTGGGCTGCAAAGCCTGGTTTGGGGGGGGAGCTGCGGACGTCATCGCAATGACGGGGCGCAGGTGGTCGGAGCTTGATTTATCGTGTTGTAGCCAGCGCTCTTGAGGGTGGTCTGGGAAATCGAGGTCGGACGACGAAGTGTCTCAAGCAACGTAGAGCGACGATGATCGGGCGGCGGCGAGAAAAGCGTTGTCGAACTTGGGCCTGGTGTCGCCAGTGATCGTTCTTGGGTCGGTCTGTCGGATGCTTGTTTGCTTGTTCGCTTGGTGGTATTTTGCACTATGTTGGGTTGCTGGGGAGGTATTGGGTATGAGCATGCGCTAGGAAAGGATGCGAAGTGCAGGAGGTGATTGGACGTGGGGTCTCTTTTCTTTCTTTTTTTTCCGGCGGGCAAATGTTCCTTTGTCGAATGAAGTGCCCCGTCGGCTGCCCGCGAACTGTCCAATATTTCCCACCTTCTTCTCCTAAAAATCTATTGCGATAGTGCTGCTGCCAATGTCATGAGTATGCTCTGGTTGAGATAGGTATGGACAAAGGCGGGAGCGAACGCCGGAAAAGAGTGTCAGTGTAGGCTAAATGACGACCTGAGTGGTTTCCGGGCAGCCTTAACCAAAGACAGCGAGTGGCAGGCGACGATGATGCAGAGCTGGAAGAGGGTGAGGTGGCAGTCGGTGAGACACGAGCTGTGCGTTAGTGGGATTTGAACGACAGACAATGATGAAAGCGAGTGACGTTTCCGAACAACGAACGCGACGACGACACAGGTTGTATCTCGTCGTCGAATGCCGTCGGACGAGAAGGACGAAGAAGAAAGATGTTGTTTCTCCCGGGAGGGAGAGAGAGAGATAAAGAGAGAGAGTTCGGGGCGAGGCAAGACAGAATGGGTGGAAGCGAGGTATGTGCACTCTTACGAGGTAAGCAGGTGGGAAGGTAAGTGACCCGAAGTAAGTTGAGGCAAAGGTAAAAACTAGAGGCTGATGCACTGCGTGGATGTAGGAGGGGAGAGATGCAGGCGCTTTGCAGTTGCCAGTGCAAGTTGCAAATAGTCCCGATGTCCAGGCCGCCAGATCCAAATCCAGGTCTAAGTCCAGGTCCAGGCCGGGTGTTAGCGCCATGTGCATGTACGTGGGTAAATCGGGAAAAGGGAAGGGAAGTGTTGTGGAGGCAAGCTAGGTACCTACCCAGAGGTAAGGTGAGGGGCTAAGTAGCCAAGTAAGGCGGAAGAGGTAGGTAATAGACAAGGTGGTGTGCAGAGTAGACGGGTGTGTGTGCGTTGTGTTTGCCGAAGAGGGATGGGCTGTCGTCAGCGGTGATGAATTCAGACGGGATTTCTCTTCGTTCAATTAATAAAAGCTCACTTGGGCCAGAGTTAGCAACGCAGATACCCAAAGATGGTTAGGGTAGGTAGGGTATGGGAGCAAAAGAGGCACTGCAATGCGAGCCAGGAACCATCCAGTTTGAACGATGAGTGAAGCGATGTACTGCTAAGTCGTGGACGTCTACAATGTGAGAGCATAAGATGAGTACCTAGCTAGGTAGCTAGGGAGCTGGGAGAGCAGGGGGGTACAGAATAGCAAGTAATTACGGAACAAAAACATTCGACATGGACGGCGGCAAGACATAAACAGGACGGAGGTAGGCGGCGGCACCACCGCTACCACCGCCACCAACACTCTCACTGGCTCCAGCGATGGCAACAGGCACTGACAATCCAAGACGGGATGGATAGCCCGGGACGAGACAACAGGGTTGTTGCCAGTCAGGTGGTCTGGTAGGGCAGCGACCACGAGGAGTGAGGGAGGATTGTGAGGGGTGTCGCAGGGTGTAATAGGATGCTAAGTACGTGTATGGTGAACTACAATATACGTGTCTCCAGGTATGTAGGTAGGAGGGACGAGACCAAGGGTATCCCCAATGGCATTGCCACACAAATCTATACTACCTACACACTATCTATGTAGCGTAATTCATAGTAGGTACTTCTGGTCGTCGAATACTATTGGCGATAGAAGGCGAGGGCGGGACATCATCGATAGGTAGGCTGGAGGAAAGCGATAAACAGAAGGGGCAGGAGGCGGACGTGGAACGTGGGAGGAAACGGCGTTGAAGTACCGCAGGCAGAAAGTACAGCAGGCCAGTCCCCCCCCCGGGGTGGGGAAAGACTCGTCGAGGCCCAAAGCCTGCAGCAGGCAAAGTGTGCTAGTGCTGCGCAGTTACGTGGGACGTGGGGCGCGTTGGAATGGGTGCAGAGGTGCTAGGACGGATGCCGCTCGGAGTTGCTGGCTGCCCCCGTCTGCATTCACTGGAGTATCCACCATGTTTTAGTATAGGTAAGTAGGTATGTATGTACGTATGTGCTGCGTATAGCTAGCTCTACGACGGATACTGGATGGACCTGGACGTTCCTAAGGACCAAGAAATACAGGATGATGGACACGCTGGAAGGTGGTTGACAACGCGGGCATGAGCAAAAGTACGTCCTTGTTATGTCTGTGTGGTTCATGCCCACTTTCTCCAAGCTCAACCCTGGTACGACTCACAAGTACATGTATCTGTACCCCGGTAGGTAGGTAGGTAGGTAGGTAGGTGCGATGTACACTTGGTCCCTTGAGGACCAGCTTCCGTGGCGCAAGATACTTGGTTGGCATTTTTCGCTTTGTGGGGCAACTTCGAGAGATCAAATGGGATGAGGCCCGGGCCAGCTGCCCTTGACGGGTTCCAACTTCTTGGGGAGGCGAAGGAAGAGAAGGAACCGAGGAAGTCGAGACCGGCGAGGTGCCAGTGAGCCCCGGTCGAGGCTTTAGCAGTATGGTGTGCACTACCAACCTACCTGTATTGTCTACCAGACCTCGAATCAATAAAACCATCCATCCATTGCTCAGTAGGTAATCCAATCCTGTCGAGTTCACTTGCAAATATGCTTACGCCAGAGACGCGGATGTTGCCCCACGTCGGCAAGGCCCCCTCTTCCCCTCTTCAGCCCTCTCGACCGTCAAAAGCCTCTCTCTCTCAAAACACACGCGCACGCACTGTCATGAGTCAAGCCTTTTTTACTGGCAGCTGGCCAGAGCTTGGGGGGCCTTCGACACGGAGCCGAGGTACGGAGTAGAATTACACAGCTTTTTCGAAATTACAAAAACAGAACCTCTATCCATTCGAACTAACAGAACAACAAAATGCAGAGAGAGAGGAGGACAAGGAAAGAGACGAACACGGATGCAAGGAGCAGTGTCCCATTGTCATCAGAAAACCCATCGCGAACCAAGGGCTTGATTCGGCCAAGCCCATATTAGATTATCACATCGGCCAATCATTGATGTCTCGCACCCTTCATTGGGTGAAGAGTTGTGGTGCAAAGATCTTGATATCGGGTTGCTCATCTCCCGCCGAAATCTCATCAAAGGCCCACCCGATGCCATCACGAGGGGAGGCTTATTGTTCCTCAAGCACATCAGGCCAGCAAGCAAAGGCGGCAGGCAATACGTCGTCGGTTGATAAAAAAGGCAAGAGGTACTCGGTACCGTACCTACCTTACCTCATGGCTACAGATAGGTGGGCAGGCACTTAGGTAGGTAGGTACCTGCATTGGCATCCCTTCGTCTCGTCCAATACAACGACAAGCAAGTGACAGACGCACTGCACCTCGGACCACACGTTCTTTCTCGACCATTTCCCCATTTTCCTTCCCCAACGACGGGCTGAAAAAAGAAAGTGCGGTTCGACACGCGCCTGCCGCAACACAATGTGCCCAACCCAAAATGTCGTCCACCTTTCCTTTCGAGGATGCGACGTCTTAACGCATCGTCAGCCGTAATCCCCCATCCGCATTGTCCGACACCACAGGAGTGTCCTATCCCACTTGATACGACGCCGCAACCTGTGAGGGCGGGAGGAGGGAAAGGGTGCTCTGGAGATCCGCACTGCCATGTTGTGTTGTTTTGTTTGTTCCACAACTTCCATTGTTTTCGCCAGCTTGCTTTTTTTTTTTTTTTTTTTTTTACGAGCTCCCACTCTGCGTGTCTTACAGACCCGTCTCTGTCGTTGTCGAATCTCCTACTCCCCTTTCTGCCTTACGGAGCCGGGCATGTGTGCTTGGGGTTCGAGTTTCCCGTATTTCGGGCTATGAACTTGCATTCCAATTCCCTGCGCAACCTGCCTTCGGCCAGTGGGCCTCCTGTTGCCCGTCTTCAATAGCCTTGCGCACACGCAAGGATTAGACACCATGCCTTGATCCACGCTGCAAAATGCTACCGCGACTACATCATTCTTCTCTCAGCCTTTCCGTTCAAGCTGCTCCTGAACAGGAGTCCGTCCGTTTCTTGACCTCGGGGTCGCAGCCCGTTCCTTGGTCCAGAACCGAGCCCTCGTCTCTCAAAGGGCAAAGACGGCTGTCGATCACCTCGCCCGCACCGAACTAAACCTCCCGCTGGATGGAACCGTACCGCTTCGGCCATACACTCACTATCTTGCAGCCAGCCATAAGCTCGACTGGCGACGTCGGGTACCTATCGAAGCAGCGAGCGACTGAGAGTGGACTCCACGTGAAATCCATGGCCCGTAGAGCACCGAGTGCGGCAAGGCACTCTCATAGGGCCGGACGTCACTGTCTTTGCTTTTGTCTGACCTCGCTTTCATGCAATGCAGAACAAAGAACCCAAAAAAGCACTTATCGCTCTGAGTCACTGACGGCTGATTTCATTAGCCCTGTGGGCGCAGAAAAGCAACACGATGCCAAGGCAGCCCACGCTAATTTCGCTCCAGTCCAACCCGTCCGACCCGACGGTCCTCCTCCAAAGAGCCCAGATGCTGGATCTTGCGAACTACCATCAGTCGTCCAGCGACTAGTTATCCATTCGTCTACACTACAACTCTACCATCTTCAGGAACCAACGGGTTATGGTGGTTTCAGCTACCATAGTCACTTACTGGCTCAAGGCTCCTGTGGTCCGCGTTTGTTTGCGGTGTGCACCTAGGTACTTAGGCACATGTAGGTGGCATCCACCACCACTGCACCGCTCCAACAGCTCCCACACCCACAGCTACCCAATGACGTCGTGCACCCTCCGGATTCGACAACGATGCCACGGTCCCCTCCAAGTTTATGTCAACGGTCTTCAATGCTCGAAAGAACTTGTAGGCCTGACGCTCTTCCTAGCTTCTATCACTTCCCGCTTTTCCGCCGCTGGTTCGGCGTCTGCCGCCATCCATTGTGGCTGCTCTGCATGCGCAACAAACCACATACCCATACCTAGTAGGTACCGCCACACCACACTCTACGTACCCCTCTTCGAAGACCCTTTATAGGTAGTGTTGTCAACGAGCTGCTCCAGCCAATGCCGGGTTCATCCCATTTCCAAAATTAGCACCAAATTTTCTTCTATCATGCAGGGACGCAAAGCGCCCGTTCCCCCAAGCCAGAATGCCGTGTTTCCTCTCCTCACTCGGGCTTGTCCAACGACGGGCAAGTGGGCTTCGCGGAGGAAATTTGCCTCCCCGTTGGTGTTACTCTTGTGGCTGTATCCGCGCTCCGCGTGCTGCTCTGACGGGTCAAGCGAGTTTTGGGGGGATGGCGCGGAGCCATGGAACCCCGTCATCTAACAAGTCATTCGCCTGGATTTGCCCAATGGCGAGATACGCATATCATCTGCACCCACCCTAATCGTCGCATTTTTCCGGGATGCTTATGGCTATCTCGTGGCCGAGAGGAGATGGATCTACGCTCATATGGCTCAACTGCAGGACGTGAAACAGGCTAACCGATGAAACGAAGAAGTTAGCCTTGAAAATCGTTGGGTTGCGTGCCTTCAGGGCTGAGGTGCAATGACAGGCTTTGCCACCCGTACGAGCCAATGCTGATGCAATGACAACCTCGCCAGCGACAAACCCACACTTCGACCGGTTGTCAAAAGCCAGAAACGCGGGGTAGAAGCCAACGGAAGGGAGGGCATAGCCACGCTGTTCGTACATCATGCACACATGACTTCTTTTTTCACGACAACCCGCTGGCTCTCTCAACAAGTCACTTGGCCTGACCCTATCGCGCAAGCTTCCGGGTGGGTGTCTATGACGATGCCTCTTTCCCCTTCTGTGTCCGCTATTTCGAGTTGCTTCTTCGGGGGCAGGCATTCACAAGCCGCTCAGTGTCGGCCAGTGGCGAGTGATCGGCGCTGGGTGGGAGGGAAAGGGTCTTGCTTGTCGCTGGAGACAAGGGCGGGTCGCTTTTCGACGTCCATTCATGTGACGACGAAAAGTCACGAAGAGTTCAGACACCGCCGTCGCCGTCCGATAGGTCATTATGGATGGCCAGTAGGGGTATCATTTCGGGTCAATCGACGAAGGACAAAGGCGAGCTGGGGTCATCAGGGTCATTGTGCCTTCACATCTGCAATCGAACAACCTCAGACAGGCTCTCGTTGGAGATTGTCGAGCTTGTGGTTTGGAATACCTTCACATCAATGGCGTACCTGTGGAGAGGGGCATGTCCTTCGGAGGCATTGTTTGCGTGCTTCTCTTCTTTACTAGCAGATTGCCGTCAGCTTCCTAGTCCTTCTTCGCCTTGCCTGTAACCTTTGCTTACAGTACACCGGATACCCATCGTCCAAACCGAAGTAAGGAATCTCTTACATGTTGGCCCGCCTTCGTTTTGATTCAGGTTCAATGTTCGGTCCTTGAAAGTGCTTCGACGACCGTACAGTACTTCCATTTGGGTCTGGGCAGGTGCCCTGCTGTGTGTGGTGATACGAGCATGATGCCGGCTATGAGGTTGTCAAGCAGACCAGATCCAAAAGCCACAATGTATCTGCGTAGCAATAAATCATTCAAATAACTCCTCGGGAGACAACTATAGGTCACCTGTCTGGAAGACCAACGAGGACATTTTTTGGGCAACACAAGCGTCCGTCACTCTTTCAATAGTTGTTTGTTGTCATTCATTAAGTGACGTTTCTCTCGACAGAGCGAGTCTGAAAGTATGGCATCTTTCGACAATTTCAAATATTGAACAGAGGGCGTGCGGCGTTCCGTGCTGTCGCTTCTGTCATTCGGATCGTGTCTCTAAAGTGATAGGAAGCGAACACTGCGAGTTTTCTGGTCGAGTATGGGAGCGTACAAGATCAGGCGAGTCAGAAAGGGCCTTGTCGAGTTTGTCATTGCTATTCCTGCGGTCTGTGGAAGCTCTCCCACGTGCACCCAATGACTGCGTGAGATGCATAAACCGTTGCAAAAGAAGGCCCCAGCGATCGGTATGGGGCAATCTGATGCTTCGGGGTTTCCTGACACTGTTTGCATGGTGGAGCCAAGCAGACATGAGATGGCGCAATTCTCAACTCCTGCCAGATTATTCAGCTTTCTGGGCAGATAACGTGAAACCCAGCCGTTGAAATGCGGGCGGAAGTCCAGTAACACCAATGAGAACGCCCAAGAGCGTGATACCAACACCGCGTAGCGACCACTACCGAGTCAAAGTCCGATCAGTGCTATCAAGGTCTAGTGGGCGGCCTTGAAGACTAATCAGAGTATTTTGAAAACACAAAAAATAAATCAAGTTGTAGTAACGGCTTTCGGGTACCATGTTTCTTCTTTGTCCAAAATGTGACAGCTCTGGTGTTCCCCGAGCAAGGTCTCACCTGCTGTTCATCAAGCTGTATCTACGTTAATCAATCATTGAAGATTTCGATTGCTGGATGTTGAGAACCAGCTCGTCTAAACAGTCAAAGAAGCGGAATTTCCTACCCGCTCACATAGATAATGTAGTTTATATTTGACGGGTAAGTTGAAAGGTGGGGGAAGATAAAGTGTTGAAAGTCTGGTGAAAAGCTGAGAATAGAGATGTAAGAGTCTCTCGTTGGTGCCCCCTCAACATCAGCTGGGATCGGCGATATTAAGTGTGGCCCAAGCGTCGGCACTTGGAGGGGGAAGCTTCAGCCACGGTGGCTTGACTGTGCGACGACGACATCATCGGCTTCAGACACGTCTACCCAACACACTCTAAACGGGAAACAACCTCGGCTGCAACCAAAGACAAGAGAATTAAACACTATCAGTAATAATGGCTCGATTATCGACGGCGTCGCAACATACTCCCGGCTCCTCCGCCGAGAAGGGTGCAGCCGAACTCAACCAACTCCTCCGTCGACTCGATCAGACCATCCTACACGCTGACAAGGGCCGCGAGCGCAGGTTACGGGCTAGCGAATTCGAGCGGGCGAGGCTGAACTCCGTACGATCTTATCATTCGGCCGAATCCCGAAAATAGTGGCTAATTGTTGGCTGTCTTTCAGAACCTCAACTATGCGCGGAGTCTTCTTACCAGAATCGAGCAGGAGGCGATGCACATCAAGCTTCTTTCCCGGAGGCAAGATATGCAAGCCGATCTGAACCGGAAGCGCGAACTTTTGGAGCGTCTTGTGGACAGAATGCAAGATCTGGAACAGGTGCGTACCCGAGCCCCGATGGTGGCTCTCGGGAGGAAGTGACGATGGCTAATGTTTGCGCCCAAGTTACACGAAGAGGACGATGACAACAGCTCTGGCAGCGAGGATATCCTGGCCGACATTATACCCACACCGAGTGAAAGCATGGACTCGCGATCGACAGATATACCGATGGATTACACAGGGGACCAAGACGAAGACGAAGAACCCGAGATACCCGACCTTCCCGCGCCAGTCTCGGCGCTGCCCACGGAACCATCACAGCCTCCTCCACCGGCAACGGCTTCAGAAGCGGAGCAACCGCTGTCACATCAGCCACCAGAAACAACTGCCGAATTAGGAACGACAACCACCCAGAGCCTCCGTTCCCGTGGACCCATCCGCCCCGACTCGCCCACTGCAGCGACGACAGCAACAGCGCGCGCGGCTCTCTTCGCCTCCCGCCGCTCCAACACCAGCAAGTCTGCAGCGTCGGCCCCGGCCTCATCAACAGCAACGGCGGAGGCCATCCTGGACCACCAGCGCGCTGAGCAGGATGCGCTGTCCGAGTCGATCCTGAAGATGGCCAGTGCGCTCAAAGCCAGCTCACAGAAGTTCTCCGACACCCTTGAGCAGGACAAGAACGTGGTGTCGCGCGCGGCTGACGGGATGGACAAGACGGAACAGTCAATGGACGCGGCAAGCCGGAGGATGGGCACGTTGCGGAAGATGACGGAGGGCAAGGGGTGGTGGGGCCGGATGATACTCTACGCATGGGTGTACGGGCTCATGGTTGGGTTGGTTTTAGTTGTGTTTGTGATGCCCAAGTTGAGATTTTAGTTGGAAAGTGAGAGGTCGCCTTGACAGAGGGGGGGGGGGGGGGGGCTCGTGTGCATAATCATTATTCCTCCGGCGTCGGGCAAGGGGTTGGATGCGGTTTTGTATCAGACATGGCATAAGCGGCAACACAGAATGCAGAAGAGTACTGGACCAGGCAGGTCGACTTATGTTTCCGATCATTGATGTACGGCCTCGGGGTCCTGAAACCTCTTCGGTAATGCAAACGTCCCCGCCCGGTACTAACCACACCAGATCATATAAAAGGCAAAAGCTACCGGTACAAATCTCTAGACCAGAGTCAAGCCAGTCAAGCTGGTTCCTACGGACGACCCCGTCGTGGCGGGTGTTGGTTTCGGTGTCTCCGTACGAGCCGGTGGAGGTGAAGTGGGACCAACAGACACCGGAGCAGATGTCGAAATGGCCGCCGCAGTCGCCAGGGTGCCGCTAGGCGTAGCAAACAAGGCTTTAGAGGCCCTCGTTGTCGTCGCCGAGGGCTAATTCGTCCCAAACGATGAAGATCTTCCCAATGCCCTTATATGGACCTGTCTAATAAAGGGCTGCCTCCAGCAGCCTACATGCCATGTGCCTTCTGGAAGGTGCAGATGTCTTGGGTCACCCTCTTTCAAGTTCTCTCGGTGGCCGGCGTCACAACGGACTTTGTCCCGAACTCAGATCCCAGGCAAGCCAGGCCGCTTCTTCGCGTTCACCTGACGCTGCGTATTAGGGTCCCGTATACTGGGGAACCAGCGTCACTGCTTGAGGCGTCGGTGCTCTTGTCCCAACGATCAAGTCGACCTGCTCTCGCTCGACAAAGGGCGTATAAAAGAGAGAAAGAGCAGGGGACGGCACTCCTCTGGGTCGCGGGCTAGTGGTCGGAGGTGGACCCATAGGAAAGGTTCCAAAACAAGACACGATACAGATGAGAGTGGTCTGGAAGGATTGTTATAGATCGCCAATAGCCCATGTGACGTAACGGGTGGCTGGCTTTGCCTTCGATCGGTTTTATGAAGCGAAGCAAACATGCTTGTTTATAGCACAAGCGATGCCCTCGCATACGCCAAAGCTCCAAAGCGTTCAGTGGTGTTTTGTCTACCCTCTTTTTCAGTGTTTGACGCTACAAACCACAGTGATACGGTGGTGTACATACAGGTAGGGCGTTGATGATGGGCATGGTTATGAGTTAAGTCGGGCTTTTCGATGAGAGAGGCCGGTCAGCTGGGACCTGCGTGAAACTATTACTTGAGGCTTGGGAATGCCCTCTCCGTAAAGCAAGATTAGCTGGATCTTGGTAGCCTGAAGTAAACTGAAAATATGTATTTGTGAAGGGAAGTTTCTTTATTCTTGATTAGCTTGCCATCTGCTACCGGCGCATAAAAGCTTCTTCACCAGACGACCTTTTCTAGAAAGGTGTAGCTTTCGACTTTGGTATTAGAATACCCCACAGACGTTGGTGTCGGTTACACGTTTTTTCAGGCACTGCCTGTGGGTGGTTATATCAAGACACCTGCCATAATCCAATGGTATCCAACCAGACCTAAAATTAAGTGACAAGATGGCACGCATTTCCAAAACACGACGATACCTGGGCTGATCAGCCCAACTCAGCAGGTTTAACTGGACTTCCCACTGCATCGTACGCCGGGGCCTGGTGGATCTCGGAGGATGCATTCACGGGAGACAAGGCCTTGTGGCCAAACTCCTTCTCGGCGGCCACTTCCTGGGGAACGCACGGCTGGTCACCGGCGAGCTCATGTGTCGGTAATGTCGACACGCGACCCTCTGTGCTGTAATTCGAACCCGAAGCTTGCCTCCGCCGCACAACCAGCCAAACCGCGACACAAGTAACGGTGCCTAAGATGGCTAGGCCTCCCAACACGCCGCCGATTATTGCACCGGTGTGCGAGTGTGTAGAGCTACTGTCGTTCGTACTCGGTACGGATGTCGGTGGAGCCGTCGAACTGGCTGGTAAGGTCGGGGTCGATGGTGCCAGGGCGTCTTCAAAGAGCGTCGAAGAGACCGGCATAGCTAAGGTGGTCACAGTCGTCGACGTTGTAGAGAAATCTTCCGTCGCCGTTTTGAGAGAGACTATAGGGTCCCAGGCTACGTCGACCTCGCGACATCCCAGAAGTGTTTTGTTACCTAAGGCGCCGTCGTCCCTGATGAAAGTCTGGCACTCCCCGTTCAGGCTTCTAGTCTTGGGACTACACGATACAAATCTCGTTAGTCTCGGCGGCTCTCTGGCTAATTTCAGAAAGACTTTGGATCTCATAATTCAAATATACATACCAGCAAAGAGTCTGATCACCTATTCTGACACTAGGGGCGCATGCCGGATCTGTTCCGTTGAAGCAGATAGTATGAGGTTTCAAGCCGCAGCCAAGATAACTCCCGAAAGGGGCACATGACGCGGAAGCATCGCCGCAAACTCGGGTTCTTGTCACTCCTGCGTAGCAATTACAGCTCATTAGTTTCTGGAGCTTTCGGACACTTTTCCTGTGTGTCGAAACCGACTCACCCTGGACGTCTCTTGGTAATGTAAAGAACCCGCAGGTATCCGCACCGAGAGGGTCGACGTGAAGCAAGCCCAAGCTCCTCTCCGCAATGGCTTCAGGCTTTGGCGTTGTCATCGGTTTCGGCAGCAGTGAAGTTGACTTTAGCACTGAGAGCATCTCGGTCACGGCTGCGGCATTGAGTGTTAAATCAAAAAGCTGATCCCTGGTTCCGCGAGACCTGTTGTCAGGTAAAAGCTGGGCCTTCGACAGGCTGCCCGCAACAGCAAGAAGCACAAACGAAACAGCTTGCATCGTGGTATCAGCCTGGGGAAAGCAAGGCAAGAGAACGTTCTAGCTAGCTTGGCGATACGGAAACGAATGGAAGATGTGACGAGAAAAGGAGACTTGGGGGGGGGCGGGCGGAGGGCGCTGCAAGGTCTTTTTATTGTCACCTTTGACCTTTGTCTTTGTCGCCAGCCTTCGAATCGGTAGCCAAAAACAACAAGCAGCAGTGGTCGAGAGACTCGTTGTTTGTCCGCAATGAACACGCCGCTCGATCCAACTTCCCTATTTCCCCTGGCATTGGGTTGGAGCAAACGTACTCCACAGCAGTTTGTCCTCCGAGTGTAGTCCTCGGCATCCTACAAGGCGCAAACATCATCTCTTTTTCTCTCTTCTTGATTTTGACGGTTAGGATATTGGGTTTGGAGCTTCGTAAAAGAGGAAGAAACTAGTTGCGACCAGCCATGTCTCTCCGTAAAAATGACCCTCCATCAAACCTAGCTCACACCTGGATTCAAGCTGTTGTACGTACGATGATTGGTCAAAGGGCCAGAGATTGGTACCTCGACCCGAGCAGAAGACAGTCCGGTTCTCCCTGGTGATCAGTTAGTAAGTCGAATTGTCTTTGACTATAATGCAAACCACCCGTGTGTGGCAGCTGGCAATATCATGCGTACTTCTAGTTACCACGCTATCGAATTATTCAATACAACGAACGTAAAGATTCCTACACAATACAGTTATAGTATTGATAATTTATACTGATTTGCCTCGTTCGACTTTCTTTGGGTCGGCTTCGCGCTCTGATAATGGTTTCAAGCATAAATCCGAGGGCGCCTACTCTCTAATGATTGGTAGAACGACGAGGCACAACAGATGGCCCGAAGATATACCTCTAGAAAATCACGATCTCGAAAGAGCTAAACCAAAATCTCTATTGTCTGGAAACACCGCAGTTCGGCAGCCCCAACAAACTCGAGGATGGCGGCCGCCGCTTCTATGAAAGCCACCATTGAGGACAAAGTGTGCAAAAACGTCATTAACGCCCCGTTAGACAAAAGGGTTACTTGGTACTATGGTATCCGGTTCAACGCTTGCATTCCATTTCAGCAAAGCCAACGGCCTGCTAAGGCAGGTTGCCGCGAAATACATGGTACCTTGTTGGGACCGCGCCAGCTCCTTATCGTCTGGACGAAACCAGCATCCAATCAAATCTGAAAATAGCAACGACGACTGAAATGACGTTTCTTCTGGCTATCTTGCCGATAGCGTCGAGGAAAGACTCGTCCGGCATGGTCGCCACGACTTTGAGAACCATATCCCCCCGATATCGGGGAAGGAAGCCGCTACATGTTTCGCGAAGCAGCACGAGGTACTTGGAAAGGTTTCTCCGAGGCATGGGGTTCTGGAAAGGGCAATATGTTCACTATAACAGCATTAGCTGGCCGTCTCATCTATTGGTGTGGCATCAGCATAGACATTCTTGTATCAAATAAAGTCTTGTCGGCAAAACCGAACCCCCCCCCCGGAGTAGCACTCAACCGTCTCCAGGTATATCCAAATACCTTCAACCCTGCAGATACAACCGACCCTCCCACGGCCTCAGCACACTCTTTTGCCCCTCTGCCGCAACCCTCTCCTTGACATCACCGTAGTTGCCAACGCGGATCTTCAAACCCTCGCCCGGGATCCGGACCTCCTGCTCCTCGCTTGTAAAGTTGAGCGCCACGACGGCACTCTTTCCGCCGCGCGTCTTCTTGTAGACAAACGTCTGCTCGTTCTCTTCGTCAAATAGCTCAAAGGCGCCGTGCGTCAGCAACTCGCCCTCCTCCTTGCGCAGGCGCAGCATCTCGCGCCAGAAGTTTAGCACGGAGCCGGGCTCCGCCTCCTGCTTGGCAACGTTGATGTCGGCGTACTCGTCGTGGATGCGCATCCATGCGCCGTCCTTGTTGTCGGTGAAGCCGGCGAACGGCGAGGCGTCCCACTGCATGGGGATGCGCGCGTTGTCGCGGCCGACCAGGTTGATGCTGTCCATGACGCGGCTGAGCACCTCGCCCTCGCCGTGTTCCCTCTTGATGTCGTCGTAGTAGTTGAGCGCCTCAATGTCCTTGTAGTCCTCGATGCCCCAGCTCCGCGACACGTTTGTCATGCCGATCTCCTGGCCCTGGTAGACGAAGAGTGTGCCCGTCTGCGAACACATCATCAGGGCGAGCATCTTGGCCGACGTCTCGCGCCACTGGGGGCTGTCGTTGCCGTACCGTGACACGGAGCGGCCCTGATCGTGGTTCTCGCAAAAGGCTGTCGTCCAGCCGTCGGTGCCCTCGATGAACTGCTGCCACTTGGCGACGATGCGCTTTAGTTCGGGGAGCTTCCACTCACGGGTCTGGTACTTGTAGCCGATGCCCTGGCCAAGGTCGACAATGTCGAACTGGAAGACCATGTCGAGCTGGCGGTCGGCAGCGCTGATGTACTTGAGGACGTGCTGCGGGTCCGGGGTGTGGGGCAGCTCGCCGACGGTGACGGTGTCGTAGTGGTTGAGGACCTTTGCGTTCATCTCGCGAAGGAACTCGTGTATCCTCGGACCGTTGCAGTAGATCATGTAGGCGGGCTGCTCGTACGCGTTCTTGTTCATGACAGGGGCGTCCTTGAACTCGACGCCCTTGCTGTACATGTTAACCGTGTCGATGCGGAAACCGTCAACGCCCTTGTCGAGCCAGAAGCGCATAGCGTTATCATAGATGGCCTCACGTGTCTCCTCGTTCTCCCAGTTGAGGTCGGGCTGCTCCTTGGCGAACAGGTGGAGGTAGTACTCGCCGGTGGTCTCGTCCCACTCCCAGGTGCTACCGCTGAAGTGGCTCCTCCAGTTCGTGGGAGGCAGACGGGTGCCATCCTCGGCGTAACGAGGAGGCTTCCATATGTACCAGTTCCGCTTGGGGTTCTCTTTAGAGGATCTCGACTCCTGGAACCACTTGTGCTGGTCTGACGTGTGGTTGACCACCAGGTCTAAGATGAGCTTCATCCCGCGTTTGTGGCACTCCTCAATGAGGACTTCCATATCACGAACGGTGCCATACGGGCGGTGGACATCCTGGTAGTCTGAAATGTCGTATCCCATATCGATTTGCGGACTGGCGTACATGGGCGACACCCACACGATATCCACGCCCAAGTCTTTGAGGTAGTCGACTTTGCTGATGATTCCCGGGACATCGCCCAGGCCGTCGCCATTGGCATCCTTGAAGCTGGCGGGGTAGATCTGGTAGATGACACCGTCTTTCCACCAGGCCCTGCTGGGGTTGTTGAGAGTTATCGAGCCCATCCCGAAGGACACGTAGCCTGACGGTCGCCGTTGTCAATGTGATCGGAAAGGGCGGTGGTAGTGACAAGTCCAGAACAGCAAAAGAGAGAGGAATGGTGGCAAGCTCAGGCTATAATGGCTTGACAATGGCTTGGGTTGGGGTGCAGGGGAAAGCCATATGATGGATGGAAGCTCCATCGGTCTTTATACAAGCCGGCCCCCGTCCCAACGGCCCAGAATACCATGAGCCCAGAGCTCCAGCTTCCTTCTTCCCCGCCCTCCAAAATCAAGTTCGAGAGACAAACGGACAGCAGGCACTTACGGCGGGACACGAAACATCGTGCGTGTGGGCCACGGTGCGGAAGATCATCCACTCGATCGCACGTCGGTGCATCAGACACCGCAAGCGGCCACTGCGGTTGTGAGCCTACAGGCCGACTAGCTGCTGGTGTGGGGGGGGGGATGGAGGAGCATGCGTGTATGATGCAGATGTGCGCGGGCGCGGGGTTGGCCAATAGATAGGGCCTGTTAGGAGTCCAATTCTCGCTGGAAAGCATGGGAAATTACCTACCTTAGGTACACTACCGTGACCAATGACCCCAGGTAAGCATGCCGCACCAGCGGCGTGGATTGATAGCGCATTGGTGCGGGCAAACTCTCGCTAAATTGCAGACCTGGGCGGCGCAACCACTTCTAAAACCGGGCTTGCATCCCACCACTTAACTTACACTACCTACCTAGGGATGGCGAACCTAGGACCGAGAATAAGTGCTTAACATTGCTGCACTGAGCCAGTGCGTAGTGTATTGTCATTGACAATTGGTGCCTTTCCCATGAGCTAGTTGCCAAGCCCACGTTCACTGCCTTTTAACTGTAGTTCCCCCGGGAGAATGGCTCCAGACCAGGGAACAACCACGTTTGCCTATTCGCTCATGACTCCATGAGGTACCCTCCACGGTCACATCGCAGGCAACGCATTGCCCGTCGCCCGTCTGATCTGCAGCTTGCGGAGTTTCTCCGACGGCATACGTCAAGTGCAGCGTGTCCGATGCTTATTCATTACCCTGACGCGCTGGTCTTCCAATCGTTGCGACGAGCATTGTCTCGAACCTCACCGCGGGGAGGGAGGGATGCATTTGCTCGTTCGGGTAACGTTCCGTGAAGAAGAAGAATGCTGCCACGTTTGCCCCACGTTGTGGCCTGTCGCCAAACCAATTCTCAACCTCGAAGGGGCCAACGTCGTCGTCGTCGTAGTCGTCGTAGTCGTCGTTCGCCAGCAATCCGGACCGTGAGTGGGGTTGGTCGCTAGAATACAGGTTCAAGTGCCGGGCAACTTGCGCGGGGTGAATACTTGATGCCGTTGTCTTAGTAAGCTTTCGAACTCTTCAGTGACTCTCAGCCCGGACGGCTCAAGCCATCCTCGGCTTCTGGAAAGGTCCTGCCGAGCCATCTATGTGTCTTGCCTGTGTCTCTGTCCAAACACGACCTGCTTGCGGCAACTTGCTTGATGCAACTATCGCTGGTATGCCTCGAGATCGTGATGCCATTTTGTATAATTCCTATGCCACCATACTAATACTACAGCCACCAAAATAGACGCAGACGCTATTTTATTTCTTTGAAAGATCTCGGCTCCTGGGTTACATCCTGGCGATCCTATCGTCTCGCCTCCCGCTGATCAGGCTCTTCCCTACGACGCCCCGGCCCTTTACTCTTCATCGTCATCGTCAGCGTCCGCCATACTGATGTCTGCTGCAGGTCGCGCCTTGTCGTCCTTGTCGTCCTCGTCTTCCTCCTCGTCACTCTCAATGACCCTGCCCCGCCTGGACCGTGAGCTTTGCTGTCGCCGACTGACACCAGTATCTTCGTCCTCGTCCTCGTCATCGTCTCTTCTGTTGTCGACCTCCATCTTTTCATCATCCCCGCGCTTCTCTTCCGCATCCGAGAGAGGAGAGCTGGCCCTCTCAAGAGCTCTCTCGGCACGGTCAAGAGGGTCCTCGTCCGAGCCCGAGTCGCTATCAACAATAATCTCGGCAGACTTGTACTTGCTGTTGGCCGTTGGCTCCTTCTTTGTAAGACGGCGCTTCTTCTTCGTTGGCCGCTCCTCAGCCGAATCCTCAGCATCCGTGTCAGCCTTCTTCTTGCGTGATCCTCTCTTCGGACGACTCTCGCCATCACCCCTAGGTGCCGGCTTCTTCTTCCGCTTGACCTTGTCACCAGTCTCGCTGTCCGTCGTCATCTCGGCCTCTTGTCTGGCCTTCTCTTCCTCAGCACGACGCTCGGCAATCTCTCTGTCCCTGGCCGCGATTTCTTCTCTTTCCCTGCGGATCTTCTCTTGCCTCTCCCGCTCCTTCTCGAGAGCCTTCTGTCGCTCCTCCTCCCGCTTCCGGAGCTCGATTTGACGCTGCTCCAGGGCAGCTTGCAACTTCTCCTTGTTCTTCTCCTCGTACTCCTTCTGGCTCGCAATGGCTCTCTCAAGCTGTTTGCGTTGGGTGTTGCGAGCCATGTTGGCACGCTGCTCGACGTCGTGCTTGGGGTATGGAGTCTGGGGGTGGTTCGCAATCTCGTCCAGAGCAGATATGGCCGATTCCAGCCCGGTAGCAGCTTCTTGGAGTTGGATCAACGTTCGCTGATTCTCGTTGAGCCCATAGACGGTTGTTGCCATTTGAATCTGGACAAAGGCTACATTGAACTTGTAATGCACCTGCTCCGGCGCAGCTTCGAGGGCCTTGAAGAGGGCGAATCAGTATATGCTGACGGGGATAATACGAGATGAGAGCTTACCTTTTGCGCATACTTGAGCGCTTCGTGGTAGGCATCCAGTAGCTTTTCAGAACGACCCTTGTTGAGCCAAGTGCGACCCAAACAGGCGAGAATGACGGGGTCGTTGGCCTTGCCCTCCTTTGACAAAGCGACCTCGTAGTTTTCGATGGCCTTGGAGTACTGCCTCAGCTCGGCATAAATATGACCCAAGTTGACGTACACATGGGCTTCCTTGATGGTGTCCCGAATCTTGACAAAGATGCTTAGGGCCGTCTTGTAATCTTTCTTGTCCTCGACCAAAGCAATGGCAATGCCCTGAGCCGCGTACGCGTTCTTTGGGTCTAGGGAAAGGGCCTTTTCAAAGAACTCGACCGCCTTACTGTACGTAGCGCTTCTTTTGGCCTTGTCGCTGTCAGATTCGCGCCGCATCTCTCGGGCTTGGATCAAGTACAGATTGCCCATGCCAACCAGAGCATATCGGTCATGCTTGTCGTAGTTCTGCAGTGTGTGTTTATAATGACGGAACTCGTGATCTTCGTTGATATTTTGCGGCCGCTTTCGGGAATGAACCTTGCCCATATACCAGCCATACAGCGCACGAACCTCGAGATCCTGAGGGTTCTCCTGGTAAAGCTTTGAGACAGCGTCGGGCCCCTCCTTGTTAGGATTCTTGCGAAGTTTGATGTATGCAAGTCGCGTCCGGGCATCGGTGTAGTCGTCGTGACGTTTCAACAGACCTTCGTAAACCTCACTGGCCTTGTCGTAAAGACCCTGGGACTCATAGCTGCGGCCCAGGTTGAAGCTGATGGTGGTAACCAGAGCATCTGTGTCGATTTCTTGATCCTTCTCGCCAATTTTCATGCATGCACCCAATGCGGCCTCGAACATTTCGCTGGCCTGTTCATGCTTTTCCGATTGAGAGTAAAAACAGCCGATGTTATTGAGCAGCTGCGGAGGCAGGAACTTGCGAAGAGCCGCACGTTTCTCGGCTCCGTCGGTGATGTCGGCTGGGTGATCGTCCTCGGGAATCTGGTCAAGTTCCAGTTGTTCGACCTGAAGAAGACACTGCTGGGCTCTCTCGGGATACTCGTGCTCATACAAGCGAGCCAGGTTCAGCAGCACCGCGGCGTCGGGAGACATGCCCTTCTTGCTATCCTTCCAGGCACCGCGCACACTCTCGAGAAGTGAGATCGCCTTCTTCATTTCAGCCGACTTGTCCTCCTTACCATCCGCCTCTTCGTTTGCAAAGACCTCCTCGGCGTACAAAGTGCCAAGCAAGATCATGGCTTCGTGATTCTTAGACTGTTGGATTATCTTTTCCAAACGCAGCTTCGCTTCGCCGAGGTCGCCGCGGAGTACTGCCAGCTGAGCAGCACCGAACTTTGCTGGTAGATAACCACGCTCGGCACCGCCACGCGCCTCGTCGGCTCTGCGATAGAAATCGCTGGCGCGGTCTGGGTCGCCTGTATAATGCTCTTTTCTTGCTAGGAGATACCAACCGTCACTGGCAATCGCATTCACGTCGGTATACTGGATTGCCTTGTGGGCGAGGGAGTCCACAGTGCTGAGCTGTTTGCGCGACAGGAAGTAACCTGCAAACGTTGCGCACGTAAGAGGCATGTTCTTGTCGAGTTTGAAAGACTTCTGGGTATATTCGGTCATCGCTTTCTTGTAAAGACGAAGGAAGTCGGGACTGTTCGTAGGGATATGACCGCTGGCGTCGAGGTAATAAAGACCGAGGAGAATGTTTCCGACCTTGTGATCCGGGTTAATCTCGAGGCATCGCTCCCAAGCAAGCTTAGCATCGTCTTTGAAGCCGAGTTGCCAGAAGCAGCAGCCAATGCCTATTCTCGGGTCGGGGTCGACGAAGTCAGGCATCTTCTGGAGGACTTCCTGGTAGCAAGCCAAGGACTCTGGATATTTTCCAAGCGAGAAGAAGGTCCTCGCCTTGCCCATAACGGCCAGCATGTTCTTGCCTTGTGACACTCGAACCGCGTCTTCGAAAGCCTTGAGCGCCGATCGTAGCAGATCCGCCTTTTCGGAGTCCACTTGTCCATGACCCGTCGCCTTGGGGGTCTGCAGGGACGCTCTGAGAAGTTGGAGAACCCCGCGAGCTAGAAACAGAGGGGGAAATGCTGGGTTGATGCGCGACGCATCATTCAGGGTCGAGGTTGCCAGTTGCAGGTAGTATTCCTTCGTCTTGGCCTCGGATGCCAATTCGCCATCAGGAGGCACTCTCGGGGCTTCGCGACTCTTCCACAGGTACATCCAGCAGAGGCATCCGATCATGCTCAGCTTTTCCCTGGGATTGTTGTCGCGCATCGCGTTTCCACCTCGCACCAACATTTCGATGGCATGGTCAATCTTCTTCTGCTTGGCGTAGGCCAATGCGACTGTCATCCAATATGTGCGGGCGGCGCGCTCGTTCTCAAAAAGAGTACAAAGCTCGGTGGGATCGTCGAAAAGCTCGAGGAGGTCGATTTCGACAGCTTCGTCTTCGGCTTCGCCCTGAACCGGAACGTCGATCGCGGCTGGGATGTCAGAGAACCGCTTGCTGACGGGAGCGCTCGCCGCGCCATTGGTGCCGTTCATCGCGCCGTTGCGGAGGGCTGACATTTTGGAGAATGGAGAGGCTATGACATGCCTCGGATGGACTTGGTATGAGGGTGATGGAGAAGTGAAGCAATCTAGAAATTTGGAGGAGCTAGGATGAGGCTGAGGAAAGAGAATCAATCGGTCGCGTCTGCTGGCCTTGCGCCAGTGGGTCCCAGAAGGACGCTAGTGGGGCCCTTATGCAGCTGCTCACCAAGGAGGTCTCGATGAAGTAGTATTTGATTGGACAGTCACTCGCCAAGTACTCGGGACAGGCGATCAGCAGCGACCAGCTGCCACCGAGAAGTTCCTTGTACTTTATTATCACTTACACGCCCACCTCGTCTCTTAGCTATTCCCAGAGCTCCTTCCACAATCAGAACCATTGACAAAATGACAATAGCTGGCAAAGGACATAATTACTTCCAATTCGTTGTAGTATTATGTCTCGATTGTTTATATTCTAGTTGTCACTTCTACGTAGGTATATACCTAAAAAGTAGCATACAGATACTTGACTGAAATATCCATACCGTTTAAGAGAAAAGTGGCCATGGGAACTAATGATAGAGCACATGCAAAATCAAACGAGATTTTCCCAAAAAGATTCCATGATTTCTTATAAGAGGGAGATTTTATTCTTATATAAGGAAGGAGAAAATGGCACAGGTAATTGGCAAGTGAAGGTATACATACCTTCACCTCACCAGCTAACTCGGCCACTTCTGATCTTTATTCCATCACCACCACCACTACCAACACCTCCATCACCCGACCGCCCGACCACCTCACTCAAATTGATGGGATTTGTAGTCGAAACAAGCAAAGCATACGCAAATTGACGTATCTATTTTTGCTAAATACACCAAGACCCTACATCATAGGCTCATTTCTTTCACCACCGGGAGACTTTTGTGCCACCGCGAGTCACCATGCCGGCTATCCCAAGAGTCCCGACCAGCCACCGCAGCTCCTTGGATCATCAAAAGGGAATTTTCAAGCATAAAATTCACCTTGATGCTCGGCAGGCGGAAGAACCAAGCGGTCCCTTGCCCCCAGTATCACCAATATCCGAATCTCCATGTTCTGGATGGGGGTGTCTCACCGAGGCGCAGCAAGCTGGAATCATTGTCACAATTGTCGTGGTTTTTGTTGTGCTATTAATTGCACTGTTGTTCTTCTTGCGCTCCAAAAATAGAAAGGAAGACTGGGTTGATGGAGATCTTGTCCTCGTTCGTCAGAGCCGCCGCCCCAGAACTCCAAGTCAAACGAGCGCTACCAACTTTCAGCGATCACAGTTCTTCTTCAGACATGAAGGCCTCACGGCATCACAACAGCCACCTCCGCTCATGGTCACACATCCGCAGATTCTTCATTTCCCCCCACCACCTCCTCCGCCGGTCCCGGTACTCATGCCAATGCCCTCGCCTCTTCCGGTACCATTCCCCTACACTCAACCGATATATCCGATGTTTTACCAACCCCATTGCCGTAACCCGACACAAACCCGCGGTTTCCTTCGGAATAAGATACAATTTACGACACCGGTGACTACCAGGAACGCTTCGACCGAACGGACAACACAGCCTCCTAAGGCTCGGCATCCCCACCAAGCCCGGCAGGCTCCCCATCGGTCATGGACAGCGGGCCGAGGCCACCAGAATACACAGCAACCACCGCGAAGATTGAACTCACTCGCGCAAAGACTGTTTGATATCTTCAACTTCCCTGTTGGCAGGGCGTCAACAATCGCCAGCTCCGACACTGGCTCAACTCGTACACCGTCCATCAGAAACAGCCATCATTCGCGTGCCTCTGCAACCACAATCAGCACACCGCCAACTTACGAGACACAGAAGAGAGGAGATATCTCCTCTGCATTACCACATACAAGAGGTGATTATTCGCCTCCCACGGCAGCAACCGTTAGTGCTGCTGATATGTCCGTTCCCACCGATCAGCGACACGTGAATCCTCTGCATCACAGAGCAGAACCAGGTCCGTCAACTCGGAGGAGTTCGACAGACGATACGACCCACAGCGAGGGACAGGAAACGAATTGTCTTAGAAGATCAACCCTTGAGCGACATAACATCAACCGACATGTCGCCGAGGAAGGAGATACTATACCAGTCTCGACCTTTCAACACTCAACGAAAACTGGGATCCGCCCCATACCTCGTGATATGAAGCCCCTACGGAGGTATGAACCTTGATCCTAATAGCGACGATAAGGTGCTAATACACGCAGTGCTCTCAAGGATGGAACGAACGCCATCGAGGCAACCCGAAGGAACGGCATAAATACTCAAACTATGCCTCCACAAACGATAGCTAAGACCAACACTATGAATGTTGAAAGATCTCTTTCAAGAACAACAAACACGATTGACACATCTGCTGAAACCAATCTTCTGGTCAAGACAAAACCTAGGTATGCAAATGCCACTGCTTTATATTTCAGACACTGTGTTGACTTTTATATAGCACTCAAGCAGTTTTCGTGAATGACCCACCAGCGACCTCTTCGATGAATGTAGACGATAGTTCACACATAAGCCCAGAGTAGGAAAATGCTTGCCCATGATTGTAGCACATATGCTGACGTGATGAACAGGTCAAGTCATCCGACCAATGGATCCAAAACAAGAGGCCACAAGGATGGGAAATTGAATACCGCCAAGCAAACCCACCAAATCTTCTTGAATGCTGCAATCCGACCTGTTGAGCTAATTAGGAAACCCCATATGGCCGAGCCAAACAGGCCAGTTGGGGCATCGGAGATGATGGGGGATCACACCACAAAGGCCGCCCATCATCAGCGAGAGACCTTGAGAAGAGCCCAAGAGTCTCAGTGAGTCAGATTCGATATTAAATGTCCCAGTGCAGCTTCTTGCTAACGTGACTTTAGGTTTCACTTACCTGATAAGATAGACACAGTTGAAGATCTGAGTGACTATTCACCGCCGCCGTCTCCTCCAAGACCTATTCATCAAGGTGGCGGCCAGTATGCGCCTGGACAACTCCGAAACAGGCCTGGAAGAAGGATACGTTAGTCTGGAGGGTTGAATAGGTTGTGTTTGCCCTCTTAGCAGAAAGAGCGCCACGAAGTGTGAACACTGGATATGCTTGGCGGGCTTCAACAAGGAGCATGTGTATCCCTCAACTTTTGGTCTTTAAGGCACTTGTGAGTTTTGACAGCCAGTCAGCCAGGAGAAGATTCTTTCTGAGGTTGAAATAGTTCACAGATGGGTGTGCATCGACTTTCAAGTATCCGCCATGGGTTTCTGGGCTGTTCAAGACGACATGATAGGTAATGGTTGTAGGGTGGAGAATGTACATAGTAGATATCCGTATTGTTGCAAGGTTCTGTCAAAGAGTACCCAGAACAAACTCTCTTTCATATAGAAAGAAGTGTGGAGTGAGATTCATAAATCACAAAGCCGATTTTATGTTGAGTTGTGCATAGTCTTGGATTCACACAGATGCGCAGTAATACGTGCTAAAGCAGGGGTAAGTCAGGCATTTGTGTCACCATGGCCCGTGCGCATGGCAAAGAGTTCTTACACTACTGCGTAGGTATCTAGAGTGCCTACTTAGGTAGGGTACGTATCTTGGCTGGGTGCGTAAGGCAATCAGAGCAAGCAACGCTGTGGGGAGGCGGCTTCGTCATTGCCTGCTCTCCTGCCGGAATGGCACTTGCTACACCCTAGAGCTTACCTTAGTCCAACCTCGTAGCCCCGATCACTTGTCCCCACGCCGCCGCCCGACAGCCCCAAGCCTGCCTGTCCGCACCTCTCTCTCTTTGACCTGATCATTGTCTCCTCAACCTTAAACCCTTTCACCTCAGGATTGATCCTTTTCTTCAATCGGACCCTGCAACTATTAACTGCTTGATTGTTGCATGCCGGCAGACAAGCCTCAACCGCCCCTCCCCCGCCCCTCCCGGCTCAGCTGCGCATTCCCCCGTCGCGCATCTCGACTGAGACCGCAAACTGTCTTGCACGATTAAGTATCGGCCTGTAGTTTCGTTTGACATCCCATTCGACATACAAGACCGGGGCCATGTGGAACGACGAGGACAATAACCCTTACGCAGAGGGCTTTGACCGGAGGGATAGCTTGACTTCCTCCTCAGCCAACCCGGCCTCTCCTACCACCCGTGAGTGTATGTTGCGATCTTCTCCCATAACACTCTCAGCAACTTGAAAGGGCCAAAAAATGATGGAAACAATAGATCTGGATGATTCTTCAAACAGTACTGATGCCGACTGGGAGACTCTAGACCAGCGATTCGACATCCCGCAGACCCCGTCAACCACAAGCGACGAGGCTCCCCAGAATCGCTCCCACGCCCATGAAGACAGCGATATCGAGAGCAGCGACAATGAGCCGATTGCTAGAGACAGAGGCAACATGGTTCCGCGCCCCAAGCCTGGTGGTTACGAGAGCCGAATCGAACAGATTCTTTGGGAAAACCCATCATTGACTATCCTCATCACGGATGCGGGAAAGAGCGCGGAGAGCGGGGGGAAATACATCGTCTACACCATCCGGACAGGCGTACGTATTTCCGAGAAGTGTTCCGCGCGGTTGGACAGTTGACTGACAAACCCCGCAGAATCTCGAAGTCCGCCGACGGTACTCTGAGTTTGCTTCCCTGCGCGAGGCGCTGACCCGACTTCACCCTACCCTGATTATACCACCCATTCCAGAGAAGCACACCATGGCCGATTACGCCGCGAACCCGACGAACGCGAAGCAAGACCAGCAGATTATCGACCTGCGCAAGCGCATGCTCGCTGTCTTCTTGAACCGATGCCGACGGATGGATGAGGTCCGAACCGACGGTGTTTGGTGGAGATTCCTTGATCCTAACGCCAGCTGGGTGAGTAGCCAAGTCCTATCTGTTTTCTAGCTGCTAAAAAACCGCAGAGCGAGGTACTGCACTCCCATCCAGTGTCTTCGATACCCAAATCAGTTCTGAAGGCGCCTCCCCTGGATACCGCGAACCCTACGCTGGCCCACAGTTTTCTCCCCGTACCAGCGACCTCGGCTAAGCTTAAGACAACGGGTGGTCCTGGTGTCGACCCCGGAGCGATCTCTGGTACAGGATCCCACGTCTTTGGCCGTTTCCCCCCTGACAGCCACGCTCTCAGTGAGCAGGAGCTTGACCCATACTTCATTGCATACGAGGCTTCGATCAAGGAGCTGGAGCAGCTGCTATCGGGATCCATGGAGAAGGTCAACCGCCGAACTTTGAGTCACTTATCCGCTCTGGCTGCAGATCTCTGTGAGCTGGGTTCCAAGTTCAATGCGTTTGCGCTCTCAGAACAAGCACCCTCTCTAGGGCCAGCCCTCGAGAGAGTCGGCCAGGCTGCGGACTCCTCGTACATCGCGACAGAGGAGCTCTCTGGCTCGCTCGGTGCCAGCTTCGCGGAGCCAATGCGCGAGAATGCACAGTTCGCAGGCGTGGTTCGCAGCGTCTTGAAATACAGGGTGTTGAAGCGGGTGCAGCAGGAGCAGACAAGTGACGAGCTCAGCAAGAAGATCACCTTACTCGACCAGTTGGAGCGGAGCGAGGCTGAGGCCAAGCGTATCGAACAGTACCTGAGCAGCAGTCAGCAGATCGCGCCGGCACCAAAGCGATCAACCAGCCTTCGGGAGGCAAACACCTCACACCACCAGCGTGATGGCAGCACCGAGGACACAGCATCTATCGACTCAGACTTCCCTCCTACCCACGGCGAGCCTGTACCCACTGCAACCCAGGGAGTTCCGCAGCGAAGTAACTCGACACCGGGCCATAAGAAGGCCGCGAGCAGTAACTCGATCACGAACAAGATCTTTGGACCGATTCGTCATGCTATACAAGGCGTAGCTGACGTTGACCCAGAGAGGACCCGCCGTGACATGATTGGGAAGACTCGGGAGAGCATTGAGCAGTTGGAGCAGGCAAAGGTTGTTTCGGAGCATGACGTCAAGGAGGCCAGTGCTAGCATCCTGAATGACCTGAAGAGATTCCAGGGAGAGAATGAAGAAGATCTACGCCGTTACATGGTAAGCTTCCAATAAGCATGAGCTCACGAGTACATGAGGACTAATTATGGCCACAGCTGGCGTATGCCAAGAGCCAAATCGAGTGGGCAAGGAAGAACAAGGAGACTTGGGAGGATGCTAAAGCCGAGGTTACTAAGATTGACGAGAGTTAGTGGGTTGATGGGCTTGACAGAACGGAGGGGCATTCTCCGCAACGATATCAGAACGGTTCTGGCTCAGAGCCCTTGAATTGTTCGCCATAATATTACGAGGCGTTGAGTCTACTGGGTTTGGTTGATGGTTTGCTCGTCGATTGACGTAGGATAGCAAAGCTCTACTGGCGTTTACGAGGAAATTTCCATTCGTAAAAGCCATGGAATGGTCGAAGACAATTAAATCATTTTGTATGCTGGATTTCTTTGCCTGTGTAATGGTCCGTCCTTGGTCTCGGTTTCCTTATTGCATGTTCTAGAAGAGGACCGCCTTCCAGCTAGTATATTCAAACCCAAAACAAGATTCCATCAACTCCCTTCTAACAATTCAATATCCGTTCGATTGCATTCCTCGTTTAAGGCTTTGCCTGGCCAAAAGCATCTGAATCCAGCATCAAGAACCCCGCGGTGTTGCAAGGGCTTATCTCGTTATCGATAACAAACCGATAAAGCTCCGAGACTCCGTCACAGGGCTCAGACCAACAGAACCAAGCTGGCTCTAGTCTCGGTTTCATTCTCTTTCACCCTCTTCCTCTATCCTCGTTGCGCAACATCAGTGAACGTCCGAGCCGCAACAATGGAAGGCGTACAGGGTCCGCCACCCGAGGGCCCGATTGCCTCGATTGCGGAACCGGGCATCAAGGCCGACGGCCAGCTGCTCTTCGATCTGCGCCGCGAGGTCGCTGCGTTGTTGCATCGCAACCAAACCAGTTTCCCTGGCGCGCAACCGGTCAGCTTCGCGCGCAAACACCTCGAGGAGCTGCGGCATAAAGAGTGAGTTCATCGCGCGTGACAACTTTCTGACCCAGCCGCTGCTCCCTCACAGTCCGGTTCGGGCGTCATAGCGCAGCCAGACCTGGGGCAATGCTCGTTGACCAGCGCCGCTAACAATGTGCTGCGCGGAACAGTTACTACGTATGCGAAAAGTCAGATGGCATCCGATACCTCCTGTACCTCACCGAGGACGATGGCCGGGAGATTCACTACCTCATCGACCGCAAGAACGACTACTGGTTCATCAAGAGCAACAGCTTCCACTTCCCGCGCAAGGAGGACCTGACAAAGTTTCACACGCGCACGCTCATCGACGGCGAGCTGGTCATGGACGACACGGGAAAGGGCCAGAAGGAGCCGCGCTTCCTCGTCTTTGACTGCCTCGTGCTCGACGGCCAAGACCTCATGTCCCGCACGCTCGACAAGCGGCTCGCCTACTTCAACGAGAACATCTACAAGCCCTATCGGGACTTGTTCAAGCAGTATCCGGAGGAGCGCGACTTCCAGCCGTTTCTGGTGGAGATGAAGGCCATGCAGTTGAGCTACGGCATCGAGATGATGTTCCGCGAGATCCTGCCCAAGCTGCGGCACGGCAACGACGGGCTGATTTTTACGTGCGTCAGCAGCGACTACAAGCACGGCACCGACCCGCATATCCTCAAGTGGAAACCGCCCGAAGAGAACACGGTCGACTGCCGGCTGCGGCTGAGCTTCCCGACGGTGCAGCCGGGCGAGGGCGACGACGGCGTAGACGGCCCGTATATCGACTATGAGGCCGTGCCTCAGTCGCAGCTATGGAGCTTCTTGGGCGACGGGCGGTACCAGTACTTTGCCGATGTGCACATCACCGAGGATGAGTGGGAGATCCTCAAGGGGCTGGGCGACCCTCTCAACGACCGCATAGTCGAGTGCCACAAGGACGACCAGGGCCGGTGGCGCATCATTCGTTTCCGCGACGACAAATCCGAGGCGAATCACATCTCGACCATTAAGAGCGTCATGGAGAGTATCGAGGACCGCGTCACGGAGAAGGACCTCGCCGAGGCCGCCAAGGGCATCAAGGACAACTGGAAGACGCGCAACGCGAAGCGGTGACCCGGCTCGGACCCGCCACGCCGAGCCAGAGGTTAGGATCTGGTCTAAAGGGGGGGGGGGGGAGGCGAACGTTTTGGCTCGCAAGAAGTTTGCGCATCGGAGGCGGCGGCGGGGTGCTTGTCTGTGTACATGCGAACGGGGGAGGGAGAGGAGCAGGCGTCTTGGATTTTTCGTGCGCAAAGTCGAGCAGAAGGGGGACGGAGGGAGACAAGCCCAAAATTCGGGAGAAGGCGCACGTAGTCTGTTTTGCATTCCTCGACCCTCTGCCCGCGACTCTACTTTTGGTCGCACTTTTGATTTCGTTTGCGCTCATGGCTTTTCTCATCAATTTTCTGGCGTTACAGCTCTGGGATAGAGAGCATTAATCGGTATCATAAGGATCCGGGTGTTCTCATGTTTACCCCCACGATAGTCTTTTGCATAGTGTAATTACAAAAGGGGGGGGCACAGAACCATCATTGGGATGCGTATTGACGCGCGTTTTCCTTTGGAGGCGCGTCCATCCCGAGTGCGTGTCAAGTTGTTGTCCTTGGAATAGCGACTGAAGGACTCTCTTCATTAAAATAAAATAAAAAGTTTCACAATCACAAGCCAAATCTCATAAACTGAACCAAGGGCGACATGTCTCACGTCAACGACGTCTTCCTTTTTTCTTTTCTTTTCTTTTCTTTTTGCGGGCAGGGCCTCTCTTTCCTCGCTCAATGGGCGAGTTTTGAATTACATGTGAGTCTCCCAGTATGACGAGAAGGGGAAAGGGAGGGGGGTCTCTGTCTACCCCAACAAACTCTCAGCCCAAGCACTAGCACATAAAACTGCGAAAGTACCTACAGCACTCGAACACGACCAAGCTTTCTAGCTCTGGGACCGACACGAAGGTAATTGAATTAAAGGAGAAGAACAATAAAAACCGCCTGAGCACAGCTGCGACCTCGAAGACGTCATCGGCAATCCCCAATCTTGCCTGTCGTACCTCGCCTAGCATACATGCACCTCGAGCACACACGGGCAACAGCAAACCATCTTATCTACCTCGGGCGGCGAAGGGAGGGACGTGGAATTGGATAATGTCCTTGAAGAACAACCCCCCTCCCCCGACATCCTTTTTACTTCAGTTGACATTGCCCTTGTTCTGTTTTCCTTGTCTTCTTCTTTAGAGCACCGTCTACCCTAGTTTGCTCCAGAGCTCGAGATAGACGCAATTGGCACGTGTTAACACGATCCGATACTATCGCCACTCGCATTTTGCGCTCCGGGCGAGCTTAGCCAGAGTGTGACTGCCACGCACGATGATTCTTGGACCGGTGTCGTTGCTCGACTGCCTGGTCTTTGCCATCTTGGTCGTGCCGCAGCTCCTCCTCCATGTTGGCTTCTTCCGGACACTGGCTGTTGCTATCAAGACATTGCCGTTTCTGATACTTGAGCTGCCAACCTCGCTGCTTCACGAGCGCTTGATCCTCCCATATAACCAACGCTCGCCATTTGTGCAGCGGGCAACCTTCTTCGAAGACGTCGTCATACGATGCGTGCGCTATGCTTTTGCGAACCTGCCCCCACTTGTCGGCCGCGTCTTCCTCTCCAAGAACGTCTCGCGGCCATTTCTGAGGTTTCGCATGCTGCGGCACGGTTACCTTCGCTCACCCTCCCACTGGAGCGAGTACAAGCAAGACGTAAGTTGAGCCTTCACCTTGGTCTATCGTGATCGCTGGCTTAGTCTTTCGACAGGGTGAACATGGGTTCCAAGGAATCTGGGTCACTAAGGATAAAACGAAATCTCCCGACATCGTCATCTACTACGCTCACGGAGGCGGATTTTCTATGGGGTCCGCATACTTTTATCTCGAGTTTCTCCTGTCGTGGCACTCGCTGTTGGTCCAGTCAGGCTACCAGAACCCTGCCATATTCGCCCTCGAATACACACTTGTGCCTGACAAGACTTACCCGACGCAGATGTACGAGACGTTAAGGGGGTACAAACACGTCTTGGACAGGGCTGGAGATCCTCGGAAGGTGGTGGTAGCCGGTGACTCGGCTGGAGGAACATTGATTTTGACGCTTCTGTTGGAACTCGGCCACATGAATGAAGCCAGGGCTTTCAAGGAAAGAAGCGACGACTCCGCTGCATCTGACAGCGAGAGCCAGGGGCAATTACGCAAGGCTTCTGAGTCACCGCTACCTGGGCTCTGCGTGTTGATCTCGCCATGGTCCAAGTTGATCTCCAACAAGCATGAGAATTCGGCCAGCGATTTTCTGGATCGCGACATGTTGTGGAGGTACGCGTTACAGTATGCCGGTACCTCGCATGCCTACGACAAGTCGGCGTCGCCTGGGCAATGTGTCGATCATCGGGTATGGGCGGAAGCTAGCCCGCCTTGCGGGTTCTTCGTCGTGTATGGATCCGAGGAAGTGTTTGCCCCTGACATTAGAGATCTCATCAAGGTGCTGGTGAAAAACACCCAAGTGGACAGCCGCTGCGAGGAGGGCGGCATTCACGCCTGGCCCGTGGTTGATTTGTTCTTGTCGGGCAACGAGAATAAGAGGCTGGAGGGTCTGCGGACACTCACGTCAGCAATCAGAGAACGCATTGAATAGCCGTTTGCCAAGACGCAGTCCATCTGCCTCCAACAGTCAGATTAGATCAAGTTTCAAACTGTCATGGACCGAGGCGCGCCAATCTCGAAACCAGAGCCGGAACGACTCGGCTTCTGTGATCGTGGCCTCTTTGTTGGTCTCCAGCCATTTCTCCATCGTTGTCATCATCCGTGGGAACCAATAGAAGGGAGCGCAAACAATAGAAAATGTGTGTTTTGATTACCTGCATGACTGAGCTGTGTTCCTGCATACCGGGCCGTCGGCCGACTGGAAATTACACTGGCAGCGGCGGGATTCCCGGTCGAGGAAGCGCAACAAACATTTGGCAAAGACGCGTTGAAGGATGTGGATGAGTTCTTTGCAGCCGCGCTTGGAAAGCCGCGCCGAAGTAAGCTTGAGCCCAACCTCTAGCTGCGGCGGAGACACTGGTGGAGGGTCGTCGCAAAGTGAAAAGGCTCGGTCGGGCGTGATAATGGAGCTAGAGTGGGTCTTGGGTCTTGTATGGGTGGGTTAGCTGGATGGCTTGGGGAGCGCGAACGACTTTGCGACAGAAATTATCCTTTTCAGACGACGGGGTTCCTTGGTGTCGGCGCGCGGCGAAAGGCTTGCCTGGGCTTGATGTGCAGGGAGTGTGCCGGCTCCAGGCAGCATCGGAGACAGAATTCAGCGGGGTTTGACAAAGCTGGACGAGTCCCATGAACACAAAGCAGACGAGACTCGGCGCGAGAGACGTCGAGGATCGACAGCAAAGAGGAAACGGTCGAGTTTACGTCCTGGTGATGGAGAGAAGGCGCGAGGTCAGGGGGCTGCAAGAATGGTCAGTCGGCTTACCGCGCCGTATTCTAGATGGGCTGGCCGGCCAGTCAGCCAGTCTCCTCTCTATTGGGCCTGCCTGATTACTTGGCGCCGCAAGATGCAGCTACCAATGCTGGGTTGCGACATGCAGCAACACGCTGGGATGGCAAAGGACACGGCCCATGTCGCGCGACTTGCGAATGATAATAGTGTTGGTGATGCGGCGGCGCCTGTCTCTCGGTTTCTTTCCCTTTTGGCGTATACTGGTTTCGATGTTAGAACACCCCCCATCCGCAGTTGGCGGAGAGAGAAAGGCACGGCGAGGAGGCGTGTGCCTTATGGGATGAAGGGAAAGGATATGGGAGAGGGAAATGAACAATCAGAATTGGTGATCAGAGGCACGGTTACTGTACACGAACTACCTCAGTCAACAGACGAGCGGGATTCAGCCCACTCAGAAAAGATACCTCTAGGTACTTAGATACGTTACCTACCCACCTAAATATAACAGATTGCTTGGGGAAATACGGATACCTAGGCTTATTGTGAAGGTACCTAAAGTGCCTACCTACCTACTACCCACCTAGGTAGGTAGGTAGGGTTTAAGAAGAGTACCTATGTCTTCGCTTCTGCCTCGCGCCAGAAGCTACACTAGCGGCAGTGCTGATGCAGAAGGCGGGAAAGCGTGGGCACACCTCGAGCGCTGGACCAATCAGTGTGGCAGCATGACCCCTGCCTGATTGTGTTTTTGGGGAAGGCAGAAGGTGTCAAAGGGGGGAAGCTCTGACCCGCGACGCGCATATAAACGGTGGACATTCCCACCGTGATCGATTCATTACCTTGCGGAAGGAACCCGCCCATCGCGAACAGAAGGCACTGATCCACCTGCCACCGACCGTATCATCGTCGTTTGTCACCCGCCTTCCGTCAGCTTACGGCCTGCGCACACAGCTGCAACAAGCACCACTGGCCGTCGCATTTACACTGCTGGGCTGTGCTGTGCTCTCCGCCGCCCAGTCTGCCTGGTCGCTCTGCCCGTTAGCCGCTCCGCATCCTACTTCTTTCCCTACGGCCCTTGTCTTTTGTGAGGCTGGACTGGCCTAGACAACAGTCATCTTCTGACCCCACCCCCTTCATTCTCCAAAATCTATTCCAACATCACTTCACTTCTTTTTTCCCCTACGAGTACGGATTGAACGACTCCCGAGAATACCGCAGCCCGCATCCACCGCATACCTTACCTAATTACACTACACTACTTACACCTGCACAACGCAACGTACAATACATCCGCCACTATCGGGGCCGAACCCCCAACCTACCTGTCTTTCCATCCTGGCTCGCCATCCACATCGAAGCCTTATCGACTGCCATTCGCCCAATCTCGACGCCAGACTCAGCAGGACGAGAGGTCCAAACTCGCAACCAACCTATGTCGACTGGCTGTGTTTGGCACCCTTCGCAGGATACCGAGCGACGTCTCACGGCGACGCTGTGCACATCAGCCATCAGTCACTCACACCCTCTTGGCATCTCCCATTGATCCACGTCTGGAGAGTTGCCTGACTCCTTCAGCCTTACCACACTGTCCCCTTTGTGGTCATCCTAGACTGAAGTACCAAGATTCGCGTCGGTCGAGTTTTGGTTGAGGCTGCCTAGCTGCCTCATTGCCTCCATCCCTCGTGGCTTTGTAGCTGTGGGTTTTCTCTAGCAGCTGTCCCGGCCTTCTGGAGACATCTTAGACCCGTTGATGTTTTTTGGACGTGTCTGGGTCTGTTCTGGGTCTGTTCTGTCCTGACGTGAAGTTCTCCTGTAGTTTAAGCCCAGCCCCGTCACCTTGGCTGAGGCTATTCTACACGCGAGTCACCCAGGCATCTCCAAAGACAGCCTCATTCTGTCTTGTCTTGTGTTTTGAGTTTCACCAATTCGAGTACGGCAGTGGTTTGCTGCTTCGAGACACTGTCATCAACACCGCAGCTTGCATCGGCCCCACGTCCGACGACCTGACATCGCTAACAGCTAGACTGCTCGCGACAGCCGGAGCTTGAACCACACTTACACGTCACACACCCGGAGAAGTAGACACGACTGAGAGGGCCGGTTCCCCTGACAAGGCTGGAGTCACGCAAACATTGCATCATTGTTTGGGTTGAGACGCAAGTCATTGAGGCAAGACAGGCACACAAGAGAACGGCTCGGAGAGAAAGAGAGAGCGTGTGTCAGGAGGGGGATGCGGACTGGTTTTTGTTCTCAAACCGGTCCCTGCTCTTCGCTTAATCATCCTGTCCCCACGTCCACCGCCAACCTACCTATACCATACCACCTTGCCTTAGGTACCTTGGGACCTTGGCCAATTTTGCACCAGCCAAGGGCCCCTGTCACTTACTCGCCCTCCACTTCCAGAAAATCAGAGAAGAAAAAAAAAAAGCGGCTGCCAGTTTTTCCAGCAGACCCAGCAAGCAAGCAAGCACCGGGAGAGGGAAGAGAGGCAAAGAGGGGCAAAAACCATAAAGATGGCTGAGGACACTACTACTACCTACGCACCAAAGTCGCCGGACCTCTCTTCTTTTTTTTCGGCAGCACCCGCCCCGCCCACGCCTCCACTACACAATCTGCAGCACAACCAGCAATACCTGAACGAGCTGCAAACCGCCGCACCGCCGGTATATGAATACTCCTCCCCCTCGCCACGCGCCTACCATCCTCACCAGTCGTCTTCAACTCCTGTACACATCAAACAGGAGCAGCCCCACTACCCGCCTTCAGCGGCAATCAAGTCCGAATCGGTCTTGTCTTCCTATCAGCCACCACTGCAGACCCCCCAGCGTCAGCAGCAACCGCACCAATACCAGCCCCAACCACAGTACCCATCTCCTCGGTACCACCAGTCGCCGCCACAACAGCACCAGCAGCACCCATCTCCGCAACATCCACAAAGTGCATATGGGATCCAGCCCGCCGTCAAGCATCAAGAACATCAGCAACAACCACACCAGCCCTCAACACCACAAAGCCAAGGGTTCCTAGAGCAGAAAATATCTGGCGCAACCCCTCAGCTTTACGATACACCGTACTATCCGGACTCCCAACATCTTCCACAAACACCGGGTTCAGCAACAATGCCTCCCAGAAAGAACACACAGTCAGCCCCTTCGCCGCCGCCAATCGATCCCTCGCCAGTCCGCACAAAGTTTCCCACCGCGAGGATAAAGCGCATCATGCAGGCCGACGAGGAGGTCGGCAAGGTCGCGCAGCAGACCCCTATTGCCGTTGGCAAGGCCTTGGAGATGTTTATGATTGCTGTCGTCAGCCGGAGCGCAGAAATCGCCCGGGAGAAGAACTCGAAGCGAGTCACGGCTCAGATGCTCAAGCAAGTCATCGAGACAGACGGCCAGTATGACTTCTTGGCCGACATTGCCGCTAAGGTCGGCGATGAAGAGAAGCGGGGCGGCCGCTCCAAGGCCGAGTCGGAGAGTGAGGAAGAAATGGAAGTCGAGACGAAGAAGAAGGGCAAGGGCGGTCGTAAGAAGAAGGCCGCGTGAGTTGACGTCTCCCTCTCGACGTGGGGAACACTTCCGTGATGAGAAACACGACTAGGGTTATGAGAATTGGCGTTGGACTGGCTAGCATCTACATCGGCGTTGGGTGACATGACGGTGGGGAAAACTTGTCTAAATGTCACTTGGGAGGGGCATATGGGTATATGGTGTGGCACCGAGGAATCAAGCGCTGCTTCCTCGGCCCGCATGCTGTGATGGCTCATCTTACATCCGTACCGATTTTAGAATGAAATCACTTTTTCTTTTCTGCGCATCACCATCGCATCGCGGACTGTCTTCGTTATGCATAGATAGTGTGACTGTGCTGAAATGCAGCACATGATCATCTTCACTTACACGAAACTCACCTTCACTGAAGCGTTTGTCATACATACCACACACTGCGTAATCATCATCTTCATCATACCATCAACCATAATGGCATGCGCGCAGCATCGATATCATCTGCTCATACCCACTTCATCAGAGGCAAATGCTTCACTCTCCCCCTCATGAAGCTCATTTCTACCACTGAGGCTGTCCCCATCTCTCACTGAGGATGGAAGCCGCCATAGGTATACAATTAATGCCACAAATGCACATGAGAAGACGATGCCCCGCAGACATGAGCTCGGCCGCCGCCCCCATTGGTACTAGCGCCGCTTCGTCTTCTCGGCCCCGGTATTCTGTGGCTGGCGGCCCCTCGCTCCTCTTACACTAAAAGGTTCCAAGCGCTCCGTGGCTACTCCTTACTCACCAAGCACCAGGTCCTTGCTTTGCTCGCTGAGGTAATCCCCGTCCCTAGGTAATTTGAGGCCAGAAATTTTAGGCACTTGTACTGGGAAACGGCGGGTCGTGTATGGGGCCTTCTTCCCACCATCCAAGTCACGCTCTTAGATTAGTGGACAAATCGACCTTCAATTCGCGGCGGAGAGAGGTAGTTAGTTACCTATCTCAATCGAGCAACCGGCCACCGTGTGTCTCTCGGCGTCTTTCTCCAGCCCTGCGTGCTGCCCTCGACAACCTATTCCAAAGTTTCTCGAGCTTCCCGCCATGCGAAACCGTCCCTCGAACTGCGACTCACGTTCATGTCCATGATCAAATGAGGCACCGAGCCTCGCTGCTACTTGCATCCTTCTTCCCCCTCCGTGGCGTAACCAATGTCGTGGGACCTGCTCAAGCGATTCCTTGAGTCCGACGTCTTCAACTCGAACCCCTTTCTCTCGGTCTCCTACCTCTCGTGAGTGAGCTTCCTACTGCGCTCTCCCAACACAGCATATGCTACCGTCTCAATTGACGCTGCCGCGGCTTGGGAACGCCTCGCTGACCCCCGACTTTTCATTCATCTAGTCGATACGCCGACCATGTGGGCATTCACTATGTCCTCTGCAACAAGCTGCGCCAGTTCCCCTACGAGGATATCGAGTTCTTTCTCCCGCAGCTGTGCCACCTTATAATCAGCGTCGACAATGAATCCATGGCCTTGGAGGAGTTCCTTCTGGACTTGTGTGAAGAGTCGGTGACTGCCGCGCTTCTGGTTTGTGCCGCCTCCCCGTTGATGCGCACTCGCCTTCATTGCTCACTAGCTCCTAGACTTTCTGGCTATTTCAAACTTACCTCCATGACCTATCCTCCAATCCGCAGTCCAAGTCCTTTCAGACATGTCGGAGGGTATACAACAAAGTGCAACATATTGTCTTCGGGCTGCCAGACGTTGCGAGACACAACAAGATCAAGGAGAACATTCTGCCTGTCACGGTTCTCGCTAGTTTCGTCCTAGCCAGCGTCGCGGTTCCTATTGTTCCGCAATGGGCTGGCCCACTCGCTGTGGCTCAGGCCCGAAAGCCTCAGCCGTCCGACGATCTGATATCCGATTCCCGAGACAGCAACCCCAAGACAACCCAGGTGACGCGGGCCCACACCGTGACGGCCGGTAGCTCGAGGTCTAAGCGTGCAAAGGATGCCGGACGACTCTCCAGCGCGCCAGATCTGGTGCTGCCTAGTTCCGCGTCGGGCAATTCGCACCATCGATCAACGGACCCGTCTCTAACGCGGCCAGGTTCATCCGGCTCCAAGACTCCAGTCGAGGCAAAGCGTCTGCCACCTCATCTCAACATGAAGAGCGACGATGCCCGTCTCAGCTCCTCCTCTCTGCCCCTTCCAGAGCTACGATCTCCTAGATTGGCCATCACGAGACCGGCGACTCCTGTGTCAGCAGGACTCCCTCCAAGGCCTGGTGACGTCCTCAATAGGAGACATTCTCATCACTTCAAGAGCGGCGCTACCGCCGCAGAGTTGACGCCCCTGCAGAAGACGAGACTATTGCGACAACACTACTTCAGATGCGAAACGCAATTTCTAACCGCTCTCGAGGGTATCTCAAACAGACTCGTGATCGTGCCAAAACCTGCTCGTCTCAGTGCTCTTCGCGCAGAGCTCGCCCTCATTGCGCAAGATCTACCGGCCGAAGTGGATGTTCCTGTCATTTGTCCTCCAACTCTGGTCGATGGTTCCCCAGCGAAGAGCAGACATCATAGAATTGTGCGCTTGAACCCAACAGAGTCAACAGTGTTAAATAGCGCAGAGAAGGTGCCCTATCTTCTCATGGTTGAAGTTTTGAGAGATGACTTTACTTTCGATCCGGATACGCCAGATAACCGGAGGCTCCTAAGTACTCTCCTTTCCGATCCAGGCCATACTCGACGCATATTCGATCTTTCGGACTCGCCACGCATAACGACAGTGCCCAAGACACCGGAGACAACCATTGACAGCGTCTTTGAGCCAGTATCTGGCGATCTGGGAAGCTCTCTCTTGATCCAGCCGTTCGACGAGGATCCTTTACAGAAGCATCAGGCGAAACAAGCCCCACCACTCCAGCCTCAGCGCCTACCTAGCAGTACCACTACCACAATGTCGAGTGTTGTCTTGGACATGCCAACTCCACGGAGCTCTGGCGCTTCTACTTCGAGATCGAGCAGCCCGCCAGGCCCGCCCCGCAAGCTGACGATTACGACGCGTGCCAACGCCCCGGTAGATCAGCCAGACTTCTCGGCACTGGCTACGCACATGCGAACCGCTTCGCAGATGCTGGCACAACTTGAAGCTACGAGCGGCAAGCGACCGAAACATGAAGTCCAGGCTATCAGAGCGAAGATTATCGCAAGCATGCAGAGTCTGGAAGAGCAGAGTTTCGATATGGATGAGCAGGGTCCAACTTTTGACACCATCATTGCAAAGGCCTCTACTGCGCAGGCAAACGCCGTGGTCAATACCGAACATCCTGAAGTCGATAGCGAGCCCACCGTTGAACCGGGACTCAATGCTGGTGCCGGACTCGCGAGAATGGAGAACGATATCAAGACCGGCGGTATTCAGAGTAAGGGCGATCGTGACGATCCTAGTGCGGCTGTTTTTGGTGAAGCATGGCAAGCAAAGAAGGAACGTATTCGCAAGACATCGCCTTATGGTTGGATGAAGAACTGGGACTTGGTCAGTGTCATCGTCAAGACGGGAGCCGACTTGCGTCAGGAGGCATTTGCCTGCCAGCTTATCGACGTCTGCCACAAGATCTGGGTTGATGCAAAAGTCAACGTGTGGGTCAAGCTCATGCGCATTCTCGTCACGGGAGAATCATCTGGTCTGATTGAGACGATCACCAACGGCGTGTCGTTGCACTCCATCAAGCGAAGTCTGACTCTTTCGATGGAGACAGGCCCGAACCAAAGACGTCGGTTTGCTACGCTCAGGGACCACTTCCTGAAAGCATTTGGACCTCCAGACAGCGAGCCTTTCAAGGCAGGAGTAGACGCCTTCAAGCGCTCTCTGGCTGCATACAGTATGATATCATACATCTTGCAGCTAAAGGATAGACACAACGGCAACGTCTTGATCGACAGCGAGGGACATATTGTGCACATCGACTTTGGTTTCATGCTGTCCAACTCGCCGGGATCAGTTGGGTTTGAAGCGGCGCCTTTCAAACTTACACAAGAATACATTGAGGTGTTGGGCGGCATTGGTTCCGACGATTATGAAGACTATAAGAAGCTCTGCAAGCAGGCCTTCCAGGGTAAGTCTGGTGATTCTGTGACTTCGCTTTTCATGATTCTGACTTGTGTTAGCACTCCGACGCTCTGCGGATAATATCATCGACTTGGTAGCCATGATGGGGCGAGACTCGAAGATGCCTTGCTATTCAGCTGGAGTGGCCCAAGCAACGTATAACCTTCGTCAACGGTTCCAGCTGCAGCTGAGTGCGGACGAAGCCGAGCAGTTTGTGGAGACAGACTTGATCGGCAAGTCTTTGGGCAGTTACTACACACGACTGTAAGTAACGTCACATCTTTGCATGCTTTGCCATACTGATATATTTCTAGCTACGATACCTTCCAGTATAGAACGCAGGGCATTTACTAGATGGTTGTGAGGATGGAGACGTGATCATCAGTTCTGAAAGCAACGGGATATGACATGCATCTAGGCATCTGGGCGGCGTTGCGGTTGAATAGACGACTGACTGGCTAGTAATGACGAAGCCAAGGAATGATCTCTCGATTATTTATGACTTGGCAGGGAGAGCAGCTTTTAGAGGCGTAGATACCGGCCTCTTGCAGAGAGCGGCTTACATAGGATACCGAATTAAGATGGATGACTTGATAACACGGGGGCTTCTGTAACGTCATAGTCTCGGTAGGATTTGGCAGCAATTAAGCCGGGCCGCAGAGCAGGACGCGGCTCAAAAACGCCATTGAAGCTTCTGTTGCCGTCTACCTGGATACAAGTGATGAAGTCTCTGTCGAGCGTGGCACCAACCCGGCGCTTTCTATTTGCTCGCATCAGTATCGACGACGACGACGACGACGACGTCAAACTTCCGGCTGGAGGATAAACGAAACCTTGTCTGTACGGTCTTTAGCAAAAATGCTCAGTCTAGGGTCTCGAAAGGGGGGTTCTGTCTCTAGACCATGCTGTATTCTGTATAGCCTACATCCACATATGTCAGCCGGTTGTTCACAGGCGATATACACGTAATAAGAATTGCTGCTCTTCATGTATCTAGTTCAGAGGCCGGGCACTCTAAGATGGATCAGTAACAGGTAACAAGCCAGCACGGAGGAGCGCTATTCACTCCGGAGACACGAAAGATGGCAGAAGACGGGTGCATAGGGAACGGGGACCGTGGTTGTCCTTCTTTTTCTTCTTTTTCTCTCATATGGCAAAGCTATGTGCCCGAGGATCCGCTTCTTCGACCTCGAGGAACTCACACCCTCTGTCACTTCTAAGGAGGTGCTTCCAGAGCCCAAAGCAGTTCTGGGAGTTACCACACAGCAGCTCGGCACCGTCCTGCCATCGGACATGCCTTTTGTTTATGTTTACCGCCAGACTGTAAGACAAGTCGTTCGAGGGGCTGGGTGTAGTACCCAATTTAGTGCGTGGGACTATGCCCAAACATCGGCAGTAGAATGAATGCATATATCTTGCAATCGCTGCTGCTTTGGTCAGAGCTATCTAAGCCGCTTTCACGTGGCGGTCTTGGAGGCCGTTCTTGATGTGCACCACGCTCTGGAAGAGGATGACTGCAGCCTGTTAGCGTTCGCACATCTCACAGAAGTCACCAAAGAGGGTGCGATGCGACGGGGGCGGGTAACACACCGGCGGGGACCACAACCCAAGGTGCGTTGAAACCGACGTAGTAGAGCCAGAAGTACAAGAACTCGGGCCTGCTGTGCGAGATGCCGTTGAAGTAGAGCTCGGCCAGGCTGGTCGAGTAGTAGAGCACGACGCTGTTCAGGTGCGCAACGCACATGATAATTTGCAAGGGGTGGCGAGTGTGGCTGCGCCTGGCGATGGCGACGACAATGGCCCAGCAGAGGGGACCCAGTACGACCTGGAGACCGTCTCAGCCTTCAGATCGTCCGCGATGGGAAGAGAGAGGGGGTGCGGCGAGGGCGGTTCAGCAGCAACTCACAACGGTGAAGGACTCGACGCAGAGCATGAACGGGTCAGAGGTTAGGTACCGCGAGTCGGAGAGAGCATATTCCTTCCACAGCTGGGCGAAGAGCGTCTGCATGCCAGCGAGACGCTGGTGGTTCCAGACAAAGTACCCTGGATATGAGGTTTAGTCCGCGACGGAGCACATTGTTGGGGCACACACAATTCTCACCTTCGAAAAAGCAGTGCAGGAATCCGCCTGTATGACGCAGAGTGTTAGTCAACTTTGCTTCTCCTCCCCCCGATGAACGAGGCCGCCGGACGTTCACCCACAAAGAGCGAACCAGGATACGACGAGTTGGTCTGAGGTCGCCATCTTGGGATGAATCCTCCTGGCGACCGTCAAGACAGCAACGACAACGATGGTGATGGTTGCCGCGAACGCAACGAGCAGCTTAAGGAGGGGGGCCTCGTTGGCTACGTAGTGCGGCAGCCCTGCGTCCACGGGGTAGTAGGGGTGCCAGATTCTGTCCATTTTCTGTGAGGCGTCCTGAACGGCAGCTGGTTCTCGACTTGGCGTGTATTCTGTAGTGGCAGAAGAAGTCTGTACAGTAATTGGACAATTCACAAGGACGTGTGCATTTCCGTCGGTTTAGGGCTCTCCCGGTAGTTTGGCGCTCGAGTCAACTCAACGGTAGTGGCAGGGGGTGGTCCGGTCTGAGCTGCTATCCAAGACTAATTGTGAGCCACCCCGCTCACCGCACTTTACCCAAACGATAGCTTCAGTCAATGTAGAAGCAATATTGCCCTTGACAGGCATGGGCTTGCACCGCGTGTAGAACTTCCCAGAGCTGATAGGCAAGCCCTGGGAAGGGGCCGAATGAGAGAAAGCCGGACCGTTGATCTTCCGCTGTAAGTCGCTCCATACACCCAAATACACCCAATGGTGAGATGGCTTCGCGGCACGCTTATCTTTGCGTTGTCAACGTTCTGGTGCCGAGTGAGAACCCCCGTTCCTTCCGACCACCCAAACTTTAATAGAATTTTTGCGCCATCGCATCTGTGTCATCCGAAATGGGTAATGTTCAATTGGAGGATGCGCCTTTCCCGCTGACCGAGGTCGACAAGTGGGTCCTCTCGCAGACGGACGAGGAGTTCAAGAAACATAACTGGGAGGAGCTCAAGGAGATTATCAGTAAGGGCGCCTGCGGTCCAGGATCCTGGGCGTGTTTGCATTTCGTTTCCTGTTTTCGCTTTGTGGTTTTCTAATTGTAGTACCAGAGACGAACAAGCTAGAGGTCTTGAAGAGGAAGCCCTCGGACCTGCGTCGATACATGAAATGGACGGCCGAGACCAAGGCCGAGTACGGCTCCATGACCCAATACCTTCTCGCGAACCGCCTGCCCAAGTCTTGGGGGCCGCCGCCATTCACGCCGAAGTCCCTGATTCCGTTCGAGGATCCCTCGGACTACCGGGTTCTCGCTAATGACTGGCCATACGGACTGGATGCGGGCATTACCCACCTCGTTGTCTGGTCGCGCACAATTATCGCGACGGACCCAGACACAGGAGACATGACACCAGAGAGCAGACACAGCGTCCGGGAATTCGTCAATAGATATTTTGTCGACAGCCTTGGAGAGGGCGGAGCGGAGCGGGTTGTCTGGTTCAAGAACTGGGTCGCCTTGCAGAGCGTTCGGGCGTTGGAGCACATCCACGTGCTGGTGCGAGATGTAGATGCCGAAGTCATCAAGAAGTGGACAGAGGAGAAGCCGTGGCATAGACAAAACTGAAGGAGGCCAGTTTCGATGGACGCGATTAGATACGTTGCCCTCACTACCAAGTCTCATGTGCCGCTGTTCCGTGATGCGAGGTTACGCGGCCCGGCGCTGCCTCCTGTTGACGGGCGGCGCGGGCTCTTGGTTGTTCGCAGCACTACCCATCTGAGCCATTCGCTTGCCAGCCCCGAGCAGACCGACCCCGGCGTAAGCGCCATAGGCGGGGACGGAGAGCCAAAGAATCCAGGCCCAGTTGCCGAACAAGATAACCAGGACGACTGATGCCCAGGTAACCCAGATGACGTCGAACATGTATTCGGTCAAGCCCGAGGCGGCGAGGTCCTCGCCGGAGGTTTTGAGACCGCCAGCGGGGTCATATTTAGGACGCCCCGTGCTTTCCAGAATGAACTCGCAGACCAGAGCCGGAGCAGAGAGCAAAAAGAACCAGAAGATGGAGCGCGACTTGGTGAAGAAGTAGAAAAGGAGGAAGCCTAGGTTGACGACGGCGGAGCCAGTGTGGAGGTTGTTGAGGGCGGCGGCGTTGGATTTGGCCCTGTCCTTCTTTGCCTTTTGAGCCATGATTGAGGTAGGTGAGTGTTTTCTCCGGGCGGTTAGGGACTATGGCCTGAGCGCGGTCGAGAATGCCGATGATGGTACAGAAGGGCTGCTTGAGGATGATGATGGTGGCGGGTGATAACCTTCAAAGTGGATACCGGCGTTCGTACAAGTAAAAAGACAGTGTTATGGCCAGAGGACGTGGCCAGAGAGCAATTTGAGGCTGAAAAACGCGGTCGAGTGGTTGTGGCTTAGGCCCGCGGGGGTCCAATGGGGGTGCACGGGCAGGCGGCGAGGAGTGGGTCTCCAAGAAGGAAAGGTGGCGGGTGGATGTCTCTGGCGCAAGGGAGGTCCCAGTGGGGAGGGGGCTGGCGACGGCAGAGTAGGGGGTTGGCAGTGGCAGAGGCGGGCAGAAAAGGCTACAGGCGCTTCATCCTACTGGGTTGCTTGGGTGATGGAAGGTGACGGTGACCGCCGAGGCACCGCGTGAGCCAATCAAGCTAGATAAGACGCCCAATAACACCAGAAGGCGTGCGTGAGGTCTAGTCTACACTACCGAACGTGCCACAGCGTAACTAAACAGGTGGACATCGGGAATATCAGTCATGGACGGACCCTAACCTAGGTAGACCTGAAGTGACGCCTCTGCGACTTTATTTCTTACCCTCCCGCCATCCCACCGAGACCGAGAGAATGCACGGTTGATCAGGCCCGACTCGAGCCAATAACTGACGTCTTATTGTTGACTTCAGGAAAGGCGTTTCCAGCGAGATACCTACCTACTTTCACGCACTCCCTTCCCCCGCCTCCTGTCTTGTTCCCGATCCCAATTCCCTGCGACTCCTCCACTCTGCGTACTCTCCCCTTCCTTCACGTTCGCTTTCTTTGGACCTTGTTGCGCGTGCTACGTGAAACTGTCTTATTTACTGCATTTCTCTTGCGCCGCGCTCCTTCTTGGGCACCCCACCGTTTGATCGGTTCTTCTTATGCACAGCGGGTTTGTTTTGCGCCGCTGCGAGGGTCCGATATTGCTGCGCGCCGGAACCTTGGTGTCTTGGGAGGGAAAGTGTCTCCTTTCTGTCTGTCATCGCTGTGTTTCTTTGCCGCTCGCCGGGGAAACCCAAACAACATACACGCGGTGACCCACTACGCAACGAACGCCTTTCTTCGCCCCGACAGGCACGCAACAGCAATAGCGAAAAATAAAATAAAAATAACCCGTTGGACCACAGCAACGAACATACGACCAACGCCGTCGCTCTTTGTAGCACTTTCGGAATTTGTTCGACCGACGACGCCTGTCTGCTGCTGCTCTCTTAATTGCTAATACCTCTCAACCAGCTGGTACAAAACGCGCCTTGCGGCCAATCCGTCCGTTCCCATTGCTGTTCTTGGCCTCAGGCTCCGCGCGATCGCCCACCTCGAAATTCACCGACGCAGCTTTCTGCCCTCGACACAAAATCCCATATCCAAGCTCGACAGAGCTCAACCAACGCCTCCGAGGTCCTCTACCTACCACCCTAGCACCCCGAGTGCACTCGTCGACCCGGGCTAGGCGCCGCGACTCCTCGGCCTTTCCTCCTTCCACGACGGTTGCACATCCCATGCGAGATCCCATGGCCACAAACTGCCCTCGACGTTAACACCCCCCTGTTCAGCCGCCCTACCTCTCTACACCCACCTCTCTAGACCAAGGCCCGAACATGGCGCCGACGGGTGCAGCCATCACAGGGCTGCTACGCCAGGTCGTCTACTACCATATCGACAACAATGCCTACGAGAATGCTCTCTTCTTCGCTGAGAGGCTAAGCGCCCAAGACCCCAAGTCGAGCGAGTCTGCACATCTCTTGGCTCTCTGCCACCTCCGTCTTGGTGACCACAGAACCGCCTTCGAAGTCAGCAGACCCTCTGCCTCCCGTGGGTCGAACCTTGGTGCCGCTTGGGTCTTTGCGCATGCATGCATGAAGATGGAACGCTACAAAGATGGTATTAACGCATTGGAAAAAGTGCGGGACAAGTGGGTTGGCAAAATGAACATGGGCAAGCACACCACCTCTACTCGCTCGTTGTATCCGGACGAGGCCGCTGTTCACTGTCTACTTGGTAAGCTATACCGGGCTTACGACGACAAGCGGAGGGCCATTGAGTGTTTTGAGACCGCTGTGAGGGTGAACCCCTTCATGTGGGATGCTTTCCAGGCCCTCTGCGACATGGGTGTAAAGCTGCGGGTACCGAATATCTTCCAGGTCACCGAATCTCTCACCCACTCGTTCGAATCAGAAGTCGTAGCGTTGTCACAAGAACCCAAGGAGAGCATTGCGAACTCCTCTGAGCCCAAGAGGCCCTTGGGACGCACAGCCATGGACTCGTCTGATCCGTTCAACCTCCACCGCTCTTCTACGTACCAGGACATGCCCTACAGCGCCAACATGTTTTCTGCTGAGGCAGAGGAGAACGACTTCATGTCCAAGATCACTGCGGCAAGGTCAAGGCTGGCGCCACCATCCACGAGTAACGGCGACATGGATTTGATGGAGACACCCACAGGGCCGGTCTCCATGCCCGAGGTTCCTACTATGCGCTCTGCATTTGGCGCCGCCGAACCACCGCAGGCGCCACCTCGCAGGACAAGGATGGCCCAGGCCGTGGACCCAGGCTTTCTGGAGGCACCACCGAAGATGAGCTACAAGCTAGGCGGCGCCAAGAGAAGCACCAGGAGCCAGGATAAAGAACAGCAGCCCGTTGAGCTTCATTCCGACACTGGTACCGGCACCGCTGCCTTACGAACGACAGCGGCACCTACGGAACGGAAGCGGACAGTGTCTGGGCACCCTGTTTCTCGACAACACTCAGAAGAGGCCAGTGCGCCCGCGCAACGGAGAAGCGCGAGGCTCAACATGTTTAACAAGCCCTCGATCATGAAGTCGAATTCTGGCGCCGCTACTATTGGCGCCGCTACTGGTCGCGAGCTGAAGAAGGCTAGGCCCCAGATTTCTCGTATAATGCGACCTGGCTCTAGCGGCTCCAGCGTCGGCAGGGTCGTGAGCGGCAACCGCAAACCCGTCGAAGACAGTGGTATGGATGTTGACCATGCTGAAACCACACGTGTGAGGGAGTCTCATGCGGTGCAGCATGCAGCGTCGAAAACTGCTCCTTCCGAACCTGACCACGTCAAGATCGAGGAGGCTTTGAGATGGGTAATGGAGTTGCTGAAGAAATTCGCATCAGGATATTACTCGTTCAAGGGGTTCCGCTGCCAGGAAGCGTTGCAAATATACGCCTCGCTGCCCAGGAGTCAGCAAGACACCCCTTGGGTACTGGCACAGATGGGACGGGCGCATCACGAACAGGCTGCATACAAGGATGCTGAGAAATACTTCAGAAAACTCCGCGTCGTGGCCCCCACCCGGATGGACGACATGGAGATATACTCGACCATCCTTTGGCACCTTAAGCGCGAGACGGACCTGTCTTTCCTCGCGCACGAGCTGGTCGATGCCGACTGGACGTCGCCGCAGGCTTGGTGCGCCCTGGGCAACGCGTGGTCGCTGGCCCGGGAACACGAGATGGCACTGCGCTGCTTCAAGCGGGCGACGCAGCTCAACCCCAAGTTCGCATACGCCTTTACCCTGCAAGGTCACGAGCATGTAGCGAACGAGGAATATGAGAGGGCTCTCGGCGCCTTCCGCAAGGCCGTCACGGCTGACCGGCGTCACTACAACGCCTACTACGGCATAGGCCAGGTATTTGAGAAGCTCGGCAACCATGAAAAGGCATACGTGCACTTCCACACGGCATCCGACATCAACCCGACCAATGCCGTCCTCATTTGCCGCATCGGAGCCATCCTCGAGAGGCAGAAGCAGATGATGGCCGCATTGCAGTTCTACACCAAGGCTACAGAACTGGCCCCGCGAGCGGCCGTTGTCCGTTACAAGAAGGCGCGCGCCCTAATGAGTCTCGGCAAGATTGACCTTGCAGAGAAGGAGCTGCTCATTCTGAAAGATATGGCCCCCGACGAGGCCTTGGTACACTTCCTGCTCGGCAAGCTGTACAGAAATATCAACGAGAAGCAGATGGCGGTGCGCGCCTTCAGCAATGCGCTCGCTCTGGATCCAAAGGTAAGGTGCACCGCAGGCTATGATACTATTCTTCGACTAATAAACTGTGCAGGCCAGTCAGTCAATCAAAGATGCCATTGAGAGCCTCGAAGATGACATGGGCATGGAAGACTCGATGATGACGTAGGATGTCAGTTTGAGCGGGGCCTAATGCTGCTGCTGTTATTGGATCCTGCCGACAAGAGCAGAGCATATGCACTATTGTTTATGCGTTTCCTGGGGAGAAACTGCGAGAATGGAAGATGACTTCGGGTATATACGAGGAGACGAAAACAAGTTCGCCAGGCTTGGGGTTGGGCATGGTGTAACAGCACGATGGCACGTTTTCACGGTTGTTAGCATGCTGCATGGCAACGGCGTTTAGGAAATCCAATCGGGGGAAGCATATTGGCTTAGGAGGGGCTCAAAAGGTCGGCCTCATTGTATATTAGCACCCTAGTTGGTGCCGTGGCAGTGACTCCGTAAATAGCTCTCCATGGTATTGCATCACCTAACCTTGCAGAACCGGGTTGACGATGCAGACCTGTGAGAATTAGGAGCGGGGGCATATGTTGTTGTTGTTGTTGTTGTTGTTGTATTTAACGCCGGGCCGTTCCTGATATAGGACAAAGGGCGCCTGGGGTTGCGGGCTTCTAGCTAATAAGTAAGTACAAAATAACATTAATTACAGTCCCTCTCTGTCACAATCGGTATGTCCTTCATGCCATCGTCCACTCTCTGCTTCCACCAACGTTCCAGGAGTTCAACTAGAATTGATCCCTGCTGTCAAGTGCCCAGGGCTCTTCAGCTTCCAGGATCCATGCGGCGGGGGCATATGTGTCCAGCAGCAGTGACTGGTTCTTGCCTGGTTACCTTGCGGTTTGGACTGCTGTGGGTGAAAAGAGATAGCCAGGCTTTCCACTCAGGATCCCATTTACTTCTCAATGCGAGGTGCTCAAAAGCCCCAACACAGGTGATCATTCTGGCCACAGTCACCATCCTCCATCGGCCTCATGCTTCATCTTCACAACGCCCCCAGACATGACTTGGCCAAGCAAAGTCAAGTAAAGTTGTGCTGTGCTGAACCGGCGGACTTCAGATCCGAGTCTCTCTCATCATCACACAGACAGCAATCAGCATTGCATGACACCCCGAGTGAAAACCCTCCCTCTTACTTAACCAACCATTCCGTCATCCACGAACACGGTAGAGTCGAACCCTGCAACATGCCACGTGGGCACAGGATCGGGGGTTTTTTTTATATATATATATATATTTTTTTTGAGCAAAGCAAGGCCACCGGCATCGTCGTCCCTTGGGTCCGCGAACCAAACTACGTTGCGAAAGTGCGGCGAAGATTGTCAGTTTGGTGGGAGACCAGAAGCGACTTCCAGAATCTCCAGAATCCAAATCGGCAGGAGGTGATCTGGGGGGGGAACAGTCCCCCTTGCATGAACTCCTGTCCCCGCCAGTGGAGAGAGATATTGAACTAGCTAATCAAAATTCGGGTTCTTGTTAGCGGGAGAGCGAAGCGGACGCCGGCAGACCAGAGACGCGGGTGGGGGCGTCTGCCTGACGCGCGTGACGGGCAAGATAGACATGTCGGGTGGGTCTCTGTGCTGGGAAGGGAAGCCCAGACCAGTCATAATTCATCCACACTTTACTTAAGCTGTCTATGACTCTGTTTTGGGTAACCAACACACACACATCCTTGCTCATGAATGGCTCTTGCTGTTTGGCTGGATCCTAGTCTGACTGGTTTGGTACACTACAGGTGTACTTTAGGAAAAAGGCCGTGCACGTACCACCCCCAGCCAGTAGCAACTCCGAAGAAACCTCCAAAGCAGCGCCTTTGCAACAGGAAAGTGACTGGATAAATGCCCTGCGGAAAATAGGGACCTTGCTGTTTCGCTATTTTTCGAGAAATCAAGGCACTCACCAAATCGGGACTAGTCTACTGATCTCATCTTCTGAGGCGCACAACACAATCAGTAACCGTCCCCCCGGACTGACGGCACCGCCTTATTTATTTCTCCCCCCTCTTGCTCTTTTCATCTCCCCATTCCCACTCTTCCCTCACCCAACCAAACGTATCCATCACCAACTCTTCACAACAAACGTCATCAAAGACGCGCCTATACCCCATCCACTTAAACATCAACTTCAAATAACCTCATTACAATGACTGGACGTAAGTACTATTTTCATTTTATTTTATCAGTTGTCGTGATGTCGGCGCGTCTGGATCGTGGTGGTGACCCCGCGCCTTAAATGGGCAAGGCTTCATTGGCATGCATCTAGTGTGATCTCGGATCGCGTCTTTCGTACGCGCCTGGATCACGACGCGCCGCATCCAGATTAACCTTTATGTATCAACCTGCATATTTCGATGTCATTATTCTAACGTCTTACAGGCGGCAAGGGCGGCAAGGGCCTCGGAAAGGGCGGTGCCAAGCGTCACCGCAAGATTTTGCGTGACAACATCCAGGGTATCACCAAGCCCGCTATCCGCCGTCTCGCTCGTCGTGGCGGTGTCAAGCGTATTTCTGCCAGTAGGTTTTATCTCTATCACGTCGCTTACGCTAGGATGCTAACTTGCCTTCCCAGTGATCTACGAGGAGACCCGTGGTGTCCTCAAGTCCTTCCTCGAGGGTGTCATCCGTGACGCCGTCACCTACACTGAGCACGCCAAGCGTAAGACCGTCACCTCCTTGGACGTTGTCTACGCCCTCAAGCGCCAGGGCCGCACCCTGTACGGTTTCGGTGGTTAAGCATATCACCGTTTTCAGTGTTGCTTGAGGCTTTTGCTTTCGCGCGGTCTGGGTTCCATGGCGCCGTGGCATCTGAACTGTCGATAGCCGATACCTCTTGCAGTGGATTGTTCGTTGGTCTTTTCACCGGTAATGGGGATATGGATACAATCACGTTGATTTACGGCGTTGGGGATCACGAGACTCAGGGAATGATAGTACTCAAGGCGTCGATAGGCAGACGCTTGTCTGAAATGAACCACCGAAATGGTGACTTGAACATTCTAAATATTGGCATGCACTGCAGTGATGTACTTGAATCATGACGCGTGTCTTGTCTACTCCCAATGAACGCCTTCACCTGAGTAACAACGCCATCTGTCTGCTTGCCTGAACATATTGCCATCTGTCTCATTAGGTGCATAACTCCGTCTCGCTACAGGTATTTCCTCCCCGCCGCTGCCACGCGTGATCGAAACACGGGGCTCTTGACCTCCATATTGACCTTGTAGAAGGGGCTCATGATAGCCTTGACCCAGTTCTCATACACCTCCTGGAAGAAGTTCTTAATGGCCTCCTCCGTCGCGGGACTCGTGGGGTTGGCGCCGATGGCGGTTGACGACCGGGACGACGGCGTGCTCGACGGCGCCGAGGGCTGATGCAGGAGGAGGAACTTGACGTTGCCGGCCGTGACAAAGCACGAGACGTAGTTATTGAAAAACTTGTCGACAAGCTTGAGGTACCTGTCGACCGGGGGTCACTCGGCGTCAGCATGTGTAGGCGGCGCAAAAGATGGTCATCCCCGTATCCGTAATCGCGCGGTGAGGGCTGTTGCAAATGGAGCTGCGTAGAGTGCCATAATAGCCGGCGAGCAACGAGAAGACGGGAGAGGATGAGTAAAGGGAAAGTGAGGGGAGGGGGGGGGGGGGGGGGGGGGGGGGTTGGTTACATCTGTCCTTGCGCCCACTGCACCTCCTCGACGATGTCCAAGCTGCTATGCAAGATGAACTGGTTCAGATGGCGGATCTGCTCGTTGAAGCGCGACTGGCCATCACCCCCCTGTTTGGAGGTGCCGAACTCATACTCGAAGAGGGGGTTGTCCTGCGTGCCGACGATGGCGAAGTAGTACGACATCGTTTCCTTCCTTTTCACCGGCGCGACATGTGCAGAGAGGCGTGCGTGCGTGTCGGTCAGTGGTTGTGGATGCGCTCGCTGGTTCGGGAGAGACTGGAGCCGCTCTTCCAAATCGGGCGGCACGTAAGCGACAAGGCGAGAGTCCTCGTGTATGCCTTCGTGAGATTCTATGCGGTGTGCTGGCGTCGGAATGGATGTCCTTTTTTTTTCTTCTCCCCCAAATTGCTGAACCGGGTTGGGATTGAAGCTCTCGCGGTTGCGCGCCTCTCACCGAGTTCCCAGCGGGGGGGTCGGAGAGCGGGCGGGATGCAGGGCGGCGGGGACCCTGCTTGGTAGGTATGCGCTCAGTGTAAGCGTCGCCGTCGCCGCAGAAAGTGTCGGGGTGGTGTATACAAGGTAGGTAGGTACCTCTAGGCTCTAGGCAAGCGTGGGAAATTCCGTGCTGGTCTTTGATGCTCTGTTGCAGCGTCCAATGGAATGGAACGGCGCCCCACTTTTCACGGCAGCTCCCAAAATTTCCCCGGGTCGAGTAGAACGTTTGTCGACGATTGAGGATTCGAGCTCCTGAGCATCATCCGCACCCGCCTCCCCTCCAACAGCAAACGATAACAACAGTGACGACACTACGGCCGCCAAGGGGAAAGAATTGAGGCGCCTTCCTTTCTTCGGGTCAGCGAGCCACTGAAAAACGATTCGGTCAAGCGGCCCCAAACCCCTTCACCAATCTCGGCCGTCGCAAAGCCACGAGACACACCGGACCACACAATGTTCGGGGCATTCCGCGTGACCTCGCCGCTGTCGAGCGGTCTGCTCTGGAAGATTCCCTGGCGGCTGTCAAAGTTTCAGAAGCGGCGCCAGCGCCAGCGCCTCCGGGCCGTTGACGACGTCGTCGCGACGGTGGACGCGGCGCTCGCCAAGAAGGGTGTGACAGTTGCTGCGCTGGAGCGGTGGAAGGACGAAATGCCGACCGAAGCGGAGATGCTGCCGCGGGACAAGTACACCATGTTCGACCGCAAGGAAAAGAAGTACCGCAAGGGCATCCACAGTACGTTTTCTCTACCCCCCCTCGGGACTCCTACACGCCCCTGCTTCCCTGGGTCCTCTTGAGGGTCTGGGTCTATCCTCGCCTCACAAGGGAGGGAGATGGATGAGGGATGGAGATGGGATTTGGCTAACGGTTTTCATGTACAGAACTGCCCAAGTGGACGAGAGTTTCACAGAGACTGAACCCGCCCGGTTACTAAACGCCATCGTTTCGAGGATGTCGATGGCATGCCGGTTGGAGACAGTGGGAGGGGATTGGTGAAGGGGAAGAAAGGCAGTCGGTCATGTTGCAGGACGACCAGAGAACCGGATCCGTGTACGAATATGTACTCTACGCAACTCGAACCTCTGTGGGTAAGGATGCTCCTGTCAACAATGTCTGTGACGATAGCAGCAACCCGAGACATCGCAGAGCCCCTTGTATATTACGCGTCTGTTTGGGTTCAGAAGACGAAGAATGGCTCAAATGCCGTTGCACAGAATCACGATTGTTCTTTGTCTGAAAGCACCAAGTTCCAGCCCCGCACCCAGGCCAATCTTGGAACAAGGTCCTTAATCGTGTTGTAATTGAGGGTATCGCATTCCAAAAGCCTGCCTAGGTTGCAAAAGCATCGTTTCCCGCCGACCCGAAATAAAAATAAAATATAAAAAAAAGGGAAAAAAGTGTTTACTAGCAACCGTTTTGCTTTTGATCTTGTCATCTGTAAATTGTGAACAATCCAATGCCTCTCGGATGTTCCACTCAAAGTCTCCGCCGAGTCAACCCTCTCGGTCTGCGCTTGCTCATCGTGCCGCCTCTTCATAATCACCCATTCGGTCGTCCCGGTCCCTCTGCATCTGGATTGCCCTGCCCAGCCCGCCGCGTCCCTCGTCATAGTCCTCCCGGTACTCGTCGCGTACCTGCCCTCCGCTCTTGCCGCGGCCGTACTGCCGCCCTTCCTCGAAGCCGGGGTCGAGATCGGTGCGGATGACGCGTTCGTCGAGCTTGGTTCCGCCAATATACTTCATGCAGTCGAGGGCGTCCTGGTGGGTGTAGTACTCGACGAAGCAGAAGCCGCAAGGGGTCTTGTTGAAGCGATCGAGGCCCATGACGAGGCGCTTGATCTCGCCACACTTTGAGAAGAGCTCGTAGACCTGCTCCTCGGTGGTGTAGAAGGAGAGGTTGCCGACGTAGAGGGTCGTGGCGTTCGCGAGGGGGTCCTCGGGCAGGGGCTCGTTCTTGGAGGCGGCCGCGTCTTCGGCGTCGCGGGCCTCGCGGGCCTCGCGAGCGTCATTCTTTCTGCGTTTATTCTGGGAGGCCTGGGGTTAGCACTTTGGGTGATACTCTCTCGAGGTGGGAAGAGGTCATCTAAGGACTGGAGTAATACCCTGTTGTGGTAGTATGCGCTTGGCCTGTCAAGGCGCTCGACTGTGTTTCTGTGGCGAACCTGCATCTTGGGAGGCTCTGGAGGTTACCAAGTTTCCACGATTGGAGGTCAATTGGGTTGTGATCGGTGATGTAAGTGGACTGTAGTCGCAGGTCCAGATGAAGATGCAGCGACAGCCGGAGTGAGATTGGCCCGTGTGTAGGTATCTAGGAAAAGGCAGGCAGGGACAAAGGTACCTCAGGCAGATGCAGCTTCTGTATCCGTAGGCGCGGCCCAGCTCAGTAGGTGGTGCACGAGCCCTTTTGACATTTGGAACCTGGCCTGGAGCTCCAGCATCTTAACACTCGACTTCACTGCTCCGCATCCTCGGCGACGACGACGGCGACGACGACGACAGCGCGGGACTCAGGTCACAATAAAATCAGGCCTCTCCTGCTTTATGGCTCAGTGCGCTTGGTTTTTGTTTCGTTTTTGAGTGCCATAGACGAAGCTGAACTCGTGAGCAGGAAGCCACCTCACTACTACTGGGTACACCAGGGGTACCTCGCTTCATTATCAACAACGTAGAGCAAAGACGAGTTAAAGCATGCTCAAACGACGACCTGTTCACTTGGGTACTCGGACCATGTTACAAATAGCCATTTCACCCTCCTCTTTCGATCTCTGTAATTTAATCTGCTTTTCTAACAGTGGATGTTCCGGATGCATTCAGGTTCAATGACACCCCGCCATCTTTCAGAGCGTGTGCGCTTGTCTCTCAGAGACTATGAGGTAAGGGGATAAGAGATGTAAACATTTCTGCATATAATATAAAATGACATTCGAAATGATTGCATTGGGAATGCCGAAACGGCTTTCGGGCGCCAAAATCAGATGATTACGAATTTTCTAGTGAAATGTTGGCGATGTATCCGTAAGTTGGTGCAGACTTCCAGCACGGACGACTTACACGATTCCTATGGTTGTTCTGATTGGCGGACTGCCGGGAAGGGAAGCTTGGGGCGGATCCCGGCGTGGCTGGCTGTCAGCAGCAACCGCGTTTTTTGACCAGAAATAGTTCCAGCAACAATCTCGTCTCTGGCAAACACCCACCGCAAAAAGAAAAACAAAATATCAACGAACAACCCTCGAGCTGGATCGCAACTGCCGAACACCTCGCACATCATAAGAGCTTGCAACCGTAACCTGACGACACATCCTTTTGGCCAGAGAGGGACGCAATGCCCAAGGTCAAGAGCTACTCAGCTCCGTGGCTGTCTCACGGGCCCGGTCACCAATTGTTCGCGCCCTCGAGCGATGCTGCCTCCAAGGCGCTGAGCGTGCCATCGCCCTATATGTCCAAGAAGAAGAAGGCCCCCGGCCCAAGAAGAACGATTGCGAGGCGAGGCACAGAGGTGTTTGTTGCTGTTGGCAAAGAATTGCGATGGGGCGACCTGGCATATTTGAAAGAGAAGTGGTCAACGAAGCATGCGCACCGTCGCATGGGCAGCCGTGTCAAGCGGGAAGACTCGGCGCAAGCATTCGACGACGAAGCGATTCCCTCGACGGAGGAGGCGGCTACGGCCCAGGGCTTCCGGGTACGGTCCAGGCTCGAGAGGCATGGAGATGACAATCACTAACGGCTTTCACAGACGATCAAAACCCCTGTTGCGGACGACATTCGCCAGCTTGTCATTTCTCCCAACTCCGACTTCCTCGCGATTCTGACGACCCATACCGTTCATATTTGCGTGGTTCCCGACTCGTCGCATCTCACGGCCGAGGACACTGGACCCCTGCGACCCAAGATCTGGACGCTGGGGCCTACAACCCATGTCACTTCGCGATCATCAGTTGCCTCAGCTGTCTGGCACCCTCTCGGTGTTAAGGGCTCCTGCCTGGTCACCATCACCACCGATGCCATTGTGCGGCTTTGGGAGCTGTCTCTCACGGACCGGTGGTCGTTCGACTCTCCTACACTGTCAATCGATCTTAAGAAACTAGTGGATGGCACGACCCTGGACCAAGACTTCACAGCATCCACCGCTGCTACCAATGCTAGCTTCTCGCAGTATTCGCTCGAGATGCAGGTTGCTTCGGCGTGTTTTGCCAGTCGCGGTTCCGGCGGATGGAGCCCCATGACTCTCTGGGTCGCCATGAGAGAAGGTGATGTCTACGCGCTGAGCCCTTTGCTGCCCCAAAAGTGGGCACCGCCTCCCACCTTGATTCCGTCGCTGTCCGTTTCCATCGTCTCCAAGGTCGCCGCCTTGGAAGACGACCCCACCGTGTCTGAAAAGGATAAGCTCCTTGCCCAGCAACAGCTCGAATGGATGGGCGATCTGGATTCCCAAGAACCTCAAGTCCTCGACACAGCGCCAGGTGAGGAGGCCGTTGAGGTCTATACACGCCCGTCTCGGCCCGGAGTCATTCCTCGGCTCCAGGGCCCGTTCGGGTTTGACGCCGACCCTGACAGCGAGGACGTTGGGGATAGTCTGCTAACGGACATCATTGCGATTGGGAAAAAGATCGACACCGACGACCTAATGATGGGTGAGGACGAAGATCTTGACTTCGACGACGGTGAACATGAGGGCCTTTCACTATCGGTCATTTGTCTACTGTCCACCACCGGTCAGGTCCGCGTTTACCTGGATCTGGAGGGCGTCGAAGCACAATGGCTTCCGCCTCGAAACAAATCCAAGCTTGGACGCCTCCTCGCCGCTGCCGACCCACCCTCTCTGTTGACCTTCCAGTGCATCGACACCATGACGGGAGGTGAGATGGATAACGACGCATGGCCGACTTTTTCATCGGATGCCATGTCACGCTACTCGCTTTTTGTCACTTGTTACGTTGGCATCACTTTCCTATCCTTTTCTCCCTGGGTCTTCCGACTTGAGGGTGAGCTCTCGGGCGAGTCGGAGGCTGGCTCTGACTTCCGTCTCGGTCTCCTTGTCAATGGGCAGAACTCTATCAGGGAACGACTGTACACCCACTCTTCATCCGACGTCAACGTGCCGCTCGCCGCATCCGCCGCTATCCGCGACCCAGACTTGGGATACTTCCTTCTATCGGCAACTCCATACGAACCGATCGCCTTGACATTCGACACGCCCGACGATGACTTATCTCCTATCCGCCACGAAACGCCCTTCGAAGAGAAGCCCGCCACTATGGAGCCTCTGGACTTTTACGAGCCCCGTCCGACTTTCCAGCCGTCACACGCTTTTGAGCAGCAGTCCGACCTCCCCGAGCTGATCAACAGACTCCGCAGCTCCCGGCACAAGACCATCTTGAACCAGGAAATTCGGTTGTCGCCAGTCACGCTCCAGATTCTCACAGATGCCCACCGCATCCTGGGAGAGGACACTTATCGCCTCGGCACGGCCGTCGCGGAGATCTTCCGGCGTTGCGCTACTTTGCAAGATGATCTGAAGGACCAGATCAAGAAAGCAAACGAGGTGAAAGAGAAGATCGACAAGATTGCGGGCAACGACAAGGACGGGGAGGGCGAAAGCGACGACGTAAGATTCGAAAGGCGCATCACCGAGGCGCAAGAGCGCCAAAAGCGGCTTAACGAGAGGCTAGAAGGCGTCCACAGGTATGTTGGCAAGGCTACAACCAGGGAGCTCAGTGCCAAGGAAAAGGCTTTTGTGGAAGAGGTCAGGAGCATGGGGGCCAGCGTGCTGGGATCGTTGCCAGAAGATGGACCGGGAACAAGGCAGCAGAAGAAGTTGAAGAAACGTTTGGAGGATGTACAACAACTTCGAGACGAGTTGGTCGGGGAGGTGGAACGGATACAGAAACAAAGCGAGGGCGGTAAGGATGGAAAGGATTCGTTGTCGTCGTCGTCGACGGTTTCGGATCTAAAGATTCCTACAGAGATCCGCAAGGCTAAGTTGCAGCAAGTCATGTCTCTCCTCTCACGCGAGACTGCTCTCGTCGAGGCCGTAAGCTCGCGACTGGAGCGTCTTCAGACGCAGTAGCGTGAGATTATCGGGCAGGCAGATAGAGTTGGATGACAAGATACCACGTGGTTGCTGCGATTCTCGGACTCGTCTCAGTTGGTGCCCAAGAGCGACAGTGAAGGGGTCTGTCACATTGGCGGATGAGCAATGAAAATGCGGAGCAAGCATGTCTGAAAGGTCAGATGGCCAATCGTCTCGGTGATCGGTGCGGAAAACCACATCAAGACGATGGGGAACCGCCACGCACGATTGTTTCGAAATACTGAACGCACAATCGTACCGTGACTTGACTTTGATCGAGGCGACCGGACCATCCATTCCTGACTTCGGCAACGATCTCCTCGACGCCCACTAGTGCCCGTTTAGAGTGCCTTGGTCCCAAAGTTGGGACAAGGGAAGATGCCGGCCAAGGATTGACGATCGCTACAGCCTTGAATTACAATGAGGTTAACCGGTTTTCGGTTGGGTATCATCCAGATAGCTGACGGGAGCCACAGGATCGGCGCGGATTGGTCAAAATCCAAGCTGGATCTCTAAAGTCTGAACCTATCAATCATTCACCGCTACCAGCCTCACTTCCAACTCCGCTGCCCATCAGATAACACAGAACCAGTGCTCCTCCATGGCTGGTGCACAGTATCACCATGGTACGCCCCAACTAGCTGTCTTGGTTGGAGGACGCTGCTGACGGAGCTTGCCAGGGTGCGAGGTACAAGACAGTGCCTCCTATTCCAGGATACGGGTCCCACGACCGTGAGCGTCGGACATCGTGGCATTCGGTGATACCCGACGGCCGAGCCCGTCACGGCCTGCCTTCGTGGGCGACGCCTGCGTGTAGCGTTGCCTTCTGGGTTTTCGCCCGAAAAGAAAGCGTGGCATGTTGCTTCTTCCGTTTTCCCCTGCGAGGCATCGTTCAGCATACCTCATCGTCTGTGCCCCTTGACCCGTGCCTGACGGGCACCTTTCGCTCACAGACCGCTCCTCCTTGGCCCTGCGGTCCATTGATTCGTTTTGCATGATCCAACGGTTCGCTGCACGGGTAGGAATAGCGCTGTCTTCTGACAGGCACTAGGCCCTTCGCACAACCACCCCGCCCCTTCAGCACCTATTCCCGACTTTGGATGAACCCGACCGAGACGGCGGAGGAACGGTGCGTCGGATCTTTACCAGCTTCTTTTCGGTACTCTTTTGTTTCGTTTTCGTTTCCCGCTCTGTGCGACAACAGTCCATATTCCGCTTCCGAACCCACCGGTGCCTTGCCGCGCTTTTCCCCCAGTTGTAACAAATCCGAGCGGCATTCATCTTTCCTGTTTCAGATTGATATTTATCGTGTTCTAGATATGTCCTCACGCTATGGACCTGTCAGGCGTGCCGAACCAGTGCTGCCTGCGCAACGGCCCAAAGATGACGACGGGCCAGGTAGGCTGTTGGGAAACGGAGCTGAAGCCGCAGGCTAGGCAAGGCAAGGCGTACGGGCGCAGCACAGCGTAGCGTAGCGCAAAGCAGCGCAACACCCAATGTCGGCCTTTTGCTGCTGGAACACGTTGTGTAAACGATGCGACTGCATCCAAAGGCGGCGTGAAGCTCGCGGCCCGGTCACGGTAAGAAGTCGTTGCGCGTTCGGGTTCTAGGCGACACACGAGACATCGAGTGGAATTCTTCCTCATCTCGTCGCCGGCGCTACTCGTGCCAGCAACACACTTCCCCGACAAGTCCGGTCAGCTGGGCGGTTCAATGTATCCTGCCATCGGGGCAGGGGCGGGCGAATGTCGTCTGGCCGATCCGGCCGTCGTCGTGGTTCCATTCTACATGACGCAAGGAAATTTAAAGAGCCGCATCGAAAGTGAGACGAAAATACGCATCACACCTTGCAGGACGCGCCTAGGGACAGGCCGCATCCAGTTGACCAGCCCATTGCCTGCAGACAGGGACATGCAAGGAGGCCCAGGGAACATGAGATGTTCTACCGAAAGACCACTGTTGCCTATGGTGCCCATTCTGTGTCTTATTGGTCTCGGGTTGAGTAAATTCTTATCCTTTCACTTCGGACTTCAAATCCCCCCTTCCAAGCAGTGGCTTGGCTGTTTTCAATACTGCCTTTCCGAAAGAGATGGCTACTGTCCAGATACGTTCCTTTTCCTTCTTCTGAGCTCCCCCCTCCCCCATTTCTTCTTGATTGCAGCTTGCTCTCCGTTGGTAGGGCACTTCACGCATTAGCATTTCACCCCGGAGATCAGATATTACCTGATTCCACATGGGGCGTGAAAGGTTGAGCCTCCCCTGCCTCGCTCGGGCTTGAATCTGCGTGCCTTTGCCTTTCCTTGTCTGGTCTCTTCCTTGCTTCCCGGACGATTCGATGCATCCAATCTAAGACCAGCATACTTTAGTCCCGTTCGACATGCATGGCCGCCTTTGGTTTCGCCTCACTTTCCCGATGCTCTTCGCCGCCACTCCAAAGCACCAAATCCTAGGGTTATCCAACCGCAATGGTATGGCCGAAATCCGCCAACCAGGCTGCAAGGCCCTCTTGCATGCCACGCTTTCGACGTTCCCTATAGGACGACGACGATATGGAGTGCTGAAGCTGTGAGTATATAAGAAGTGACCTCGGTCTCGCGGTTATAGACTCTTGCCCTAGTCAATCTTTCAACCTTTTGAGCGTCTTGTTTTCTGCACATGCTCGTGTCGTTGATTACTATACCTGGATCCGCAACGTCGTCAAAACGCTCCAAACTGATAACAATGGCCCCCAATCCGCTGTGTCTCGTGTGGCGCGACCAGACAATAGGTGAGATCACTCTCCACGTTCTGCTGCGTGGCGTGCCGACTCGACGACTTACACGGAAAATCTAGATAACCTCCGTCTGATCTCGGGCCGCAGCGCCGTCATTGACATCTACACATCACGTCACCCCAACAAGTCGTTTACCATCTACGCCGTCAAGGTCCACCGCGGCAAGCGTCAGGAGGTTCTCTCCGCGATGGGCCGTGACCTCGAGGACGCCTTCGAGAGCCTCCACACAAAGTCTTCCCAGGAAGTGTACCAGTTCATCGACGCCAACGGCTTTGCCTTCCCCCGCGGAGTCAAATTCATCTCAGGCCATCACGATGACGAAGGCTCTGAAACCTCTAGCAGCGAGGCGTCGACCGTCGGTACCTCCGACGTACTGTCCCTATCCGCGGTCTCGTCAGACGGCGAAGATGACAACGTCAGAAAGGGCAAGAAGACGAAACCTTGCTCCCGCCGCAAGAGCAAGCGCAAGTCGAAGAAGGATTCCAGGCATCACGAATCCTCTTCATCGTCCGGGGAGGAGGAGGAAGAGGAAGAGAGCGACTCTGGGCCCGAAATCGCTACTCGGAGACGTCCCACTGCTGTACTTCCCGTCACGCGCCCATCCCACATCCCCGCAACGCACATCCCGGGCTCGCAATATCCTCCCTTTCCTCCTCCAGGCTGGAGAGGTCCCCCGGCCCGTGTGCACCCACGCGCTCCCGCTGCTGGAATGCCGCCCCCGGCCCCTACCTTCCCACCCGGTATGCGCCCGCCTCAACATCATCATGGCGTCGCCGCACCCGTCGTTCCGAGCGTTCCAACGGCGCCCTCCAAGCCCGTCCGCCTGGTTGTCAAGTGGCGCGGCCACGGCGAGAAGAAGATCATTGAGAGCTGCGCGCCGAGTCACCGGGCGCTGCAGCGGGCGGCGCTTGCCCACGTGCGGTCTCAGTGGCAGACTTTCGAGAACGTGGTCGCGCAGGAGATGACTCCAGGACGGCTGTGGGGGCTGTGCGCCAAGGTGAGGCGCGTGGCGCTGGGCAAGGACATGTACGCCATATCGGCAGCGGGAGGTGACGATCTGGGCATGTACTACAAGGTGGAGGATATTCCCATGTTCGAGATCGATGTCGACCATGATGGGAGCATCGTGCCACCTCCGCCACCCCCGCTGCCGCAACATCTTCCTCAACATTAGTTTCTGGTGTATGGAAAACAGGTGGATCCCCGGGAGGGGGAAAGTGATGTGTGATGTGACAACCTGATCAAGGAGCTTTATGGTGCCCCCCCTTTCCGGAAACGAACTGCATGCCGTGTGTGGTTCTCGGCTGCATTCATGCATTCTCCTGCAAAGTCTTGTTTTTGCGGCCACTTCTCTGCATGGTATGGCCGGGGGTCGCAACATTGGAGTTTGGTATATAGTAGGAGCTTAGTATACAGAAATATGCATGTGATTTTCTTTTTCTTCTGGGGTTGATAAGCAACAAAGTGTTTTTGGCGCCTAAATAGCTATTCACAGCACAAGACGAAGCCAGCGTCACCTTGCTGATCCAACCGGCTTCTCTGAGGGACCCCTTTCGGAATTGTGCCAATGTATTGACTTTCCATTGGACAGCAGCCTCGTTGACTAAAAACAAAGAAAAAGCATCCATCCTGGCCCAGGAGGGTCGTGATTTCTCGAAAAAAAAAAAACAAAAAAAAACCGCACCACATGGTCACAAGTACACCTGTCCAACAAGCAGCAAGCACACTCGTATCACGGACGCTAGGGGTGAAGTCGCTAAAAGGGGAGCAGAATGACCAACGTTAAGGCGATGTCTAGTGCCACGCGGAGTCGTGTCCGGACCCGGGGTGGATACGGACCGGAGGCTGGGGGGTGAGGGGGGGGTAAAGGAGGTGTGGGTCTGCAGCCTCGTAGTGACACCCCACGCGGCAGCGGACGCCCTCTTGGAAATCCAGGGCGCGCGGGTGGGATGGGTACGTTGATTGCTTAGAAACATTGAAGTCCTGTCAGGACCGGGGGGTTGGGTTGAGAGGGAGAGTGGTGGGATAAATGGTTGAGCGAACGTTGTCTACGAGTGGCGCTGCCACTAGATCATACCTACTTTTATTTAGTTTTTGTCTTGGAGCCTGCGCGGGAGAAGACGGCGCATTGCCGTGGAGGGTTGTGGCGGATGTTTCGGTGTGACGGTGAGAAGATTTATGTACGTGGCGGCCTTGCTGAGGATGATGATGACGTGTTTGTATTCGTTCGGTATTTCAGGTGGCTCCGAAGGAGAAGAAATCACACCGAGACATGAAACCCATGCAGGGTAAAGATTGTATTGTATGACTTGTCCAAGTAAGTGTGGGTTTTGTTATTATTGTACATAAATGCTATGATGAATTGATTAATCATGGGAAGACGGCAAAGGGTGTTGCAATAAACAATTACTGAATGAACGCGTTATCTGCATCAATGTTACGATCATCCTTTGTGAATAAACTTCAGCAACTGTATGTTTGACAGCGCTTGACAGCATTTGACAGCATTTGACAGCATTTGCTTTCCAATGATAAGAGAGACACGCCTATTCAGACCCATTACGTGACTTTGAACATTATTCAAATTTGAAACGACAACTGTTACGCATTCTTCGTAAGATACGACCTTGTAGCAGATGATTAATGATTGACCAAGAATACATGGTTGTAGTAGGGTCGATAAATGATTGCTATTTGGTTTAGTCCAGTGATACGAAGATGTAAAGACTTACTACTGAAATAGGTAGGTTGGCTCTACTCAAGGGACTATCACTCAGAGCTTTGATCTGACTCAATGACGAATGGCCCATAGTACGGCTGAAGGCTGTTTGGATAAGGGAACTCGGCACAAGAGAACGGAGAAAGCCTAATTGATGTATCAATCCTTTTAGCAACGCTTCGACATTACGCAATGCCCTTCTTCATTTACATCAACGGATTCCCTGGTGTCGGCAAGCTTACCGTAGCCAAAGATGTATGCAATCTCATTCAAGAGAGTGGGGTGTTCCACAACCACTTGGTGATAGACCCTGTAGCCGCTATGCTTGACCGACGGTCTGAAGCGTACGACGAGTTAAGAGCAGAGTTCCGAAGGCGTGCTCTACATGCCGTCGCCACGCGCCCCGAGTTGGAAGACACGACCTTCATCTTTACAGACTCGCGCGAGTCTAGCGCTCAGGGAAGTGCGGGCGTGAAAGATTATCAGAGCGCGGCCGAGGTGAGGGGCGTGCCGTTCATATCGATCATCCTGCATTGTAAGCTTGAGGAGAAGTTGCGGAGACTCGAGGGCAAAGATAGTGGCGACGAGAGCAGACGGAGCACGGAATTGATCGACGGGGAGATTCTGCGCATAGTCCGGGAGAACGAGGAGATTTTCCGATGCGGGGGTGAGCTGGAGCTGGAGCTCAACATCACGGATATAAAACCAAGCGAGGCGGCCCGAGTTATCGTACACCACGCATATACGATAGCCAGCAAGAAGAGGGAGGTTCCGAGTACACGACGCTCACATGACTTATCAGTGTTGTAGCATCTACCTATAATACAGCATATGTCGTATCTCAACTGTGGTCAAGCTGGAATGGATCAAAAGACACGGGGCCGCCCAGAACACCAACCTAATCTATCCGTCCCGTACTCCAAATGTTCAAACCGACCTTGACGCCTTTCTTTACGGGCAAACCAGCGTGCCACGTCTCGTCGTATCCAGCACCGCTCCCATCGGCGCGAAAGTTTTCCCAAAAGACGGCGTTTCCGGGGACCGCCTTGAACACGACCCCCTTCTCCTCTCCATCGCCTTCGCCCATCTTCTGACCGCCGTCATTCCCTTCTCTCACACCCCCACATTCGACGAACCGACACCACCTCTCCTTGACTCCCGGGACGCTCAACAACGGGAACTCTGTCCCACCGCCGACCAGGCCCTCGCCTCCGCCCGTCCCAGGCGTCCCGTCCTCGTCGCGCGCGTCGACCCAGGCCATCATGCTGCTCACTCTCCCCCATCCGCCACGGTTCGCGCTCCAGTCAAAGTGATATGAGTAGTGCCCGCCCTCGACATAGCGCTGGGTCCGCAGCCTCTCGACCCAGAGCTCCTCGCGCCAGCCCTGCAGCGCGCGGACGCGGGCCTCGACGCAGCGGACCGTGTCGGTGCGCGGGACCATGGCAACCTCGGACTCGCGGATCGAGGTGTCGCGTTGGACACCGGCGCCGTCATGGGTTATCGTTGACGGCTCAAACAGGGGTTGGCTGGACGGGTATGTGAGCATTTGACGGCTTCACTTTGGGTGCGAATGCAGAAAGAGACGAGGGCGAAGAAAGGCGATGGAGCACAATGGCAAGTCGGAGGAAAAGCAACGGGAGAGTTGAACGAAGAAAAGAAAAAAAAGAAAAAAAAAGAAGAAGAAAAATCCAGAGTGAGCCAACTTACCTGATGTCGAGCAAATGCACCCTCTCCTCGGGGCTAAGGAACCCCTCAATATACAACACCAGCGGCTCTTTGGAGAAGATGCGCACCGAGTACGTGTCAGGCGGGCACGACAACGCCGTGGCGTTGGGATACTCGATGGCGAGGAGCGACTCGTTCATCTGCGGCCGGGGCGTACGGACAATCCGGCCTCGGCCGCCGGCCCCGGATGGAGAGAAGAGCCGGGCGATGGGGTCAGCGAAGAAAACAAGGACCGCCACGAGGCCTACGACGTAGGAGATCATGGTCGGGGTCGGGAGGTATTCATGGAGCAAAGGGCCGGCGTTCGTTTATGAGAGAGTGCGCGCGCACACAAAGGACACGGACCGAGCTTCAGTAAAGAGGGAGCGAGTTCACTCGGTAGCAAAGAACGGTTTGCAATACGGATAATCAAACGACGTTCACTTAAACATTTTACCCGCTAGCGTATTGGTGGGTGTTACATAGGTGTCTCCGCCACATCCGCGCCGTGCAAAGCCGCAGCACACTGTGCGTGGGACTGGCAGACTTGGAAAGGGCAAGATGATCCTCATTTTACCTAAATGAAACGAGAATGGCTTGTTACTGACCCGTGTCAACCACACAAGAGTGTGTCAACGCTACTGCTTCTTCTTCTCGTCGACTGTCCCCCCACCCTTGCGGTACCCCGACTTCGAATAAGTCGCAATGAGTCTCCACAGAACCCACGCAAATCCCATCATCACTGCGGCCGCCGTCCCGACCCGAACCCACTCGGCTTGCCCGGCCTCGAGGACTGGCACCCGTACGGTGCTCAGTAGCCGGCCGCCGTCCTCGGCCACCGATCCCGCAGCAGGCCGCGGATCGACGTGCCAAAACACCGTCCGCGGCCCGAACAATGCGTCGTAGCCCAAGTTCACCCTCTCGAAGGGGCTGCTCGGGAACTTGGTGCCCTCCTCGGAGGAGCACGCCCAGAACACGGCTGGATAGGGCACCTCGACGTCCGTGTACCCGCCGGCGGCCGGCTCGAGGTAGCGCAGGTGCAGCGGCACCTCGGCCGTCCACTCCTCGTCCTTCTCTGTCGCCGGCGGCCTGAGCTCAAGGAGGACGCCGGAACCCCACGGCTTCGTGGCGTAGGCAGGCGCCTCGAGGTCGACGGGCGAGGTGGAGTAGCGCAGCGCTGTGAGGTTCTTGGATTGCAGGAAGAGGTCATCGGCGAGCTGGTAGCGGTCGGCGAAGACGGTCTTTGGGAGCGTCAGGTGCGCATGGACGGCGCAGTATGCGTCCTCGATTGGCGGCTTGGCAGAAGTGAGCGTGAGCTGCAGCGTCGGGTGTAGGCCCGCCGGCTCGAGGAACTTTGCGTAGAAGGAGCTTGGGCGAGACGAGGCGTCCGCGTGCAGGCGGTGGCGGGCGGGCACGTTGAAGAGGACGGACGACGGCTTCTTGTGCTCACCGAGGACGGTGAGGCCGCCGCTCATACCGATCTCATGGGGCTCAGGGTTTGGGGTGGCGTCGGTGGTGAGGATACCGACTTCGGTTCGGTGATTGGGCGTCGAGGAGACGGAGACGCGATGCTTGCCGTGAGGCCACTGGGCCGTGAGTTTGAGAGCGTGCGAGATTGTGTCGTAGGATATATCGAGAGAGGCTGCTGTCTTAAGCTCCTCGGCGCGGGATTTGCAGGCGGTATCCGATGCCGAGCAGAGCTGTTCGGCCGTGTACTGTGTGAATGCGGCGAGGTCCTCTAGCGGTTGGTAGTATTGAAGAGCAGCCGAGTGAGAGAACCGGTCACGGGGAAGACTTGTGAAGGACTGCATGGGCTGTTAGACGGTGGATTGTACGGCCAGATGTGAGATGACGATGGGTTACCTCGGACGATGAGCAGCCGCTGCCACCAAAGGCGTTCTTCAGTTCTTGGCATAGTTTCGTTCTGCACTCATGTCAACACTCCCTATCCCCACTGCATCTCACGGCAATTTACCCGTCCCATTCCCCATCCCTCTTCGGGGTATAAAAGAGGTGAAGGCCCGGCGATACCCTCGAAGCCAAGGGTCCAAAAGTGTCATAGGCCCAAGGACTAGCCCATCTGATGTGCAGCTCGTGACTCTCACTGAGAAGCTGGGAGAGCTCAGATGGGAGCTCCTCCAGAGCCAGTGTGACTCTCTCTTCACGGACGGACAAGATGTCAGGGCCCTTGACACCGGCATCGCTGATCTCGAGAGACTCGGGTGGAACGCCGTCACCTGGCTTGTGGATGAAGGTGATTCGCTGACGCATCTTGCTAATGTCAGGTGCAGCTCGACGAGGGTCTCGGCAACAGGTTTCCGGTCGATATGGAAACTTGAGTGATGGTTTGCGATGAAAAGACTGCAGCCGCAATACTACTGTCGATGGAAGTGGGCTCCTCGGTGACGTGAATGGTGTAGGGGTGATTCGTGAGCGAACCGAACAGCATGTGCTTGGATGGGTCTATTAGCATCGACAACGACGTTGGGGACCCGTTGCGTTGCTGAGGACACCTCGCTCAGTGCGGAGCACAGAAAGCCTGCAGCTCCGATCGGTGGCCATGATGCTGCGGCTCCAGTAGGCTTTAGTAGCTACCTAAGCTTGAATACACAGGGGCCTAGGTACCTAGGTAAGTAGGCACTGTAGATGGCCCAAGTATTCCCTCCCGTCCGTGTCATCTTCGGAGCATAAGCCACACACGCCGGATTAGATAAGCATCAGCCACATTAGATAAGACGCCAAGACAGCACGTGGTCAAAGCGCTTGACCCCTTTAGGTAACCGGCCTCAGTGACGCTAAACCGCTTTGGCTACCGACACTCGTTTGCACCACCAAAGCGGGATGCCTCCAGCCTCTGTCCACCAAGACGGACGGCGCCAATGTCAGAAAACACCGCCGACGTCTTTCCTCGACTTCCTCTCTTCCAGGCCAGAAGACGTTTTGTTGTTCTTGCTTAGTGATGCATCAGACGTCGTTCCCGAGACTGCAGTCTTTCTGGCTCTCACGTCCCTCCTAGTTTCCCCTCTTGTCGCGATATGCATCTCAACAACACTTTCTATCTAGTGAACCACATTCCACGCCACAGATTGCGCTGGAACTGTGCGACATCTTGACCGCTCAGGTATACATATCTGGGGGAAACTCCGTGGCAGGTGAATAAATCATCAGAGAAGCGTGGGTTATTCGCATACATGGGCGACCACCAGCCGTACGTGACCATTCGGTCGCGACGACCCGCCGACGGGAACAGCGTGAGCAGTGCCGACTCGACTGTAAGTGCAAGAGTTTCGACACAGCATTCGCTCAGGGTACAAGTAAACTCACAAGCTGGTATTGTCCAGTACGGATCCAACTCCGACGGTGCGCCCCGTACCGCCACCCACGATGTCAGCCGCGTGAGCTACCATGTGAAGCATCTGGGCAGCTTCGCACAGACTTTGGAACATGTGAGTCGCCGCGGACCACCGGCCAAGCCTGCCTCGGCCGCTTTCTAACACAATCCCAGTCTGCCAACAGAGCATTTCCTAATCGCGGGAGATCCTCACAGCGGTATACGAAGGTCCAAGCCCTGCTGCTCCACTGGGGCTGCGATGACCTTTTTGTGCTGCCCGAGCTGGAGGACTTGGAAAGGTGTCTCCGGGAGGACTATGCCTATGAGACTGAAATCTTCCCCATACCGTCTGAGAACTCACATCTGGAGCTCATGATGCAAGTGGGAAAGTTGATCAAGGACCATGAGGCCCAGGACACGCTCTTTTTAATCTACTACGGTGGTCATGCCAGGATAGACGAGTCCAGGCAAAGTACCTGGTGCGCGTAAGTGTTTGCAAACATCTCGTAGATTGGGCTATTTGTCCTCAAATGTCGTTAGAACACGGCATTCCGACTCGCCTTGGCTTCAGTGGTCCGCCATTCAGACATTGTTAGAACGTTCGGCATCCGACGTTCTCATCCTCCTCGACTGCTGCGCCGGCGCTGCAAGCGCAACATTTCCCAACGGCAACAGCATCACCGAGGCCATCTCTGCCTCAAGCTGGGATGCTATCGCCCCAGATCCAGGTCGCTACTCCTTCACGAACGCCCTGATCGAAGTAATGCAGGAATGGCGCCTCCGCGCCTTCTCTGCGGCGATGCTACACGCCGAAGTGCTCGCCCGCTTGAAGCACCCACGCCCTGTCACCATCAACGGCAAGCTCTTCGAAGCCAGGTCGACCCCGGTCCATTTCATGATGACCTCTAACCACAAGGCACCCAGCATCGAGTTGTCCCGAGTCGTCCCCGCCGGAAATCGGCCGCCTTCGCCCCCTCGGGAGATCCCAGCGACTGCTGATGGGAACGAGTTCCCCGAGGGGGTAACTGGCGGGCGTGGTCCAAGTGGCCCCATATCTGGCGAGCCGAACGAGGACACACCTCATGTCATGATCTCGCTCGCGCTAGAGGATGATCAGCAACTGGATCTCAACGCATGGGAACAGTGGCTGTCAAACTTCCCGGCCATGGCCAAATACGTCAAGGTCCAGGGTGTATTCAAAAGCCACTCTACACTCCTCCTGGTGTCCATGCCGGTTATGATATGGGACCTCCTGCCTGAGGATCATGCCACCTCTTTTGTGGCCTTCATCCGGTCGAACAACCTGGTGGCCCAGAAGACATTCAAAGAAGAGGCCGAAATCCAAGTACCAGCGAGCAGAGGCTCTCGCGCAGCGCTTGACAGGACACAAGCTGACTCTGCGTCAACGAATACGTTCTTTTCCGACAGCACATACACATATGCTCCGACGGATACAGGCAGAGTTCTTGGCCAGCAAGCAGCTGATATACGATCCTTCTCTTTGAGCAGCGAGTTGGCTTCAGGAATGGACGTAAAATTACAGCACGCAGGTCTAGGATCGTCAGGAATATCGCCATCCTTGTCTCCGACTAGCGGTCACTCGACGCCGCTGCCGTCTGCCAATTACGCAGCTTCGCTCAGCACTCTCCAGCGTCAAACCGCCGCCTTCTCTCAGGCATCATCCAAGGTGGCTTTTTCGAGGGCGATGATACCTAATCAGCAGAGAAGTGCCCGCAGGACTGCCTTCCCCTACATACCTGAGCCGCCCAGGTTCTCGCAGCACGTCGAGACGCTGCTCCAGCAATACTACCGGCAGGAACCTTTGCCCAACGACGAGCAGAAGAACTTCGTCGCCTCCAATCTGGGTATCGAACTATGGCATGTCGACGTAGGTAAATCCAACACTCACAACGGGAGAGCTCGTCACTGACTGTCACAGGCCTGGTTCCATCATCGGCGAGAGAGAGATATCGTCTCTCGGCAATTCCAGAAGCTCAAGATGGATGATCTAGTTCCAGCGGCAACCCAAGGAGCTCGGATGATACTGCCCCATCATCTCAACAAGATCATTGAGATTCTGCCTCCCGGCAGGACACTACTGATCGACCTCAGACCACCAGTAGACTATGAAAAATCTCACATCAGGGGCGCCATCAACCTTCGTGCTCCTCTGTGGCTTGTCCAGGATGCCTCGTTCGACGTGATTGAGCGCGCCTTCTTGGACCGCGAAAGCAGACAAAAGTTCGGAGAGTGGCAGTCAACAGTTTGCATGGTCTTCTACGCCCGCGCCGTGGACTCTCCGTGGGAGTGTCCCGTGGCCGACGTGCTCTACGAGAAGTTTAAGAGCTGGGGCTGGCCCGGCCGATGCTTCATTCTCAAGGGTCATTACAGGGAATTCAGCGTCTCCTACAGCAAATCCATCGCTGGGTCCAAGATGACGGACGAGGCAAGAGCACATGCGGAAGCCCTCATCCGGGCCAGCAACCAAGCGTTAACGTCGTCAAGGGAGGATGACGTAGAGAGGAGAACCCAATACGAGAAGCTCCTGGCCCAGATAGACGACGAGGGCAGAGTGAACTCGTCGTCGGGCCCCAGCCAGTCAAACAGCCAGGACCGCGCGCGTGCCATGAGCCAGCATGAACAAGATCTCGAAGCCGAGTTCCGCTGTCGCGTCCCAGACCTCCTCTACCGCAAAATCCTAGATGTCCACGGCAATAGCGGCGGAACGGCTGCCGAAGCATCACCCGCCGCCCATGGCGCTGGTACCGAGGCATCAATAGTAGAACCAGAGGGTGCATGGTCAGGGCAAACGAAAGCAACGGGATGGCACTGCTCGTCTACGGGCCATCCTGCTGGGGCTGGAGGCGACGAAGACAAGGACCGGGATGGCGACAGAGACAGCACCACCGCAGCCTTTGGTCCCGACACGAAGGCACCGCTAGTCGAGTATCTCGATCGAGGTCTCTTTTACATCCGGCAGGGGAGACTCGCCAACGCGACCGTCGTCGAGGCCTCTACTGCCACATTTCCTAGACATGACACAAAACCTACCACCAACCCTCCCCGCATGGGACTCTCGAAGCTTAGGGCCGAGGACCTCCATGGATATTTTGACTCGGCCGCGACCGTCTCGACGGCTTCAGACGACTCTTACGTCAAGGTCACCAAGGGCGAGGGGCAGCAGGCGGACGGCCACCCCTCCGCCTCCCCAGACCCGGTTCATCACCACCGCCAGGATCACCACGCCGGATTCGGAGGGGAAGACGGGACGAGAGACGCCGCCGCCGTCGATGGCCCGTTGAGAGATGAAACACCCAGGAAAGGCCGGGGCGGTTTCTTCAACAAGGTTCTGCGGCGAGCATAACTTTGTCGAGAAGGGAGGAGGACGTCGTTGTGCCTGGACCCAATGCCTTGTTTAGGGATGATGCGACGGTTGTGGCCCGTCGCCCATATTCGTCTCAAATGGCGTTTCTTCGTGGGAACTTTTTTTTTTGTCTTGTCCTTCGTTGATTCCATCCCTTACCGGACTGGGAGGTCTGGCCAGGCACCTGGCGGAGAGCAAGGGGCAACCATGATGGCCATTCGTCCCCTCTCACGTCGCCTGACTCTTCTTCGATTGATGTTTTGGGAGCAGGGGTGGCATTTATAGCACATTGGCATACTTCGGTTCGATCCGTTCGGGTCGCTTGTAGGGTTCGACCGTCCTCGTCGGGCTTGGAACGGCACAATGATTCAAAACCACACTCTAAAAAAGGGTTTGCAAGAAGGGGATAGCAAGAGGATGGCGATGTCCGAGTGACGGAAGCAATCTATGTCGAGGTATGTATGCTACGGTATCCCGAGCTACATGGGGCTACCAAAGGAAGAAAAGAAAAAAAAACTGTATACGGCGGACGTGGTGTGGTCCCTGCTTTGGTTCCTCTCTCGCTGCCCGTTTCGATCCCTCGCCCAGCTGCGTCCTATGCCTCGTTTTGTTAGTCTATACTTCCCCCCTGCCCCCCCTCTCCCTATTTGCTAGGCTTGCCACGTTAGAGGGGTTGCATACTTGTTGGGGGATGTGGACAGGCAAACAACGTTCTTGCCTGCCCTTCTGCGAGAGGAACTCACGAACTGCGCCCCCATGTGGTAAGCGTACCGCCGTGAGCGCCGGGGCGGACTCGCAACGGGGGGGGGGGGGAAGGGTTGAGGGTTATTATTCCCTCCCACTTTTATCCTGTCGCCCCCTTTTTCAGATGTTTCCGTCCCTAGCGAGGGAGGGCCGTTTGCCAAGCAGATCCATCAAAGCCATGAGGCAGGGACACACTGGTCAACGACACGGGGCGTTTGGTGCCCGTTCGTCTCGAACGAAGCATGTTGAGTGCAAATGTCGCTCTTGATGATTTGGATTTCCGCATGGCCTCGGCCCCCCCCCCCCCCTCTTGCCCCCTCCTTTTCCACTTCCGCGCTTGACGAGTTTCTTTGCCCTTGAATCCGGAAGCCCGGGTGTCGCGTCACCCACTCCGAACAAGGTTTTTGCTTTGCTCTTGAGGCATATCACCATGCACAGCAGGCACAGTAGACACGGACAGATTCAAGAAGCCATGCAGACAGGGCATATCCCTCTTATGACTGGATACTAGCACACCCACACCGTCACTGTTGTGTCAATGGACGGGAGACTGTAGATCGCAAATCATAAACCGTAATCCGCAGAGACTTTGCCAGGTTGCGGCAGCGGCAGCGGTCGATCATGAACAGGTGGCGAGCAACGCCAGGCCGGTGGGTTGGTCGTTACGGGCCGCCCGAGTGCCCTCGGTCCTGGATCTCTGATCCGAAGATGTGTGTAAACACACGGCACTTCAGCCTCAACATCGTCCCAGTACGAATAATGGCCGGCCGAGTTAATCGGCTGGCGGCTGGCCTGATGTTGCCAGCATGTATTGGTGTGTGCCCGGCCATGGTGCGGACATTTCCAGCCCCTTTTGTTGGTATCAACGCATAGCAAGGACGGACGCCCGGCACCTCTGGCTTGCAGGCACGCCAACGCAGAAGAGAGCCGAGAGCAGACATGCGTGTGCCTCTGTTCCTCCTAGTAGGTTCTTGCAGAGCTGTCAGAAAGCCTCGACTGGCCAATCTGGTGCGCACGCCGACGAAGACAGCCCTGGGAACGAAGGATGACAAACCCCGATGATGGAAGACGAAAACAGAATCCCCGGTTCGATGTCAAGAAACGTCTAGAACTGACAGGTAGGCTGTACAGAGTGAGGCAATTGAGAGCCGACGAAACGGGAAGGCCAAGTAAGATTGGCTTGTCCTGTAACAAGCTTCACTTCAAGACTCGCAAGTGTCGTCCAGAACAGCAAACAGACCCGTGCCGTTTCTTTGCGGGCGCGGGCTGATGTTTCTTCTTTGGCGGCAGGTGCGCAGGGTGGCGGAGTCTGTGTCGTCCAACGGCTGCTGTCAAAGTCGAATCGACAAGATGCGACTGGCTGGCAGATGTGACATGTCGGGGCCCTCGACCCGACCCCCTCCTGGGTGCCAAATCCAAATTCTGAATCGGATGGTGGGGGTGGGGGTGGGGTGATCCGACAGGCGAGATCGTGTACTAGGTATATGTATGTGCATTGCCGGACAATCCCGGCTAAAAGGAGGCAAAAGAGAGTGGGAAAAGAAAAAAGAAAAAAAAAGAAAGAAAAAGAAAAGCAAAAAGGGCTTATCTCTGTTGATATCTGCTGACGACGAGGAAGAAAGGGGGAGGGGGCCAGGGGGGTTTGATTCAGCGGTGGACGGTAACTCGATTATGGGCAGAGAGGAGTGGCTTGACAGCGGGTTGTGGATATGCACGACACAACCATTACGACGAGAACTCGAAGGAAGGAGGCGACGAATCAGAAGACCAGTGACCCGACCTAGGGTTGAGAAACATGGCCGGTCCGGCTTGAGGCTTCTGCGGTAGAACTCTGCTGTGCGCGACATGCGCTTCGACTGATCCAATCTCTCTAGAGTTTGTCTTCTGGCATCCTTCCACAAGCTGTCGTCGAAGGTTATGACGGCGTCATGTTCCGCTGTCGTCGGAGCTCGCGACCTTTAGTCTGAGCTTGCGAAGGAAATGCGATTCGTTCCCCCAGGAGTCGTGACAGGTGCTGGGACCTCCCCTGTCATGCCCGGGGGGGTAGCTCTTGATCCAAATGAAGGTTGCTTTGCGATTTGACAGGGCGCTTGGACCATGTTAAGGCTGGGCTCAGGCGACAAGGGGTGGGAGGGCGAAAGGATATGACGATGGAGTGAACCTTGGGCCCTGTTGTTGGGGCTCGCTCTTCCCATATCCCCCAGTTCCACCCCCCTCCTTCTTGTTCTTCCAAAGTTCCAAGGGCTCCCCTGAAGTCGGATTGGCAGTAGCCAAGCCATCATCGTCAACCGGTCAGGGTCAGACCCATGCAAACGAGTGGGGAATAGACGTCGCTCTTCGGGCACTGGTCGGACCTACCTGTTCAGTTTCAGATGTTCGGAAGCAATGCCAGAAGACTGCCAAATGCGCACGGCTTCCGGAACGAGGTCTGCCGTGAAGCCCAGAGTTGCCCGTGGGCATCGTCCGCAGGGCGCTCGACAAGTTGTGACAAGTAAGCATTCAAACAAACAAACAAACAAACAATGCAGACAAGTCGCGAGTGTATGAGATGCTGGCAAGCCCCATGTTCCGGCCTCAGGGGCTGCGAAGCCAATCTTCCGCCATGCCTGCCGGTCACGCAATTTTTGCACCCAGCGTTATGAAGGTTGCTCCCTCAGCCTGGCTGATCCTTGGACCCGGCGGGGGACAGGGTGTCGGCAGAGGGCATCTTTGGACGTCGAACCCCCCTGACCACTTTGCCACTACTCCACTCGAATCGTCCTAGTCCGATCCATCAGCGTTGCATCTGGTGGCTTCCTGGCGGCTGTCAAACTTGACAGATCCCCTAAGTAAGCACCTCTTGGGGGGATGGTACTGGAGCCTTCGCCTGGGTTTTCCCGCGAAATACCCAGCGTTGCAGACCAATGACTTCATAATGAGGCCAGATATCTCATCAGCCTGTCCTTCTAGATGCTCTCGGCGGGGTTCCCAGCATCTGCCGATACTCTGTGTGTGTCTTTGCAGTTCTCCTATCCGTCTGGGCGTGGGCCTACCTGACTGGGTGCCGTGTGTGCGGATTCGGCAGGCCTGTGAGAACATCGAGCCGAGTTCGGAATCTTTGCGCGAGGGGAAACGAGAGGAGGACAGCTCGCCATCATGTTACCCTGACAGAGTCGCGAATCGCAGTAGGTGGTGAAGAGATTGGCGTTGTAGGCTGTCCATGACGCCGCCGTGTTTCACTGTGACGCTAACGCCGACCGTTGCTGTCACCCCGAAAGTTTGTGCTTGACGTGCGGAGCAAAATGCGGCTGCATCAACTGACATTGCCGACCGCGCGACGCTGTTGCAGTCGACTACGAATAAACGAGCGAGTGCACGTATGGCAGGCGGGCCTCAGCATCTCCATCTGATATGCCTGTCTTTGCTCCCAGCAAGCAAAAGGCCGGCACAGGGTTGTTTCCGGCACGGCCGCCTTGGGCGGTTGTGTTACTCAATAAGGAGCAGCTTGCGCGACACGATACACGGGGCCGTGACCAGGGCCATCGCCTCCCGAAGACCCGATCTGGGCTCGCAGAGGACAAAGTACTGTCACGGCCTTCGCTCACGGCGCACAAGCAATGACAGCCGTCGTAAAGTATCCACTGAATTCCCAGACCTATGGGATGGTTGGACAGCATGGTTTGTCTCGATTGCATGTACTTTAGGTGATCCAAAGCGGGCCAAGCCTCACTTGAAAGCTTGCAGTTCGTACGATAAATGGGCAGACCAGGCGTGCCGTGCTTTGATGCCGCCGCTGTATCCAGCGTGCAAACTCAAATAATTGGCAAGAATGTTCCTGGTATTCTGCAATATTGTTGCCACCACACAACGTAGGCTCTTGAGCTTTTTGAGCTTCCTAGTCAAACTCGTCCGTCAATCGAGTACACCGGCACCGAGTGAGTGAGCTGCAATGTGAAAAGCGGGATTCATCAAAGAGCAAAAGTCGCCTACATGTATCCGGAGCCCTTGACCACGAAAGCTCTGCATCACGGATAGGGGAAGGAGCATCGGGATAATGTTTCTGGCCATGGCCACTCGACTTCCCATCATCACGGGCTTGTATGTCTCCAAGTCTCCCATGCATGATGAGCCACGGGATGTCGAGCAGGTTCCACAGCCAAGCACGAAGCAACCTTGTCTATGTCGGTCGTAGATGGCGTTAGAGTCTGTAACGTCCTGCGACATAATCCTCGGAGAGCGCTTGCAAAAGTAACTACTCGGTCTCGTGCGCCAACTCCTCGGGGTAGCTGGAAATACGTCCAGATGTGTCACGAGGAAAGCAATGTCTGTGACATGACAGAATGATGAGCACCCGCAACTATTGAGCAGTCAGCCAAACTCAGCGAATTGGGACCCGATTTTGTGGACCGAATACGCGGAACGCCGCATCACAGCACAACCCAAGTAGTCAGAGTTCACCGGCCATTGGCATTGCATGTTCGACCCGAGGGTGGGGAGGGGTGCCTAACAACGCGAACGAATATGCATGTATAAGTCCGCCACAGGCCGAACATCCCGCTATATTGCGTACAAAGTAATGCAAACTTAATCCTTTCGTAGAATGAGGGCGTCACGGACTGTGTGCAACGTAGGTGAACTGCTGCCAGACAATATGTCATAACACGAGTCTCGGTGACACGCCGGCATGCTTGCGGTATGCTGCTTCACAATCTCTGGCTTTACATCTTGTCCGACCATCTGAGTAACTCGTGCCGTGAAGAACCGCCGAGTCGGTTCTGGTGGAAGGCAGCGCGTTGATCAAACGCCTTTTGGCAGTCATATCTCCGTTAACCAGAAGTCCGAGTAGTCTCCTCTTGAGCACCACAGGACATGACAGTGTGACTGTTGTCAGACAATACGGATACTCAAGTCAACCAACAAAACACAGGCAACTGACTCAAACCTGGACGGGCGGGGCGCCAAGACTATAACACGAGGCGACAAGCCCCGGGGCATGCGGCTCATTCCAAATTATGACAGGTGATGGGGGATCGCTGCTGCAAGATTCTCGATCTGGCTGCGGTTGACTGGTCCGGTTCAGCTCGTCGGGAGATTGGGGTAGGAGTTGAAGCGGAGGTTCGTCCCCCCACGGTAATGTACGGGATACGGCGCTGGGTCTTCGAATGATGGAATCCCGAGAACGGTAGAATTTCTCCCGCTGAAGTCATTTTGCCCCACGCTTGGGTCATGTGTGTAACATGGTGCACAGCTCCGTATGAGGGGCCTCGTTATCCCGCCGATCCAGCTGATAAATGAGCTGATGTTCAAACGTCTGTCATTTCACTCGAGGTAGTAAATGATGAAGCCGGCTCCGAGTCGAAGTGGAACGCGGAGTAGGAAAGACACAATTGGGTCCCGTCCTACGGATAGGTACAGCAGCAAGGAATCCCTGTAAAGATCCTGGTTGGCGGGCTCTGCCGTCTCATCAATAGACTGTCGGTCCCTCTTTGTCATCCCCTGTTCTTAACAATGGGGATCCATTTGAATGGAACCCTCACGACCGGTAATCCTTTCTTGACTTGGTCATTTTTGCGAATCTGTCCATTGCTCATGCGGCAGAGTGGGTCACCCAACGATCTGGCAGAATGAACAAGCCTGGCTTTTTCGTCAAGGAAACGACATCCCGTTTCTTTTTCCAACACTGAGGCGTGGAGATGTCGAATGTAAGCACGGTGCCATGTGTTGGGCACACGACGGAGGTGGTATCTCAATCCCTACCTCGACGATCCTTCTCGCAACGTTAGGCCGGGCATGCCGCCCAACAGACAGATACGGCTCATCAGTGCGTGTTTCTGGCGATTGAGCGAGGAAATGTCGGCCTAGTGGATGGCTACGCCGCACGCCGGCATCCTAGTAGAGCACCACTTGAGCTTCAATGCAAACAGACGAAGTGAGCTTGCAGCCAGTTGATCAAATCGTTGAAACATGCGGCGTTGAGGCGAACAGACTCTGACCACGCGATGTTTGGGTCCGTTCGGCCAGGCTAACTGGTGAAACGTCTATTTCGGTCGCCTCGACAGAACGATGTAAACAACCTCGTGACATGCTCGGGGCTCAAGGTCCAAGGTTTTCACAGACAGCTGTGCCTGACAGCAACCTGAACCTTGGAGGGGCCGGCTACTCTAGGGGCCGGCGAGCGCCAAATTGTGAACGCCCTCCGCAGCAATTCAGAGCCATACTTCTTGTGGTACAGGTACAGTGTATTTTTAGGGTCACATCGTTGAGTGACAGTGTTCCATATCGGTCCTTGTAGATGGCGGTGGTCAGACCTGAACGATATGGGTACAGCGAGACGGACTCCACGGCAGCCCCCCCCCCCCCCCCTTTAACACTTGGATGGCAAGGAGAGGGGTCCGCAGTGAAGATGGTGAGGCCACCACATCCCGGTACGATACCGGAATGTTGACAAGGGTACTTGCAAAGACGGCAAGCAAGACTCTAGAGTGACACTCGGCGCGGGGGGATGTGCAGGCGTGAAGCAAGATCGAATTCCGGACGGCAGCCGGTTGTGATCTCTGCAGTGTAGTGTCAAGCGATTCATAATGCGTTTAGGTGCGTCCGCGAAGCGAGGGAGCTGAGGGGATTCGGACGTGGTCCAAAGAAACAGCAGCACTTCGCTGCGCAGTTTGCCTAACAATGGCAGTGGCCAATGGGAGGCCGTGCTGACCGAAGCAAGCGGTTACAGTATAGGGCACGCATCTCGGGCCCCGACAGCCAGCGACGCAGTAAAGCCTTTGGCAAGATCATCCTGGGCAGCCCACTATGTATGTACGAGTGGGCATGCGCTGTAGCCTGTTGGCGCACAGGGCAATGGGAACGTGCTGCGATGGGTGGATTGCCGATTATTGGTGCTGGGATCGACGGGTGGCTGGCGCTCAGCGAAATTGATCGAACTACTTCAAAGAAGGGGGCGTGGGCAGATGAAAGAAAATTCCATCATCTGGTTTGATGCCGAGAGGCGAAGATATTCAGCTTCGGTGGTCAGATTGATGGTTTCCTCTAAGAAGGAGGGAGCACTGGACGTTCGACGTCGTACTTGGAAGGCTCAGCGACGTTTTCTCGGTAGGGCTCGGGTACCGGATGCCAGCCAATATAAGGCCTTCTTTGTGTCAACGCGCAGCCGGTGGCGTCCAAACTTGGATATGTATAGATGGCCGGGCGGGCAATCCCAAAAGAACCGGAGGAGAGTTCTTCTGGTCTGCTTCGGTGCTCGAGGGTGGTGAATTCGTGGCGCCCATCAACAAGCCTGGCCAGAATTCGAAACGGCACTGGGCAATCAATTCGCCCTGTGCGTGGACCGGAACGAAGCCGCGATTGAACGGTCGGTCGACGCAGCCAGCGTATGCGCAAAACAGGCGCGGGCTCATCGGTACATCGTACAGACAGCTGGGACAGGGCACTCGCCCATCTGTCAAGGGGTATCGTGTTATATCCGACGTCCAAGGTTCAGCCGCGTAGGCGAGCGCGGCTTGCCCTGAACAGTGGTGTGACGGCGTCAGCGTAGGTTGATGCAGCATCTATGTGTGCGAGTGTAGTCCAGATCCGGGTAGTGAAGGGCAGGCGTGGCATAGCATAGCATCAGTGAAGCTGGGCCGCTTGTTATTACCTCCAGGTTTGATCATATTTCACATCGGAGACAGGCAGTCGTTGGCGGATGTTCGCAGCAGTTGTCAAGTCCGGTTCTATGGCACCGGTGAAGAGGCGTGTGTGAATGGGCCGGCAAATAAGACGCCTGGATCGGAAAAGAACGTGCCCGCCCCGTGTCTGCGGCTGCGGATTGGGAGCCAATTGGAGAAGGGGTTGAGGAAGGAGTTTCTTCCGATAGAAGAGATGCCGCCAGCGGGTATTCTGATGGGTTGCGGTGGGTGCGTACAGACTTTACACCCACTGTGACGGATACCCACGGCAGGTAGGAACCTAGGTACTTTGGACGGGTACAGTGAGTTGGTGTGGGAAGTGGTGTGGTGGCTAGTGTAGGGTTACATGTGGCTTGGCCTGCACCTTCCATTCGCAATCGCATTCGCACACCGAGTGCATCAACCTGTGCCTTCCAATTGATTGCTTTCGCTTGCAGGAATCCGTTTATTAATCGGAACCATTATCGAGATGGAAAGTGAAACAGGCCACATATACCGCTTTCCTACAGGCTCAAAGGCCAAGGTCACGATCAAATGTCATGGGGAAGGGAAAGAGAAGCCAGACACGGGGAGGGGTTCGACACACTTGCACGCACTCCAGCGCCATTTTCAGTGCATGCATGGCATAGCATGGCAGTCTTGCCAGGCTATCCATCTATCTACCTCGTACAAGGCGTCTCCTGCAGGCTCGGGATGGAGATTACACTTCTATTTTCTCCCTAGGTAATCTCCCTCAGTAGCAGCATGCCAACAAGCCACGGAGCGAGACTGGATGCCAGGTGACGTCCGGGGCGACGCCGTGCGACGACATGTGCGGTAAGCTCGTGAGATGGCGCTCCCCGAGACTAGAAGTAGTCAGGTATCCCGTCAGAAGCCAGTTGTGTGAGGCTGCCGGGGCGTCTGTCGTCTGCTTGAGGCAGGCTGACGGCCCTGTCCAGCCCAGCCCAGTGTAACGTCCGTCGATTGGAAAAGGGAAATGGGAGACAGCACAGGATTCAAGGGCTTTTACAAAGACATACTAGTGCCGACAGCCAGCCTGGTAGCTATTTGTGTCTTGTCCGAGGGCCGTTGATTCCATTGTTTGTTCTAATTTCCTTTCTCCCCCTTGTTGTGACTGGGGAAAGGGGAGGGGACAAGAGGAAAGAGCAGGAAGGGAAAAGGAGGCTAGCCTTAAGGGAAACTGGCAGGTGTTAGTGAGACGGCAGGCGCAAGTGTGGGCACTTGCTTGGGGCGCACTTTGTAGTTGCAGTTGCAGAGACACTTGGTGGCTCTTCGCTCGACTCCCCTTTCGATCCAACCCGCGTATCCACTTTCCCGAGCCTTGCTCTTGACGCAGAAGAAGAAAGCACGTTTTGCTTATTGGACCCGGCTGAGAGGGGTGAGGGAAGGAAGCTTCGAAGCCGAAGCAGGTAGATAGGTACCTATTTCCTCTCCAGTCAATATTCGGCTCGTCATGGATACTCGTACAGTCCGAGGCTATTCCGCTTCTTATTCTCCGCATATGCACCCAACTCAACCCATCGTTCGGCAGATATGCACAACTCGGACTTGTGCTTACTCTCCCAGCGGGCGATGCAGATGCCATCTAATCATGACGCACCGCTACCTGCCTGCACTGATTTGCTAGTATACCGTGTCGCTCAACTACAGCACCGATTTCCGCCACGTTGGAGAAACGCTGCGCCTGACTGGGCTCCGACCCCATCATCATCAACACCACCCCTGGATCTCGGTGAAGTCGACCTCGCCCACGAATACAGCATATGTACAGGTCGCGACCAGTTCCATGCCGACGGCAACGCCAACAAACCCTGCACAGTGCATCCCCGAGATCGATCCCCAGCATCGGCAACGAGATCTGGGCAAGCAGCCCACCAGCCTTCCACGCCGCCCACCCATCCATCACCAGACCCATTGTGGTGGCCAACCCACAGCCAATCAAACCCGTCTATGCTGACACAACTATCTTGTATCCATACTGGCCTGCCTGTCGACAACCAGCGGCCATGTAGATGGCCATGGCAATGGCACTGCATATTGCATTGTTTATCAAAATCCTGCACCATCACATGCACCTCGCCGACAAGCTGTCCGTCCCAGGTGCATGCACCTCATGGGCCAGCGTCTTGCTAGGCTGCTCCTGGGCCGTCCAGCAACGAACTCGGGGCTCGAACAAGCCAATCATCAACTGCCTGTCGGGATCATCTAGCCAGATCCCGCGAGAAACGTGCTCGTGTTGCTCAGAGCTTTGCGCATCTCGACATGTTTACCTGCACGTTTGCCATCCTTGGTTACAGCTATCCATGTAGGTACGGTGCGCTGTCACGCCAGCTTCACTTTTCTGCGGCGGCGCCGAGCTACGGATGAGGCCTAAGGGTTGTGCAACCATACGCCACGACATATCAATCGACAAGACCACCATACCCTTTGGCTCGTAGCGTGCCTTGTCGTCTTTGCCAGCACTCGGGCACAGACTGGTGACCTGTAGCATGGGCCGCTCTGCGCTGGAAGAGGCTGTTGACTCGCCGGAACCACCAGTACCTGCAGTGGACACAGCGCCTGGTTGCTCTCGCTGAAATGCTTGCCTGACGCCAAAGTAGCGGGGGATCGTCGTGCCGCCCGTTCCTCAGCTGCAGATCAGAGCGAACAAGAGCTGTAAAGTCTAGCAACGAGTGTCAACCCGAGGGGGTGCAACTGGCTCAGAGTTCGCAGCTGTAACAGGATACGCTTCGCACTGGACTGTCCTCTCTCTCTTGGGTAGGTACCAAACAAGTCTGGATGCCATCAACCACCCACCACACGCCAGGACCAGATAGCGACCATGATGCAACTGAGCCGGCTCACTCGAGAAGTGGTCGAGACTGGCGACCCAAAACAAGGGCATAAGAGACGTGCAGGCAGAAGCAGACCAAAGGGCGGGCAGCTGTTGGCATGGCACGTCCCAGATGGCATTCGACAGCGCGCAGCTGCAACGTCTCCAACCACGAATACGCCCTCTTCACCTCTCTCGCACGTCAAGCTCACCATACCACCGTGTTCCCTGTCACCCCATCAGTCAGCACCCGGGCTTCCGTCTCTCCTTGTTGTCCCCTTCTTTGTGTGATGTGCACCCGTTCCGATGGAAACCCAACCCAACTCTTGAGGCGCAGCAACTTGAGGCGACACCTGACAAGGAGCTGGTTATGACAGTTCCTGAGGAGCCAATCGCAATCTGGTCTCACATTTGACAACCTGAACGATCCCATCTCTGGTTCCGATTAACCTGAGATCAACTGTACCGTGGCAGCCTTGAGCAGCCAATCGCAATTCTTGTTTACCTGGATCTCTTGACGAACTCTTTCGGCCCTTGGACCTGTCATGCACACAAGTTGGGCTGTTTCTAGGACCTGTCAAAGGGATTAAGGGCAGAAGATTGATCGTGGCACCCTGGCCAGCACCGCCGCGAGGATCTCGCCACGGCCGCCAGGGCAAAACATTGATGCTACTCGGAACATGCCACTTCCTTCCAGCCACAGACCCAATCAATTGCGGTGCCCGACTGGGGACTGGGAGCCACCGGATGACTGCGGTAGATCTGCGTTTTTGACAGCTCTCCCTCTGGGCCCTCGAGCGGGGCGGCTCCGGCTCTGGAGGCGCTGCCTGTATGTGTTCCCTGGCCCCTTCCTGGAGAGTTGAGACTTGACCTACGAGGCGCGCCAGCTACCCTGGGTAGCTTGCTTTGGCCCTCCCGAAAAAGCACGTCTACCAGAAACCGAAACGGTGGTCGCGAGCCTTGGCCCGAGTGCACTTTGGTGCAATTTTATCACTCAATTTGGCGGGGTTTTACGGACTTTGAGTGATGCTCAAGGTCATAATGGCTGTTGTTGAACAACGAGTGCGCTGACATGGTAGCCGACGAAATTAGACGTCAGGAGTTGCATGACAATAGACATTTCGGTGCTTTGCGGTCGGGGGAAGGACGAGGGGCAGAGGTTGCATATGTCAAAGTTTGATCAGCACCAATCGCAGGGCAGCAACTTTGCTGGGCTGGATCCTCCGTTTTGAAGCATGGCCTGCAAACACTTCCCGAAGAGGAAAATGTCGGAATAATCCAATACCTCGTCAGGCGTGGCCCGTCATGGGGAGCCGCATCTCATGCATCGCACACATGTTCCAAAAACCTCAGACGGAGGGAGAACATCCAATAATGACTGACGTTTCACTCTGCACCGGTCGTGCCTGGGTCGGATTTATGTTGACAAGCACAGGCTCCTCCGCCGAGAGTCGTAGTTGAAAGCATGGGAGCCGTCCAGGAAGCTCAGCGACTGGTTAAACCCAAGAACACCCATACACACCCGCAAAAATTGTTTGGGAGATGTCACAGACGTCAGCTGTGACCCACCGACTGACGGGTGGCTTGAGGGTCCAAGAGAGAGAGAGCGAGCGAGGCGGGCGGCAACAACAACAATAATAATAATAATAATAATAATAACAACAACGGCGGCAGCGGCAGCGGCAGCGGCAGCAGCAATAAAGAAATGACAATAATAATTGCAATTGCAAGAGCGTCGGCAGTATTCGACAAGTTGAAGCAACTGAGAGCAAGATTTGGGACGGTTGTTTGATTCGAGTCCCCTGGCCTCTTACTCATTGCCAGACCACACTGGCGCGGCTATGTCAAATACTCGAGCCTGTGACGTTCGCGGACCTTATTCAGGGCTGCCACACCGGTACTTGAATAGCGTTAGGATCGGGCTGAAGGGTGGGCGTGTGTCGGTGGCGGATGGGATAGCCGCTCTATTAGCGCACAACCACAACGCAATCTGACTGCTTACTTTGCCTGCGTCTCTTCCTAACCAGGTGACTTTGGGTTCTCCGCCTTTATGTTTTGGGGGTGGATGCTGTATTCGTACAATATAGTAACACTTTGAGGGGGGGGGAGGGGGGGTGGATTGAATCAAGACATGATGGGCAGGGGATCGGTCGTCACGTCAGGGTTCCCCTAGCTGGTTTCCAATCCCCTTCGACAGGCGGCGCACAACTTACGATTGCACGTACTGGTCGTCGTCGCCAGGCAATGAATGCCTACAGCACGCGAGAACAAGCACACACACATTGGCATACGAGCTTGGAACAAAACATCGACAACCGCCCGCAGATACAAACTTGGATGTTCCATGGCGTTGCAGCTTATAAACAATGTGGGGTTTGTTTTATAAAAAGATTATTAAAATGAAAATAAAAATAAAAATAGGAAACCCCCCCCCCCCCCCCCCATTATTCCCTTTCCTTCCAACGGCAGCACTCTTGCTCGTTGATCTGTACTGATGCTCAAGTCACAACATGCTTGACATAGGCCTATCGGGTAGTCTCACTCCCAGGTCATCATGCGTACACAAAAGAAGGCAACGGTGGTTTGCCGAGCCAACGGTGCCCCCCCCCCCCCCCCAAGATGCGAGGGCACGCACGAGCGAGAGATTCTACTCACCAACATGCTGCTAAATCGAGAGATCGAGAGACTCTAAGAGCTCGAGAGCCGCGAGGCTTTCTCGTGACGATCAGCCAGCCTCCCGAAGCCGACCTTTGCTCACGGACGATCAGGATCGCTCGGTATGGAATTCAGGACAATTCAGGACTCTCCCGCTGTCTTCTATTTTCGATTCTTGAGCTCAGACGGCAGGTGCTCGACGGGAGGAGACGAAAAACGCCATCTCGAATCGTGGGCAGTTTTTGGTTTGTTGCGGTAACGATACGGACGTTCCTCAACAAGTGACATTGACTGAGCCGCTTTCCATCTTGTCGATATTGTCTGTCACATCTCCGTCTTGCCATACTATCGCCCAATCTACAGTAGGTAGGTAGTCCTGTCGGAAAATGACGGCCAACTCGGCCGGTTAGACATCGTATAATACGTACTGGCCGGAGTAAGGGGTCAGCCAGGCCGCCCGTCAGGGCTGCTGCTATAGTGGAGCTTGTTTTATTATTATTATGATTACTGTCACTATCATGATTATTATTTAGTTTTATGTTTTCAACCCGTATTTTGTTATGCATATCGTTTGTGCATATCTGGCAGCTACCCTACCTCCCTAGGCTTTGTACACGTTTCCGCGCGAAGAAACCGTCATAGGAGCTTGGCGCGGCCAGAGCGTCACAGACACAATGAAAGGTGAGGTTACTAGCAACCAACCTGAGCTACTGCTAGAGTCTGGAGACCAGGGCGCGCCAGGCAGTTGCGTATGTGATGTGACGGTACGTACTGCGTACTTGGTAGTCGGTCGTTGGGGGAAGGCAGCGCCATTGAGCATGTCCTTATCCGCGGCAGGACTCTACCCCCCCCCCCCCCTTCGGGCAATTTCATCTACATCACAACCGTCCTGATCCCGGGTGGGAGCTACAAGCAGCCGGGAGGTACAGGAGACCCCTGCCCACAGACGCTACGGCTTCTCTAGTGGCTCTTTCTGTGTCACTGTTCACGCAGACTAGCGCTTCTCTCATCTTTCCACTCTTTCTTCCTGTAGTGTATATCCTGGTCACTCGTTGTTTATTCTTTTTATTTTATCTTATTATCCTTATTATTATTATTATTTTCGTTCAGACCCCCATCCATGCTCCCTCCGTCCGTCCTGCTGGCGGCCCCTCCCCCAAGTGCCACCTCGACCAAGCTAGCATAGCCAGTCCGTTGCTTGCCGGCCAGAGGGAACGCCACCGAAGCAATCCCACGACAAGGACCAGGCCCCGACCAGGTATGGGTACGGGACGGCGTGGTCCTGCGACCCTGGTCGAGAGATGGGCAAATCCCATGCTCCTCTCGTTCCTCATCGACGGCCTGCCTGTACCCTGATCGTCCTCTCTCGCCATGCCACCCATGCCCATGCCCATGCCTCGCAGCTCTGGGCTAGTTCAGGCCTAGTGTGTTCCGTCAAAACCGTCCTTCCCTCCCCCACATCAGCAAAGGCCTCGTTCCTAGATACTTAGCAAGGCATTAAGCATCCGTGGGCTGTGCGCCTTCTGCTTCTTCTTCCTCCCAGCTCACCTCCTCAATCCACCACGGTCCGATTCACCAAGAACACCACTAGTTGGGCACTCTTTCGTCTGAGCCTGGCTCGTGTCAGTTTCAGTGTGCTCAAATCACCGTCTTAATTTGTCCCATTTGGCTCGTCGCCGGGTCCTCCTTCTCCTATTACCACTCCCTCCTCCTTCTCCTCCTCCTCCTCCTCCTCTTCCACTCCTCCACTCCTCGACACTTCTCCCCCATTTCCTATTTTGGCACCACATCATCTGTGCACCTCTCTCTACCCGTTAATCTGCCTGCACAATACAATACCACCACTCCCAACCTCAAAGGCATACAAAAGGACTGCCATCCCACCTTGCATCTGTCTTAACCACTACCGACCATCATCCCATTCGAGCTGTTTGTTGATTCACGGCTGGGACCACTTGACTACATCAGCATCCTTTTTCATTTCTTCACCCCTCTCTGTCGTTGACGAGCATCACCCATCATCACCACGCCAATCCCCCTGCGAAGCCATCCATCTGCCCGAATCCGCTTCTTCAAGCAGACAAGAGACGACTACCACTTCAATAACACACCATCGTTCAGGCTGGACCGTATTTAGGTACGCGCTCCTCCTTCCCTGCCCTGCCCTGCTTGCTTGCTTGCTCGATCCCGGCTGACCAGAGATAGTCCTTATACCGCCGTGCGGCTTCATCTTTCGAGCCCGCCCATTACTTTGGATTCTCGCCATCATCACTACCGCCCAATAGGATCGAGTACCAGAGTGTCTCGTTCATATCGGCTGTGTCCAACAGACCTTCATTATTCAATAGACCTACGCAAGATGTCTATGCTCGCGATGGCTGCTCCATCCCCTCATTCAGCATTTAAGCAGTATCCCTGGGATGGCGGCAGGTCGACCTCGGATTACTCGCGCCCCCGCACCGAGACCGAGAGAATCGCCCTGCCATCGATCCGTCAGGTACGACGACAGAGCCGCCCTTGCTGTTTGTGCTGTGCTGACAACGTTGTAGGCCATCCCGGAGCTTCACCTCCGCCTGCAACCCCAGGAGTCGTCAACCACCAGGACCACTTCTTCCAACACCTCGCCAACAGTCGGCTATGCCGGTGTCATGACGCCACCCGAATACGTTCACTCGCCAAGCTCGAACAAGCGGAGGAGACTGTCGATGGACGAGGAGCAGGACGGTGAAAGAGCCAGCCGCGTCCCGAGACTATACGAAAGCCCAGCACGACTTCCCCAACGCCAGATTTCACCGCCACCCGCTTCCCGCTCTGTCACTGAGAGCTGGACCGGTTCCGCAAGGACAAGCCCCTACATGTCTGCGTCGGGCATGCCTTCTATCAGATCACCAGCCATGGAGCTGAACGAGCGTCCTGAGATGCGCACGTCACTCCCCAGCCTCCCGCCCATGAACTTCGATAGGGAGCCCGTTCCCATGCAACGTGTTCGGGGACACTCCCAAGATGATTTCCAGCCCATCCGCCCTTCCATGGGCATGTCCGGAGCACCACCCATGATGGAGGCCGCCCCAGCTTACCGCCCCAGCGGTTACGCATACGGATACCACCACCCCAGTCGCGTTCAGTCCCTGTCTCTCGGTTCTATTCACCCCTTCGACCGCACGCCTTTCTCAAATGCTGGCTACGGCCACTACCCCGAGTTCATGCGCATCGGAGAGCTTAGCGCCATGGGTATGCACGGCGACAGCAAGCAACGCAAGCGCCGTGGCAACCTGCCAAAGGAGACGACCGACAAGCTGCGTGCGTGGTTCGTGGCTCACCTGCACCACCCGTACCCAACCGAAGACGAGAAGCAGGAGCTCATGCGTCAGACCGGTCTCCAGATGAGTAAGTCTACTTGAACCTTCCGACACCGTTGGACTCTAGTGGTCCTTTGCTAGGGAGTGTGTGCGTGATTCTTTCTTGGCACAAAACGCTAACCTGCCCTCGCCTTCCAGACCAAATCTCCAACTGGTTCATCAACGCGCGGCGCCGGCAGCTGCCCACCATGATTAGCAACGCCCGTGCCGAGTCCGACGCCATGTCCAGCCGCAGCGGCGAGAGCAAGATCCTCCCGTCGACCGAGCGTAGCGAGTACGACGACGGGAAGCGCTCCAGCGTTCCCCTCAGCGAAGGCGAGGCCTTTGACGAGGATCTTGACAGCCTGAAGCACCGGCGCTCAGCGCACATCAAAAGGGGAAGCGTCTAAAGAATGGGGGACAGAGAGAGACACGGCAACTCAAAAACAAGGCAGAAATGCCTTGCCGATCATCAGACAAAGAAAAGAACACCACGAATCGTCAAACGAAGCACGAAACAAGGTCCCCTTTACCAATATACCAGTCACATACTTTTTTCTTATTTCATCATTTACGACGAACCACGATCGCAAGACCACCCAACAGATCCAAAAACCGGCACCAAGAGCAAGATCTCTTAATACCATCACGGGCTATATTTGTACAAAAATTTATCACAGGGGATGGATGAACAGGGTCATCCTCTGAACCCGCCTTTCATTTCTGTCGACTTGTATTTAGGAGGTATAATGTATCTTACAGACAAGCCAAAGGCTTCACGGGGATTTCTCCCGGTAGGGATCCTACACACACACACACACACACGTACACTTGCACTCACATACACACCCACAAGTGGGACAAGTGGAAGGGCAATGGGAACGGACCAGGAGGGGTTGGGGCAGACAAATATGCATTACACTTCTGGACAAGCTCGGTTTTGTTTTTGACGGGGGAGGTGTTCATGGGCAACGGGTACTATCTTCACACAGCCAAACCAGAGGCTGCCTTCCAACATCGCGGGATACGTAGAACGATATCATTGTATCAATGTCTTCTTATTTTGAAAAGAAAAACATGTTTCAATTAACTTGTTGAACCGTTTGAGTATCACACATACACATACACACGAAAGTGGCCCACATTAATGCATGTCATCACCATTGACCATAACATGGTTTGGAAACGAAAAATACGGCTACGAAACCCTTTTCTTCAAGCGAGACTTGGCCCGTGACAACCAAAAAAATGGGTGAGGGGGTCGGGGGTTTACTATTCTGACACTTTGACTGACTCTGCGATGCCCAAAAACAGGCGATATCTCCCCCTAGGTCTCGAAACTCTCCGTTTTGACTTTGTGTGTGTGTGTGGGTGTGTGGGTGTGTGGGTGTGGCCTCCGTCAACTTCAGCAGAGTCTGCACAGCGAACCCGGTCAGACGGACCTTGGAAGGAAAGCAAGTCAGCCCCGTCCGAACGAAATATAACCAGGTGTGTTTGAGGCATGTAGGGTATGAGTGTGTACTACCCAGTTTATGTGTGTAGTAGGTGTGTGTGTATGTATTCTGCACCCAGTCCCCCTTTCTCATTGCGCCCCCCCCCGCCCCCCCCCCCCCCCCCCCCTGGGAAACAAACAAACAGGAGAGAATAGAAAATAGAAGGGGGAGGGGAAGCGCCAAGAGGTCGAAAAGTTCACGGGCCGTTACTAAGTGGCCATGGCACTCGCTTCCCACCGGATCAGGGCTGAAGAATGGGGTGATCGATTTTCCCCCTCGCCCCAAGCGAATCGACCACGAGCGCAGAAGCGTTTTTTGTTGTGATATGCCACTTTCATCATTAACCATCAGTCATCAAGTTAGGCGCGCGCGCGCGCACACACACACACGGGGGGGTAGCCGGGTGAAGGAGGGAAACATGAAAGGTCTGTGTGCCGATGCTACTTCCACCTCCCCCCCCCCTGCGTTCATGGTGACAGCGTCCGTCCTCTGCCTCTGTACCCCTTTCAGTTCCCCGTGGCCTTGCGTTGACGGCCTCGGAATACCACCACCACAACACAAGACCACCCTCGAATGCGGGTGGTAGGGCAAACCAGCAAAAGGCATGAGCGTTGGCCTGGGCGAGTGGGAGGCGGGCGTAGGAGGCGGGAGGGAGGCGACCCGGGATCCCGGACCACGACTATCCTCCCCAAGGGCCCGTCCGTAAAAAGCTTCGGTCGTTGCCATCGTGGCGGGTTTGCTGGTTGCCTTGCCGTATCACCCCCTTCGTCATGCTGCCCGCCCATCCCGCAACTAAGCAGGAAAGGAGAGTGGGGGAGGGCCTACTGTAGTCGCAGTCGCACTCCGCGTATGCGTCATGTCTGTGCCTGTGCCTGTGCTGTTGCCGTTGCCGTTGCTGTGCGTTCATGGGCGCTACGTTACGTTACGCATGTGCGGTGCGGTGCGGTGCGGTGCGGTCTTGAGCGAGTCCTGCGCGTTGCTCCGTCACCACACACGGGTTCTGCAGCGGCTGGACACTTTGAGAACCAACTGCCTCCCCCCCCCTTTCCCTGCTTGCCCGCTGGTCGCTCCACACGTCGGCGATGTCGTGGGCCAGCGCGAGGCGCAAAAGGGCGAGCGGCCGCCCTCGGGTTCAAATAAATAAATTGTTAAGCTGACCGAGTTTCTTGAACCCGCCAGCCACGTCGGCCTCCCTTCCCTTAGCTTCTGTTTAGACTTCTGCTGCTGGCGCTGGCGCGAGACTATCGTCCTAGTTCGCACCATGATCGCCTCGAAAGGGCTCCGCCTTTTCGGACCTGCCCATATTCATGCTTGTGCCGCCTCTCCCGGTAGCTTGCCACCGGTGCGACGTGTGCGTGGACGCTTGCGGCGTCAAGCCTGGCATCCCATGTGCAGGTTGTCGAAGAGGGGAGGAAAAAGAAAAGGGGGGGCCCAGCATATCATCCCCCGATCTAATGCGAGGTGATTGACGGGGGCGGATGTTGTACATGTGGTTTGGCATGTCGTGAAACACACGTCTCTTTTTTAACTTGCGTACTCCGTAGATAATGTGCGCTTCGAGAGGATGGGATGCATGTAAGGGAGTGGTCATGCCCTTGCGTCGCGCCGCCGTCGCCAGGGCGCATAAGTGATTCGCCATCTTTCCGAAGAGGAGGGTTTGGATGGATGTGTCACCCCATCACCGTGCAGGCCCATTTGGACACTGAGCTTTTTAGTTTTTCCAGTCGGGGTTCACAACACCAGCGCTGCATGCGCGTATGGCGTGGGCTGCACAGTGGTGACCTTGCGGGATACGAGCAGGCAGCGAGAAAGAGAGAGAAAGAGAGAGGGCCGTGAGGTCGGAGGTCGGAGGTCTGACGGCCAAGCAAGGCACCTCAATACAAGCAAAATGTGGCGTTCCCCGTTCCTTGATAATAGGTCACCACACTCTCGGGAGAGACCATTTAGGCAGGAAACAGGCAGGCCCAGAACGTCCCGATATACGTGCGTGAGCTCGCTCTCCCGAGGGACTAGACACGTCCCCCTCGAGGGATTGTCGGCGCCGGCGCCGACAGCGCCTCCGCAAAGGCTTGGCCAATCTGCGACTGGTCGGGTTGGACGGGACTTTTCTCGTGTTGCCTCTTCTTTTCCTCCTCCTCCTCCGCCTTGGTAGAAGGCCTCGATATCTACAGCCGGAGGGCGAGATGGCCACATGTGAGGACACAGCTGAATAGTTGGCGCTGGGCGCGGGACGCACACCGGCGGCACGCATCCCTCCTTCTCCATGGCTTGATCAAGGCCCATTCGGCGTGGGTTGCATGCTATGTGTAGCCATCGCTCCCCGATCTCGACAATGGGAGCTGCAGACCTTGACCGACTTTCAGTCTCTACGTGCGTCTTAACCGAGTAACTTTTTTCCCTGCATCAAGTATTTGCTACTGGACGATGCTTTGCACTCGTTCTACTTGCAGACGCAATGCATGGCCAAGGCACGACGCTAGCCTTACGCTTTGAGATGTCGAGATAAACAGTATGCTGCCTTTGCCTTCAGCCCCTTGGCATTCAACCCTTGCTCGATTCCCGGGGCAGGCGAAACAAGAACCATATTGACAGGTAATAATGGACATGGATCAGTGGCCCGTACAGCCTGTGTCAAGGCCCAAATGATCGACTGCCGGTGTCAGGATACCCAACCTAAGCCTCCCCATCACTGGACGTGTCAGAGGAACACAAGACGGTTGGATAAGGGGGCGGGGGTAATAGAACGGATCCCGAGGGGGGGGGGGGGGGGGGGGGGGTGTACTCGCATTGTCGTCCGATGAAGTGACCTTGGTCATGCTGAGACACTGACATGAAGGGGGAGTATATCGGTCTCTCTGAGGATAATGTTTCAATAGGTGCCAATTACTACATGACCACGACGGCAAGCGTTCGGCGACTGTCCATACCATGATCCTCGCCAGTATATGTTACGCCCTTTTCTGATCTGCCTCGATGTTTTCAAGAAACGGTGCATGCCGAAGGTCTGAATAGCATCTGCGAACCTGCCTAAGTTACCCCCCAGAATGGAGCTGTGCGCGGCGACAAGTGCTGCGACAGCCGTTAGCATACCGGGCGAAGCAAAGTAGCAAGCGAGACTCGCCGTCGCTCGAGGATGACTGGGCCTTGCATCCCATCTAAGAAGCGTTGTTTTCTTTGTGTGAGATGACAGCCAGTCGCGAAAGCCACTGGACGGAGAAGAGGGAGGGGAAGGTGGTGTAGATTCATCACGTATGGGCCAGCTCAGCACAGGGCAGGACGAGGCCCATGGAAAGGATGTCGACCAGGAGCAGGGCTCGTGAATTCGGTTAATTCAACGCGAATCAGGAATGGCCGGCGCCTAGAAGGGATGCCAGTCAGTTGCGCACACTCAGACACAAGACATGAGACTGGGGATTGCAGTGTATGTAGAGTTATCGAGTCAAGTTCCGCTTGGGCATTTCTTCGTCTTCTGCTACTGCTGCTGCTGCTGCTACAACGTCAAATAAAGCTTGAGGTGGCAGGAAGCCGTCATTGGTGCAAGCAGCGCGGAGCCTGTCCGCGACGGATGTGCTGGTGGGAGAGGGGCGGGCCATGTCAGCACACCCACACAGTACTGAGATTGAGCACGTCGATGCAGCATGCCGATGGCGCAGAGCGGCGGGCTGGCATGGGATGGCATAGTGTACTGTGTAGTAGACAAGGCCTTGCTCGGCACTTTTTTGATGGAGCTAAACCATTATGGTAAGTTTAGGGTGTGTTATTGACCTTGTGGTGTGGAGTCACTCACGGCGTGATCGAGATGGAGATTTATGGAACGCCTTAGCTGGATGGTTACATGCCGTCTCGCCACTTTAAAATGTAAATGATACTGGTTTACGTAGTAAGGGGCTGCTGAATGGCTGTGGGAAACTGGGGAGAATGATGAAGAGAGATTCAATCACCTGCGGCGGGGCCGTCGGAGATCAGCGGATCTTCCTTGAACGTCAAAAACGGCAACCTCCGTGCCGCTTCTGATACGAAGGCGAACGCGAAAATACGAAGGTTGGAGTGAAGACAAGGTGCCGCGGGGGCGGCCAATATGTGGACCAAGGGGATATAACTCTCGACGGAGGAGGAGTGCCTGGAGCGAAAAGGTCGATGCAAAGGGGGGTCAAGAGGGAAATGCAACTCAAAGGCCTAGGATTTGCAGGCCAAGTAATGAGTAACGGAATGGAGGAGTCGAAGATTTGACTTGGTTCGGACGTGCGGTCAGTACAGAGCGAGTGGCACGGATGTCCTGAGTGTTTCGCAGGGCTGCGAGCAAGTCTCGTACTTTTTTCTCGGTCTTTGGCTTTTGCAGGTTGGCCGGCCAGACTTTGCTTGGCAGAATAGTAGCGTGATGAGAGTCGCGTCCGTGTCTCAGGGCGTTCCTTTGATTGATTCGACGTGTTCCGTGGGCGTGGGTTGCATCGGAACGCCTCTTGGTGTTTTTAGCCGCTCCCGCGCCTTGAGCGACTAGTCCTACAGCGGCAAGTCAAGGAAAAGTTATGTTTCGAGAACCACTGCCGAGGGGCTCTCGAAGCTCCTTGGGGCGCGGCTTCTCCGTGGCCAAAATTTGTCAGCGTGGTGTATCGCAATGTCGAGGAGATTGCAATTCCGTGATTCGGGTTTCCCTGCCCCCCTTGCTTGTTTTCAGAAACGTAGCAAAGTAACGGACGGGTTCAGGAACGAGCTGCCTCCTGTCGGAGCCGTCGCGCAAAGGCTGAGGGGAGCCCCGAGAGGGGGCGGGCGTATGGGGCGCATATCAAGGGGCCAGAGGTGCCTTGACATGCTGGGAGGGGCCTGGCATCGGGATTTGATGTTTAGCGAGTTGCTGGGAAGAGGCCGTCAAGGATGTAACTGTGATGTTGGGAAGTTGTTTGGTGGTGGCAGACCCAACTGAGGTCAGACAATGCAGGGCTGCGAATGGAGGAACATTGTCCAGCTCTGGAAATTGACGACGGCTCGTACCTCACGTGCCCTTCGGATTAGGTGCCCCCGAGGTCGGTCCCTGACATACATAGTATGTATGTGTGTGTGTGTGTGTGTGTGTGTGTGTGTGTGTGTGTATGTAAGGGAGAGAGAGAGGGGGGAGAGAGAACATAAAGGTACGTACCGAGAGCTCCACCTGGGATGTGCCTTCCTAGGTAAGAAGTACACTACAGGTAAGAACAAATCAGACCTATATAAGATGGATAGCCATACGTACAGAGTACATGATGCCTCACCAAAAGTGGCATAGCCTCAATGTACTATTTACTTGGTCAGGTACCCTTCGTGGGTGGTGACCTGACTGGATGGCATCCCAGAGTCTCGGAATGAGAAAGAGCAAGTCACGGGGCGGGGCATCGGGGAGTCGGACGTTGTCTCCAAGCCCTGCTGCAACAGTGATTCTCGATAATCGATGTCCGGAACATGGGGCAGGCAAGGTCAATGGTAACGTTAGGTGTGATCAGAGAAGGAGAAATGGAGTGGGCAAAGCATGAGCCAAGTGGGTAATGATCCGGTTGAGGCTGTCAGAACATTCAGTGCCCTGTTTTCTGCCTATCGTTGCTTTACTTCTTCACAGATGATCGCCCTGGCCCCGGTCGCCCATCTGGCTGCCGTCCTGGTCCCGTGTATGTACGTACCTGCCGTTTGTCAAAGTCGATGATGAGCCAGGTGCTGGACGCGATCGGGGGTACACAAGATACGTACCGTCCCCTATTCCCTGTCCCTGTCCCTGTCCCTGTCCCTGCTCTTGCCCAGTCTACTTACTCACCTAGGTACCTGCTCACCTGCATACTACGTACGCATACGTGCCACGCTTGCCTCCTATCGTGCAATGGCTAGGTAGTACCTTCCAAATTGATTGAGTCCTACGATACGGAGTACTGCGGCAATGCTACTGCCTTGTGTACCTGAGGTGGGTTTGTATGTATCTGACCCTGAGGAAGGTGAAATTAGTACGGGTACTGCCCGGGGTTCTATCGTACGTTGGTTCTGGCCAAGGGGCGGAGACTCGAGTCTACAAGTGATTCAAGCCACTTCCGCAAATATATATCCACTTCGTGCATCGCAACATTGTGTGTAAACCATCGGGATATTTCCCCAGCAGCCCGCTTCAGGGTACCCAGCACATTCGTCCCGGTCCAGCAGGGAAGAGGTCCGCAGTCAGTCACTACCTCCCAGTTGCATGCTTGCGTCTACCTAGTAGGGATACGTGGACGGGCGGACGGGTGTCCTCAGTCACACCTCCAGTGCGTGCTGACAGCAGCAGTCTTGTCCTGTTGTTTTAAGCCCATAGGACGCCACGCCACACTCCCAGGCCCGCCTTTGCACAAATTTTCTTGTCACTGGATCGCCAAAGGCTGCCGAACACATTCACTAAACCCACGCAATCCCGACACGTTGGTCAAGAAATCTCCGCCGAACCAGTGTCATGTTCTGTCATGACAACGATCCGATTCTTGACTCGACACAGGGGCCAGGAGGCGTCTCCCATAGTCATGGCAGCCAAGCCACTGCTGATGCTGCTATCTACGGCGCAATCTTGGTGTGCCCTCCATCGCTACCTATAGTTTGCCTTCTTGGGATGACTTCTGTCTGCGGGCTGAAAGCAAGCACGACTGCCGAGGCCTACTGGTCTTCTAAGCCAGAGGTGCCAAGGTGCGTGGCAGATTTTGAAAAAGAACTTCCCCACGACTTGTCCCTGCCTCCCTCTATCCCCTTCTCGAATCATGATGTCCTCTGACGTTTTTCCCAATCCATGACTGTCAGCACCCTGCTTCCTCTCGAATAGCATCCGCCACTCGTCACGCTTCCCCACTCTAACTAACACTCGTCGGCTCGTCTTTTGTCCTCGAAGCTACTATGTGTACAGTGGGAGGGGGGGTTTCCCTGAATCGCAACGGTCGACGATCCCTGTTGCCTGTCTGGCTCTCTTCCCGCGCCGCGAAAGTTATCATCGGCCGAGGCCCTTTCACTGGACGACGTTTTGGTCCGATGAGTGAGTGGCTAGCTGGCTGGTGTGTGTGTGTGTGTGTGTGTGTGTATGCGGAACACGACGACGCTCAGATGACAAGTCCTGGAATAAACCACTGGCAGGCAGCAGGCCGGCGAGATTATTATTGGCGTGAAACCACCCAACTGAAGCCACCCCCGCCCCTTTCATTCAACTTTTGAGAGGCATAAGATGGTATAGTTAGTCATCCCTACGGATGACCAGCCATGTGTTGGCTGGGCACAACTCTATGAATAAAAACGCGGCAGGCATGGCAGGGCTCTCTGTATCCATACCGCCAATCTTTGAGAACGAAGGAAGATCATGAAGCCTGGGCCAGCCACTGCAGATCTTGTTCAGCTCAGCCGTGCACCATCAGAAAAGGCCACCAGAAAAGAAAAAAGAAAGGCGAAAAAAAAAGAAGAAAAACCACCGCAACCCTCGGGTCCGTTCGGCTTGTCATGCTTAGCGAGCTTCAACTCCCCGTCATACCATCGTCCGCTGCGGTTTGTTTCCCTTGTCTGGTCTCCCCGAGATGCCATCCAAGCTTCCTTTCCATCCCCATGAATAAGGTTTCACCAGAGCTGTGCGGCTTCGATAGCCGCTCCAGCGCCGCAGGTTGTTGGCCAAGTCTACGGGTGGTGGCGGCCAGGGTAACTTCTGTTCGAATCCAGCTCTTGGCAGCGTTGCCATCTCAGCCACCCCGTGGTCTCATGCATGCAGCCATGGTCTTCATTGCCAACCCTCGTGTCAAATTTGTCATTGGGCTGTCCCACCCTGGGGCTATGCTGCTGCATCCCCGACCCTGTACTGTGTATGATCAACGGGCCCTGTGCCCGCCTCTAACGAAAACGTCTGGAGATTGGCGCTAGACTGGGATATCAACCGCATGTGCCAAAAGGTGGCGATTTAGTGCCTTCTTTCCGATTGTCTCGCTCGCAAGTCGAACTTTCAGACTCCTAGGATGGCATGCCACGTTTGGTCTCAAACTAGATTGAGAGATGGACGTTGGCCTAAAAATGGCAAAAACGAGTGGATGGTAGCGTTTGATGTACCGGTACGTGAGTCCATCCTCCGCGCTCGTCCATGTCTTGGTTTGAAAGGGACACAGGGGAGACTAGTGGCAATATCTCACACTTGCATGCTGGAATGTTAATTTTCGACTCCGTTGCAAATCACAAACCCGGGCCGCGAGCTGGGGGCCTCGGCGGTTGCAGAGAGTAGGGCGGTTCCGAACACAGCCGTCGTCAGCAGCGGCCGTTCCTGATACACTTGGCCGGTGTGGCCGCCATATCTTCCATGCATTCCCTTTTGAAGAGTTAAGGTTTGAGACAGCCAAACGTGACGAATGAGAGCAGACGCGTCTTCACCGATTGCTCCACCGAAGGGAAAAGGCAAATGGCAACGGCCCATCTGACCGCCGAGGTGCCTGTTGAAGTCACTTTCGCGCCGACTTGCTGTGACAGCACAGTTGTTGGGATGGCAGTAGGCGACCATCTCGATATGGCCCGAACGCGGTGGCAGCTGCACCAGCTTCGTCCAGCCCAGCGACGTCGCTCTCTGGGCGCGGCACCGAGAATTATCTTTCGCGTTTCGACGAGACAAACTTAGAGGCTCGTCATCACGAATGCAAGCGATTATGCAGTCAACCCGACACGGTGTCGCGGTCAGTCTCAGCATGACTAGGGGTGACGTTTATCAGCCAAGAGTCACCGGCGGCGGCGCTTTGGTGGTGGTTGGGGCGGGGGGGGAGTAGCTTTGCCCAGCCGGTCCGGAACTGAATACCAAGACGTTTATCGGGGAAGTCGCCGCGTCTGGACCAAATGATGTGGTCAGCGCGTGCCCCACATGAACCCAACGGACGGAAGAACGGAAACCCAGCGGACGGGAGCCGGAGTCGGACCCGAAGATCTTCATCGGAAGGAGCGTTAGTCTTCGAGTGCCGCTGGGTAAGACTTGTGTGATACACGTGGATTAAGGCGTACAGAAGAACGTTTTGCTGGCCAGCACCGCATGCCAAGGCTCGATCTTGTTGGGCGAGTAAAGACGGACTCGTCATAGACAGGTGGGTGAAACCTATCATATCGAGGAGCTAGACCCATCTCGGACATCGGACATCGGATCAACAACTATCCGAGACATGAAGACGACTCAAGCCTACGCGCACATGGTATAGACGCACCTGCTCCTAATAGTACTGCCACGCAGAAAGGAAGGGGGCGCGAAACGCTACAGGCTGAGGTCATCGCTCACTCATACTTTTTTTTTTTTAACTTTATGCAACCCGTTTTGTTCGTACCTTCCCGTTGGCCATTTGCGTTACGCTACAGCCTCCCGAGCCGCTTCCACGGTTGCCGCCCCCCCCCCCCCCCCCCCCGCTCCTTAGCCGAGTCACCGTGACAATCGGCTTCGGCCTTGGGGCCCACTTGCGGCTGGCTCTCTCCCTCATTCTTCCTCGGAACTAAGTTTTTGCCGCTCATCATGGATACCGAAGGCGCCGTGCTATCGGAGCGTCCGAGCTCTCCCGGTACCGGCTCCGAGCCCCTGTCATGCGTGACTTGCCGGTCCCGGAAGCTAAAGTGTGACCGATTGAAGCCGGCATGCAGCCGCTGCTGGAAAGTCAAAGGAGAATGTGTGTATCCAGAGTCGAGGAGGAAACCCGCCTTTAAGCGGAAGAATGTAAAGGAGCTCGAGGAGAGGTTAGGTAAGGGTATTGCGCGCTCCTCCTGCTCGGTTCCTTTGCTCATCAAGACTTGCAGCCCAGGTGGAGGATCTTCTCAAAGAAGCGGGTAAGATCACCAAGGGGGGGCTGCCAAACGAGGGCGACCTGGACAGCGGGGTCGGCATTGTCCTGGACGACTTCCATGTTGGTCTGGAGACGCTTGCGGCAATGCAGAGTGGGACGTTTGGTGAAAACACCGACGACTTCTTTCCCGGGGCGCCTGGAGATGGAATTCAGGAGCCCAGTTTTGCCGAATCATCGGGGAACCTCATAGGGCTCGGGCTCTCCGAAGCTTTGCCCCCTTTCGAGATGATGGAAGAGCTGTATGTCATTACTGAAGCCCATCCACCGCACATTGCGTGGCTAACCCGAGCAGCAATAAGAGCTTCTTCGAACGCCAACATCATTTCATCCCCATCATCCACCCAGGCCGATATCTGCAGTCCTTCTACTCCGCGCCTCACAAGCGCCCGCCCATGTGTTTGCAATATGCGGTCTGGTCGATGGCTTCCAATGGGCACGAGAAGTATTCGCAGTACCACGACATCTTCTACAAACGAGCTCGGCAATACGCCGACGCCGATGAGATGAAGGTGAGCTTGGATCGTGGTCTCGGGGAGGCAGGGGAGCGGCGATGCTTACTCTGGCATTAGGGGCTCGGCGAGCACTTCCTGACGGTGCAACACGCTCAAGCGTGGGCTCTAATCTCGACAGACGAAGCAAGGAGCTTGTTCTTCACAAGGGCGGCCATGAGCTCGGCCAAGTGTGTCCGTCTCGTAGAGATGATGGGTCTGCACCGTATCGACGGGGACGGCCAGGAGATGGCCCCCACGCTTGCGCCGCCTACTTCGTGGGTGGACTTGGAGGAACGAAGACGAACCTTTTGGGGCGCCTACTGCATCGACTGCCATGCTAGTATCGCTACAGGGTGGCCGACGCTGATTGACCCCAACGAAGTAAATACATCGAGTTCTTAAATACACCACCGGGGAGGGAGGACTATGCTAACATGGATAGATCTCGACGCATCTTCCTTCCTCCGAGGAAGCTTTCAACTCGGGCTTCGAGGAGACTACTGCTACCCTGCCAGAGGCATTCCAAGGTGCCTCATACTCCACATTCGCGGCTGCTGTCGTAGTCTGCTTCATCTTCAACAAGCTCCTGAAGCACGTGCACTGGGAGAGACCCAACGACCGGCCCACGGACGTCGAGTACGGCGAGTTTTGGACCCGGCACAGGGACATTGACAACATGCTTTCGAGCGCCTTCATGTTCCTCCCGGAACGCTTCCGCTTGCCCCACAGCGTGCGCGATCCCACGGCTGTCCACACGAACCTCAACCTGCACGCCTCCGTCATCTGTTTGCACCATGCGGCGATCGACAGGATCGAGAGGTACAACCTCCCGGAGAAGCTGAAGGCGGCATCGATGCTTAGGCTGCGAACAGCAGCGGAGGAGGTGGTGAATGTCGTAAAGTCGACGAGCCACGTGAACCCGGGCTACGTAAGTTCACAGCCCCCGGCGTGGGTCAGGGCCTCGCCGCAATGTCTGACAAATGTCCACAGAAGAGCCCCATGGTCGCCTTATCGCTGTACACGGCCGCGTCGGTGTATGTATACTCGGCCAAGTGCGACCCGGAAGCCGGTGTATCGACGGCGGACCTGCAGAACCTTAAGTTCATCATCACCGCGATGGAGGCGATCGGGCGGAAGCACGTCATCACCAAGGCCTTTCTGCAGCAAATCTTCATGGACATCGAGCGGAACGGCTTAGCGGGAATCATCGATCTTCCCGGCCTGAGCAACTACAAGAACCAGTTTGGTTGGACATGCTCAAATATCCCCCTCCTTGCCAGGAGCTCGATATCAAAACACACCGAGATCCAGCCCCCTCTGCCCGGCAGACTGCCGCTCGGCAACCCAAAGGGCACGGCCTACGAACCCGGCCTCAGCGGAGTGGATTACGAGCACAATATAACCATGGATGGCGGGTGCTTCCCCCTGGACCCCAAGTCAACCACCACGAGCATCGCCGGCGGCGCTGGACACCCGCGTGCTATGTTTGGCAGATACATGGGCGAGGTCACAGCAACAAGCGGACTCGACGACAATGGCTCCAACAAGAGAAGACGGACGTCACCGACGACTGGCCTGGAAGAAGACACCCGCTCCAAGGCCGGGATGTTCAGCGGCGGCTTCCCGACGACCAATGCCGACATGCAGGCCCCACCGGCTCCTTTGAAGAACGGCATCAACGGCGTGGGCGGTTTCGGGAAGGGCCTGTTGCCCCGAACGGGCGTCACGAAGCCGGCGCCCAGCCCGCCTATCAACCTACCGCACCGGACTCCGCCGGCGTTGGACAGAAGCGCGACTTTGCTGTCCACGGGCGACAGCAGCAGCAGCAGCAGCAGCAGCAACGGCAACAGCAACAGCAACAACACGCCTCCCGGGGTTGGGCTCGGCAGCACGTCGCCCAAGGATGGGAGTACGCAAAGCAGCTACAGCGGCGGCGGAAACACTCACGAGGTCGTCGACATCACGAGCATACAGAACGCCACGCTGGGCGGCACGGGGACATCCTCGTCGTCGACGTGGGACTCGAGGGGACTGCAATACGCGCCGAGCACGGAGCCGATCTCGTTCATGGACATGAACTTTGATTCGATCCCCTCCGGCATGGGGATGGACCCGTGGGCAATCATGGCCAATATGGACGACTTGACGTGGACCGAGTCGGGGGAAGTGACGACGGCGGTGGCAGCAGCAGCAGCAGCAGGTCTGGATGGGACCGGAGGATCGGGATAGAGAAATAGGAGCGGCTTGCAGAATAGGGGGTGCGTAGGTTGCCTTCTCGAATAGCACAACGTTCGATGAGGCGACGGATAGGGGTGCCGCCGTGTCTTGGTAGCGGGGATGGATTGCATAACTAGCGAGTCATTTTGGGCATCCTCAGGGGTTCGTCGAAATCATGAAGGGACGGTTATAGTCTGCAATGGCATAGGTAGCATCCAACAGGATTCGGGGACGTAATGTGTGCGGCGGAGATTAGATGATGGAAACGGAAGTATTTCCAAGGGCGGTTGGTCGACGTTGACACGGAGAGGTACCCTTGTAATCAATGTCTCAGCACTGGGGGCGCACGAGAGGGGAGGGATACAGTAGACAGTGAAGTTACGAACGCATTGTTTGTGCGACAGCGACGCCTCTCACATCTTAGTCACAAGAAAACTCCAATATCACCAAATTCCACCGCGGCTCTCCCAGTCTTGGTTGAATGGCCTTGACTTGGAACGATTGTGAGATGCACGGCGTTTGGTTATCTCCGAGTTCCCTAATAAGAGTCTGTCTGCCACAGTCACTTAGCGCACGTGATCGTCCAAGTTGCTCTTCGTTCTTTCTCTCTGTCACCTACCTACCTCCTCCTATTTATCAAAGCCCGTTTGCCGAAACCGCGCCGAGTGTCCCCTCTCCACTTTCCATCAACAACCACCATTGCAACCAGCGTCAGGAACCTCGGAGTGCAGAGTCAGTCCGTTGCGCGAACGAGTCAATTGCCCCCCCTCCTCCCCCCTTTGAGGACTGAAGGAAAAGGTTCTCGACGGCGCACGCACACGCGCGCGCGCGCGCGCACCCTGCCTAGGTTCTCACTACCCTCCCAGATGGACCCGCCGCTCAAGAGCCCTGCTTCGGCACAGAGGGATACCTCGCCGAGCTCCCCAGTGCCGAACCGGATCCGGCGCAATACAGCCTGTACGAGTTGTCGCGACTCCAAGGTGGGTTCTCACCATCTACTATGTATCTCTGTCTCCCTCTCTTTTTCATCTGTTTGCGAAGCCTTGTACCTTGTCGAGTTCATCTCGGAACATTGGTATGCATCTGCCGCCACATGCCACATGCCCCTGTGCCCATCCCACGTTGATTTCCCACGGAATATGTTCCAATTGGTCGTGTGTGGTCTCACAGGGAGTCCGGGGTCGGGTACCGCGCGGGTGACATCTCATCCAACGTCGGCGAAAACCGATGATGCCAAATGAGAATTGCTTCTACCATCCCCCCTTCCTTTTTTCGGGGGGACCTTTTTTTTCCTTTGCTCTCCGATTATGCCGCCGTCTCGTTTCGGATGAACACCAGATGCTAATGGAACGGCCGTTGAACCGACTGTTAACAGGTGAAATGTAATGCGAGCCTAACGCCCAACAAGCCATGTCAGCGTTGCTCCAAGCTAGGGATCCAATGTGTCGTTGACAAATCCCATAAGCGTATGACCAGAAGAAGGTGCCTTTCCCTTTTCTTTTGCTGTGTTGTTCTCCGTGTGCCCATCCCTGCGTTTGGTGTTCTCACAATTGAGAAACTCCCCCTGATCTGATACGTTTGTGTGTGACAACGACAGCAAGCTAGAACAGCTGGAGAAGGAAGTCCAGACCATCAAGAATGCCGTCAACCCGCACCCGGCCTCCTCCACCGTCCCCGCCCTGCCTGCTGCGGCCCTCCCGCTCCCGAGCCCGGCCACGGCGTACCCCGCCGTCGGCGTCTTCTCGGACCACAACCGCCCACCCCCATCCGCGTCGCGAGTGAGCTTGCCGGCTCTTTCCCCCGTACCGCAGACGCGGTCGATGGAGCAGGTTCCGACGCCGACCCTCACATCGCATACGACGCCGACGGGGCCCGCGAGGCAGCCTGCGCAGCCGCGGGCGCTGGGTTCCAAGGTGCTGTCTGGTGAAGACATTGACTTTTACTTTGACCAGTACGTCCCCTCATTCCTCCTCCTTATGCGAATGCACGCACGCCCAGGGCTGAGACCTCTGCCAGGTACCTTGAGCACTTCCACCCCTACTTCCCCATCGTCCGCTCCCAGGACCCGGACAGGATGTACAAGCAGAGCCCGGTCCTCTTCTGGACGCTCATCGCCGTCTCGTCGCGGCGGTACACGAGGGATACGGAGCTCTTCCCGTTCCTTGCCGAGAACCTGCCCCGCGAGGTCTGGGCTGCCGTGTCGACACCGCCCATCAGCATGTCGACCGTCAACGCGCTGCTGGTGTTGTGCACGTGGCCGCTGCCGACGATCCGCTTTCTCAACGACCCGAGCTCGTCGTACGTCGCCATCGCCCAGAATGCCGCGCTGCTCCTGGGCATGCATACGGGCCGCGGTACCCATCCCGAGTTCTGCATCGGGCCCAACAGGCAGTTGGACATTACTGACGAGGAGGCCTGCTTTACGTGGATGGGGTACAACATCCAGGCCCAGAGGTAACCTTTTCTCTTCGTCTAGGGGTTTGAAAGCAAAGCTGTCGGGTGTTGGTGTGTAGGCTGTCGTTTTGTCATTGTCGCTGACGCGCATATAGGGTTGCCTCGAGTAACGGGCTCCCACCACCGGCTGGCTTCTTCAACGAGGCCGTCAACCGGGCTGCTGCCGGGAGATCGCTCCCAGACGCCCTGGGATACTTTGGGCTGCTGTACGAGATTCAAAAGTTCTCCAACAGGCTGAGCCGGACCATGTTCTCCGTCGCGGAAGAAGGTGAGGGCGTGCCCGACACCGTCATCCAGCTGCTGGAGGACGAGTTGAACAAGCTGCGGCGGCTCCAGTCCCGACACAACTCAGGTCCGTCCACGACCCATTCATCTCGTGCTTGACTTATCCCACTGACCCCGCCCGACTTCCCAGACCTCGACCTCTTCACCATCCTCGCAGTCCAGTTCGAGCTGCAGTCTTACTACTTCACCCCCCTCTCGACCGTCGACAAACACACCTTCCGGAACAACGTCAACCGCGCCTACAGCACGGCCCAGGCTCTTATCAACCTAAGCCTGCGCCTCGATGCTTCTTGCCGCTTTCTCGCCCACGCGCCGCAGCACATCTTCCGCACGATCCTCGACGCCGTCGCCGTTGTCTTTGACGTGCTGATGTCCGGCCACGCGACTGACGTCGAGCTCGCCAACGCCGAGGTGTCGATCAAGAATTCCCAGGAGGCGCTGCGCCGGTGTTCCGTGCAGGAGGGGGACTTTGCGATGCGCGTACTGCGCATGCTGGAGAGCTGCTGGAGCCTGCGGCACATGTTGCCCGCGCTGGAGGCGCCCATATCGCGGTACCCGCACCGCACGGGAGCCGTGATAGCGTTCGGGACGCTGCGGAGGTGGAAGAAGGAGCTGGAGCAGGCGAGGGTTGAGTACGGCGGGCCGGGCGCGGCAGCCGGTGGACTAGGAGGCGCGGGCGCGGCAGGGGCGGCGTCGATGGGTGAGTGTAGGGCGCGCGGGTCTGGTGTGAGCGTTGCTGACGTTGTAGTAGCGGCGGTCGGGGCGGCGGATGCGAGCAACAATGGAGCGGGCGGCGTGGTGCCGACGAACGACCTCCTACAGGACATCGACTGGTCGATGTTGATGGACGATTTTGACTGGACGGCGGGCGGCGGAGGGGAGCCGACCTTCCTTGGGCTCTCATAAGGGGGCAGGTAGGTATAAGGTGGGGAGGTGGGGGCTTCTTCTTTTCTGCATCCAAAGCCGGCGCATCCTTGGGGCGTTTTTGCATCGAGGTTTCTTGGGGCTCTCGTTTTGTTGATTTACGGATTGATGAGTTTGAGAAGGGGGAATTGGAGGAGGGGGACTTGCGTGCTGGTGTTCTCATTCTTGTACAAAGAACCACAGACTGAGTAATGGCATTTAACGGAAGCTTTTCACGCGTAAGGCTGTATACCTCCCATAGTGATCTGGCGGCATACCGATGAAGTGTGTCATTCTGAGTAACACCATGGAACCTAACATCGCCCCCCCATCACCCTATATCTCATCTCAAACCCATTTCCTTTCGCAGCTTCCAGTCCACATCCCCCAGCCCAGCACCTTTCCCTTAATGGCTTCGGCGAACTGCTCCTTGGTGGCTCTGTTCTCCAGCATCTTCTTATCCAATGCCTCGCTCAACGCCACGACCTGGAAAACATCTGCTTGTCGGTCAATGCGCTGTCGTCACGGGTGGCCATGGACCCAGGAACTCACATCTGTGGGCGCCGTGGTTCATCAGCGGCCTCGGAGGGACGTAAACGGCATCCCGTCTCCACCCCTTGCCCCAATGAAAGCCCCCTTTCAGAAGAGACCTCTCCTCGTCCTCGATTTCAAAGTCCTCGGGGATTACCCGCCTCTTCTCGGGGGCGATCCCACCATAGATCCTGGGCGTAACGTCAGTCCGTTCCTCCGCCGTCGGGGAAGAAAACGTTGCAGGGCTCACCCGTGGCAGATGGGCATCGGCAAGGGGGCGTCCATATCCTCGACGAGGAGGAGCCACTCCCTCACCTCAGGCTCGAGATCGCTCGGGACGCCCCAAAAGAGCGCCGGGATCCGGCCACCGCCGCCGGCGATGTACTCTGGTCCCATTGTCGCGGGGGACTCGCCGCAGTCTGGCGACGTGACGGTGATGGTCGGGTCGGCGTGCGAGGCGAACACAGGGGAGGTATAGAACGCCTTGGCATCATGGCCGCGGGAGTTCTCAAAGATCCAGCTGAGTGAGACCTCGACGTATTGCAGCATGGTTTCCATGATGATTGAGTTGAAGATATTACACTGGAGATGATCTTCGGCGTGGTATAAGCAACGACGAAGCGGGCGGGCGGCGAGATGGATTTTATCTCAGAGCACCCACCAGGTGTTAAATCTATCCACCATCCTGTGATTGAACCCGTCTTCAACTGAATCGAAGAACAAAAAAAATCGTCTTCTGGACATTCATGCTTATCTCCAGCGAGGTTGACGTGGTCGAGCGGGGGCCTCATGATCTCACTCGTATCTGGGAGGATTCGATGTCCGATTCGGTGCCGAATCGGCCATCACTTCGGCCCATCACTTCGAACGCCGGTACTTCAATTTTCGATGTGTTTCTTTTCAAACGACTGTCTTTCATTCTTTCCTCTTACATTCAATTGCTCCCTTTTACTTGTCATCCTATTCCATCTTGACGAACATCTGGGCTCTGAAGCGGTCCGAATCATGGTTCGGAACAAGACAGATTCATAACGCCTAGGAAGCGGCAAGGATCAAGATGCGGATGCTCCCGCCTTGGCGTTGCTTAGCGGGTGCTCCCAGAGGCTACAGGAAGAGTTGGGGGCATTACTTACCTATTGCCCCCTGAATGTAAAAGACGTTCCAGAGAGGTAGGAACGCCACTTACTGCTCCTGTCACAGTCAGCTCACCAAAATTAGGTAGGGGATTTTGCCATTTTTCGCCAGTCTTTAATTCCATCTGTCACCATTTCATCTCATACTACGGGCCGTCTGCCCATCCAGCTTCCTTACGCAGAAATGTTCTCACCAATCCACCGTGACATTCTGGGAAATCTCAGCAGGCCTCGGCTGCCTATCACCTTCTCCAAACCCCTCAATGGCGTAATCATGTCGCGTCGTTGTTCATCACGCTCATTCCCCGCAATCTTCATGCGCGGTGGCACCTCCAACGGCCTCGTCGTTCACAGACGCGACCTCCCTCCAGAAAATGAATGGCACAGAGTTTTGCCCGCCGCCATGGGCTCCCCGGACCCCTATGGTCGACAATTAAACGGTATCGGTTCGGGTATATCATCGACGTCCAAAATCGTTGTGCTGTCGCCCCCATCGCGGCATGGTGTCGACGTGGACTACACCTTCGTGCAAGTCGGCATCAAGGATGGCACCCTCGACATGGCCGGGAACTGCGGCAATATGTCTTCAGCCGTCGGGCCGATGAGCCTGGACGAAGGTCTCGTCATGGACCCGCCCATCGAAGAAGTCGACGGCCAGCAGTTTGCTACCGTACGTATCTTCAACACCAATACGTCCAAGGTTATCTCGGCACGCTTCAGAGTCAGTGGAAGCCCGCCCAGGTACTCTCCCGACGGCGACTATGCCATGGACGGTGTACCCGGCACCAACTCGCCCATCACACTCAGCTTCCTGGACCCAGCCGGAGCCAAGACGGGCAAAGCGCTTCCCACGGGAAGTGCCTGCGATTGGCTGCTCCTTCCGGACACGAGTACCATACAGGCATCACTGGTAGACGTCAGTAACCCAGGCGTCTTTATACGCGCTGCAGACTTGGGCATTCCTCAACCGGAGGACCTGTCGCCACAAACCGTCGAAGCCGATGCCTCCCTGAAGATGAAGCTAGACGGAATCCGACGCGCCGGCGCTTCTCTTATGGGATTGAACCCTGACGTGGAGAGCATCCCCAAGATTGTGCTGCTCTTCTCCGATACCCGCTCGCCCGAAGTGGACATCCGCTGTCTGGCATTGTCCATGGGACAGGCGCACAAAGCTGTTCCACTGACGCTTGCGTTGTGTCTCGGTACTGCAAGTCAGCTTCCGGGCACCATTCCGGCCCAGCTTGTCGGGAATCGATCAAAGACCTCCATCGTCATCGGCCACCCAAGCGGCAAGGTAGACATCGGGACTACTTTCGATGACGGGAAGATCAGATCGGCAGATCTCCGCCGTACAGCACGAGTGCTGATGAAGGGAGACGTGTACTACTAGCTTCTCAACTGCTGTCGCGAAGAACATTGCGATCTGCGTTTGGCACGACGAGCTGTACAAAATACGAGTGCCGGCGGACGTCTGGCTTCACGCCACCTTTCGGCGTGGTATGTCTGATTAGCCCATGGACTATGAACAGCACTGAGATACCCCATACTCTCCTCCAACCGCCTTCTCTCGGCTGCCACAATAGCGACAACCTGTCTTTACTCCCGCAACCTGCCCAGCTCCAGGTCCTCGTCGCTGTGCGTCGAATGCATCTGACTGAACCTCCCTCCACCAGTCCGCCCTTGGACAGTTTTGACCCAAGTAGCCCGCACCGACCGATAGTCCGGAACGTTATGGTCTTTGTGTCACCTCCTTAAGTGGGTTGCGTCGCCGCGCTGCGGAGCGAATAGAAGCGGCCGACGGTGGAATCGAAGACTGGTTTCAGGAGCGGGCTGCCGGAGACGACGATGGCGACACCGGGCTTCAGGGTTCAACAAAACGGCACTACCTGGTAGCAAGTCATGTCGGTGAAGTCCATGGCCAGGACGTTTCTTTAGACATAAGGCGCCGAAACCATTGTTCTAAACATCGAAGCTTGCAACATATCGAAAACCTGCTTAGCGGCAAAGTTACACGCGACCAAGCCATACAAGCTGTTCTAAGCAGCGTCAGCAAAGTGCAAGACAACCCTTTTTCTCGTTCTCCTTACTAGGACGACAACAGTCAGATTGTCTTCGGCCATGACATCCAGTCTCTTGGTGCTATTCGTAGGAAAAGCCAGGCGAGTAAAGAGGTCACCACTGACTCTCGTCGTTTCCAACACTTCGTGGGCGCTTGATGGCCGATTTTCTGTCGGTTTGATACCTCAGCCTGCGTGGATTCGTTGACTCTCGGCGTCTGTTGCTGACCCGACCCCAGTGCCATTGGACGACCGCAAACCCTTCCCTTGGGCCAAGTTCATCCCATCACACGAGCCAGAAAGCCCGGAGGAGGACGACACGGAACTAATCAGGTACAGAAGAATCGATCATCGTATGAGCGCTCAGACAGCCGGTCGGCCACTTCCAGATACATGCGACGAGACCGCCATCCTAATGGACGATGAACACACCCGATGCGATGAACCCCCTGTCTTTTGTCCGAAAAGCGCCGCAGATAGATTTCGGAGCCGCTTCCCCTCGAATATCTTGCCAGGACCGACCTTTCGAGATTCGCGTTCCAAACTTGTACCATCCCTTGGAGTTTGTTTATGACCTAGACGAGACGAACATATTGATGGGACTCACGACCAAGGCAGAAATTCTCGACGGCAAAGATCCCTAAGGACGGCGTGTTCTGGTCATGGCCTTTGGCTTTACGTCCGAGTCTCCCGGCTCAGACACGTTGGCCGGCCGGGAAGAGATTGCGATTGCGTACAAGATCGCATTGCCCTGGGCCTGAGAGACAGCATTTTATAACAGATACTCTCCACCCTACGAGGTATTTGGGCGATACAGAGCCTCCAAAGCGCAGCCCGCAACGCTCTCAACCTCTGTCTCCGGCGTGACGCTCTCTTGTAATAACGCAGGACAAATGAGCCTCGATGGAACGCTGTCTGTATACATGAATACGAAACTGGCTCTCGGCCGAAGATTCAACCAAGAAAGGTATGCAATCGATCGATTGACAATATGGCTCAATAGAAGCCGCATCAGCCTGGGTGCTACTGAGAAGGCATGTTTCCTTGTCGTATGGTGCAGCCAACGTGAGCCGAACCAGGAAACCCTCGGCCTCATCAAATTACGGTACCTGACCCGCTACGTTGAGGAGAAGCAGATATAGCAGTGGCGCCGGAAAGTTTTTTTTTTTTTTTCTTTTTTTCAGCTGAAGTTAGGCTCGTTGGAAGTACATGAAGTCTGTGACGAGGCTTGAGAGATTCTGGCCGCTGATTTTTGAAGATGAACGACGAGCGGCTGCGAGCTTGACGTATCGATGCGGGACTAGTTGGGAGAGACTCATGTCCCACCAACACTGATCAGACCGAAAGATGGCGATGTAAGAAAAAGCCGCCAGGAAGGGGAGAGTCTGCATCCCAGGCGCTATTCCAAAATAATCTATGAGTTAGCGGGGATGCGGTCTCGAGCATTGTGACAGCGTTGACCATAGACAAGGAATAGAGAGAGACTGTATACAGTACGTTTCGCAATTCAGTTTCTTCAATCCTACTCATCAGCGTGTTTCCTTTTTTTTTTTCGTTGCAAAAACATGAGACCCCGCAAGCTCGCATGGAACCATGTGAATTGTAAAGATAACAGAGAACCAAATAGATACTATTCAGAGAGAACACCAAAGACCCTCGGAAATACTGGAAAGACCACATCTCTATCTATGCAGAAGAGCTCGGAGCACTAGTAGAAGCTCTTATTCCTTGCCTGGGTCAGCATTCCTTAGACCAAGCTGCATGTTGTGTCTCGATGACTTCTATGTCACCTCTTGGGTGGTCGAATGAAAGAGATTCGGTGAGAAGAGTGAACAAAAGCTGAGACCGTCGGAGTATGCTTGGCAAGTGCTGGCGACAAACAGCGGACTTCACCGGAATCCCCCGCATGTCCAGCTGCAGGTGCCTCTGACTCTTCCAGCCGCTTCCTTCACCTAGGCCCCCCAACAGCTCATATTACACTCCTTCTCCCCTCTAAGTTGACTTGCATCCATCAGCAAGACTATTGCCAGCGTCTGTCATCTTACAAAGAGCAAGAATATCGGAACCGAAAATCTCGGCTGCGGAAAGTCTTTATTCTCAGCGTCGTCGCCACAGTTTCCCAATTCACAACTCCGCCATTGATACCTACTCACCTCACAGTACAAACAAACTTAACACGAGAAGAAAGATGCCCACCTCGTCGCCTCGTCTCTACTTCGCCTACGGATCCAACCTCTCCCCGACCCAGATGTCCCTGCGCTGCCCCTCCTCCGTTCCCGTCGGCCTGGCCCACCTCGCTGGCTACACCTTCATCATCAACTCCCGCGGCTACGCCAACGTCGTCCGCACCGCCGCCCCGAGGACGATGCCCCCGCACCGCCCACGGGCCCCGTCGGCCCCGGCGTCTACGGCGTCCTCTACACCCTTCCGCCTGCCGACGAGGCCACCCTCGACATGTGCGAAGGCGTGCCCTACGCGTACCAAAAACACGACCTTTCTGTGATAGTCGTCTCCACCGCCAACTCCACCGCCGCCGCGCCTCCTGCTCCCTCGCCCGCTGGAGACGCCGGCCCGCAACAGGGCGCAAGCATCACCGCCCTTGTCTACGTCGACGGCGAGAGGACCACGCCCTCGTTGCCACGGGCCGAGTACGTGGGTCGTATGAACCGCGGCCTCGACGAGGCAGGCGAGCTCTTTGGCCTGCCGGCGGCGTACGTGGACCGCGTCGTCCGACCATACATACCCGCCCAGGACTCGCCCATCGTGGGAGCCATTGCGGATCCCTTCCACGAGCGCGCTTGAGACAGGGGGGGGCCAAGGTCATCTCGCGATATCCCTTCCCCCTTCCGATGCCAGCCACGGAGCCGTTAAGTTCCGAGGCATCCTCCGACCCATGACGTTATGCAAAACAGCGTCTCCGTTCGCTACCGAGCATTTTTTGGGGGGGGAAGAAAGCGAAATAAAAAGAAGGCCCCCTTTTTCTGAAAGGCAAGGGTCTGTCTCCGTTCGTCGCTTGTCGACGATGCGACCGCAAAGCGCATGAGAGGAAACGAGCCAAGCCAAAGGGGGAAACGGTCAAACATCTTGGCGCAGGAACCCAAAGTAGATCCCTTGGCGACGTTTCCTTCCCCCGACAAACTTTGGATCACACCCAATATCTCCCATCAGGGGTAGACCCCGTGATCCGTAGGCCGACACAGCAGCTGTAACCGGAACCGGACGCCCGGCTGGGACTGCCCTCGTTTCCTCAGGACCAGTGAGGGCGGGGAAGGGGAGGAGGAGAGCGGACATGCTCAGACGAAAAGAGCCTTTACCACTAGTGTTTGTGGGGCGCGCACGCGACGGACGCAGAGAAGAAGCTAGATCGAATCATAGAATGCATCAAGGTTGGTCGGGGAATATTGAAACCATGAACTGGTTGGTGATGATGAAATGCTCTCTCAGAGAAGTCAATTAATTCCCACCAAGATGAAGCCGGCTTCTAGGTATCTCTCGTCGAGCTAGCTAGCTTCCGCTTAGGACGTTTCTTCCCTCCCCCGAGCCCTCCTCTGAAGGACTGAGTGCTGTACGCAAATATAAGATTACCATCGAGTCTTTGAAATCCCACAAACGCCATGCTCGATGCAATTCCCATCAGCCGTGTGTTCGACGTTCTCTCTTCCCCTACCCCCGATTCCCAAACGCCATCGCAATGCAATGCTGAAAACAAAGAGAAAAAATTAAGATGACAATAACCATGCTTTCCATCCGTGAACTCCGCACAACGTCGGTTGGATGCTTTAGATGACGTAAAGAGAGAGACCAGCCGCAAACGCGACGGAACCCGCAAGCAATGACGCCGCCAATGGCGCCATTGAAGGTGCCCCGTTTTCCGAGCCTGATCCGCCCAATAATCCTCCTCCTCCCCGCACGAGACCGGCGGTGGCAGCTACAGGGTTCGCGACGGCAACGGCAGACGGTACGGATCCTTTGCCCTTGCCGATCTCGAGGACGTTGGAGCTCGTGGCGTTGAATTCTGTCGGCGCCAAGGAGATTTCGTTGTTGTCAATGTCGTAGACGACATAGGCGGAGCGCAGAAACGTGTCGCCGAGGACGTTGGTGCCGTCGCCGGCTGGTGCAATGCCGAAGAGGCAGGCGTCCACACCGTTGGAAAACGAAGTACGCTTGCCTGTGATGGCAATGAGATCAAGGACCAGCTCGTTCATGGGCACCGTGATAACAGCTTCCGAAAAGGAGAATGTCATGTTGGCGCCAGAGTTGGCTGTATTGCAGGGGATGAAGGCGACGCCCTCTTCTTGCTGGTAAACGGCGCCAACCATGGAGTAAATGGTCGTTACCATGTCGTCGGGGAGATAGGTGAGAGAAGAGCCCGAATCGAGCAGCACTGCCAGAGCCATGTTTTCTTCCAAAGTCTTTGAGCCAAGTGTCACCTTGGTCAACGTAATAAGGAACTCAGTGAAGGTGCCGGACTGCTTTTGAATGGGCAACGTCATCAGCTCGCCCTTGTAATGCTTCGTGTCGACTCCTCCAAAGAGGATGCTCCCCCTACTAGCATCCAGATCGTTCAGCCACAAGCTGAAGGCGTTTGACTGGATAAGCCCCTGGGCCACCATTTTCGCAGGTAGGTTGTCATAAGGTTCCATACCGGCGCGTCCGACCTGTACTTCGTTGACCTTGTAGCCCACGCCCAGAATAGCCTGAGGTGAAGAGCTCGTGTAGCCAACACCAAACTGGAAGTCGTTCAAAGTCGACCCGCCGATGGTGAATTTGTCCGTCACGTAGTCTCCTGTCGCTCCCGACCCGTCGACGTATGAAATGTTGAACCAGCTTCCGACGTAGTTGTAGGTTGACGAAGCGTTGGCTGAATAGGTGCCGGACACGGAACACGGCGAACCCTGGCTTCTGCAAAGAGCCGAGCTGGCAGTGTTGACCCAGAGATCACTGCTCCCCGTGTCGATGTGCAGCCTCATGGGTTGTGCTGGTGTTCCGACGGAGCCATTGACAAAGTACAATGTTTCCTCGAAGAAGTTAGCATGGGCTCTGGAGACTTATGCGCAGCCGACTCACCAAGTTGCTCAGAGCGGCTTGTACAGAACCCCTCTTCCGCAGCATATCCTTTCTGTTGCGGGTGTATGGTATCGTTGCTCTGTGCAGATCCAAACCCACAACTTTTGGCGCATTGCCCTCACTCTTCCTGAGTACCAGCCCATCGACGGACAGAAGCGAAGCCGCCAAGGCGAACAGTGTTGTTGACCTCATAGTTTATTAGGGTAGTGTTAATAGTAGTAAATTGCAATGCTTCGACTTTTTATCGGGTTCGATGTCTAGACCGGCCGGCTGCCAAGGCGAAGGTGCCGGAAGGTTCAAGATATAATAGAATGACTTCGTGCTATGAGGTCATTGATGGCTTAGGCGGACGACGGGCAGGAAAGACGACTAATCCAGTGTGGACCTCCGCGGTTCGGTATCGGCGGTTGGGGAGATCGGTAAACGGCACGGTGGGGGGGACTCGTCAGCTGTGATGGTGGCGAAGCATGCGACGTGCTGATGAAGACGGCTAGGGCGGAGTGGTTGAGCTGGCACCGAACTAGTAAGCAGAAAAAGGCCGACTAGGTAGAAAGGCGTCTGGCGTGCGGGAGGGTGAGGAATCCCGGAGGCTCGGGGATTTTTAAGAAAGGTAGAACGGCGAGCTGACTATCAGGCGCAAGCAGATGTTGTACGGAAAAGCAGAGATGAAGCCAAAATACCAAGAGCGGATCGGATTGATACAGGAAGATGAGATGCAGGCCTTCTATGTATCGAAAGTCAAAATTCCGACCCTCTATTCTTAGAATGGGGGACGGCGCGGGCCCATGGACAGGGTAGCAACTGACACTGCCAAGCGCCACAGCTTGTTCGCCAGGTCTCATCCAGTCACAGACCTGACGTCGTCGTCATGCTTGGAGGGGGGGCATTAAGATGGGTTGACCAGAGGGAGGTTAATGACAGGGTCCGGGGCTATAGGTGTTGGGACGAGACCACGAGTGAGCGTGGTCTGCCTCAGCGAGCGGCTGCGGCCTGCACCTCAGCGGCACATGCAGCGGGAAGGCAAAAGAACCAGCAGTAAAAAAATGGGAGCGTTGACGGACGGAGCAGCGAATAGGTGCAAGGAGGCTGGGGCGAAGTGGAAGGCCGAGTCACTCCGGCCGGGACGACCCCAGGGGAAACCTTGTCGAACGGCAGGGTTGGGGTTGTGCGGATACCTCCAATTGTCTGGCAATCACCAGTCAGTCCGAGCGTCGTCCTCTTGTTTGCAAGTGCTCTCATCCCGCCTCCCAGCTGCGTGTGTAATCAACTACAGGTGCGATATACTTAATTGCGCGAGGAAAGTGTCGTCAGTGCCTTCCGTCCAGCACACCGAGCGAGACAGAGAGATAGAAAAAGACGGAAAGAGAGGAGCCCCTGTTTCCCACGTCCGCAGGTTAGAGCGTATGCGTTGCTGCGGTCGCTGGTCGTCTGTAGTGTAGGCCCTGACAGGGATGCTGAAACAAGGGCACGTCCCCATGCAGCTCTTTCAGACAACTACGGAACCAACGACACTGCGCATCGCTCGCTCACCCGCAAGCCTGCCTGCTTGCTGCCTGCGCTGCGAACCCAAGTCCGATGCGTCGCCAACCAGTCGGGAGGGGGGGGAGAGGGACAACTTCTCTTTGGATGACAAAGCACAAGGTCAGCTCCAGCAGGGAAGGCGGTGAACAAATGAGACGGATTCCATATGATTGGCGACACTCGACACACTTCATCAGCACCCCGACGAAAACGACGACGATGATGATCGACGGCGGCAAAGGCGTCGATGCCGTCCCAGCCGCATCGTCGTCACCTCAACAGACTGTGCAGGTCCTGTTCACGTCAACGAGTGTTAGCGTCCGCGCTTGCTTACTCATGGATTGCGCAACGCGGCGAGGAATTGCCGTGGCCGACAGAGCCGGCCGACCCCACTCTGGAAGAACGACGGACTACCTAGGTCGTCGCTTGTGTTGTGAGAAAGGGTTAGACAGAAGGACATGGAAATAAAGGGAGAAGAAACTACAGGTACGTGCCGTGAGCCGTCTGTCCCCACGTCTTTTCAGCTTAGCTTCTTCATCCAAACACCCCCCCGCAGTCCCGCCCCAAAGCTGCTTTCCGGACTACCGTACCGGGATGTGGCGTTCCGGGCCAAGAAGCCAGTCCCGGTGTCGAACGGAGGAGATGCAGTGGACGGAGGGGATGACGAAGCACTGTTCATTTTAGACTCCGGGTCCTTCGTCTTTCCGGCGACCATTGTGCGTTCCAAATAGAAGGGTTCGGAGAAGGCACGGATGTGAAAATTAAGACTTGAAAGAAGGACCCCGTTAGCTCTAAAATGTCAACAACCTGACACAACGCAATGGCGGTAGACTGGTATTGATACCACCTGCCACGGGCGCCCCTGACCCGCCTGGGTTTTTCGTTTCCTCGCGCAAGTCCGGGGGGGAAGCTCTTTGCTCGCCACGGTTGAATCGTGCACGGACGCTGACACTTGCATGGCAGCAAGCATCATCACGTGAGGTTTCCATCGGCTTCGTGGCGGATTAATACCGTATAATACCGCGCCCCGTAGACACCGGATGAAGCTGTGCGGCCCGTTTTCCCGCCGCAGCCGTCAAGAACCAATCACCGCATCGATATATGCTGTTCGCCGTTAGGTAGTCTCCCAATGAAAGACGTTCCTCCATCGAGCACCACATGGCCCTAGATGGTGTGGTGCGTGCCCAAATGAACGTCGCCCGATGTCTGATTATCAAAAGATAAGATCGGGTCATAATCAACCCGTCCATGGAGTTCCCCCCATTCTAGGAAACCGTAGCTGCTGCCACATGTAGCGGGCGCGCCAAGTCTTGTCATGATTCGTAGGATTTCGTAGGAGCGACGCACCAAGACAAGAATCCAGTACGGACACGGTGGTTTGCATCTAGGCAACCGCCATAAGCATCGTGGCTCACCATGTGTAGTTGTAGGCCTCCTGCGGATGCTTCGAGACAGGTAAGTGTATTTAGGAGACGTGGAATCCCGGTTAGGCGTCACTGCGACACCATCCACGAGCCTCACCAGAGCGACCCTTGCTCCGCGCTGTGACCTCCCCGATCCAGTCATCTTCACGTGCAGCCCGTCTGCACGCCACCCATCACGGAAATGGACGAACTCTTTTTCGCAAGCATGGACCGCTGGTGCGTAGTCCAACCCTCCACCCCATAAAGCGACGCCCCTCCCAAGCTGACTTTCTTGTCCCTTCCAGCCCAAGCTATTCTGTAAGACAAACACCCCGTTCGCGAGAGGGTGGGGGAGGCTCCTTGTTTGGACGGATGGCCGTCTTAGGTGCGGAACGACGAGCAAAACTGACCCATCCGCTTAACGCAAAGTCTTTCTTCGGGGCGCTAGGCTGTGCGGCCGCCATCGTCTTCGCCGTCTTTGGCGCCTCCTATGGCACCGCAAAATCCTCGGGCGCCATCTTTGCCGCCGGCGTACTCCGCCCTGAGCGCCTGGTGCAGAACACGCTCTGCCCGATCATGGCTCAGATTCTCTCCATTTACGGCCTCGTCGCCGCCGTCATCATCGCCAATGACCTCAAGGAGAAGCAGGCCCTGCACACGAGCTTCCTCCAGCTCGGCGCCGGCATCAGCGTCGGTCTGTGCGGGCTCGCGGCCGGGTTCGCCATCGGCATTGTCGGCGATGCCGGAGGTGAGCGCGGTGGCAGTCTACCTTCGCATCGTGACTCGCTGACGCTTCTATTTTTGTTTTTGTGCGGCAATAGTGAGAGCCACCAACCAGCAGCCCCGCCTGTACGTCGGCATGGTCCTGATCCTCATCTTCGCCGAGGTTCTGGGCCTCTACGGCCTTGTCGTCGCCGTACTCTTGCAATCAAAGTCAACAGACAGCGTTACCGAATGTAAGTTCTGAGGGATACGATACCATACGCAGGCCGCCCATATCCCGCAGTTCCGTGGCCCGAAACAGACTCTGTGCTGCCGCCAAAGGTTGTCCAAGTACTGGTCGATTGGGTTGCAAAATGTATTCGATGGGTCTTTTGCTTCGTTGGTTCTTCATGCGACACTTCCGGTCTCGCATATCGCAAAGCACTCTGCTTTGTGATCTGTCCATTAATTATACTTTCACACCGGCAGGGTGAGCCTCCTCGCTAGGTCACCAGGCCAACAATACTCGATAATAGAAGAACATGTGCTTACGAGCCCTTGAACTCTTTTCCCCTCTTCTTCCCCTCTTCTTCCCCTCACTCTTCTTATTGTTTACGTCTCTGCCCGTGGGCAGACAGCGAAAGATAAAAAAAGAACAAAGCGAGGCAGGGAAGTGAGGTCTTGTAGGAGCTTGGGCCGGTGGGAGACCCGAGGTTTCCTACATCCTGGGCAGTTGTACTCTCACATACTTTTGGGATCCGGCGGCGTGTGTCATGATCTGGTGGCCCTCATTCATCCATGCCTCGGCAAGCCGTCCGCCGTGCAACAAGCCAAGCTACCAGGACCATCGGGGGGGGGGCACAATCCGCAAAACACCATGTCGATATAGTTCTACCTTGATGCCCTGGGTGGGAGGGGCACAGTCACGCAAACAACTGCCACCATCACATCGCTCAAGCCAAACGGACAGTATCACGGACTGGCTCGACTACGCGTCATGATAAACTCCCTGCAAAGATACATCCTTCATATGCAAGAGGGTCTTTTTCATATACACATTGTAAACCATATAGACATGAAAAATATCACCCCCCCCCCCCCCCCCCCCCCCCAATCCTTTCCATCATACAGACACACACACATACACAGCCGCGCGCACGCGCGCACTTGAATACCCAGATACCCAACACCACCTCAGGGAGGCACCCAGCCCAACTCTTCAATAGGCCATTGTATCCAAAGCCGGTGATCCTGGTCCAGTAACGACCACGCCCGGCTGATCAGGTGCGTCGCCCACCCCTGCAACCACCACTCGTTCTCCAGCCTCTTGAGCAGTATACAAAAGTGCGAAAAGATGGCGACGGCCTCCTGTGTCGCCCCCGGCACTTTGAGCAGCGGCAGGAAGTCCTCCGCCATGTGGTACTTCCACAGGAAAGCGTCCGTGATGTCCATCCCCCGCCCGCCGTCCCACAGGAACACGGACAGTGTCCGCCGCAGCTCGTCGATGGCACGATTGTAGATCGGCAGCAGGACCGGGTCGGCACACGTCTTGTTCACGAGCCGCTGCAGGTCTACCAGCAATTCCGACTCGGCCCTAGACTCTTCGCGCGAGTGGAGAAAGCGCTCGTGGCCATGGTTGAACATGGGCAGCAGGGCGCCGGTGTAGGCTTGCGGTTGGAGCAGCTTGAGAAGGGATTTCGTGCCCCGGAGCAGGAACATCCAGTCTGGGAAGGAGGACTCGCCCATGATGAGGGAGTCGGACGATTTGCGCGGACATGCGAGGGCTGCCCTGATGGGTTAGTCTCATGAAATCGCCATCATTACCCGCTGCTGTAGCTTTGCCTCTTCGATCTCGAGGAGCGTGTATAGATGGATAGGTGAGAGGAGAGGAGAAGCGGAGGAGAAGGATATAGAAGAGGATGACGACGAGAAGAACATGGGGGCAGGGCTAAATAAAGGGCAACTTACCAAAAAAAATGGTCAACACGGAAAACAAGTACAGCTTTTCGCAGTTCTCCCCATCCAACGCCCCCATCAGCCCCATGGCCGTCCGGCTCGCCATCTGATGGTACGTCAACGCGCGGCTGATGAAAAAATCCCTCTTCTCCGGCCGGTTGTGCGCCAGGTGCAGCGCCGACACGCTCAGCAGCGCGCGCATCACGTAGTCGCACTCGAGCGCCAGCTTCACGACGGGCACCTTCCACATCTGCCGCACCACAGGGTCCGTCGAGAGCGTGTTAAAGGCGAACGTCGTGAAGTTGTGCATGAGCTCTAGGTCGATCAAGTTCAGCTCTAGGTCGCTCATGCCCCCGCCGGCGCCGGCGCCGCCTCCGCCGAGGCCATCGCCGAAGCCGTGGCCGTTATCGGCGCCGCCGGAGGAGATGATGCTGTCCGGCGATCGCGGGATCGAAGATGACGAGTGGCGTTGTGACTGGAGAAAGTCGCAAGGAACTGCGTGCTTGATGCAATTCCGACAGGAGGGCTTATGTTCGTCGCACTGGCAGTCGTCTTAGTTTGGGTGGTATATAGTATAGTAGCTATTACAGGGGCAACACGTATAAGGAGGGGTTGGGCGTTGATGGGCACTGTGTGTGGTCCAATGCGATAACAAGATTGGTACTCAGATGTCAGGTGACACGAGTAGAGGGAAAGGAGCGCTACGTTCACTCGACATTCACTGGCAGGTCTTATACAAGCCCATATCAAACCAACCACCCGCGAACTCATCGCAAAAGAGAAAACCGCGCCCAGGAACAGAAAATAGAAAATAGAAAAGAAAAAGAAAACACAATAACAGAAAAGGAAATAAAAAGGCTTGTCTTACCTTGATCTTCCGGTTCTTGCACGTCCTGCAGCCTGTCCTTGATTTAGGGTGAGACCGTCGCGAGACAACAGCCGCCCCGGCGGCGGCAATCGCAGCGCCAGGTGTGCCCACACCCCGGCCCGCCGTCGCCGCCGCGGGCGTGATCGTCGACGAGGAAGCCACCGAAGCGGCCGAGATCGACCCTTGAGGCACCGCGATACTGAGGGTCGCACCGGCGCCGGGCGTCGTCGCCGTGGCCGTCGGAGTCGACCCCGGTGCGGAGGACGAGCCGCCGGACCCATCCATTGGGCTGTCCATACCGGGTGGGCTCATCAGAGGGTCCCCCGACGCGAGGGCGCCGTAAATCGACGTAAATCCCGAGACCAGAGGAGCGGCCCTGCAAAATAACCTTGGTAACCTAAGAGCCTTGTACGTTCGGTTGAATGTAACTGAGCGCACTTGGAGGGCGTAAGGGCACACAGTAATCAGGACCCGCGGGGGGTTGTGGTGCAGGAAGGAAATGATACGAGGGACGTGGTTGGCGGCGTCCTCGTTTTTCTCGGATGCAAAGCGCGACGAAGACCCGAATACGAGAACGACGGGTTCGGATACTGAAATCGTGGGGGAAAACCACTCGCGTTGCTGACGGCCGTGCGGGCCGAGTCTCTGCCACAACGCAGAAGGTAGAGGTCTCCACTCTCGTCAAGGTAGCTTAAACGCACAAGGTGCGCCAAGTCGACACCCGCCACCTAGGTAGTGTAGTGCGACCAGGACCTGGGAAGATATACATAGATATATACGATGTATATATATTAACACACCCCACTCGCAAGACAAGCGATAACCTTCGCGGCTTCGATGGAAGTTCATCTGAGTTCGTCCAATTTCATCATATAAGGTCCTTGTCCTCGTGAATCCTTTCCATTGATACTCGTCTATCAGCGCTGTCTGGCTCTCCTCCAACTTATGCTTCTGGTGAGACTTAGGCCAGCACCCTTCCTCGTCTCCCTGTCCCCATGAAAAAACAACACCCATCCCTGTCTTTTCCCTCTGCTCCATGTTAACCACGGACATGCCACAGGCGATTCATTCCCTCTATATTACCAGTCTCTCCTTTCAGTGAATAAACAAGTATGCAATGTGACTGAGACGATTTGCAAAAACCAAGAGAGAGAAAACAACAACAGAATCCCCATGCCGCCGTGATGATAGAATGAAGGCAGCATTTCTCGTTCCGCATGAGTCAGAAGGGTGTGTCAAGAATATCCGCGTTCATCAAAATGAAAAGTTTCCCCCCCTTTCATGAGTACGTCGTGTGAGTTGGTGGTGAGGTGTCGAAGGTTCGTGCGAGGTCGAATGTGACAACTCTTCCACTTTTTCGTCGGTCGGGAAGTGGAACGCGGTGCCACCGCCTTGGTACAGAAAGTCACAGGTCGTCAGAGGCAGCTGCTTCCCCTACGCTGATCGCTGCGCTACAACGCTTCTACGCTCGCCAATCTATTTGGCATGCTTCTTGAAGGCAAGCAGCTCAGCCAGACTGCCCAGCGGGCATCCGTGCTTCAGGAAGTCGTGCTGAAGAAGTTCATCGGCGGATGCTCTGCTCTTGACATCAACGCACAAGCAAACCGACAGGAAGGCCTTGAGCTCCTTGCTCAGCTTTTCGGGCTTCTTGAGGCGTGGTGTACCGTTGGTGGCGATCAGGTACAGAGCCTTGAGAGGCTCCTCGTTCAGGTAGGGCGGCTCGGACTCGATCATCTCAATAGCCATGATACCCAATGACCAGATATCGACCTTGGGGCCATACTCCTTCTGCTTGACAACCTCGGGCGCCATCCAGTAGGGAGTTCCGACCATCGTCGCGCGCTTCGACTTGGACTCAGTGAGCTTGGCGCAGAAACCGAAATCGGCTGAGCAAGGTCAGTAGCTGTGTATCAAATCTGTTTCACGATGCACTCACTAATCTTGACGTTTCCTCGGGCGTCCAGCAGCACGTTGTCACTCTTGATGTCACGGTGAATGATGTTCTGGGAGTGGAGATGTTGCAGACCACGGCAGGTCTGTATGAGGTCAGTATCAGTGCGGTGTCACGGCGGGACAAGCCTCTTACCTCCAAGCAGATTGTGGAGATCTGCTCCTCGGTGATGCTAGGGTTGTTGTCGATAACGTCCGTCAGGGCACCGCCCTCCATGTACTCCATGACAACCCATAGTTCGGCATTGTTGTTGCGCAAAAATGCGTCCAGGAAGTTGACAATGTTGCGATGCCTGCTGTCCTTCATGACCATGATCTCGTTCACAATCAACTCCTTTCTGGGCTGGTGTGCGAGATCCATCTGCTTGATAGCAACCTGAGCCTTGATGCCCTGAGCACGCAAAACCTCACGGGCAATGGGCGAGACAGCGCCTTCTTTGACCTTGGCAACGTAAACGGAACCCGAAGCACCTTGTCCAATCTTCTTTTGCTTGGAGTAAGAAAGATTCGGGTCGTCCTTGGAAACGGCTTCCTTGAGCTTGGCCATGACTTCGCTCTCGGACATGGTAGACATGCGAACATCCTGCTTGCGGTCTTGAGCAGGCGGCTTGGCAGTAAGTGCTGCTTCCGCAGCCTTGACGGCATCGCTTTGCGGCACGGGCTGGGCCTTTGACACATTCAAGGGCTTTACAGGAGCGGGTAAGCGAGATGGCGGCGCGGCCTGCGCTTGAGGCTGTCTGGGCTGTTGGGGGCTGCCGTTGGGGTAGCGCTGCTGCTGGCTGGACGACTGATCCGGACGAGGCGCCCGCTGTGCTTGATTGGGATCCCGCATAGAGCTGGAGCTCTGCTGTGAAGCCATGGGGGGGCGATTGGAAGTACCGGCGGTCGGCGGTGAGGGTGCGGGGCGCTGCGCCCGGAGTCCGTTGGCCTGTTGCTGTTGTGACGGCTTGGGCGCCGGGGGGGCTGCTCTTGAGGGATTGTATCTGTCTGTCGGGGGGATGGACGAGCCGCCGCCGAAGCCGCCGATCTCTTGTTGAGCCATGGGCGTCTTTGTCTTGGGGATGGACGCGTTGAAGGCCTCCAAATCCCGACGGTTCTGTTCCTCAATCTCCCTCTCGCGGATACGCTGTGCCTCCAGCTGCTTCAAACGCTGCTCTTCGCGAGGATCCGCCTGGTAGTTGCTGGCCATGCCCTGCATCTGGAGACGTTGCTGCTGCTGCTGCTGCTCCGTGGGCGATGGCCGCCGTTGCTGCCCTTGCGAAGAGGGCTGCGTGTTGTAGCTGGGTTGACGCTGAGCCTGCGACGGCGGCATGGGCCTTGGAGGCACGACTGAGGAGCCGCCACCGCCATAGCCAAGCTGCTTGTTCTGCTGGCTACTGACAGGAGGTGTAGGCGTAAGGCTGGAGTATTGTTGGGGGTTCTCCGCCCGCTTGGTCAGGTCGGAGTAGAAGTCAAGGACCTCGAAGACGGCCTGAGGGTTGCGCTCGTAGTCCTCCTTTGTGATGGCGGATGAGTTGAGGAGCTTCGACCATTCGGGCGGCAGTCCGACAAACTCGCCGGTCTGGGGGTCGAAACCGACGTGGACGGCGTGGGAGAAGTTTGTGGGGTTGCTGACACCGCCCATTCCAGGACAGGCGCCGTAGATGAGATCGATCCATTCGTACAAGTCGTCATCGCTCTTGACGCGAATTTGCAGCGTTTTGGTTTGGCCGTCGTCCTCGCCCGGACTGTTGGATGATCCGTTAGGGTTTCTCTTAATCTCGAAGATGGTGCCGGCGGCCTCGACTCGGCCAACGTTAACGACATCCTTCAGGTAGAGGGTGTACGTGACTTTGCCGCCCTCGGTCTTGTGGAAATCAAGCGATTCTTTTCGCAGGATAAGGTATTTCTGCTTCCACGGATTGATGAAGTTCTTGGACTCCTTCACAGAAGCCCACCCTTCCTTCTTGACGGCGACACCTCCCATGCCATCGTTCTGGCCGGATTGCTGGCGGGCGATAGGGAGCGAGATTGTGGAACCGGTGTAGGTCGAGGTCGCCGTGCTCCTGATGGGAGAAATGGCCATGTTGGCCATGTTGCCAGGAAGATTGTTATTTGGCGTAAGGGCGAGACGAGGTCTATCGGTTGGGGGTCGTGGCGCCGGGCCTGGGTTCATGAACTGGCCAGACGAATACACACTGCGTTCGTTAGCCATGATTGCTGCGCAGCGTGGGCGGCGACGGCAGACGAGATCTGCATGCGACGAAGAAATGAAAGGGGTCGGTGGTGGCGGTCAAAAGAAGGACGATGAGGAAGTGAGATGGGCGACGCCGGCCGAATGATGGTGGTTACGGGGGAAAAGGGGGGACCTTTCAGGAAACGAGGCGCGGGATGGAGGTGAATGAGCGGTAGGTATGTGGAATGGAGAGGACAGCGCAATTAGGAGGCTGTTGGTGGTTGACAGCCTGTGAAGTGCGCGCGCCACGGCAGATCGAGACGAAATTAACCCCACTTTTAGCCTCACTGAAGGAACTTGACACTCCTGTTCACTTGGGGAGGGGGCTGTTGGGCGCTGATGCTGGCAGTTGCCGTCCCGCCGCCGCAGCTGCTATCGCTACTGCCGCTGCAGCGTCTACGTTTGCGTTTGCGTACCCCGAGTTGCCTGCAACGAGGCTGATTGCGGGCGGGAAAGTGGAGGAGGGGAGGGGAAAGGAAAGGGAAGAGATGGGACGGGCAGATGGATATGAGGGTGCTGAGCGGGAGGGGTTATAAGAACACACGTACATGATTACATTCGATACGAGGCAAAAGTCGCGAACGATAACAATGGAGAAAGGGAAGAAAGATTCAATGGGAGAAGAGTGAGGTGAAGATACTTACGGATTCTGCGTCGCCATTTCTCTCACTCAGTCTCACGTCCAGGGTTAGGCACAGGAGAAGACAAGAGGGGGGTACGGTTTTAATAAGAGAGGCGTGTGTTTTCTGTGGCTGTCCTCGGATGTGAAGCCCTGGGGCAATGGCTTAATGTATGGAACACGCGATGTTTCGTAGCTTTTGGGCGGCACACTATACTCGTGCCTCCTGGGGATCCGCCACCTGAGGACGTGGAGCGTTGCTGCAGTCGTTGCTGCTGGCCGCTGACGCTAGGTACCGAGTGGGCTGCTTGCAGGCTTGGGTTGCTTGGGTTGCTTGGGTCGTGGTATCTTTATGAATCGGGGATGAACAAGGGGGCATGCCAGTGGTCAAGGAGGTAGGTGCAGAAGGGTCCGGGCCAGCTTCCAGAAGGGTTGTCGAATGCTGTGGCCCGAAACAGCAAAGATGGAGATATGCTGCTCGTCGTGAACGCTGCCGATGGTGGTTTGCGAAGGGTATAGGAGAAAGGAAGAGAAGGAAGAGGAGGAGGGGGTGGGAGAGAACACGAAAGAGGGAAAGAGAGAGAGAAGGGGGGGGGGGATTCGAGGACGAAAGTCGATCAGCGTACACCGTAGTTGGGGTGGGCGGATTTCTGTTGTTGGTCGAGGCCGGGGGACTGGGGACTAAGACTGCGACGGGCGGCGACACGCTCTTGGTTGTGAGCGATCAGCCGGAAGGGGAGCAGCATGCGCTGTCACGGCGCAGCCGACAAGCAGTGATAGAGGCGTATTTGCTATTTCGGAATTGACATAAGCCTGATGGGATTGAACATGACAGACATGTTGGCAACGGTTGGGAAAGGGTTGTCGACTGCGAAGAGGAGAGAGAGAACGAACTACCTAGGATGGATGGATGGATTGATGGCTAGGTATGTGAATCAGGGACTGACTGGATGAGGCTGATCTCTCTCTCTGTTGGTATGTGTGTGTTCAAGCACCGTATGAGGCCGTGCCTTGAATTTGGAAGCCAAGACTTGATGCGTCGATGCTATTCGGAGAAAGAGCCGTAGGGCGCCCAGGGGTCGTTTCTGGTTCCCTTCGTTTCGATCTAATTATTCTCACTAGGCGCGCGATTCCCCAATCTCGTCCTGTTGCAAGGGGCTGACTCCACGATGAGAAGGCAGGATACGGAAACGCCATGAGTGATGGTTTGCCAGTACATAAACTACCTACAGAAGTAGGTAGCTACCTAAACTAGTAACTGGCCGGGGTTTTCAGGATTCAGGGTATCTGCATCTCCTCCTCAAACCGCACTTCTGCCCACCGACCAGGGAGGGGCAGGTGCAAGGGAACAATCGGCCTACCTACCTACTATTAAACAGGCACAGGTATCCGTAGGTATACCAAACAAAGGGGGAGAAGGAAGGCAAGGATTGAGGTGAAGACAGAAAGGGGACATGACCCTGACCTGGAGAGAAAGTGGAGGCGATGCACAGCAAGAGTGTAAAGAAGGACCACCCCAAAAACGCACCAACTTGACCAGGCCCCGACAGCCTCCCGCTCCTGCCAGCAAATCAGGTACCGATGCAGTATGTCGGGTCGCGCACTGGTGGGGAAGGGGGGACGGCCGTGGCCCCTCTACGAAATCATGTCACAAATTGCAACGTCAGCGACTAAGAATTTCCCTCGCAGCACGTGACCATCATTACCTTCGTGGGCAGCAGCAGCAACACTTCTCTCCGACACGACACGGAACAGCGCAATAGATATATAATTGCTCGGTTTATGCGGAATAAAACGGCAGCTCTGCCCTTTAGACGTACATGTTTCAGGCACAGTGTGATTCATGTCCAACACGGCTGACTCCTGTCGACGGTCGGGAGAGACGTCATAGTGGGGAAAGTGCCCTCAAAGCGCTCCTACTATGTTTGCAGAGACATTATGGAGGGAACATATCCAGCCAGCCCAGCCCACTCCTGCTGTTGCCTCGCTCTCCTACACCACGTGTATGCTGCGACGAACGGAACAAGTTCGAGAGGGAGGACTGCGAAGACGAAGATGATGGGACTTGCTTCGAAAACAAACAGACACTCCACTGTTTCTCTCAGACGCAAACAACCGCGTAATCTACAATACACATGATCATTTCCATGATTCACAACAAACGCGATCCACCCTTCTGAGGACGATACCCGTTCGACTCCCCATAAACTGCCCAACGACGCATCCTCATCCCGTCTGATCTCGACCGACATCAGAACTCTGCATCATGCCTGTCCTCGGGCCTTGGTGACTCGTATTACACATCAGTGGCACTTCGTCGGCACATCAAGCCCGGCGCCACGTCAAGACCTGGTATAACCGTCGATGGATTGAAGGCTTCAATCTTCAGTCGGGGAAACAAGTAAGGATGTCCGCCCCGCACCCACTACGGTTAACGGCAAGACTTCCCTGGGTTCCTAGCTCTTGAGACCACCTTCTGTCACCTGCAACCCCCTCCTGTTTGCTGCAGGAGGCGATGCGGTACGCTTGGCAAGAGGGCGAAATAGAACACTAGTTTGACTGAGACGCAAAGGGAGGCGCCAACCGGCTGTAGCCAACAACCTTCGGCCATGAGGTTGCAACCTAACCCCGAAACATGACAACCTGAGCCTAGCCGCAAACTTAATACCCATGCTTAATCTACACTCGACACACCACTTCTCCCAAGAAGTCTTCAACGAATACCGTGTAAATCCCTCTTTCCACTCCCATGGTCCGACTTCCGACGTACTGTTTGCAAACACGGCTCAGTAGATACGAGCAAGCTCTGGGCCTTCATCGAAACCTTCGACCCCTGTGCCAATAAACATGGTAACGGCCTCTACACGTTCCGTGTCGCGACAGCGGCCTTCTCTGCAATCGCACAGCTTCGGAGACCTCCTTTGTCCCAAAATGACGTCGAATTAGACCGAAAGAAGGACCCAACCGAAGACGTCCGCTATGTAAGGCAACGCCCGGAAATTCTATGTGTGCAATCCGAGCTCGATTTGCCCATCACTCGGTCTTTGATCAAAACCATGGCCACGCTCAGCCCGCGGAGACACCCCTCCAGGACAATTCTAGCACTCGGTCAGCTCTCTAATCACAGTGTGGTATCTCTGACCTCGCCATATGTTTATTCGTCCTCCTCATATCGGCATCGCCCGAGTTTGGGCAAACACGGACCCTGTTCCAAAGTGCCGCGATTCGGGGTCAACCAAAACCCCACCTAAAGCCAAGATCCGGCGAACCACACTGACTTGAGCATGCTACAGAGCGGTTGCTGCTGGAGGGGCATGCGTGGGTCTACACTGGAGTCTCCTGTCAACGACTCGTCCGTCTCATCCTTGGACCGCCGTGTTTCACATCGCCTTCTCCGCTTTCCGTCCTAGCATTGCACAACAGGCGAAGAGCTGAGCAGAGCACGGGAGGGCGCCCGCTACCTAGTGTGTACAATGTCCTGCATACGACACAGGCATGCGAATCATACCCGTTCAATACCCAGTGGTCACAATCACGGGGTGATTTGCATCACTAGCATTGGCGTTTCTAGATCGACTACTTGGCTATTCCGCCCGCAACCAGATAGGCAGTTCACTGAGTCGTGTTGTCCAGAAATGCCGCTCACCATCGTCAAGATACACACTTCCTATCCGAGGAAAGGTGGATAGGCATCCGATCCAGCCTAACAAGATGGGAATGCTACTCCATCCGGCGACCGACAACCACTGACGTCTTTCGACAACAGCAGACAGGGCCACTAGGTAAGCCCAGCACGCGATCTAGACGTACCCTCATCTCTCAGTCTCCGGAAAAAAAGAAAAAAAAGAGAGAGAGAGAGAGAGAGAGAGAGAGAGAGAGAGAGAGAGAGAGAGAGAGAGAGAGAGAGAGAGAGAGAGAGAGAGAGAGAGAGAGAGAGAGAGAGAGAGAGAGAATAGGCGAAACGCGGCGTGGGCAGGGCTGACTGAGCAATTTTGTGTTTCCGATTCGCGGATCTGTTGCAGGTTCATGCCACCAGCCAACTACCGCCCCCTGGGGACCGAGTCTCTTGAGTCGGAATACCTAGTAACGTTCCCATCCGTCTTTGCCAAGACATTGCAAGGGGGGGAGAGGAGATGTGACATTGAAGCGCGCCATTCGAGCTTGCGACTTGGTAGCATTTATTCGTGTGCCTTTTTGTGTAAAGAAATTAATAAGAATTGTGAACCGTCGGTCCCACGACATAAGATAGTGATAGGCTACCACCGGCCGTAGCCGCATCGCCATGGCAATGGGTCTGACGTTCTCCGTGCTTGACGTCGGATCTCCAACAGTTGGGCACAAGCCGTTGCTACAGCCCAACAACCCTGTTCCAGAGTTGGGTTGCGAGCCTAACGCATACTCTCGTCCTACGTCCAGTCGTTGTACTATTACCCCGCGGTGTGCGGCACTAGGTCGAATTCCCGCGCGCCAGTATTCATTCTCACGGACCGTCGCCAGCTGAACCCGACCGTCCACTCAATAGCTGGCCCGAACGTGCCTCGTCTCTACTTTCAACGTACTCGACAAACGGGTGCGACGCATGGCGTTGTCGAACAACTTCCTCCAATGAGTGAGATCACTTCGCGCTGTGCAGCATCTTGTGCAGCATCTTGTTCGTCCCGTCGTCGCTCATCACTCTGACTTTGGCTGAAGAATTTTGAAGCTTGCCATGCACACAAGTACATACATGCGCCTTGGCGACGCGTGATAATGTTCAAATCCACAAGGCTCAGTTGAGATGTCTACAAATGCCGCATGCTGGCGGCTTTTCCCTCCCTACCCCCCCTCCCTTTTGCTCTTCTGCTTCTCCCTCTCCTTCTCCCTGGAATCCATTACAGTAAGAGGAAAACCGTATCCGTATTAAAAGAAATGCTTTTACCGAACGGTGACATCGACCTCCTGACCCTCAAATGCCGGGAGCTCAGCCGCAACATCCTTCCACTCCTTGGCGCCATTGACGAGGCTCTGGATGGCCGCGACGATGGTGTCCTCGTCCGCGCGGACCTGCTTGGTCGAGTCGCGATCTCTGAGGGTGATGGTGCTGTCCTGAACGGTCTGGAAGTCAATGGTGATGCCCAGGGGCGTGCCGAGCTCGTCGTTACGGCTGTAACGCTTGCCGATCGTGGCCGAGGACGAGTCTACGCGGGCTGAGATGCCGATCTTGCGCAGCTTCTGCGAGATCTTGTTGATGAAGGGCTGGAATTGCTTGTTGGCCGACAGGGGCACAATGAGAACCTTGGTCGGGGCGACCGTCGGTGGGAAGGAGAGGACCTAGTCATTCAGTTCAGTCAGCTATGTGTTCTGTGTCTACTTAGTCTGTCTATCTTGGGAAGGGGTGACTCACTCCGCGGGCCTCATCGCCGCCATCTTCGGTGGCGCGATTCCAGTAGACGTGCTCGATCAACGAGTACAGGATTCGACCGATACCAAATGACGGCTCAATGACGTTGGGAGTGTACTCCCTGGTGTTCTCGATACGCTTCCTGAACTCGATCTTGACGAGGTCCTTGCTGACCTTGACCGTGCCGCTGCCGACGCCGGCAACCTCGAGCTCGAGCTCGCCGTTATCGGTGAGCTGCTTGGCGAGCTTCTCGCGTTGCTCCTGGGCGGTGGCCTCGAGGGCCGCCTCGACCGTCTTGCCGTCCTTCTTGAACTGGGGACCGAATTTCTTTTTGTCAATCTCGACCTGCCACTCCTCGAAGATGAGTGGCTCGTCGAGGCGCTCGCGTACGACGAGGGGGGCGCCCGTCTTCTTGGCGTGGACGGACAGATCGTAGGCGCTGCGGTCAGCACAACCGACACACTCGATCCAGCCGGAAGAGGTGAGGAGCTCAGCGTCCCAGCAGTCGGCAGCGTAGTGGGCCATCTCGTTCTCCATGTGCTGACGGAAGCGGACCTTGGACATGTCGACACCAATCTTCTGTAGGAAGAGGTGGATGCGAGCGAGAAAGTAACCGAGAGTCTCGTTGTCGACGACCTTGTTGCGCACGGCGTCGCCAATCGTCATCTTCTTGACGTCCGTCTTGCCGGCAAGCTGGGTGTGGCGGTCCAGCAGGGTGAGCTCGATGGCATCGACCTCAGGGAAGCGGTGGTGCTTCTTGCCGCCCTCGGGGTCGACAAAGTGCTCGATCTCGGCCATGAGGAATTCGCGGACTCTCAGGAGGCCGGCGCGCGGGGAAATCTCGTTACGGTAGGAGCGGCCAATGGAGGCGGAGGCGAAGGGCATCTGCTGCATGTTAAAGTCGAGAAGCTTGGCGAAGTTGAGGAACTGGCCCTGAGCGGTCTCGGGACGTAAGTAGCCAGCCAGGTTGCTGCTGGGGCCAATAGAGGTCTGGAACATGAGGTTGAAGGCGACAGGAGGCGAGGGCTGAACGCCGGTGGCCGGGTTCTTGAGGTCGTATTTCTTGATAAGCTCGCCGAGCTCCGTGCCATTGTAGTTGTCGATCTTGGCCAGGACCTCCTCGTACTCCTGGACGACGTTGTCGTCGAGCTTGACGGCCTCGGTCTTTGTCTTTCTCTTCTTCTTCTTCTTGGGGTCGTCCTCCTCCTCGACCTTTTCGCCGCGAGCCTCCTTGTTACCCTTGAGGCGGAACTCGAGCACGTCCTCAACGAAGTGATCGGCACGAAGGATATCGCCGTTCTTGGGGTCCTTGCACATCCAGTCCGCGAACTTGTCGACGTGGCCCGAGGTCTTGAGAACCTCGTGCGGGGTCAGGACGGTGGTGTCGATCTCGAGCATGTCCTCCTCGAGGATGAAGTGCTTGCGCCAGATGTCGACAATGTTGGCTTGCAGGGAGCAGCCGGGGGGGCCATAGTCGAAGAGGCCGGCGACGCCGCCGTAAATCTCGAAAGCCGGGGTGAAGAAGAGACGCCGGCGCAGCATGGCATCGAGGGCCTGCCGGTCGAGGGGCTGACCCTTCAGGGTCGTCGCAGTGGTCGTCATCTTGGGGATGGCGTCGTTGGGCTTGTTCTTTTTCGAGGGGGTAAGGACTTGGGCCCGGGAGAGGTGACGAGTGGTGGTGAGGGTGCGGTGTTGGAAGTGGTGGTGGTGGGAGTAGGAGCGGAAGGGCAAGGAGGGGGAGGGGTAACGATGGTGGCAGTGGAAAAAAGCGGCCGGCCGAACTACACAGAAGCTAGCTGCGGAACGAATTGGAGGTGATTGGTGTACGAAAGAGTGAAAAGGCTTCATCTATTTGATCGTCTGGTGGGGTTCTTTTTAGAGAGCGTGAGTCATCTGGAGGGGCCTTGGCTCTAGCAACAGCAGCTGCAGTTCCCTGTGTAGTAAGGGAGGGGCACTGGTTAGGTACCTGGCTTATAGGTTCAATTGGGAAATGCCAGGTAGAGACAGAGAGAGCTGGGTGTGGTGCAGAGTGTGCGTGCGATACCTAGGTAGGTAGGCGTCGAGGGGTGGTTTGTGTGGTGGTCGAGTCGTTCTCCTACAAAGTGTCGTGCTGCGCGCCCTTTCTCAATTGTTTTTTTCTTTCTGCTCCAGTGCACACTCACCCCTCATTGGTGTGCGGTACCGGTAGTCTTTCGGTCGTGCGATCAGCGTCGCCCCAGGCTATTCAGGTACTACTAGTAAGCAGAACCCCCTCCCGCAGCCCATCATCGTCCATGGACGACGGAAATTCAATCCGCCGACTGGCCAGCATCGGATGCTAAAGATCCCTGACCCCCGCAATACTGAGGGTCGGGGGGCCCATCTCAAATGCATCTGCTGCAGGGATTGGTTGGTGCCCCGCCAAAATTTCTCCAAAGCTGATTTTCACTGAGCCTCTTCCACGACGGAACCTTTTTTTATGATATTTTAGAGGACGATACTGAGAATCTGCATTGCAAACATTGAATTGCGACAACTGCCCGACTACAACAGGCCTCCTAGGAAAGAAAAGGAGAAAAAAAGAAAGAAAAAAACTCGACGGCGAGGTATTGGCACTTTCTCCCAATCGGACGAGCGTCGAATCTGCAGCAAATTCCCAGAGGTCAATCGAGTCGAGAAAGCGAGTTTTCAACATGGGCTTCTCCAAGCCGGGCAAGTCCATGGGGGCTTCGCTCACCAACAAGACGTCCAACAAGCTTAAGCGCAAGGAGCTGTATGTGCTGCAGAAGAAGGAGAAGGACAAGGCGCAGCGCGAGATGCGCTTCCGTCGGAAAAAGGAGGAGGACAAGGACCCGGAGCTGCGTGCCGCCCGAATTGCCAAGAACAAGCCCAAGACGCTCGATAGCAAGCGCGTGTGGGACGACGTCGACGACGACTCCCTGGGGAATGTGGTGGACGTCGAGAAGCTCAAGAGAAGGAGGATAGAGGAGGAGGAGAACGCGGCGCTGGAGAAGGAGCTCGACGATGAGGACGATGAGGAGGACGGGGACGAGTCGGACAACGACAGCATGCTCGCGTCCGACGATGACGAAGAGGCGGCCGAAGCGAAGAAGGCCGAGAGGGAGAGGCGGCGCGAGGAGAAGCGCCGCGCCCGGAGGGACAGCTCAGCGGCGCCGTCCACCACGAGCACCAACCTCGACCTGACGCCCTCTTCGCTCGCTCTCAAGTTCCCCTCCCTCTTCACTGAGGACGCGCCCCCGCCGCCCAAGATCCTCATCACTACCTCGCTCAACTCGACTCTGCACTACGAGGCCAACATCTTCCGCACCATCTTCCCCAACTCCACCTACGTGCCGCGCTCCGCCCACCGCTACGGGCACAAGTACTCGCTCCGCGAGATCTCAAAGTTCGCCTCGAACCGCGACTACACCGCCGTCGTCCTCCTGAAGGAGGACCAGAAGAAGCTGACGGGCATGTCCATCGTGCACCTCCCCGCCGGTCCGACCTTCACCTTCTCCATCACCAACTTCATGGAGGGCAAGAAGCTCCCTGGCCACGGCAACCCCACGAACCACTACCCGGAACTCCTCCTCAATAACTTCAAGACACCCCTGGGCCTCCTCACTGCCGCCCTCTTCCAGCGCCTGTTTCCGCCGCAGCCCGAGCTCGAGGGCCGCCAGGTGCTGACGGTGCACAACCAGCGCGACTACCTCTTCTTCCGGCGCCATCGCTACGTCTTCCGCGAGAAGCGTGAGACGGAGAAGAACATCACCACAGCCGATGGCGCTGAGATGAAAGGCGTCGAGGGCATCCGCGTTGGCCTGCAGGAGGTTGGCCCCCGCTTCACGGCCAAGCTGAGGAGGGTCGATAAGGGCATCGGCAGGGCCGGCAGCGAGGGCGAGGACTCGCAGCCTTGGGAATGGAAAGCCAAAATGGAGAAGGACAGGAAGCGGTTCAACTTGTAAGGGGGGTGCCTTTGCGAAGACAGAGGGAGAGAGAGAGAGACTACATTAGATCGGTGGTCGGCTGCTCCATCCTCGCAATGCTCGAGTGCTGGGCTGGGTTGCGGACTGCGTTGCGTTGTTGATCAGGGACTACCTCGTGGGCGTTTTTACTTCTTGTTATGGGTGGCTTAATTAGCCGGACCAGGTGTGCCCAGTCACGTATCAGGTTCATGGATAGACGCAAAAAGTCATGGACGAAGAAGAATAAAATGCTTTTGGCTATAATGCCGAATCCGAATTGTCTTACTCCCCTCCCCAGACGCCAAACCATGATAAAATGAGGTATCATCCATGTACTGCTTGTCTCTGGTCCCAAGCAGGCTCGATCTACTCCTCTCCATTATGATCTCTCTATGCTCAAAAAAAAAAAAAAACGCTAACTAAATGTCATAAACGCTGACCGGGAACCATGCTTCCAGTTTATTTTCGACGATTTTTTTGATGCTGGAGCATGACGACCGAGTAACTAGATAACGGTCAGTCGCGGGTTGACGCACGGCCTAGTGATCTTCAACTTACCCAACAATACCACCAATGGCAACAAAGACTCCGAGGATCGACTTGTCACCAATGGCTCGCCCAGAAACCATCCAGCCAAGGGCCACAATGGTGCACGTCTTGAGGTGGCCGACCACCGTACTGGACACGGGCCCGGTCTGGGCGATGATGAAGAATTGGGATATGTTGATCAGCGAGGCGAAGACGCCAGACTACAGTCAATGTTAGCGAAAGAAATCTGCAGTGTAGGCTGGGTAACACCAACCATGCCAATCATAAGCCAACGGTTGACAGGGACATGAACCCAGTCAGGGAAAGTATCGACGAAGGGAATAACGTAGAGCAGCATGAACGAGGCAATGGGCGCCTGGTTGTATAAAAGCTGCATGCTCGACATCTGGAGCTTGCGATGATAGCTGGCAATCCAGACAGTGTATAGAGAAGACGCAAAAATGCCGGCGAAGGCGAAGAAGACTCCCAAAGTGGAGGTGGTCTTGACATTCCCATCCTTGGCGGGCAGAGTGTCGTAATATGATACCATTCCGACACCGAGGCAGGCCGGGATGAGAGACAAGACGGCGTTCCGGGGCAGAGTCGCCTTGTACAGAACAAAGTTCATTAGGGCAACGGTTGGTGTCAGAAGGATACGTGCGATCTGGTAGAAGGTGACCGACGAGAACGCCAGCGACAGGTTCGGCAGGATAACGTTGAGACACATTGCGACAGACAGGGGCAGCAAGTCCGTGATGGTGGCACGGCGCGGAGTGAAGTAGGCAAAGGTTGGCCGCGACAAGATGTGCAGCGTCAGGAACGTCACCAAGAAGTGGAAGCTCGCGAACGTGAGCTGGCAAAGTTTCCACTGGGGATCGGAGAAGATAGCCTTATTCGTGAAGACCTACGGCATAGGAACATTAGCCTATGTATTCGACAGAGAGAACAAGCGCGTGGGCCGCGTGGTCGCAAGGCAAAACTCACAATTCCAATTGTGGCCAGGGTGTTGACGGCCATCCAGATAATGGCCGAGACGAGGCTAGCCTTCGGGGGTTCTTCCTTCTCCCTCGTGTCGGTAATAGGTAGGAGCTTCTCGTCTTCTTCGGCAGCCACCTCTTCGTCGTCTCTCGACTTGAGGTTCTGCAGGCTGTCTTCCATTGGGTCCAACTTGGTCAGCTCATGCAAGGTGGCAGCGTCTGTAGAAGACGAGGCGATAGAGCCCGTCCGCTCGGGTCGGTAATCAGCCATGGCTTTGGCGTTTTGCGTGTGTGTAAAGAATATGCGGCAGTGTCGGAAACCTCTCGCGGAGCAAGTTGCAAGTCCGGGGTGGTCGCGAGAGAGAACGGGTGTGAACAAGAGAGCGGCTTGGCGCAGCGATGGGTGATCTGCAGCATGAGCAGAACGATAAATTGGCCACTAGGAGGACTTGAGGTCCTATTTCAGAGAACCATGGGAATATTGGTGGTTGGGCGTCCAAGGGAGTCTCGGGTCTTATGGAATGATAAAGGGAGAGACAGACACCTTGTCTTTTCAAATTCCGGTGGACAAAAAGGCGGAATTCAAGGGGAGAGAGAAGTGCTTATAGGGGTGAAAAGGTGCGAGACGGCGTGTCTTTCATCGAGTTTGACTATTTGAGCCGGGGAGGACGAGTGTCGGCTGCCGTAGCACGAAGTTAGGTACGAGGATTCGGTAGCTTGTCCCTTGCCGCAGCTAGTTGTACTACACTAGGCAGTGACCAACAGCCACGGGGGCTGAAAACACGCAGGGGCCAAGGAGGGGAATGAGGGAGGGAGATGGAGACGCAAGGAGGGGGGACCGTACGTACCTACCTAGGTAGGTAGGAGAATGCACCTAAGGTATGTGCGAATGTGCGGGTCTGATGCTTTGGGACTGAGGGACTTTAAAATTACACACTTACTTGGGAACCCCTCGCGAGAACGCGGAGAGTCCGATAGTTTTAGCAACAGGCGGGCGCACGTGTGCTCAGGCGCGTCCGCAACGCCCAAGAGTTGTTGTTTTTTCTCTCCCCTCGCTCGCTTTCTCTCTACTTACCTACCTACCTACCTAAGTAGGTAGACATTCGTTAAGCGGGTCGTGGTTAGTTGGAGTGAGAGACGAGGCATCCAATCCGATTCGACCCGGTCCAACCCCGTAGCAAGAGCCATCCCGTCTGCTTGTACAAGCAGCTGAGTCTGGATCCGGACCAGGCTCTGCCCTACCCGCCGTGCTTTTCCTGGGACGGACAGTACCTCTAAGTCATCAGTTGGCCAGTCAGCCGGCTGAGTTGATGGACAACAAGGAGAGTTTCGCCGTGTTCCTTCATTTAAAGTAAATAACCAACTCAATGTCGGGATGCGTCGGCCGCAAGCCTCGATTCAACTAAACTCGACCGACTAAACAGGTAAGGTAGGCTCGGAGATCCTAAGCCATTTTTCCACGGCGCACGACTGCTTTGTAGACAAGTAGATACCTAGACGGGTAGGTATCTGCCAAGTCACTAAATATCATAGCTACGCTTCAACCCCATCCCAGATCCAACCAGACCACAACTCGGCAATCTAGTGTGTAAGCCTCCCCCCCAACGATACTCGGGTAGGTACCTACCTAAGTAGGTAGCAAGCATGGCGGTCCACTTTGCCAAGCTGTCAAACCTTCAATCCCGTGTGCGGCAACCCGGCGTTGGGAATCTGTCCAGCTGTCAGTACCCGTTGGAGGAATAACATGATGGTGGGGTTGCCAAGGCTCCAAACGTTGACGAATGCAGCCTCATTGATCGTCTATATCACACCGACCAGCCATCCCTATCTCGTTCTCGCCGTCGCCCCAGCGCCAACCTCCGGCGATCCGATCCCAATCTGTACACACCATCTTTGACACAGAGATGGTTTCGACGCAGGGACAGCGCCTGGGATGCCGGCTGTTCTGACGGCTCGGTTCCTCCGGGTTGGGTTTTCCCAGCAACTTCAACTGCTGTCCAGGTCTCGTCCAACCAACATCCACCTGCGCGGGATAGAGTTTGACCGAAGTCAGTGGCCGCCGTACCGAAAGGGTTATTCCCTGAGACATTAGAATCTTCATTTGCCTTTGCGAACCCACGCCAACGCCGCCAATCAGAGAGGCATGGACTCCTGGTGCTGCCTCAGTCCATGCTAAGTAACAATATTTTCATGTCTCTCAGCCTGTGAAAGATCAAAGGTTGTCTTGGCCACCGGTTGGAGTACTATGTATGTAATGCGGTGCATTGCAACGGCATCTTCTTCGGTCTACCCATGTCTTTTGCTCCACCGTTCGGCGCAACGTCTGTCGCGGTCAGTCGCTGACGAGACTCCAGGATGTCTAGGACAAGAGGACAAGGGTATTGAAACGCACGAATCACAAGTAATGTCTCGTAGATGGCCAGCACAGCAGGCGTACAACATAGAGTAGTACAGTAGGCACCCGTCTACTACCGTATGTATTTAAAACCTTTCTTGGTTTGGTTGATCCCAGACCGTCACGGCCCCTGCGTCAATCCCGTCCGAAAACGTAAGCATGCAGGCCCTCCTGACTGGGAGATGGGGGGATTCGGCGGGCTTCTGGCTCTTTTAGCCAACGAAAACTAATCCCGGCTGTCCGTGAGTTTGACTGTCAAGGACCTTAGTTCTCCGCTACTGGCAATCAATCATGACCTGGTGCAATACACCCTGTGCCGACCATGTCAGTAGTTACGTGATATTTGGTTGCCGTTCGGTTCGCTTCAAGGACGCCATTGTGCCAGTGTTATCCATACTCTTTCGATGATAATTCACCGTTGAGCGTTTCAGCATTCCCAGACTACGAGGCTGTGCCGTGCGGTAGTCCAGTCTGTGAAGTCGAGAAGGACAACAGGAAAAGATGAGCCGGGCGAGCGGGAGGAACCGACCCAGCAGCACGCTCTGCTGTTGCCATCGTGTCGTCGTCAGTAAACAGAGCACCAGGGCCTGAAGACGCAACCGCAGCTGTGAATGTCGGACAGGTAGTGGATTGTGTCGAACGTCTATAGCGTCAATGGCTGCATCGGTGGCGCTTGTCATGGGCTGGTCGCGGCCAAGCCTTTTGTGATGTGTTGGCCTCTAGGCTAGCTTCGCTGCTGATGATACTGGTAGTGATGGAATGAGCCTCGATAAGCAAACCGCCTGCGAAGGGCAGCGAGGGCAGCGAGGGCAGGCAGACCGAGTTCGCGCGAAAGTTATTGTAAAACAAATATGCAGTATTACGGAGTACTCTATTGTGAACTGTAGCATATTACACGTTCCAGTGATGATTTGACCCCTAATCGGCTTTCCACCCCACTTTGGCGGAGACGTAGTTGGTGGTTTTTTTTTTCTTTCTTTCTGGAAGGCAGCGATGCGAGTACGCCAGGCTAACGACGGAGAGGCCGGCCGTGACTTGATCCCTCTCGGCGCAGAAGCATGAAAACCTTATGGACCGGCGATTCAGAGGTGTTGGTCGCAGACTGAGACCAGAATCTCAGAGAAGGAACTACCCGACACTTGTAGCCATGCGAAGGGTCGTACCGGTACACGGCAACAGAAACCCAATAGGAAGACTTGGTGTTATTGTCATGCCAAACAGAACTAGCAACGTCCTACCTACTAGTATCCGAAGACCAATGTTGAGGCCTCGTGGTCGACGGTGGCACCATGACACCCGTCGAAAGCGCTTCGTGGGCTCTCCCTAGCTTCCATTAGCTTGCGTAAAAAGAAAGGGTCCCATTCCACCGGAAGGTCTCGGTTAGATTGGGGTTACACCTGTCGAGCTGCACTGCATCTCAAACTACCTAGTACCTAGGTAGAGCGGCTCCAGACGGTACTATCTATAGATACGCACACATGGATTGGACTAGGTAAATGGAAGGAAACAGAGAGAACTGTCTGAGTACCGAGGGGGTACCCACAATACTCTGCAGGGGGCGATGTGCATTGTACTTACCTTGGCAGTCTACCTAGGTAGGTACGTGTATACTGGGTCCACCGCCTGCATTACCTACTATACAATCAGCTGTCAAATGGTCCAAACACCATACCATGGCTTCCCGATGGCATATGCATCACTGTGCTCAGTGTGATCTCCTTTTCTCTTGGTCAGAGTTAAGTGAGGTATTGCAATGCGGGATGGACAGAAAGTGAGCGAAAGACACAGGGAGCACTGTCATGGTCTTGGCCTGGTGGCATGCGAGGGGCCGCCCTTGACTCGTTGACTCGTCGCTGATATGGAAACTACCTAATTCAATTATCCGCACACCCGGCAGGTGGGGACTGTAATGGGAAAGATGCCACGCACTAGGTAATCCGGAAACACAGCAGCGTCATGTTTCGAGACACTACTACGGATACAGTGTGCCTGCATCCTAGCCAAGATTCTCTCGGTATCCACCCCCACCATCCACCTTCCAGAGCGTGTTTCTCGTCGTCCTTGCACTTTCCCACCAGTTGTAGTGCGGTGCAGTACATTAGCAGTCACTTCACCAATCTTGCGTCGCCCGCCCGCCCAACTCTCACACGGACTGGATCCATCACTCTTCACTTATCGCCAAAACAAATCAGCCATTCCCATGCGATCAGTTGGAGTAATCATCGTACCCGCAGTCGTGATCGCGAGGAAGTCCTCTTCGCAGTTGCCCACGCCATAAGTCACACCTGGCCTGCTACATCACACCTTCTGTCCACTCTCTGGCCCCGACTTCACTCTGACGCAGTACGAAGAGACGACAAGAAAATATACTTTATCGAGTACTCTGTACTTCTCCCAGTTACTCGGACCGGCACCTCGGTCCACCCTTGACTCCTGAGCCTGTGCCTCTGGTACCTTCCTGTACCCTACCTACCTACCTACCGGTAGTCGACTAGGCCCGTTCCCCAGGTGAGCTTACGCCAATCATTCCCGCCCTTGCTGGTCTACTCATCTTAGTCTGCCGACCGACTGACTCCGAGGTGGCTCGCTCCTCTCACAGAGTACATATCCCATCTCATCCAAGACAACCCACAACCGTTCCCATATGCACCTTGCCGAAGCTATCCGAACTCTACCTCTCACTGTCACAGATTCTAGGTACCCTGGCTCGCCGTCCAAACTTTGGTACTACACTGCTCATTTCGTGCTGCCGCGTCTCTTTGGAGGACAGACCACGAACCTAGGACACCCCGCCCGAACCTCTGGGACACTCCTTCGTATCTCTCGCCGCCCTTGCTATCGCTGGTCCCTGCTCTATTCGACCTTGCGTTCTTTGCCAAGGCCAACTTGTGTCTGAACGCATCCTCTCCGCTGCCTGCTGCCGCGCTCCACGTTGACATCCCTTGCCCCCAGCGCGAAGCGACTTTGGGGTGGTGCGAGTGAGACACGTCGGGCGCAGATCGCCAATGGCACCGGCTTGGACTTGATAGGGATATCCCATTTCTAAGGTAAGATTAACTGCGCGATATATACCTGTTCTCTGTGTGACCGGCCACCCAGCTAAGACTCACTTTTAGGGCAGTCTTTCTCTCCCTCGAAAGGGCAGCTCGCCTTCCCTACTTGTACTTCAACCTCCCCGGGCCTGACTCGTTATCGGTCGAGAGCTCTAGCCTCCGACACCACACCGCACTGCACTGCACTTTCTGTTGGTTCCCTCTACACTCTTCTCTCGATTGAAATTTTGAAAAGAGAAATCTTGCCAACCACTAAAATGACCCTACTCAACGGCCAAAATCGAGCGCAGAGCAGTAAGCCTACCATGGCCGTCATCACTGCATGTTGTCACATTCCGAGATTGCTAACTCTCACAAGCCTACAGCAATGGACACGGCAAGTTCTTCCAAGACTTTGGTGTGTGGAAAGAGGCGCCGCTGCTCAAGGGCAGCACCAAGTTTGAGCCACTGCCCGATGTCAAGAATATCATGATTACTGGTGGCGCCGGCTTCATGTAAGTCAAGGCCTCGGCAGGGAAATCGCCTAAGATGCTAACACATTCCCCGAGTGCATGCTGGCTGGTCCGCCACCTTACCCTCACCTACCCCAACAATTACAACATAATCTCTTTCGATAAGCTCGACTACTGTTCCTCGCTGAACAACACCCGCGTCCTCAACGAAAAGTCAAACTTCACCTTTGTACACGGCGATATCACCAACCCCACAGAAGTTGTCAACTGCCTGAGGCGGTACAACATTGATACCATCTTCCACTTTGCCGCTCAGTCGCATGTCGACCTGAGCTTTGGTAATTCGTACGGGTTCACCCACACCAACGTCTACGGCACTCACGTTCTGCTCGAGAGCGCCAAGAGTGTTGACATCAAGCGTTTCATCCACATCTCCACCGACGAGGTCTATGGAGAGGTCAATGATGATGACGACGACCTCCTCGAGACCAGCATTCTTGCGCCTACCAACCCTTATGCTGCTAGCAAGGCAGCCGCCGAGATGCTTGTTCAGTCTTACCAGAAGAGTTTTAAGCTCCCCGTCATCATCGTGCGCAGTAACAACGTCTACGGCCCGCACCAGTTTCCCGAGAGTAGGTCACATACATCCAACCCGTCGACTCCTGGCTAACAAGAATAAGAAATCATCCCCAAGTTCACTTGCTTGCTGAACAGAGGCCAGCCCGTTGTTCTCCACGGTGACGGGAGCCCTACCCGGCGTTACCTGTTTGCTGGCGATGCGGCTGACGCCTTCGACACCATCTTACACAAGGGCCAGATGGGTCAAATCTACAATGTTGGGTCCTACGACGAAATCTCCAACATCGACCTCTGCAGCCATCTTCTCAAAGAGATGAACATCCCGTGTTCCACGACGGACGAGTTCAAGAAGTGGGTCAAGTACACCCATGACAGACCTTTCAACGACCATCGGTATGCCGTCGACGGCACCAAGCTCCGTCAGCTCGGGTGGGACCAGAAGACCAGCTTTGCTGACGGTCTCCGCATCACGGTCAACTGGTACCGCCAATTTGGCGAGGAATGGTGGGGCGACATCTCCTCTGTCCTCACGCCTTTCCCTGTTGTTCAGGGTTTGGACGTGTCTGCGGACTCAGAGCCTGTCGCTGATTCACCTCTCACACCCGAGTCGAAGAAGAGGAAGGTCATCGATGACGACGGGAGCAACGGCATTAGAAAGGGCATCGCCAATGGCTCCAACGGCCACGCAGTCAGGGCATAGCAGGTAATCCATTCGTTGGCCCAAGATAAAGGCCCGCATGGGTGCTAGAGGGAACACGACAGAAACCTCATCCTTTTTTGACATTATTTTTCCGTGACGATATACATATTCATTAAGATTGCGACGCCTAGGGTTTGGGCCGTTACATTTTCAGTTTGCGGTACATGTCTGGCGCTGGGTTAAGGCGCATGGCACAATGGGGGTGTCAGTTATAGAGGAACATGTACTTGGTCGGCAATTGATATGGAAGATATCGAACAAGATATATTTACTGGATGTGCAAAAAAAAAAAAAAAAAAAAAAGGTCAAGGATAAGTGATTCGTACATCATTATTGTATGCCGGGCGAAAGCAAAGGAGGTGTCACCTGTCATGAACAAGCCATGACTTGATGAAAACTCGGGCCGTGAAAAAGCACATCTAGCTGTCAGCATGCGAACCATACGTCGGCTGGAACGGGGGGTTTGCGACAGAGTGCAAGAGAGGGGATGACGATCGGCCGCTCGGATCGCCGATGACGAGGTATTATATTTGGTTTTCTTTTCTTTTTCTTCCCCTTGCACTTTTTGCTCTTGTGGTAGGTCGATCTCGATCTGCTGTGCTATCTACCTACTGTACGAGACAATCGAGGAAGCAAGGTCTTGGTTGTAACTTGTAGCCTTTCAAATAGGGAAACGACCGCTTTCTCGCCAGTTACCCAACTAGGTAAATTTTGGACGGCTCTGTAACATGACCGGTTAAGTGCGCACAGAAGGCTGTACCGCCTTCTAGACTTCATCTTCTCCGCTGTCACATGTGGCACAGACGACGCGGGCAATGATCTTGCCGCACGTTGGTTGCTTGCTTAATCTGATTTCTTGATGGCGTGGTGCTGGCTGATAGCTGGAGCTCTCACCCCGCCCCGCCTGCTTCAAGAGCCGCTAACGTGTATTTCGTACGGATTCGCATAGGTATTCGCAGGACAAGGTACGATATACTTGCCGATATACTTGCTTTTTCTATGCGTATTCTCCTTGCGCCACAAGACCACACGTGCATCATGCGAACGGGGGGATAAGCTTCCCACCCTTCTTTTCTCCGGCTTTGTTTCGGGTACCACGCGGTCGGGTTTGCAGCTTGCTGTAGGTCTCAATACGCGACCGCTTTCTGCTGGTACCGTACTTTTCGCTTCTGTGCACGGGGCACAATGGCAGCCTCGGACTACCAGATATTCGTCTGCCGCTGACGTCGCCTTGCTGATAAGGATAGGGAAGTTGATGACCAGCCGGGGCATTGTTGGAACCCGAGGAACCGGGTAGAGGAAGGGGCCTTTCCAGTAAAATGGATATCTGCAGTGGGTAAGATGGAATCAAACCTACAGATACATACACGTACCAGTGTATGTACGGATACATAGCATGCAGAACTAAGGAAGATTCAAAGATCCCTCACGGGTTAGGACAACCAATGCAACGTCGGAGTCTACTAGTAGACAGAGGCTCCTCCCCCCGCAGCGGGGAACCGGAGCACCCACATTCAGACCCATCGATCCCCGTGACGCAAGCCAACCAGAGTGACCAGAGTGACAGAGCTAGGACGTGATGGTGGAGCGCTCGAAGCCGGGGAGGGCTATGAAGGTTCCAACGGCGAGGGTGTCCCTCGTTCCCGGGCCTGGACGCCATGACGCTTGTGCGCGGCGTGCCCGTCCCATTGGAAGCGACCGTTGTCGCTACATGCTGCGTAGTAGGCAGTTTCGATAAAAACTTGGGGGGGAGATTATGCTGCGCCGCAGCCCGAATGGATTTGACGGGCAAGAATCCAGACCGGAATCGGGCATGCATAGGCAGGGGAACTGCACTGGCTGCAGTAGCTCTCGCTCCGGCGGTACCTCCCGGGACGTTGCTACGAATCAGCACCCCTTCTCCCGGCCTTGCTAGCTGCGAGGGGCATGCAGGTGGGTGGCCCAGACGAGGAAAAAGAAAGAGGGGTTGCTGCATTCCTATTGCAGCTCCTGGGTTTCCGCTGACTGAGCCGACCGTTAAAGATATTGCGCGACATGCCCCAGAGAGTACCGAATCTTGCCTATTAGTATTCTGTTGCCACGTAGGTATGAGAGAAGATACCGAAAGGAGTATACGCTACTCAAAGCCCTCGTTATGATCTCGGCGCCAACCGTGTTTCTTCTCTCAAGTGGTCGCAGCCGGACTTTGGCCATACACTGCCGATCTCCTTGTTGTTTACCGCAGCCGCTTTTCTATCCTGTGCAAAGACACCCAAGTAAATGGGGGGGATCAGGAGCAAAAAGGCGAGGGAGTCCAAGACCAAGTGAATATACGATGTACATATCCGTAGGTAGAGACGAGAAGGACCCTTGCTTGTTTGTTCTCCACCTCAGAAAGGCCCAGTCCACGTTCCACACTTTGCGCCCCCCTCCCTCTATCTCCTAAGTGGGTAGGCAAGTACCTGTAGTTCAGTCCATCTGTCCCTCGCACTTCTATTCCATCGCTGGTGTCCCTGCGGTTCCCACATCCCATCCCAGCACCTGTCAGGATGATTCTCGCACTCTCACTACAGGATGGAGAGATGCACTAGCCAAAAGTCAACCACACTAGGACTCCCCCGGTGCAACCATTCCTGTTCGGTATTAAGCCTACTATGGTACCCAACTAACAAAGTGACCTCTCGCCGCCTGATTATCCTCAAAACGTCTGTTCCTAATTCTCTCGTCTCTCTGTCGCCCAGGGACCTAACCTTTTTTCTTCTTTGCTTTCTTTTTTTTTTTTTTTAACTTCTCTTGTCTTTCCATCCAACAATCTCCGCTCTACCGCAGTCGTTCTTCCTCTTCGGCCTTCTCTATTGTTTATTTCTGCGCCGCGCGGATTTACCTATCGATTCGAAAAATACCTTGATTCCCCGAAGTCTTCACGACTGAACCATCGATCGACCGACCGACGACCCGAATTTGGCACATAGTCACAATCGCCTACGCTCTTTTCCTGTCCTGGGTTCGCTAAATCCACACACCACTTTATCGCAAATACCACCTCGACAACCCTTTCATTATTTTTCCATTTCTTGCCCACCTGCCAACAAGATTCTTACGCGGTGTTTCGTTCCCGCCCTCTCGCCGAGGACGTGATATGACGTTCCGGGACCGCCAACAGGAGACAAGAAGACTGCGATAGGACCTTGACTGCTGGTCGCACAGACAACGGGTCACGGCCGCCGTCCATGGCCAAGAAGCGGCGCACTAAGAAGAGGAAGGGAACCAGTACAAGACAAGACCCCGCCCAGGGCGCCACATCCAGCATGTCCACCACCGACGAGCTTGCGTCGCACTCTAGCGGCAGCCAGTCGAGCGGTCTGCACGAGAGCGAGACCGCCACCGAGATGACGAGCGTCATGAGCTCCAACGAGGGATCCCAGGGTGTTCTCGAGGCCGACGAAGAATGGAACTCGCAAGAAGAGGAGGAGGGTATGGAGGTCGACGACGACGACAACGATGACAACTTCTCCGTCTTCGCGCCCGGTCATTATCCCCGGCCCAGCGAGTCTCATCGCACCGAGATGCCCTACATGACGTCGCTCGATCATCAGGACATGTGAGTTTTCGCAATGCACTGCTATGTATGCCCTTGACACGGGTTGACTGGTAGAAATGTATGCAGGTCTTCAACCCGGTCATTCATGGAGCGAGAGTTGGACTACCAATGGGAGAACGGTCGGAGGTATTGCGGCCCGCATTATCACCTCCCCAACGATGAGTGGGAAATGTGCCGCATGAGCTTGATTCACCGGGTCTACCTACACGTTTTTGACGGCAAGCTCAGCACGGTACCACTGGAGAACCCGCAGAGAATACTGGATGTCGGCACGGGTATCGGCGAATGGGCCATTGGCATGGCCGATGAGTTCCCCAACTGCGAGGTCATTGGTACAGACATATCTGCCCTTGCGCCAACGTCAATACCGATGAACTGTTTCTTCGAGGTCGACGACGCCGAGTTGGAGTGGGAGCGCGAACTCGACTCGTTTGACCTTGTGCACTTCCGCCACGTGATGGCGGCATTTACGGACTGGAGTTTTGTCTACAAGGAAGCTTTCAAGGTCCTTCGGCCTGGCGGCTGGATTGAGATGCTGGAATGGGATGATCAACAAGGGTTCAAAAAGTTCCTCTCAGAATTCCCCCCTACTTCCGAGATTCACGCACTGTCGAGGGACCTGACCCTCGCGGGCATCAAGTCCGGGCGCGCAAGAGGCGTCTCCCACATGAACCCGAAACTGTTAACGGATGCCGGCTTTACGGACATTAAGCTTACGGAACACACGATTCCCATCAATATCGAGGCCAGCGAAGGCAAGCTGTGGCTGATTGCCTGCATCGATGGACTGGAGGCCGAATGCCTACGCCCACTTACGAAGCACATGGGATGGGATCCAGAGCACGTCAAGACGGCATGCCACAATGTCGCCAAAGAGATGGCCCGTCTAGCAAGAGACCCTGTCAAATCGCACGGACTGATTGTCAAGGCCCGCGTCCTGGTCGGTAGGAAGCCACTGAATGCGGCAACGCCGCCAAGCGTCTATCCGAGACCTACCGAGGACGCGGACGAGACGGACGATACGGCGAGGGAGGGTAGCCACAGCAGGCATCAAGCCGATGAGGACGCTCAAGACTCCGCTGTCGAGACGACAGTTTGAGCGTGAAATAACCTCGAGAAGGAGGAATTAGTAATTTTCTAGCCGGGTGATGAACAGCCCGGGCCAGAGCACGATTTATCTTCATATTAACTGCATGTATCGCACTTACCTACGCCGGCGGAAGATTGCTGGTCTTATTTCCAGCGACCTCAATTTGCACATCTTCTACATATTTTTTATTCCTTCTACAACATCATATGGAGCTGTAAAAAACTCACCATTAAGATGGTTAACTCTGATACTGTGCGCCGAGAAAAGGTAGACAAATCCCTGTGGGGACGGATGGCACATTCGTGCTACACCATGGCACAATGCAAATACCTTAGCCAGGGGATATTCAAGAATTCTACCTGAAAAGACTGCCTGTCTCTTGCTGTGATCCAGGTGTGCTCCTTGCCAGACTATGTAGATGTGTAAAACCTCGACATGCGGTCAAGAGTAAACTTGGACAAAAATCAAAGCTCGGCGACGGCTTCCGGTACGTACCGGGCTGTAGCTCCATCTGCCAGGTTGGTTCTAGTGGGGGGCCCGGCCGAGCTCCCTGCCCATGTCATCCATCTTCTATCCAACAGCGACCGATCAACACCCAGCATTACCAGCCTCCGACGAGCTGCATTCCATGCGCAACCGCAGCGGGCGACCTCAGCGACACTCGTAAAGACCCAGAATTCGAGCGACAATGACCGCATGACCTCGCCCCAAATAAACATCATGGCCCTGAACCCATCCGACGGCTTTGCCGCCGGCAACGGGGTGCTCGACCTCGACGACACCGCGTTGCCCATGTTCGTCGTCGAGCGAGTCCAGCTGCAGTTCTCCATCGCCGCCGACTTCGTCGCCGCCCAGGTAGCGAACAACGTTCTCGTTCTGGCGCTTTCCAACGGCCGCATCCTGCGCATTGACCTGAACAGACCCGAAGACATTGATGGTGCGTGGTGGCTGGCCGCCATCTGCGGCTGCGTCTGTAACATTCTCGCGAGAAACCATCACTAACCTCGGTGCAAATCCAGACATTGACCTCCCGAAGAAGCCCGGCGAAATCGGCGTTATCCGCCGCATGTTTCTCGATCCGACTGCCTCCCACCTTCTTATTTGCACGGCTCTCGGCGAGAACTACTACCTCCACTCCCAGCACAAACATCCCCGAGCCCTGACCCGGTTACGAGGCGTCTCGATTGAGAGCGTCGCCTGGAACCCTTCGCTGCCGACGGCATCGACTCGAGAGATACTTCTTGGTGCCGCCGACGGCAACATCTACGAGGCCTTCATTGAGACGACCTCGGAGTTTTACAAAAAGGATATCAAGCTCAAGAACCTACACAAGCTGCCCGATGGACCGATCACAGGGCTCTGGGCGGACACGCTGCCCGGGCGCCCGGATATGCGACGGGTGGTGATTGCAACACACAGTCGGCTATTTCACTTGGCTGGCAAGGTTGGCAACGGGCACGACAGTGGTGGCTCCATTTTCACGAAGCTGTTCGAGTCGGAACAGCCGACGATACACGAACTGTCGCGCTCGTCTGGCGCTGCGACATCAGCGCTGGTGGTCTCGCCGGACCCGCCCGACCAGAACCCCTACGAGGACGAGTCGCATGAGAGAGCCTACGCGTGGCTGTCTTCTCAAGGCGTATTCCATGGACAGCTCGCTTCTAGCGCGGAGGGCAACAAGATTTTTAACGAATCGAACATGCTCCCTCGTTCACAGCTTGGCCCGTCCAACACGTCGAACAAACGGAACCCCACGTTGGATTACATTGACGCCATTGCGCTGACGCAATGGCATATTGTCAGCCTTATTGGCGGCCGCGTGGTTGCCACCAACCGCCTGACCGGGGAGGTGGTGTATGACCAAATCGTCCTGGAGCCGGGGCAGAAGGCAGTGAGCCTGTCTGTGGACCTGCAAAAGAACACATTCTGGATGTTCACCGCCCAGGAAATCTTCGAGGTTGTTGTAAGGGACGAGGATCGTAACATCTGGCAGATTATGCTCAAGCTGCAACAGTTCGACTCGGCGTTGCAGCACGCAAAGACGCCGGCACAAAGGGAAGCAGTCGCCACCGCATACGGCGACAACCTTGTCGCGAAGCGGCACTTCATGGAGGCCGCCTCGGTGTACGGACGCAGCAACAAACCATTCGAAGAGGTGGCTCTTACGTTCATCGACAATGCCGAACCCGATGCTCTGAGGAAATATCTTCTGGCCAAGTTGGGTACGTTGAAGAAGGTCTCAGTCATGCAGAGGATCATGATAGCAAGTTGGCTAGTGGAGATCTTTATGGCGAGACTCAACACCCTAGACGACACCATCATCACACAGGCTGAATTGGCCGACGGCCTCAATCCCGCACAGTCGAGGGAGCAGCTCCGTGTCGTTCAGGACGAGTTCCAAGATTTTGTCAATAAGTACAAGTACGACCTTGACCGACGCACAGTATACGACGTTATTAGCAGTCACGGTCGGGAACAAGAATTGTTGTATTTCGCCAACGCCGTCAACGACTACAACTACGTTCTTTCATACTGGGTTCAGCGCGAGAGATGGCCTGAGGCGTTGACGGTTTTGAAGAAGCAGACCGACCCAGAGGTCTTCTACCGGTATAGCACTGTGCTTATGACGCACGTTGCCTCGGATCTGGTTGAGATCTTGATGCGTCATTCCGATCTGAAGCCCCGCAAGCTGATACCTGCACTGCTGGAGTACAACCGCAATTTCGATGGGAGCCCAGCACAGAACCAAGCCGTTAGATATCTGCAGTACGTCATCAACCAACTCAATGCAAAGGACTCGGCGGTGCACAACACGCTAGTCTCTATCTACGCCCAGAGTTCCAAAGACGAGGCCGGATTGCTGTCATACCTGGAGTCGCAGGGAGACGAGCCAAATTTTGACCCTGATTTTGCTCTTCGGTTATGCATTCAGCATCACCGGACGTTGTCATGTGTACATATCTACACCAGCATGGGCCAGTACCTCCAGGCCGTCGATCTAGCGCTTTCTCACAACGAGGTGGATTTGGCGTCCGTGATCGCAGACCGGCCAATGTCGAACCCGCCCTTGCGGAAGAAACTCTGGCTCGCAGTCGCCCGCAAGGTGATATCTCAGTCAAACGGCATAAAGACGGCCATCGACTTCCTCAAACGGTGCGATCTTCTCAAAATCGAGGACCTCATTCCTTTCTTTCCCGACTTTGTAGTCATTGACGACTTCAAGGAGGAAATCTGCACCGCTCTGGAGGACTACAGTCGCAACATCGACGGGCTGAAGAAAGAGATGGACGAGTCCTCCCAGACGGCGACGAACATCAAGGTCGACATTGCCGCGCTGGATCACCGCTATGCCATTGTTGAGCCTGGCGAGAAATGCTACGTGTGCGGCCTACCGCTCCTCAGCAGGCAGTTTTTTGTCTTCCCCTGCCAGCACTCTTTCCATTCAGACTGCTTGGGGAAGAGAGTTCTGGAGCAGGCCGGCGTAGGCACAAGCAAGAGAATTCGGGAACTTCAGGTACAAATCAGTAAGGGCTTGGTCAGCGGAGCGAAGAGGGAGGCCATGATTGCAGAGTTGGACTCGCTGGTGGCGTCGGCGTGGTAAGGGGCCCCTTTGCTTCTATGCAGGATTTTGTGCTAACAGTTTTGCAGTATTCTTTGCAGCGAGTTCGCCATCAAGAGGATCAATGAGCCTTTTGTCACGCCTCAGGATAAGCTAAACGAGTGGAGGATTTAAGGAATACGGGGGAGAGGTTGACTAGACGCATTCACTATCTACATGTACACGTTACGGTACACTTGCATGAGCAGGCGTGTTTAATGGCTGCAATACCCGGCGTTTCAATTCGCATGGTTTCGCAACTGTCTTTTATCTCGAGTCGAACGTGCCACGATTATGTATCTTGTTTGCTAGGCTCCAGTTGATTTAAAGGTGAACTTTTCAGTCAATAAGACGTAAGGAACGGCGGCCCGGCGTCTCGTAGGAATCCTCTCAACCAGGTAGACTCGGACGCCGGGCCTTCCTTTAGAGACTCCGTTGCACCTCCATCGCCGTGATCGTCGTCCTCCTCTGTGGCATGCCTGTCCTTGGCCGGGTGGTGATAGACAGGGTCGGCGAAGCGTCATGGGAATCCAGGCCCGTTCCCTCTTGTTTTTCTTTTTTTTTAGGTAATGAAACCCGAGGTGGCGGAGACGCCGAAGAGGGCCACCACTTGGGACGCTGGCCTACTACTCACCCTGAGTCCCTGACACCCATCTCCCGCAGCCCGCAGGTAGATCCTCGGCCAGGGAACGCGTAGATGCACAGGTTTTTTGCGAGAGGGCCGACGCCTCTCCTTCGGGGGATAGGGGCTTCTCGATTCCCAGCTTCCTTCCTTTCTCCTTTCCTAGTCTTGAATCCGCACGCGCGCACCCCGGCTCTCCCCCAGCGCAGGCTCCTTGCCTGGTAACCCTACGATACTACGCTGCTCTAGGTTCCCATGTACACATTCGACGCCGTTGGCGTGAGTCCACATCAGGAAAATCGATGCGACCCAGTCCCTTTCGTTGAGCACGCTCCTCAGCCACTCTGCGTTGACCTCGCTACCGCTCTCCCCGCAGAGCTGATACCGGGGCTAATACCTATATGATGTAGATAGGGTGTATACTCTCGGAGGCCGGTAGCATTGGTCCCGCGGCAACAGAGAAGGGATAGGAATTTGGATTATTCTGTCTTTAGATATCGGAGGTTCTAACCCCCCGGGCTGGGTTACGTTTGAGATGTTGCGATGACAACCTGTGCCAAGCGGAAAGTATGCATGCACGAGTCGCCGGATGGGCCAATAGTACTCCGTATCTGGCACCGATAACTCTATAAGACCGACTGCCTATGGCTGGTGCAGGAATGACCAGAATAGACGACAAGGTTCGCTAACGGGATTGCCCTTGCGTCCTCCTGCGCAACCCCCTGACAAGCCATCGAAACGGCGGAGAAATAAGTCGCGTTGCCCTGCCCTTCAAGATCTCTTGACCTTTATTTAGTCTCGGCGTATATAGATCGTATCACAAAACAAGCAACGGGTATCATCAAAGATAGTTCTCTATCGTATGTAAAAGTTTTTTTTTGTATTGTCTCTGGGGAACTAGTCGTCCTCTTTCTAGGCAGTGGTCTCTGGCTGCGCTAAGCGGGCACGGCGCGCTCTCCAACTTCAGCTTGGTAGCGGCGTTCTCAGGAAACAATACACCTCGGTAGGTATCCGCAATCACCCCTGCCGCAATCCTGCTCATGCCCCTTTTCGGATCCGACAGCAGCAGAGGGCACAGCCTGCGAAGGTGTCGAACGATCTGTGCGCCAACCTCATGATGGGGCACATGGCAGTGAAACAGGCTACGAAGCGATGCAAGAACAGGCGAGAGCAACGTCACGTTTTTTTGCATTTCAAGGTCGTAGTCCTCCCAGCGAGGAGGCTTATGAGAGGAGGTTACTATCAACCATAGATCCAGCCAGACGCGAGGCGGTTTCTAACACCCTTCAGCATTGTGAAACCGTCACCCTAGCGGGTTCCACTCGAGTAAGCATACATAGTAGATATAGGAATTCCACTTCTTTTAAAGCACTAAATACTACCTCGTAATAGCTGCGGTCGCAGCACAGGACGGCGCGGCTCCGCGTAGCAGAGGATGTGACAGGGCGGTTGCAAGTTTAGTGCCTATCCAACTCGCCAGGGTCTTGTCGTCCCAAGGTTGTGAATAAGAAGCGAGTCTATTCCGTTACGAGCCCATCTGAACTGTTTCCACGCCATCCCATCTCTTTCTGACAGCTGCATCCAACTTATTTTCTTTACTTGTTTATTTGTTTTCTCAGAGCCCTGGTTGGCCTTTTCTTCTATCCATCGTCTAATAAACGCAGTTTCCTTATACCCACCCGCCCGCTATTCACTCCACAAGATGTACGCCAGCCAGGTCTTCGCTTTCCTCCTTGTAGCGGCCGCCGCTCTCACCGAAGCTCGCAAGTAGTCCCCAAACAGAGCATTATAACGCTGGTATTAACACGTCCTTTAGGTGCCATTGAGCCCCGTCAAATTGGCAACCTCAGCTGCAACCTCGCCCGCTTGAAGATCGTGGGCGCCATCTCGTCGACCAAGAACAGCGTCGGCGATATCCAGGACCCGGCCGTCAAGGACGCCGCGGCGGCCGGCCTCAAGCAGGCCAACGACGGGATCAGCAACATTGCGAGCGCTCTGCTCACCGGCGAAAAAGCGGCGGCGGAGGACCGCGACGCCGTGGCTGCCGGACTCCAAGCAACCGACACGGCTCTGCAAGGAGGCGACCAGTACGTCTTTCTCCAACAAGCTCGCACAAGACTGCGCGGCAAATGCTAACTATGGATGTGTAGGACCGATGACGCAGTAAAGAAGGCAGGAGATTCCCTCCAGAAGGCGGTTGCTGCTGGACAAGACGTCGTCTCTGAATGCAAGTGATTGCTTAGGGTTAGCAAGGAAATACTTAATAAATTCTTATTCCAAGTACCATCTTCAGGTATACCGCCTTGTTGGTTTCTGAGACGTAGCCCCTATGGGCCGAAATGTGTGCCCATTGATGAAGTGAACGAAAACTTGCCTGGGCCGTATATAGATATCTCGTCCCCAGAGCATACCTTCCAGATGCAGACCCTAATACCTGTCTTGTTTATCCGCAGTGCGGTCGTAGTGTGCGTTACTGGGCCCTCTTCCAGAACTGTGAACCAGCCCTCGACCTTCGTCTCATTCGGAATGCTGTCTTGATCCAAACAGATCTTGGCTCCGCCTCCGACCTCGCCCTCCGCTGAACCCGGAACCTCCGATCGCGTGAGTAATAGATGTCTGCCAAATGTCTGTGTTAGTGTGCCTGTATCGATATTATTGATATGCTACTGCAGAAGTTGGCTCATTAATGGGGAGGGGGGGGCTAAAAACTGTGAGATGCGGCCCAAAAAGCGGTTACAATGAACCACATACTGGCCAAGAGAAGGGTCACATTTATACAAACTTTGGGGATGCCAAAACTCCTCATTTGGTCTTGTCGCAGCTGCCGTCGACGCGGTCGTCCGTCATCAAATTTTTCCGTCTGGGGGTCATTGAGCCGGTGCAACACTGGAGGGTGGCTGAAAGGGAGCGAGCGATGAAACCTCGGACTCGGGAGAATCTGAAGCTTTAGAGCCTGTACCTTTTAAAGCACAGTTGAAAACTGTCACGGATTGCATGAATTACCCTGAATAGCCGCTGGTGAATGTTGACCCCCGGCCATTGCAAAGAAAATAGCACCCGTGAGACAGTCAGGCTGGCAGTTCAGGGATTAGTCGTAAATGCGTCTTCACAATAGGGTCACACTGATCAACAGCTGCGGCACGATGGAGCTACTTAGGAAACAGGGTATATGTTCTGCATTGTCACGCGTCAAAACACGGCCTCGGGCAAAGCATCAGGCCACCTGCTTTCCAATAACGCCATGTATTAGTACGGTGTCTTGGTACATAAAAACAGCAGAAGCAAAATAAACCTCAGTATTCCGAAGCGCCAAAAGCTCGGCCAAGCGTCCACCCGCACAAGACGATATTCGTCCTGTCAGGATGTTGCCTTGCAAACGGAGTAGCTGTTGAAGCCTGATGCTTGCTGCCACATCGTCAGGTGTTCGATTAGCGTCGGGTCGATATCCCGATTGGCTTTGATGAATATAGTCTCGTATGGATGGACGTTTGTGCCGAAGTATTTGCCGTTCCAGAGAACGTCGCCGTTCTGCGACGTATCGCACTCCTCGATGTAGTTCTTTGACTTCTGGAACGCTGCCATCATCAGGTCGACCTTGTAGCCTTGCTTCAGAAAGATGGTAGTAGTGCCAACCTCAGCATGCACTGCTTGGTTCCAACCATCGTAGCAGCCGCCCATACCGACGGCGTCGTTTTCGGTGCCAAAGTCATCCTTTGTCGATGAGCCTGGAGGGGGGTTGAGGAGCAGTTCGATGCCCACTTCGTCCGTGGCCCAGATCATGGACTGGACGTGGAACCGGGGCCAGCAGTTTGCCGTCATACCGACCAACTGGTGTCGACGTCAGTACGAGGCTGCGATTGGAAGACATGGCACGTCAGTCTTACCTTGACCGTGTCCGTAAGACGCCCAAGATACAGGTCGCTCCAGCATGATTGCGCCCAGTGAGGGAGGAACGGGCCACGGATGCTCGCGTTCAGTGTGATAAAGCGCTTGTACTTCTTGTACAAGTCGTCCTTGCGGAGGACTTCGCCATACGCGCCAAGATCGAAGCAGGTATTGGGACGGCTGATGACTCTGATGTTATTCTTTTGCGGAATGATTGCCCCCACGCTCGTCTCTCCGTTGAGAATGAAAATGAAGTCGGCGGCATCATGCAGGCCCTGGTTGATGAAGAACTTGAGATTCTCACGGGCGGTCTCGGATTCGGCGAAAGCATAGAGGATCAGTGCCCTGCCGTAGTCTTTTAGGGCCGGGGGTGAGGAGGACGATTGCGGTGTGTTCGGCCCTGTGGCAGGCCTGCCAATGCTCTCGGCCTTGCTTGCGTCTCCGCTCGTAGTATGTTGTGAGCCCTGGGCGGATGTCGGGGGGGCTTTGTTCGCAGTTTTGTCCCCTTCGCCTTCGTACCCAGGCGGAAGCGAAAGCTCGGGCGATAGGACAGGCGTCGACTTGTCCGGCGAGGGGTATTCAGGTGTGCTTCCAGGCTTCCCGTCCACCTGGTTCGGCTGGTCTCCCGGCTCCTGTGTCTGGCGAGGCTAGGGGTCAGATAGCCATGAAGGCGATGGCTGGCTAGGGACTCACGATTTGTGTGGATGTTGTGGAAGACGTTGACGGGATGAAAGTCGACAGGCTCCACAGGAAGAAGAGGAAGATGATCCCCCCGATAATGGATTGCCTGTTGAATGGGAGTGTAGATACCATACTTGGCGACTTTCGTCAGCTACGGGTCAAGCGATCGAGCGTCAACGACTTCGTGCGAAGCTGATTATCGCCAGAACCTGTGGCCGTAGAGCTATCTAACGGGAGGTAATGAGCCAGATGGCGAGCCCGGCAAAGGTCATGGAAATGCGGTCGTGGTAATTGGTACTTGCAGCAAGCAGGGCCTCAAGTCGCCGTATCCAAGAACATCAACCGTGGCGGCTGAAAAGAGGATGGTGACAGCAAAGCAGCTAGGTGAATGGAGGTAGGGGGTTTGCTTTCACGTCGGACAAGACAAAACACAGGCAGAACAAGGGGCCCATGTCGAGATCAGGGTGCTCTATGTGTAGACTAGAGTTGCGTGTCGCATCTACAGAGTGTGACTGAAGGGAGAGGCAGAGGGAGAGCGCAATGTTACTTGTAATGAATGTAAGGAAGGGTTGAGGAATTTACAAGGCCATCTTTCACCGACCAATCAACCATGCTTGATGCTAGGCAATAGGGAACAGACGCGGCGGGATGTCTAATATCTAATTAGCATGTAACTGTTAAAGTCAGACAACACAGCACTACACTATTCAATAGGCACCGTGCTTGCGCAACCGAACAGCGCTGTCACTGCGCAGTCATTGACTTCGCTTCAGCGGCTGTTGCCCACGCGGTGCACACTGAAGAGCCCAAAAGATCAGAGAGGGCCTACATACCAAATCTGTCAGTCATGGTTGGTGCTATGGCGGGACATGTCCCCACCCCATGTTCAGGTAGGTAGGTGCTCACCAAAGTTTAAGACAGCATTGGGTCAATTGTCTGTCTCATGGGCGTGTTGATTTGATACGCCGCCTCCTTCATCTGCTGTTCCATCCACCTCATGCTTGGCTTCCTGAATGCGCGCTTAAACCGACAAAACATGATTGAACCGCTTCTAATAAAGAGCTGTCACTAATGGACTTGTGCCATGGTGCATCTAGGCAACAATGCTGCAAACTCGCCTCATGCCCATTGTCTGAGGTATGAGGCCCGTTTTCTTCTATGCGGCATTGCAACCAGGCAACCATGATTACTAATCCAACCGCCAAGAAGCCTTGTAGGACTTTTTCCCCGCTATTCTGTGCGAAAGTCTCAATGTACCTGAGTTGCTGTTGCTTGTTACGTTGCTGCTGCACGAGAGCTGGCCAGGACAACTCGGCCGACGTGCCTATCTGGGAATGGAGTTGGAGATGCCATCTGTATGTCGAGCAGGGGTTGCAACAAGTGGAGAGGCGCGCCTGATCTCACCTTCTGTTTGAACTAGTCTAGTGGTCATGGAAGATAATGCCGTACGTGCTGCGAACTTGCCAACTCCCAACGAAGACTTTCGGCCGCCTGCAATTTGTTGGTAGAAACAAACGAAGATAACGAGACTACACATACACACATATATTCATACCATGGCCGCTGCCGTCACGATTCAACCGCCCCTCTCCCGTAGGGGTCACGGTCCTGGTCTGCTTATTCTGGTAGAGCAGGGCATCAACCTGTCCAAACACGACAACATCTTGGACCCTCCTCCGGCTCAGAAATGGGCCGAAGAAGGCTACGTGGTTGCGCAGATCATCGTCACGCCCGGAGCCAACGACGTCACAGACTCAGTCTCCTCAGCAATCGAGAGTCTCAGAGAGCTGGACAGTTGCGACGACAAGGACAAGTTTGGTGCAATTGGTAAGCGGGTCGTCGTGCTTCCTTGCGCACCCGTGGTGACATCTCGTCTGACGCCCCTCAACAGTACTTCTCACTGCCGCTTCTCGACAGGTCGCTGACGCTCTGGACAAGCATCCTGAGATCAAGGCCGCCGTATTCTTCAACTTGGGCCAGGCACTCGCAGTCCCTACCCTGTCACACCTGCCCGGAACCCAAGCTGAGGCACACAAGGCTATTTTCACCGCCAAGACGTACTCGTATCCCACAGCCCGTGATTTCTTCGTCATCCCGAGCCATCCCAATTTCAATGCAAATGCCGCTGGGCTCGCGCACACACGCACGTTGACGTTCCTCAAGCCGATCCTCGGCGGACCCTACTTCGACCTCGAAGCCGTCTGGGAGGAACACACTCTCTTCGAGTTTGGCGAGCGAAGTGTCGAGAAGACTATGGCCACCATGGTCGAGCAGCCTTATGTTAGTTCTTATTGGCTGTTGAAGCGTGACAATTATTGTGCGACTATCCCTGACGACAACAACGATAGGTTAATCATATTCCCACGCTTACTGGTGGTGTCGGCCGGGGGCATTTGACGAACTTCTACAGAGACCATTTCATCTTTAACAACCCAGATGATACCGAGCTCGAGCTGGTCAGTCGTACAGTGGGAATCGACCGAGTCATTGATGAGTTCGTCTTCAGGTGTACCCACGATAGGATCATTGACTGGCTGTAAGCACCCGTCAGCTAACGCGGAGGGGATCCCATTCTAACATAGTCTCCTAGACTCCCTGGTGTGCCGCCCACCGGGAAGCATCTCTCAATCCCATTCACGAGCGTCGTCAATGTACGGGGAGACCATCTTCATCACGAGCACATCGCGTGGGATCAGGCGACCGCGTTGCGACAGTTGGGGTTGCTGCCGGAATATCTCCCCTTCCCCTACCAGATCAACGGAAGTGGTCCGCCGACGGGGAAGAAGTTCGAGTTTAGGCTGCCTGTTGCCGGCGTAGAGTCAGCCCACAAACTGGTGGACGAAAGTGCAGTCGAGTCGAATGCCATGTTTGAGTATGGAATAAGAGAGGTCGACGTTTAGCCAGCTTGTAGCCACGTACGTCAACCAAGGCCCTCCCATGACTAGTCAAACCGGATGTGCAGTAAACCGTTAAATGCCTGCCGGCTGCTATATCAGATGATGCTATTTTGGTGGCGTTTTTGTTCCTCTATTTCTTTCTTCCTTCGATTTATGTTTTACTCGGGGGGGGAAAACGCACACATCATACAGTCGCGGTAACCTCAATTACAGTTTGAATCCAGTTGTAAGAGACGATGCGCGAAGAAAGGCGTTCCTACTGCTGATCCGGGTCCATCAGAGACCTTTTCCCACCTCAGCAGATCTCCCGGTTGATCTCGACTCGTATACTATCCTTGGAAGACATGTCTTCACTCGAGGATGAAGCGGGGCGCGTATGAGATCCTCTTACCAGCGGACTCGCTCTCCCTTTTCTCAGTCTAACTCAGTCCTAGGGTAAAGGAGGGACGCAGGGAGTTGCGCCAGGGTTGACGGGTGGAACAAACGAAACCAGTTGGGAAAACCGTATCGATCGTAGCAACGAAGGTCCTTGATTATAGTTGAGCGGTTTGTAGTTAAGTTGAGCCTCAACCTCCCGCTCAATTTGTTGGTAATTCAAACGGTGGCCCCGGTCTACTTCTGTACGCGTATGTGTACTACAATATGTGAATCTGACCCCTGGGTAATTCCCTTTTGAGCACGATAACACACGGACTTGTAACCAGACATAGCAAGACATGTGCACTACGAAAAAGGGGTCTAGAATATGGGGAGGGCGGCAGAGCGCCCCAATGCGATGGAGGATGATATGTGTGACAGGCACATCTCTAGCGCGGTTGCCACCTCCGGCAAGAGAGACATTAAGATCACGCCCCGAAGCAACGCCGCACTTCGGATATGAGTGTGTTTCACTAGGACACTACTATGCCATCAGCCGCGGGTGTCCTTATTCGCTACCGCTACGAACTACCGAGTCCCAGTCTTGAGGGCACTGCTCTCTTGCGAGATTCTGGCATCGGAGCCCTCTGGCAGAAATCATGGTTCTTGTGTCTATGCCTCTCTATACGCCGTTTCGAAGCAGACTCTCGGGAGAACCTGGCAGCACTGCAATGCGCTATAAGCCGTCGGTTGTTTTGCCTATCTAGCCAGAGATTTTGTTACTGTATGGCTGGGTATCCCGGGAGCCGATGGATTTTGCCGGTATCACAACCTGTCACCTCCAACGCCCCATCTCGCGAAACCGCGCCGGCCGCCGTCCACGTCCGCTGAGGGCGACCGTTGCCGCTGGCCGGGCCGGGGACTGTGGATATGGCCCTTGGCTTTCATGCTCTGCTGCTAGTGGAAATTTGACATGACCATCCCGTTTCACCCGAGAGACCACTCTGGGACGCTGTGTCGGCATGCCGTCGAAGTTGTGACCGGTTTCATGTAGATAGATGTATGGTTCAGTTTAGCGCTACCAGAAACGATGGCGTTCCTATCAAATGTTCTACTGTGGTCTTCGCAACTCGATGTGCCCAAGACTCTCTCTCTCTCTCTCGCTCTCTCTCTCGCTCGCTCTGTCGCCTTTTCATCTAGGCAATTATGTTGCGACCTTGGCTGCTAGAGGCGGCAATACGTGGTACGAATACAACAATCTATGATCCTGGTGAACTCTAAGTACATTTTGATCATTGACGGCCACCCACGCTCGAATACGGAATAGGTGCATGCTACCCGCAATACGAATCTCGGCGCCATTAAAGTCAATTTTGGCAGGGGCTTTGTTGAAGTAGAGGGTGGGGTGTGGCAGGCTAGCCCCCCATCTGCAGGAACGCAGGTCTGTATTTCCCTAATCGCCGTGCCGCGCTTCCGACCCGCGGCATGGAACTCCGCCCTCCCCAAAGCAGGCTGTCGGCAAAGGACAGAAACTTTACGGATGCTGGGAACAGCTTCCTCTTGGATCACGAATGGTGTCTGGGGATACGTCGGCTTGTGGTCTCCCTGCTAGATGAATGACCGAAAGGGTGTAACGCGTAGCCAATATCGATTGTAAACACGCCGCATCACGATCAGTGTTGATGATCTTGGGCTAGGAATCGAGCCACTCGAGGAACCTTGGTAAATAACGGCCATCGCCCACAACGGCCTGGGCGTCAGACGCCAATCACTACAGTACCGGGCCGTGACTCGTCCTACCAGGCAAAGAGCAGATTCAGCTGTCGACGAGCCAAATACCCTCGATATGGCATGTGATTAACCAGCTATTATCATCCTTATGGTCCACACGATAGGTTTTGGCGCACCAACTTTGGTTAACTTGAGGCTCATTATACTCCTCCGTCTTTGGCGTCATTTCTCATTGAGACATTTACTATACACTCTTTCTTCATGCCCCCAGTACACCATTGGAATGCCCAAAAAATATCTGTTGTCCCTCTTCGCTTCGCCAGTCAATGCGTGATATAAAAGGGAAGCCCGGCCATGTCCATGCCTTATCGTCGGGTCCTTCCAGCGGCCGCTCGGACGTACTAAAGACAGTCGTCTGCCTTGTCCCGATATATAAGCCCCGGCGTAGTGCCGATAGGCAACAAGGTTCGTCAAAGGAAATAAGTACAAGAATGACTGTGCTGCGTCAAAATGGTGCGGCAACAGTCCGAAGAATCGAAGGGGTATAAAAGTTGCGACGTCGCGCTAGGTGATGGGGGTCAGAAAAGGACTGAGCATCAACTCGTCCGCACTCGGGCGAAGGTTGTGGTCCATCTCGAACGTCTGAGCAAGGAACGTCTTTGCATCGTCCGAAGCGTGGTCTGGAATCGTGGGTGCGGCCTTGCCACCGCCAATCTTGAAGATAGCTTGCAGCTGACTGCAGTCGGGGTAAGGGTGGGTACCCGTCATCATCTCGACGACCAGGCATCCCAGAGACCAGATGTCGGCCTTGCGAGTGTAGGAAGTCTGCTTGACCACTTCCGGGGCCATCCAGAATACGGAACCCTGGAGGGAGGGGCGGTGCTTATTGTTGTTCGCTCCAGAGAGGATATTGGTGGCTTCCAGCTTCTTGGAGATGCCGAAATCGGAGATTTTGATGTTGCCCTTGTTGTCCACGAGAATGTTGGCGCCCTTGATGTCTCTGTGGATGATTTCGCGGTCGTGCAGATACGACAGACCTGTGAGAATCTGGCGCACGAAGCTGCGGACGAGGGGTTCGGGCAGAGCACCATACGAGTTGAGCATGGTCTGCACCGACCCACCGGGGACGTACTCGAGGAAAATGTTGAGGTACTCGGACGACGAACTGCAACCAAGATACTGAACAATATTCGGGTGTCGAAGGTCGCGGAGCAGACTGATTTCCCGCTTAAGGGCCTCGATCATGCTCTTCTTACGCGCGTCGTTCTGGCTGTTCGTACCGGGAGCCGGCGCCTCCACCTGTTTCACCGCCAACAGCTCACCGGTGACGGCGTGCAGTGCCAGATAGACGCAGCCGAACGAGCCTTGGCCAATCATGGCTCCCTTCATCCACTTGTCGTCAGACCAGGACTCACCTGCGAGGAAGCTCTCGAGCTCTTCATCCGCATCCTCGCCGTCCTCATTGAGCGCCTGTGTGAGATCCTTGAGAGATCCGGATCCAGATCCGGTGGAGCCGTCGGCGTCAAAGTAGCTACGCCGAGTGATGTTACCTTCGGGGTCGGTCACGCTCAGAGCGGCAGCGCTGGCGCTGTCAGAGCTGTCGGCGAATGAAACATAGGACTTGCGGTTCGGCTCTAGAGGGGATTCCTCCTGCAAAGTGTCCAGCATCGAAGAGGCAACGGAATCACGGAAGTGGGTGACCCGCAGACCGGATCGTGCCTTGGGAGTGCTACCAGCCTGTAGCCAGCTGTCCGCGATGGTGGGGATTGGAGGAGCATCTTGGATGCTGGACGCAAAGCTGAGGTTACTTGCCACGCTCAGACGACTGTTGACCTTGCTCAGACGTGTTGATCTTCTCATGGACAGACGCGCGGTCCGATCGATCTCCTCTCTGGGATGGTCAGGGAAGTACGATGTGAGGTCGCAAGCAATGAGCTCGCTTGGAGGGCGCAGACCACCGAATGACCGCGGGAGCCCCTTATTTTTTCGCGGTCCGCCGCTAGATCTCGGGCCATCATTGGAAGCGGGACGCTCCAGTTCCTTGGCGGTGTTGTAAACGTTACGCTCGCGATCGTGGAACGAAACGGGAGAAAGGGGGTGTTGAAGCTCGTGGTTCCATCTCTCGCCAAGAAGCTTCTGCACCTTCATTTGGCTCCTCTTGTCCGCCGTCTCGAGTGCGCGGCTATGATTCTGTTGGGCTTCCTCGATGGCAATACCCGCTGCTCTTTCAAGCTCGGGCATGCCCGGCTCGCCAGCGGGAACACGGCGAAGAATCAAGCGGTTACGCTCAGGACGCTTCTGGTCTTTGATGATGCGCCAAAGTTCCGTGTCGCCCAGTCGACGGCATTGATTGGGGTCAGGCTCGACACCGGCCAGAACCCAGAAACAGTAATTCCTCTCGTGGTCCTCCCGCAAGGCAAACTTCCTAAGGGTGACTCGCATGACCTCTTCGCAGGTATTGCAGTCGGCAATCTTGACGACTTTGGTGACACCTCCAGTTGAAATGACGCGTATGACATCCTGGTTCTGCGGTAAGCCAGCCATCAGTGAACCATCCATACTGGAGTTATTCCTGGTATGGGAAGTTACCAATCGGCCGGTCGAGGAGACGGGGTTACCCATATAGCCGGGACTTTGGCCATATCGTGTACGCAGAGGCCGAACCGCATCCGTTCCGGGCAGCGGTGAGGTGGGGCGGGAAGATGTGCTGTCAAGGGGTATCGTATCATATTGTCTTGAGTAGCGCTTGCTCATAGAAGGCGTGGGAGCGGTGCGAGCGCTCGACGCTGAAGGGCGAGGCGATCCGCCGGACGACGGCGTGAACTGGTCCAGGCCACCGAACGAATCCTATGGGGTTTCAGGGTTAGTCATGTGCTTCGTTGCTGACACCCGCTACGGAGGTCCTCACAGAGGACCTGTTGGCAATAGAACGGGTAAGATGAGACGTACTCTATTGCGTTTCTTCTGGTTGGCGTATGCTTTTGTCCTCAGCTTCTTAATTCCGAGGAACAGGCGAACGCGGTCGCCGACCTTCTCGATGCCCATTTCCTTGAGGACATCCTTGTCGAGCTCGAGGAGGTTCTCGCCGTTGATGTGGTTCTTGCGGAAGAGCTTCTCATACTCGCCGCACTTGACGCTCCTGAGGTACTCGCAGACCTTATCCTCGTCCCAGTTCTTGACAGCGTCGGAACCGTCGTTTTCGGAAAATTCGGACTCGGTCGGGCTTGCATAGGCTGCGGGTTGGTTTGGGATTGCGGGTACCCGTCTCGAGGGCGGCACGCCGCCGCTGCCCGCCGAAACGCTGGACATCATGGGGTTGCCGGAGCCCAAGGGCGCTGTGAAGGCGGTTTTGGGTGCCAGCATAGCCATTTTGTTTTATCGTGAAATTAAAGCCGGTAAAGTGAGCATTGACTGGGAGAGAACGGAGTGGTTTGTCGTGATGGTTGTTCAGGCGGGGTGTGTCTCAGCTGTCTCGCCTGGAGCGCGTCGTGGCGAGAAAGGTTTCCGTGAAGCAGGTGTCCGAGACAGGCGTCGGGCGGGACGAAAATGGATGCGTGCGAGAGAAGCGAGAAAATTATTGAAGCGGCAGTACTGCGTATGTCGAAGTCTCTTCGATGAGCCTCTTCACTACCGGACCGTGAAGGTCTGGTTTCTGCTAAGACACACAGCAGAAAGGAGTTTGGAAAAAGTCGTGTGTGGAATTACGGGTATTTCGGCCGGTTGGGAAAAAGAAGAGGGAAGAGGAGGGTTAAAGATGGATTTGGGGTGCAGGGAAGCAAGCGGCAGCGGCAGCGGCAGGGAGGGTGGGGGAGGGCGTGTATTGTGTTTTGGGGGGAGGGGGAAAGGGGAGGAAAGTGGTAAGGAAGGTGCAGCCTCAGGTAAGGTACCTCAGCCCTGGGCGGCACCAACAGCGAGCAGCGGGTTACCCAGATTGTTGGTATGTGAGAGAGAGAAGAAGCGCAACAAGCTTCCCATGCATCGTCCTTTGTATGCCTTTACTGTCACAGCAGTCCGTGATAGGAAATGGGATGAGAAGAGATGAATGCCTCCAGCAGTCATGTAGGATACATTAGCAACGACAATATCAGCAGCGGCAATAATAGCAAGACACAGGCAAGCAACGACGGAGCTACAAAACACGAGAAGCAGCACAGTCCTCATAACGGCCCTTCATGCGTCTGTTCGCCGAGCCGGCGGAAACTTGGGAGAAACGCTGAAGCTTTCCGGCTGGCGGGGGATACGACAACAATGATGCGGCTTAATGACTGATGTTTTGTTTTGGATCTAGGTGAGGCTGCTGTTGATTCATCTGTCGGGATGAAGGAAGGGAAGAACAACCTGGGTTAAAGCCTGTTTCTTCATACCACCTACTACCTAGCATAGGTAGTACCAGTTGGCTATCGCGGTCGGCTTCAGTGGGGTGTTTGGTGTGTCACTTACAGCCCAATGGCACATCGATCCGGCCAAACATTTCTTTCGGGAGATGCTCCTCTTCCCACCGGTGACCTACCTATTGAGTGTTGGCGGCAGTAGGTACTGTACGAATACGTGTTGTACCTATTATTCCCCACCTAGGTAAGTAGGTAGGTAGGTAGGTAGGTAGGTAGGTAGGTGCCAGTATGTTTCGCTCGCCCGGTTATCGCCCGCGACTGAGTATGGGGGAGGCCTTCCTTCCATCTCTCTTCCTTCCTCCTTCCCTCCTTCCTCCTTCCTTCCTTTCTTTCCTGCCTTCCTTCCTTTCTTGTCTTCCCGCTCTCAACCGGTTTACAAGTACCAAGGACCTAGGTACCTCCCCCCCCCTGGCCACGCATACCCTTGGCAACAGCCAACCTTTAAAAGGGCGTTTACAAGGGTTGAGCGACGGCGGCGGCTTCTTGAAACTGGCTCAAAGCAGGGTCAAGAGACCTTACGAGGGACAGCCTCGGGTAGGTACCTCGGTCTCACAGCCAGGCTTTGGCTCGCGGCACCATCATCAAGCCTTCCCAGCTTCCGCAAGCAGAAAACATTGTAACAACGTATTGTACTCCGTACCTAGCGTAAACTGCTTTGCCAAGACTGCCAGGTACCTGAGGGATTACTCAGCGGTACCACTTTCCCCCCTTCAACATGCAATTTGCGCTTTGCAATGCGCTGTCATGCATCCCCCGCCCATCACCCAATTGCCGCCGATCGGAAATCTCGTCTCCTTCCATCACCGTACGACAACATGAAGGTCTTTACTTCGTCGCGGCCTGTCCGCCCAAAGTGACGAACAAATGCTCTTATTCATCGGTTGCGGACGCATGGACAAGACAGAGTTAGTCTCTCCCGAGTTAGAAACTAAGAGACTACATTCAGACATGGCATCCGAGGGTAAGGATACTCATGGTCTTGAAGCCGGTTCAGCTGACGACTGAGCCCCCGATTGTTCTCGAAAAGCCTGCAGCCCAGCGCCGCCCGATTCTTTCCTTGGGACCAAAGTCTGATACGGATACTACCTACCTACCTACTGTAGCATGACGGAGTCCTGTCTGCTATTCCTGGTACCGACCAACTAACCGCCCGGCCTGCCCGCCGCCCCCTTGCTTGCGGGTGGCTGTTCTCAACCACCAGCCCATCTTGCAGTAGCCATCTTACATCGCGTCGCTCTGCCGCACCGCGTTTGCTTGCTGGCAAAGAAGATAGATAGATGACGACCTTTGTCCTTTGACGACGGCTCCGGCGATGTACTACGGAAGCCACTCACGATGAGGCAAATACACTACGAGCACGGCCTCCTTTTTGGACCGGCAGATGCCGTCCTATTATTAGCCTATACATCTACGACCGCCTGCCCAAGTTCACCCTTCTAGAGGTAGCGATACAGAGTCCTCTATTGGCACTTCACCCCACTGCGACCCCCCGCTCATTGATTGGGAGTCGTCTTCACAACCAGTCCCTGGCATCAACGACGTCAACAACAATACCCGACATCGCAGCCTTTGTTCGTCTCCGTCTCTCTTGAATCACGAGACGGCCAGAGGCCCCACCACCACAAGAGCACCTCCGCTCGTTCCACTACTACCTTCGGACGATAGGCGAAGGCCAAAGTTTGAATCCGTTGTTGGTCAGCAAGCCCGTCTGTTGTTGAAAGGCCCCAGTGGAGCTGGCCCCTGACACCGCGATGATTGGGTCTTATGCGCTGGGCAAACGCACCCTCACAATCTGACCGCAACCCCTATTTGTCTTCACCAGGGGGGGGCATCGCCACTAGCCATCGTGAATGTCGAACCAGAAGATGCCGCAGCTAGCTGCTCCCAAATCGCATCAAATGCCTTGCAGCTACCTCGCCATCACCCAGCAAAAGCTGGCTGGCGGAGGAGTCTATACCCAGCGTGGTAGGGAGCCGAAAGGATCGCCCTCGTCTATCGGTGATTGGCTCCAATGCGCCCCGCAATCACCCAAGGCTGTATGGCATGAAACCGGTTGTGTCGCACGTCTCGACACCCACTGCGCTTTGCTGCAACCCTGATTCCTCCAACGCTGGGCGCCAATATCCTGCTACCCTCTCACTGGTGCTCACCAGACCACCAAGGCTCACCATCACGACACCAATGTACCGAGTCTCCAGATTCTTGGCACGTTGGCTTGAAAGACGGAGTCGCACTTCTTCCAACTGAGGCCAGCTGGCGCCCTCAGATTGATTGACACAGCGACGCCAGTCTGAGCCGGTCGACACTACCGCGCGGAGGACGCTCACCGTCACTTTTGGCGTCGTGGATCATCCTGGCAGGGCTGCCCGCCTTCGAGAGCCTCTTCGGCTTCACTTGCACGTATTTGACCAATCACCGCTGCTCTCATTATAACACACTTTTTATTTTATTTGCCTTTCTGCTACTCGTACAAGCCCGCCATGTGACACACGGCCAGCGTCAGGACACCTTGCTACCTATTGCTTGTAACAGCTCAAGCCTTCGCAATAACGGGCTGAGGGTTGTTACTGTTACGGCTAAACAAACCTGGCCGCCGGGGATGCGCTCGTATGTGTACAGGCGCTACTTGCTTTTTTTCTCCTGCGCCCTTCGATCCACGGGGTGCCTGAAATGGAGCAGCGCCGAATTGCTTTTTGGTGAGTGTTTACCCCAAAGATGCTATTTTCGAATGGATGCCTACGCACCTGCAGCACAATCTACCGGTCATGCATATTACGATCTCTATCCGTACGTTATTGCGGATTGTCCTCGGAGGTGCGTGGGTGTGTGATACGCAGCCATGCGGAGGAAACAAGTCATGGCCCGATGATGAGTAGAGAAAACTAAGCAACTGGGCGCTTGGCACTCCTGGGCTTTCCTTTGCCCCGAAGATGACTCTTCGATACTCTCAAGCGTGTGCGTCCACGAGTGCGCCTCTCGCGTTTCAGCATGGGTCGTCTTTGTCCGCTTAACAAGAGCGTTCCCCTCTGCTGGAAAAGACAAATCCGTATCCGGCCTTCTGGTCAGGCTAACAGAGGGCCAGCGTGGCCTGGTCAGAGCGGGCGTCAACAGGTCTGAAACATGAAACATTGGAGGATCTGCCTTGCATGTCATTGGTGCTAGTGTGGGTATCGTACCAAATCTGTCAGTGAAAAATAAAACCCCCGTCCAAGGTTGCGCCCTGCAAGCGGCCGACGGAGATCGGATTGTGAGAAGTCCTTCCTTCCGGCGCTCCGGCACCTCAACACCCTTGTCGCTCATCACGTACTGTGGGCTTTGACCCAGGCCTTGCTGCGCTTCGTTGCCAGAGACATGGAGACCCGGCGACAAAAGGCCGCAACACACCTCTTCGTTGCAACAGGACTACTACTCATGTAACGTTCCTGGCTAATTAACGTCAGAGCAGCAACACGTCACGGTTTGCGTAACCAAACACAGTACCGAAACCAAAGGGGGTGTGAACTACAGCAGCTTTGATATGTCCTGCGAATACGACGAAACAAGACTTGGACGTCGTCTCCTACCAAAGGCCTCCTAAAAAAAAAGGTCGCCCAAAGACCGACTCGCGTAGGTTTCGTTTCGTTTCCTGCTGCATATGGGGCAAGACGTCGCATACAGTTACAAGTCTATTATAAGCCCTTGTACTCGATGCGGACAGGTAACGTTTTTCACGACTCGAGCAAAGCATGAAAAAAGAAAAGAAAAAAAGTTTAAGACCACCACTTGAAAGCCAGGAGATAAAAAGTTGTGATGAACACCACCCACTGACTGGGATTGAATCGGTGTGAAAAACTCAATAATAAAATAAAACAAGACGCATGACAGGGTGGTGCCGGTTTGCCAGTCGCCAAAGTCCGTCGCAATCCTTTCGCCACGGAACCAACTCGCAAAGTCCGGCTGCATACGGCCTGTCGGGCGGGTTGTTGGTTCTCCGCACGGCCGGCTCTCGGCTCTCGGGGGAACCAGTCTTTGACCCCTCTCCCGGCAGTGACGGAAGGTGGGAACGCCAGGGTTCTCGGGCCCCGATGTCTTGCGGTGTAGAGACGGCATTGGCCGTTCCCGGTGTTGCTGGCAGACGCGGAGCATATTTATTTATCTACGGTATGATGCTGGTGTCTAAAAGTATCGCTTATTTCGGGTAATGTTTGCCCAGGATGCAGTGGAGTGTCACTGGCTCTACAGCTAGGGAGGGGCCAAAGGCTGCATTGTCACTTCCTTACACATGGCGCATTCGTTCGACTTAAGCATTTCCAAATTTCCAAGGAGTTTGCTGTCCGGTTAACCGATGGGTATCAAAGTTCGAATGTTACAAAAGGGTGATTGTGAGAACACCTCCCAACTGGTGAAGCTGCCCTCGTTGCGTAAAGACTTGGCGCAGTGCCGCCAGTGACTGAACGGAGTGGGTGGGGCTCTGTTCCCCATGCCCCGCGAAAAAAAAAAATAGAAGAAAACCACCACCCCTCCTTGTGATAAGGGAGTGTGCGTTCCACGGCTCCTCCAAAATCGACACCACGTTTAAAAAAGGGATAAAAAAATAAATAGGATCACCAGCCCTCCGCAACCCCATCAACTCCATGGCCAGTGTGTGACAGGTTTCGACATCGCTGGAGAGGCCTTTGTTCATACTCGATATTTTACGAGGAACGTGTGCTTGCGGTTTGGCGAGATCGACCGCGTCCCGGTGCGACACCCCTCCCGACGCGGCTACCCGGCGCACCGGAAATAAACGGCTGTTTGATTCCACGACGTCGTGCAAATGAGCGTCCGACCCTGAACCCCTCCACCACCGACTCCCCGACTCCGACTCATCCACGACCCGCCGCTCTCATCATTTTTTTTTGTTTCGTTTTGAAGGAGCAACAGAGGCGGACAGACGACACACGCCTCTTGCATCCATCATATCGAACTTGACAGCCATGACTGACAAGTCTCAGGCCCCGGTAGAGACTGCTGATGCCAGCGGCGGCGGCGGCGTCAAACCGCTGGTGGGCTTCCTGGGCCCTCAGGCCTCGTACACGCATCAGGTATCACGAACCTGAAATCCACCGCCTCGCACGGCATGAAAGGCCCAATGAATCGTCATCTAACAGTTTTCTCGTCTCTTTGTGTCGCAGGCTTCATTGCAGGCTTTCCCCGAAGATCAGTGGGACCTGAGACCCGTCGTCACCATCACAGGCAAGTCTTCTCACGCATACCTCCCTTTCCCCCTTCATTTCTTGACCCTGCCGTCTCCCGTCTCCTCCCATCGGCCCGCGCCGTCGAGTCCTTCGCCAGCGTCTGACTCAGGCCGCAGACATCTTTGAGATCGTGCAAGCCGGCGAGGTCGCCTTTGGCGTAGTCCCCGTCGAGAACTCGACCAACGGGTCTGTGCTGTTCACACTCGACAATTTCGCCGACCGCAACGGCCTGTATCCGGATATCTTGGTGTGCGGCGAGATCTACCTGGACGTTCACCACTTCCTCGTCGGCCATCGCCCCTCCCGCACCATCGACGACGCCGCCGGCCCCGGCGACGGCTCCGGCGCCTGCACGCCGACGGCATCGGACCCGAACCCGCTCAAGCCCCGGACTAAGCCGCTGTGCAGCCTCAAGCACGTCCGGCGCCTGTACTCCCACCCGCAGGCCTGGGGCCAGTGCGTTGCCTTCCTGCAGACCTACCTCAAGGGCATCGAGGCCATCGACGTCAGCTCCACGAGCCGCGCCGCTGAGCTCGTCGCCGCCGACGAGTCGGGCACCAGCGCCGCCATCTCGAGCGAGATCGCCGCCCGCATGCACGGCATCGACGTCCTAGCCCGCAGCATCGAGGATCGCGAGGACAACACGACCCGCTTCTTCATCATCCGCAAGGAGGGCGGCCCCCGGACCAAGCTGCCTGGCCACTGCGAAGGCAAGCGGGGCAGGACCAAGTCCATGGTGTCATTCACAGTGCCGCATGAGGGGCCCGGCGCGCTCGCCGACGTGCTTGACTGCTTCCGTCGGTACAAACTCGACCTCACGAGCATCAATAGCCGGCCGAGCCTGACGGCGCCGTTCAACTACGTCTTCTTTGTCGAGTTCGCGGGGCACAGGCTCCAGGACCCCGACGGGAGGGTCAAGGGAGCGCTGGAGGGGGTAGCTCTGGTGGCAGAGAACTGGCGGTGGCTAGGGAGCTGGGAGGACCAACGGTCGTGAGGCGAGTGATGGAGGGAGGGGGCGGTGGAGGACCGTCGGTCGGGAAGCTGATGACTTTGTCCCTGGTCTTCTACACCACCGCCTCCCTCTCACGCTCCAGAGAAACCCCCCACGGCCAGACCGAGACCTTTGCCAGCGTCGGGGCTCGTGGAGGATGGATGTCGGCGTAACCAGAATCGGAGCGGCCCTGGCGATGGCCGGCGATCCCCGCGTGGAACATGCTTCGGGGTCTACAGATACGTATCGCTGAATTGTTAGAGAGTTGCGGCCATGGGCGCGGAGGGGGCACTGCTGCCGATAGGTAGGCAAGCAAATAAGGAGAGTTAATTGGACAGAGCAGGCCTGGATTGGCTGACGACATCGCAACCTATGTCGGTTCGAGAAAAGAGATGCAACGGAGGAACAGGAAAAGCAGCGTGGGATGGACCCCTTTCCCGCACCTAGCCATTGTGTAATGGAAACAGCGAGTCGCCGCTGCGGAAATAGTTTCTCTGTCTACTGCCCCCTTCTGAGCCTGGTCGTTCTTGCGGCCTCTTTCTCTTCCTCTTTTTGTCTCTTAACCCCCACCCCCCTCCTGTCACATTTTCCCTTTAACCATGGTTCTCTTTGTTTGGGTGGCGAATACTTGGAAGCAATACTGGAAAGTGAGGATTCCTCGCCGAGCGATGGCATCACGAAACCCCCGGTCACTATATTGCGAAAGGTGAAAGGAGGTGTTGCCGGCATTGCGATCAGAGTCTGACGTCTGATTTAAGGAAGGGGAGGGCGCGGGGAGAGGCAGCTGATGAGTTGTCACCTGTGGAGTTTTTTTCTTTTTCTTTTTCTCTTTTTCCCCCCTCCAGCGGGAGTAGAGGAAAGCGACAGGCCTACCGCTACGGGCCACATGGTATCGCGAGATGAACCGGTAGGGGGGCCGACTGGTCGCGTGCCTACAATGTCTCACAACCCCCAAATCTCACGCGGTATAGGCGAAAACAGCACAGCCAGGCAGGCACCAAGCAACCCCCTAATCAATGGCACCGAGCCCCGTGACGCCGCGCTTATAGGGGCGTTTCCTTCACGCAAGAGCTTCTTGAAGGATGAAGGCCAGTGAGTAGGGCCAAAGTTTCTCTCCGAAGCTCTGCAACTGATGTGTGGAGGGGGTGAGAGAAGCTCTTGCAACTGTTTAGCGTGGCGAGTTTGGCACTTGTTGGGGGGTTGTCATAAGCTCTGCGAAGCTCTGTGAAGCTCTGCGAAGCTCTGCAACCAACACGCCAGCGTGAGCACTCACGCACAACCAGCAACCCACCCCTCTTTCTTGGTTGCTCTACGCCCCCTCTTTTCCCCTCCTCCCTTACTCACCTCAAGTGACGGTTAGTTTTGGGGGATATCTATCACCTTCCGTTTTGCTGGGGAATCAGGTTATGGTGGACCGGTAACTCCACGCCCATTACGTCCCTATTACGGAACATGGGCAAGAAATGCAGAGAGACCTTGCTCGTAGTTGCAACGCCCTGCAAGAACCTGCAAGTCGCAGGGACCTCATCTAGATTCCATGGACATGGTCCATAAGTTGCTACCCATGAGCCTGGTAAGGTAATAGCTGAATGTTGATATGTTGGGTCTTTCTACCACGCCTTCGCTTGTTCCCTCTCCTCCTTCGAGGCCGTGGCTAGATGCTGAGTATCCGCCGCCCTAGAAGCTGAGGAAAGTCGGCGCAGGTGCCAGGAAACCACAAGGGACGTGGTTCGGGGTCTTCTCTGGGCTGATGGAGTTGCACTGGACCCAGAATGATGCTCATGGTCCCGCGTTGTCTCCACAAGACGACACACGTTTCCGCCGCGGAACGTCTCCATTTTGCCCTGTTGGTTTTTCTTTTCAGGTGTTATCCTTACCCAATGGGAAATCTAGCGAATATGCGTAAGCCGGTCTCCGGGAAACTGCGTGGAATCCGTACCCACGTAAGAAAAGTCGGATATCCGCAATGCCCTTTTTTTAGTTGCTTGCCTGGGTACAGACCACAAAAAAAAAACAAAAAAAACCAGTGACAGGACAGAGTTTTCCCGACTCTCACTCAGTCCCCGTCCGCGCAAGGCAGAGGAAGGGAAAAAAGCGGGTTTACAACACTCGGCATCGATCCTAGTGCTGCTGCTTGGGGGGCGCAGAGGCGTAGTGGTTCCAATTGGTGTGCGCCGGATCGATTCCTTGTGCCATGACGTCTAGTGCGCAAAGCGAGACAAGGTTCGACAAAGGTACCAGGCCAGAACCGTCTGGTCTCTGGACGAGGTATCTCTCGACATGGCTCCCGTGCTGCTTCTCAACCTTTTCCTCCCGGCGTCGTGGTGGGAGTACTTTCGTCTCGCCCGAGTAATACATGCCAGTCTACTTGCCGGTCCTAGGATCTTTTCATCCTGAGCTTGCTGCTGCAAAGGCCCAACCTAAGTGGGTGTGGAAGGGACATGACACTTCCTCTCTGTCGTCCTTTCTTCCCATCTCAAAGAGGGGGGTGTGACCGGGTACCACGGTGGCCAAGACGCATCGAGGAACCCAGTAGTGGTAACTCTACGTACCTCACAATTCAAGCCGGACGGCTGTCGGCCAAGGCAGTCGGAGAGGACGCGAAGCGTAGTAAAGTGGTGAAAGTGGTATGGGATCTGGGCGGGCGAGCGGCCGTTTGCCGTTGCTGTCGGCGCGCAAGGCGGGAGTTGCAGAGCTTCAGGGAGGGAAGCAGAGCTGGACCAAGAGGGAGCAGAAACGATTTATAACCAGCTCTCCCTCCCCTTCTCGCCCCCCTCGATTTCACCATCGATACTCTGTTCTGTCGACGTTGACGATTCCACCCATCCTACACTTTTGTTGTTCAGACTCAGCGACAAGAGCTTCTGACAACGGTCCGCTTCCGCAATACCAAATTCAGTCTTGTGTTCCAGGAAGCTCTGCAACTCACACCGGGTCCCTCCCTCCCCCCGCCCGCCTTACCCGTGCGAGCGTCCATCTGAGTTGCCTATTGGCAAGCCGGATTTCCCCATCCTCAGAAATTGAGGTGCTTCATCATGGCTATCACGCCTTCGAAGCCAATCTTCTGCGCGACCCACCCCAGGGCTTGCTCTACGGCCTTTGAGCGGGTAAGACTCCCATTCCATCCCGCCTGTATGGCCTGCCTGTTGGCGGCTGCATCAAGGCCAGGACGAGCGAGCACGCAATCCCGCCCGTCCCCTCCCCGTCCCCCCGTCCCAAATCGGACAAGGTTCAGGGTGTGTGAATCGATCGGGAATGGTGGGCTGGGCCGAGCCTTCTTGGTGTTTGTGGTTTCCCGTGCTTGTTGTGCTTCTCTCATCCCCTGGCCTGCTCTGGTGCGACAACCGCAGGCTATAGTCGATACGCCTACAGCAATTCGTCTGCTGGGAGTGAGCATGGTTGACAAGACGTCGAATAGGTTTTCATGACCCGCCGGGACAAGCTGGCATGCATCCATGAGCCCTTTGGCGACGCATTCTACTATGGCCCCGAGCGAGTCGGCGAGCGCTTCGAGGACGACGCCGAGGGACGGGAGAAGTCTGGCTTCGCCCAGACAACCTACGCCGATGTTTTGAAGCAGATCGAGGACGCCGGCAAAGATGTACGTTTCCGCCCCGTTACCCCAATTTTCCCTTTCATGTTCCTTTCGCCCTGAGGTTGTCTCCGCGATCGATTTCGCGGCCTGCCGCCGACACCTGTCGTCCCACCCCTTGCATGCTGGTTCTAGTTGCATAGCTTCTTGAGGGCCCCCCCCCCCGGGTTTAACCCCCATCAATCCGTTACTTGCCATCCCCCGCCAAAAACCGAGTTCATTTTCGGTCGCAAGTGTTCCTAGAGGCTCGAAACAAAGCTTCTCGAAATTCTTAATTGATTCCGGCTGAAGGGGCCTTCTGCTGCTGGGGGTCTTGGTGTCCGCCCGGGTAGCTTTGAGATGCAGCTACGCAGCCGCAATTATTAGCACTAAGCTACCCCTGTAACCCTTGGGCGACCCCTCCGACCGATATGGAATTCCCACCACGACCATCACAGAGACGCATGCACACATTCCATGGCCAGGTACTAACGCCAACCACAGAAGCGCATCTTCATCAAGGACATTGCGCACTACCTCCTGCCTCCCAACCAGAAAAAGGCCTCCATCGCCCCCTCGACCGGCACCACTGCCGAGCCTGGTAACCCTACGGTCCTGCCCCTCGACGTCCTCCGCAAGTTCCAGTGGACGTTCCTCATCCGCCACCCGCGCCGCTCCATCCCCTCGTACTACCGCTGCACCGTTCCGCCTCTGGACGAGGTGACGGGCTTCAGCAACTTCTCCCCTAGCGAGGCCGGCTACGATGAGCTGCGCCGCCTCTTCGACTTCCTCGTCCGTGAGCGTGTCGTCGACGAAAAGGACCTCATGGTTATCGACGCCGACGACCTGCTCGATGACCCCAAGGGCGTCATTCAGGCCTACTGTGCCCACGTCGGCCTCGACTTCACCGACAGCATGCTTAACTGGAGTGAAGAGGACACCAAGGTCGCCCAGGACAAGTTTGCCAAGTGGAACGGTTTCCACAACGACGCGCTGTGCAGTACCTCGCTGAAGCCGCGCGACCAAGCGCATGTGAGTTGTCTATCCTCCGTCTCCTTTTTCCCCCGTCTCGTGGGTGGCTGGTATGGAAAGAAATCCGCCGGGTACTGGCCGTTTTTTCTCGAGAGAGAAAAAAAAAAACGCTGGACGGCGGAAATGGGAGTACTACGCACGCATACTAATACCCCGCGAGAAAAAGGCCATCACCCGCGAGTCCGAAGAGGCCGAATGGTTGAGCAAGTATGGCGAGAAGGGTCTCAAGGAGATCCGCAAGTGCGTCGACGCCAACCTCGAGGACTACGAGTACCTCAAGAAGTTCGCCATCAGGGTTTAGGACCCCACCCCGCCGGTTTGTACAAGCGCATTCTTTTACGAAGTTTATGACAAAGTATTACACCCATGTGAGATTTTTGATAAATTGAAAAAGGAGATTTCAATTCGGGTTTCATCGTTAGACAATACACTATAGGGAACCCGGTTTCTGTTCGGGGAGGGTTTATTGGTTTATCATGAGTTCATGTAACCGTGTTGATACAATAGTCTACATGGCCAAACGCCAACTAGCCACTTTTCAAACGGGCTATGTAAAGCAATTAACAAAGTTACAAAACATCGTACTCTTGTTGATGTACATTTTTCTTCTCCCGCAAGAACACAAAAGTGGCGTGTCAGGTCCGGCCTATGTTTTCCTTCCCAGACTGAGGAGCTTCTGATGCCTCGGTCTCGGCCGTACGTTCCCCTTGCTATTCTCCGACACGACCTTCCTGTCGACGGATTTCAAGCCGTTCCTACTCCACCTACTTGCTCTCAGCCTCCTCCTCAACGACCTCTGTGAACTGGTTCTCTGCCAGCAGCGCCCTGACATCCTCAAACACGTCGTGCGTAACGTTATCGGACCACTTTTCTGCAAAGTTGCGGTCGGCTTCGTTGGCCCAGTATATCGTCGCGGGCAGCAACTCGTCGGGGCCCTCGACGACCTTGGTCGCATCCTCGGCCGCGCCCTCCTTGCCCGCGATCGTCGCCGTCGGCGACGGCGGCTCCTGGGACCACTTCCGGCCCATCAACTTCTGGCCCTCCTCGAGGACGGCCTTCTTCTCTTGTGGGCTCACGTGCAACCGGCTTCCCCTGCCGACGCCGGCAAGGACGGCGGCCATGTCGGCGATGGAGTTGGCGCGCTGATCGTTGAGGGCGACGCCGCGCTCGTGGCGGTTGCGAACGCGCATCTTGGTGACCCCCGTGATAGCGTCCGTGGTCTTGGCGAAGCGGAGGGACTCGTCCCAACAGAGTTCGTGCAGGCGACGGAACTCGCGGAGCTTCTGGAAGACGGACTGGCCTGCCGCGCCGGCGCCGGGGGGCAATTGGATCATGGCCATCGGTTGCCAGTAGTCGCGGCGGAGCTTCGCAGGTTTAGTCTTTTTGCCGTTGAAAGGGAGTTGGCGGAGTGCGCGGTTGGACTGCGAACGGAGGATGTTAGCATAGCTGCCATATGTGCATATCAAGACCCATCTGCGTGCCAATTGACAAGTACAATGGATCTTCCCGTGTACTTATGTGTCTAAAGGCACCCAAAGACGTACATCAAGTTGCTTTGAGTGCGAGTAGATGACCTGGTTCGAGGTCAGATGGCTGTAAACCCAGATCTGTTCGCCGTGCCCTGGCTCGAAGTTGGTAAGCTCGGGCTGCGGTGTCCGGCGACGCGATCGCGTGTGGCCATGCCGTATGCTTGTCCGGGCAACGCCGAAGGACAGCTGTGAAAACCTGAAGGTCGGAACCGAGTTCATTGTGTGCGAGGCTGGGCCGTCACTGCGCTTGTTCGTTGTCGTCGTCGGCCCCCTAAACTTCGGGGATAGCTCGACCTTGCAAAATTTCCCGAAGCTCTGGAACCTGGTCGCGCCAGGCTCTGTGGCTTGACATGTGGCTGAAAGAGATCCAGTCACATGACACTACCTTACCAGCCACACTGGGCCAACTGCTCCTTGGAGACTCAGCGTCTTATCGATAAACTTGATAAGACCCAAGAGTGGGTCGTTACGCCCAACGCCGACCCCGCGGTTCGATTGGTGGGTGTCCAGATTCTACTAGTGACGTCGCGGAACTTCCACCAGGTTCTGGTTGCTACCCTACAGCTTCCCGGCCTTACCATATGATGTTGGGTCAGTCCATCTCTCGGCCCACTTCCCGGTTTGCTGTCTAGACAAATCTCTCTCGACGACCATAAATTCGAGGCCAGGAACAGCTTCTGAACGTCTCCTCAACTTCTTACAATCAAGCTAATTCTTGCACGTTTAAGATACCCCAGTTGAATGATAGATTCTTCAACGAGAAGCTTCACGATCTGAGCTTCCTAGTACCTTTCCCACGAACAAGTCCCAAACCACATCTAATCATACACACATACCACCACCACCACCACCACAATGAATTCACGAATGGAATTCACCGACAGGGGCGAGAAGGCCGTGCAGGATGCGATGGCTCTCGCCGAGCAGTACGCTCACTCCCAGCTGCTGCCCGTCCACCTTGCAGTCTCACTTCTCGACCCCCCCGCAGATCTGTCCAAGGACCAACAAAACGGCGCACAACAGCCACCCTCAATGTTCCGGCAAGTTATCGAGCGCGCGCACGGCGATCCCCAAGCCTTCGATAGGGCACTCAAGAAGACACTCGTTCGCCTACCTAGCCAAGACCCGCCTCCAGACCAGGTCTCTGTGGCACCCACCTTCCATGCCGTCCTCCGCAAGGCGCAGGAGCTGCAGAAGACGCAAAAGGACAGCTTTATTGCCGTCGACCACCTAATCCAAGCTCTCGCTGAGGATCACACAATACAGACCTGTCTGAAGGAGGCCAACATCCCAAAGGCGAAGCTGGTGCACGACGCCGTTGCCCAGATTCGTGGCACGAAGCGGGTGGACAGCAAGAATGCTGATACAGAGGAAGAGCACGAGAACCTTGCCAAGTTCACCATCGACATGACGGCCTTGGCACGAGACAAGAACATGGACCCGGTCATTGGCCGCGAAGAAGAGATCCGGAGAGTCGTTCGGATCTTGTCCCGCCGGACGAAGAACAACCCCGTCCTCATCGGTGAGCCCGGTGTCGGTAAGACTACCGTCGTCGAGGGCCTCGCCCAACGTATCGTCAACCGCGATGTACCCGACAACCTGAAGGCCTGCAAGTTGCTGTCGCTCGACGTCGGCGCCTTGGTGGCCGGAAGCAAGTACCGCGGAGAGTTTGAGGAGCGGATGAAGGGTGTTTTGAAGGAGATTGAGGACTCCAAGGAGATGATTGTCCTCTTTGTTGACGAGATTCATTTGCTGATGGGCGCGGGTTCGTCCGGTGAGGGCGGCATGGACGCTGCGAACTTGCTGAAGCCCATGCTTGCTCGTGGTCAGTTGCACTGCATCGGTGCAACGACCCTGGCCGAGTACCGCAAGTATGTTGAGAAGGATGCTGCTTTCGAGCGTCGATTCCAGCAGGTCCTTGTCAAGGAGCCCACCATCGGCGAGACCATTTCCATCCTCCGTGGTCTCAAGGAGCGATACGACAGACACCACCGCGTCACCATTCTCGACAACGCCCTGGTAGCAGCCGCTAACCTTGCTGGCCGCTACCTGACTTCCAGGAGACTTCCCGACTCTGCCATCGACCTGGTCGACGAAGCCGCCGCCGCTGTCAGAGTCGCAAGAGAGTCTCAGCCCGAAATCATTGACTCTCTCGAGCGCAAGCTCCGTCAGATCATGATTGAGATTGCCGCTTTGGAGAAGGAGAAGGACGAGGCTTCCCAGACTCGCCTAGTGCAGGCGAGAAAGGATGCTCAGAACGTCGAGGAGGAATTGGAACCTCTCCGCCAGAAGTACCTCAGCGAGATCAAGAGAGGTGAAGAGATTCACTTGGCCAAGACGAAGCTTGACGAGCTTGAGAAGCGTCTTGAGGATGCTGCCAACGCCGGCAACCACGCCAAGGCTGCCGACCTTCAGTACGGCGCCATCCCCGAGCAGCGCGCGGTCATCAAGGAGCTCGAGGCCAAGAAGGCCGCCGCAGACGCCGCTCTCAACGCGACCGGCCAGGACCACAACTCCATGGTCACTGATGTTGTTACCGCTGACCATATTAACGAGATCGTGTCCCGCTGGACTGGCATCCCCGTTACTCGCCTCAAGACGAGCGAAAAGGAGAAGCTTGTTAACATGGAGAAGGTTCTCGGCAAGATTGTCGTCGGCCAGAAGGAAGCTGTCCAGGCCGTTTCCAACGCCATCCGTCTCCAACGGTCTGGTCTCAGCAACCCCAACCAGCCACCCAGCTTCCTGTTCTGCGGTCCCTCCGGTACCGGTAAGACTCTTTTGACCAAGGCCCTCGCCGAGTTTCTCTTCGACGATCCCAAGGCCATGATCCGCTTCGACATGTCCGAATATCAGGAGCGACATGCTCTTAGCAGGATGATTGGTGCTCCTCCGGGATACGTCGGCCACGATGCTGGTGGACAGCTCACTGAGGCCCTCCGGCGCAAGCCGTTCTCCATTCTCCTCTTCGACGAGGTGGAGAAGGCTGCCAAGGAGGTTTTGACAGTCCTGCTTCAGCTCATGGATGACGGCCGCATCACCGACGGTCAAGGTCGCATTGTCGACGCCAAGAACTGCATCGTCGTCATGACCTCCAACTTGGGTGCTGAGTACCTCACCAAGTCCACCAGCCGTGAGGGTAAGGTCGACCCAACAACCCGTGAGCTCGTCATGAATGCCCTCCGCGGCTGGTTCCTGCCCGAGTTCCTCAACCGTATCAACTCGACCGTCATCTTCAACCGTCTCACCCGTCGTGAGATCCGCAAGATTGTCGACATCCGGCTGCTGGAGATCCAGAAGCGGCTGGAGGACAACAACCGCAAGGTCATCATTGACGTGTCGGATGAGGCCAAGGACTACCTTGGCAACGCCGGCTACTCGCCGGCCTACGGTGCTCGTCCGCTGTCCCGCCTGATTGAGAAGGAGGTCCTCAACAAGCTGGCCATCCTGATCTTGCGGGGCAACGTTCGCGACGGCGAGACTGCCCGCGTCGAGCTCATCAACGGCAGACTGGTTGTCCTGCCCAACCACCAAGACAGCGAGATCAACACGGATGATGACATGGACGAGGACGACGCCGTCGACGAGCTTGTTGCTGATGAGATGGACGAGGATATCTATGACTAAACGATTACTGTATATGAAAGGGAAACGATGAAAAGTGATGATTCACGAAAGATTTCCTAGGTTGACGACATTCCCTATTGTAGAGACGAGAGTCCATACAGCATGCGGCGTTTTAGGGATTGAATAGGGTTAAGCACTTGAGGTTTTATGGGATGACAAGCACGTTACGGAACCTTTATAAAGTTAAATTGATGAAAATCTTGAGAATCAACGAGCCTGCTTAAAATGTGATGTTTGTCAGTAAATATGGAATGTGGTCCTGGTAAGTGAGTATCATATTAACGAAGCGTTACCATGTCCCCTCAAAGGTTGGAAACTGTAACTCTGTTCAATCCAGTGACACTAAATATCAATCATAGTAACATCGCCACGAGTTCTGTTTGAGCAGGCAAGATGGATGGGCAGCGTTTGTCCAGACCATCAAACATCAACATCATCTGAAGTGTTCAATGGTATTTGTTTTGATTTGAGCATGTCCACTTAAGTTATCATGAGGAACAGGGGGGGGAGGGGAGGAGCGAGGAAGGACAGATATATGTTATCCACCGGCAAACGCAAGTAGGATTTCGCGCGACGAGACTCCCGGAATCAGCGGGGGGCATAGGTGATCTGTGTCGACGCGAGGCAGGGTGTCACGCTGCGAACGGGACGTGACGGGAGAGTAGAACGGGAACGTTGCAATATAGAAGGCTCGAGGTCGCGGTGCGTAATTCTTGGGAGACCAGATCTCCTGAAGCCGACATGGCAACCTCCTCCCGGCTTTCCACTCGTGTGGTGTCGCATCGTATCATGACCAAGGGGACGTCAATGCCAGCATACTGAGTAGTAGATCAGTTTGGGTATACTCGTCACACGCCACACATACAGCGTTCGCGATAGATACTACATACCTACTAACCCCCGTACCTATTTATGGAGTGACGGCCCAGGGATATCTTCCAGAAACGCACGCATACACGTACATAGATATAAGTGTATCTATATACAGAAAGCCTAACACTAACCTGGACGAGCCCGGAGGCAAATCAGGCGCAATGAGATTGACTAGAGAGCCAGCAATGTTTCACCTACCTTGGCTTGGCCGACATTTCGGGGGATCTAGCTAGGCCTATGGGTTGGTCGTCGTCGTAGTGGCCGAGGAGTTGCTTCCCCGCGTTTCGACGTCGTCGCCGCATCAAACACAGCTGCCTCGTTGACCGATGAATTAACTACCCGCGGGTCGCATGACGCATGGAAAACCACGCTTTTTTTTGTTTAGTTCCTCGTGGCTGGGACGAAGAACCATCGCTGCACGTTCGACTCCCCGCAGCTGCAGTGCAACGGAGTTGAACTGACTTTGCCGAGTAGACCAACAAGTCGTGCGATCTGCGAAACTAGTCGCGGGGGACGACCGTAGGGGTTCGACCAAGATGCGATACTATTTTTACCGAAACGACCCCTGTGATCGCCCCGGTCGGCGGATGGGGTCCTATCACGGGGGTGGTTCAGCTTCCCGTTGGCACCCTCCTGAGCCTACGATAGCAAGCCCGGAAGTTCGATGTCGCTGGAGGTGAACTGTGGCGGCGCGCTTTCCCGAACCTGGGACTGTCGTGTGCATTAGGAGATAATTTGTCCAGTAAAGTCCCGAGGCACCGCCGCCTTCTTGCAACCTATCCCCAAGCCAGGATGAGCTCTCGGGTACCAAGGCTGACCTCGGAGTAAACGGGGGCTTCAGGAGCGCAGGCTATCACTGTGAACGGTGGTGGACCGATCATGCCGTGAGCGGTTATGCATTAAGGCTGCGC